TAAAACTAACATTGAATAAAAGGAACCTTTTTCTCCACCTTACCTTTTTCTAAAGGTTCTGTTGCAGTATCCCACGCATTTCTTGTTGGTTTGGGAGTGCTACGAAAAGTGTCTGCAAGAAATTTCTCCCGCCATGTTCTAAAAGACTCTTTATCAATCTTTGGCTTCAAATCGTATCGTGGATCAAGATCATCATATGTTGTCTCAGTCTCCTCTGAGGAGGCGTATCCAAGTTCTCTTGCATACACTGCAATAATACGAGATATCAATTACTTTTTGCATAAAAATAGTTCAGTGCATTTTTGTAACCCATACATACTGTAAAATTAAAAAGACTTGAGCAGTCCTTCTGATAACTTATTTCATAAACAATTAAAAGCTTAAGATTAAGAATTAAACTTTGAATTCAGAAATAAAGGCTCTTTGTAGGAGTGTAAAATTTTGATACGTTGAGATCATATTTGACAAACATTGTAGAAAGATGCTTTTAGATCTGAACCAAACAAATGTCAAAACATTCGCGATGATTAGGCAATACTGCACAGCCTTCAACAATTGTTGTCTGTTATGAATTTGAACTTACTGTGCTTGCGTGAAAAAAATAAATGTTTATAGGGCGACCACAACGAAAGCAACTTTGTTGATCAAGCAAAGAGCTAAAGAGACGTTTTATGAAATGTTTGATAGAAATAGAATTCCGTAAATATCATCAAACATCCTTGAACATCTAGAAATATGGTGTTCAAATGAATAAAATATGAAATAATAAGCAATATAGGATGATTTCTTATGCCAATGTTTGTTTCGTTTGGGCAGGGCTTTAGGTGTTAATCTGAGTTGTTTGGAGACACCGAACAGCAACTCAAAGCTGTTATATACTACACAACAGTGTTTGTATATATCTGTCGAAAGGACAGCACCGAGCACTCTCAAACAAACTGGTTGACACTTGACAGGGATCTTTATTAGATGATAAACTAATGATTTTTAACTACGTAAGCTTCACTTCAAAAACCAAGCAGCAACCCTAGAGTTATTGTTTTCAAAATGAATTTGAACATGCCCTACCTCTGTCTTCCAAATATAGTTGCTGAAGTAGCAATTCCCCTTCTTCGATTTGTTTTTCTAGAAACAGGGATATCAAAGATTAACTCATGGACTACTTGGATAAGTAAATATGATCATGAATAAATGTGTGACATTTTTAATCTTTAACACAAGATTGGAAATGAGCAGTGTAAAAAATAGACGATAAGGCATTCAAAGCCAGTAACGTTCAGATTTATGACAAGCAACTTAAAGTAAATTGCTATTTCTGGGCGCTGAATTAGAGCAGCATCTCTTTGCTAAGATGATAAGATGGGTTATGAAGTTTTATCATACTACCTGTCCGTCCATATTGAAGTATAACCAGACATGCTGCTAACCAGCTAAGTCAGCTCACTTCTTAACATCTTACAATCAACAATAAAGAAAAGAAGATTATGCTCCCAATTAGTTAGACTTAAGCGCCTGTAAATACTCTTAAGTAGGGATAGGGGGGGGGGGGTACTAACGTTATTTCAAAGAAAGCAGTTCCAGCAAAATACCTATTTTATTCCGTAAGTGATCCAATGGTTCTTCTTTTTGCTTCTGTGACTTCGGTTTTGGCCAGCTTTCTACCATCCAGCTCTGTTTCGTATCATGGAAATTGTAAGCCAACGATCCATTCGATTCATTATCCTTCTTTTTGGACATAGAAAAGCTGCCAATTTGAGTCTTTCTAAGAGATTCGGGTAGGTATATCTCACTGCGGATGCGCGAGTTGAGTTCTTCGGAGATTTTTACTGACAAGCCACATGGAACTTCTTTAGTTTCTCCGTTGAACATCGAGACCACAATGACGTCACTCCCTTGCCCTAGAAGAAGAAAAGAACTTTACTTGTAGAACGTTTTGCAATACGGTAATTATATCGATACTATATTTACAAATACACTGAACAGGATCTGACATTTCAAACATCGCAGAGCAAAATATAGATTGTGTTAATTACAAGAGAGATACCATTAGCAAACTTATAACAGCAGCGTAACAACATATTCACATCAATTGGAAAGGTAACGAAGTTTTCATTCACGCTTATGGAGAAAAATCCCTGTTATCGAGTTGCAAGATAAGACTTTATAAGATCTAGAGGCTCTGTGGAGGTCTTACCAGCAATGGATAGGCCGAATAGTAGGTAGGAAAATGTATAGTTAGAAAATGTAGAGAAAATAGTCAACCAATATACATTTCATTGTTTATGGGAAACAGATGGGTAGAAGAAAAGGTGGTCACTGGAGGCTGAGATATATGGATCTAAAAAGAGTGGTGTTAAAAAGTTTGAAATGGGAAATGAACACACAGCAGACTTAATTATCAGACAGTGCAACAAGAAGGCCTCCAATAAAAAAGGAGCAAAAATTGGCTACTGGGCGATTAATTTGAAAGCAACAAGGGAGATAAAATGCAAACATGAACACCATAATCAAAACTGATTGTAGGAGCTTTCTAATACTAATACTTTACCTTCTGACTGCCCTTTCCTGAGATCAACACCTTCAACCAAAACCCCTGATCCATATCTTCCATCTTCTCCTACTGGGGCAAGAACTTTGTCTCCAACATATATATCATTTCTAAGGCCATCAGTGTAAGAAATAATATTTTCAAGGCATGTTTCTTGCTCTAGAAAACTCTTCTGAAGTGCTAAGCAATTATCAAACCTAACTTTGAAGGTATTTTTAGAGCTCTGCAAAGAGAAATAACAGAAAATTTCAGAGAAAAGTATTGTAGTCTCTGAAATCAAAATTAGAAAAAGGATATCATAACAGGATATCATAAAAGGAAAAGACAAACTCCAGCAAGAATGAAACTCATGTTGCAACTTTGAACTGGAAGCACAGCTTTGTCTACATGAAATCAAGCAACACACAATAGACCACTACTTATTTGTGTGTGAATAAAGAAAAGACCAAGATAGCAGGCTGCTTGATGATCTTCAATGATGAAAGTCTTGCGGCAAAAACTCAGTGGCTGTCATTACTGATTTATTAAAGGGCACCAGTTAGAAGGTAAATGTGTGTGAATAAAGAAAAGGCCACGATAGCAGGCTGCTTGACAGACTCCGATGGGAAAAAAATTGATGGCTACCATTACTAATTTATGTTTGTTTTTTGTTCATTCTACCAGCATTGCTGTGTTACTTATTTATTACACTACTTATTTACTTTTTCGTGATTTGGCCTGCTACAGTTATCTATGAAGTCCACAGCTTGCATAATGTCCCTAAGCATTAAAAATAGATAGTCCTGAAAACAACAAAAACCTTGTTTGAATAACTACAAAAACAAACTCACAGCATCAGTAACTGTTCCAAGGTAATAATAGCCATCTCTGTCCCGTCTTGCCAAAACCTTTTTTCCAATCAAAAGTGAAGCTGCTAAATTTGATATGTTCTCTATTGGTCTTTGTTCCCATGGATTTTCTATGGCAAAATACGAGGTTTTATAAGTATCACTAAAAATTTGATTAGCATTCAATAACTTTTGGCTAAAAACTCTTACATATCATTTGAAAACTTATAGCCTGTTATGTAAATTAAAGTGACAGGACCTGCAAGGTAGAATTACTTCTTTCTTTCTTAACATGATAACAAATCATCTATATCACCCAAGCTGGCCTTATAATACCCAAATCTCAATTAACTACTTCTATCAACCTCCACAGAAACAGGATCTTAAATGCTACAAACTATACACTTAAATGTCATGTTTCATATGTTCTAGCAAAAACTTTTATATGTTCATATGTTCCATCTAGAAATTTTCAATTTGAAAAGAATATTGTGATATCAAATTCAGTCTGATTTTATCACTGTATAAGGAGGCTTACATTAAAATAAACAAACCTTTTTTTGTAAGAGACCTCCATTGAGCTTTACCATTAGAATGACTTTCATATTCACCCCCAAACCAAACTTTTCTTGAATCATAAGATGATATTGAAGATATTTCTGATTCATCAATTGATAGTTTGTCAACATCCCTTATATTTTCAGTCTCATCAAGTTTTATTAAATGAGTACTACCATCAGACATGTAGGCCAAATGTTTAAGGAATTCTAATGCAAGATTATCATTTTCATGTCTACTTATGTAGAAACAGTGTATTGGCCTCCTTTTGATAAGGTGATTGATATTCTGGAAAATTATGGATGGTTGATCATCTGGCAGACCATCTGTTACCAAATATATTGCATCTGTTCCAGGATCCTGCAATGCAGTCATCAAGGCTTCCTGTGTGTTTGTTGATCCTTTGGACTCAAGGTTCCTAAAAGAAAAATATATTTGAAGATTCTACAGAACTTTGCAAGGAATGAAAAAAAGCTCATTTTAAATATTCTTATCCTGACTTGAGGTGTATTTGTATTAATACAAAAACAAGAATAACAGACATTGAAATAACAGGCTTTGAAAATTGTACAATCTAATTATACCAAAGGCATTTCTTATTTTTCTTGTTTTCTCATAATCAACAGCCCAGGCTAAGTCAATTAATCTGCTTGTCACAAATTCATTTGCAAAAATTTAACATACTAGATTGTCATCTTGTTAAGACTTTTAAATGTAGTTTTAAAGTTCCAATTTTGTCCTCGATGTATGCTTTCAACCACTGATTCAGTGAGTATCACTAACAACATTGCTACTTAAAGAAACTTTATGTAAGTTTGAATCTTTTAGCATGTATATTAGCTTAAAGAAGAAAAATACTACAAAAAGCATTGAACATAAGATAGGAAAATGAAACATGCAAGCCATACCTGATCCATTCTGTTGCAATAGACACAGTCCTTTCTGTACATGGCATTACAGAACTTGCCCATGAGTGAACAGCATCAGAAAAAGCAATTATATTGATCATTCCATCATAATCATGGCAACATTTCTCTGTGATAGCCTTAACCAAATGATCCTTTACGCCATCGAGTGCTTTATACATCGAGCCTGAAATGTCCACTAAGAACGTCACATTCTTTTCAGGTATCGCACCAAAAAGTGACGGCCATTTAATACTTCTTCTTTCAGACATTGTTCCTGGCATTTCAATTCTTGTGTGACTACAATTCAAGTGCTTTTTAGCAAGTTCTAACAGCCAAATAATTATTTGACTCTTGTTTTAACAGAGAAGGAATCGCTGATGCTGCAATTTGTAAACGTAAATTTGCTTCTTTCTTTGGATCGCCGGTTTTCAGAGTCGTTTACGCTCTCCTACCCAGTCTTTAGATTAAAATAAAATATTTGTCACCATGATCTGGCAATCAGCAAGTTTAAGCCACTGCTTTTTTATCTTATCTATCGAGAAACCAATATACTGCACTTCAACTCAACTACCAAATAGCAACAACAGCTAATGGCTTCATTGCTTCATTGTTGCTTAGCGCGCTCATAACAGTCTCGGATTCAATGCGAGATTATTTACTTGCAGATGAGGTTTGTTTTGCGAACATTGTGAGTAAAATTTGCAAATTATAGGCAAAGAGAAATGGAGAATTATACCATACTTGGAAGAATAGGAGAAGGGGCACATGGAGTGGTATTCAAAGCAAAACATGTTCAAAGTGGAGAGGTAGTTGCGCTCAAGAAGGTCCCATTACGACGACTTGAAGATGGCATTCCAAACACGGCCTTGCGTGAAATTAAAGCACTGCAACAGATTGAACACCCTAACATTGTAAAACTATACGAAGTTTTCCCGCACGGAACAGGATTTGTCCTTGTATTTGAATATATGTTATCTGACCTAAGTGAAGTTTTGCGAGATTTTGACCGTCTGCTGACTCAGTCACAGGTGAAAAGCTACATGCTCATGTTACTGAAAGGCATCGCATATTGTCATCAAAACAACATTATGCATCGCGACCTGAAGCCAGCAAATTTGCTTATCAGCTCATTGGGACAACTCAAAATTGCAGATTTTGGTCTTGCAAGGGTATTTAGTAATCACGAAGAGAGGCTTTACAGCCACCAAGTTGCCACTAGGTGGTACAGAGCTCCAGAGTTGCTATATGGTGCTCGAAAATATGAAGAGGGAGTTGATTTATGGGCTGTTGGTGCCATTTTTGGTGAACTTCTCAACAATTCCCCCTTATTTCCAGGTGAAAGTGATATAGAACAGCTTTGTTGTGTTTTGCGTGTTTTAGGCACCCCTGATGAGAAAACATGGCCAGGAATGACGGAGCTACCTGACTACAACAAAATAACTTTTCCTGCAATGGAACCTATACCGCTTGAAAACATTGTTCCAGATGCATCCCCAATGGCACTAGATCTTCTAAAAAAATTTCTTGTATATGCATCAAAAGACAGAATAGCTGCAAAAGAGGCAATGCTTCACCCATACTTCTTTACGGATCCTCTGCCTGCACATCATTCTGAGTTGCCAATACCAGTCAGAGATGCACATAAAAGTAACAGAGGACTAAAATACCAAGTGTTTGATGTTGATGTTCCCATTGAACAGTCACTTGTCAAAAAAGAACTTCTAGCAAAATATGGTAAAGGATTATAGGTCTCGTTAGTTGGTTGTGCAAATATTTATGTAAATTATAAAATTAATTAGGACTATAAAATATCTTCATTGTTTGAGTCCAATGCTGGAGTCTCTGTAATACTTTCCAGTTTTTGTTCTCTCTGTGCTTTCTAGCCTTAATTGAAATTACTGTGGGGAGGGGGGGCATTGTATGGCATCTTTTGGCAATATTTAGTTTGAATATGCATCTGCTGGTGTATGGTCTTCAGGCCAAAAATACTCCTTTTCCATTCCTTTTGCGGTGAAAGGTAATACTTTAGCCTGCAAATGGTCCTTACTTCCTGTTAACGGAGCAACACAGCCTCTGAGTTATGATTTTTTTCGAATTTCAATTGAGCTTTTCTTAAAATATGCCTTGTATGTGCTTAGCATGAAGTGTTAGCTTGTAAAATATTTTCAACCAGATAATTATGTGTTTTCAACTAAATGAGAGGTAGGGGGATGACTCAATGGTTAAGGTTGCAGACTACAGATCCAAGTGCCTAGGATTTGAGTCCCTGCCATGACCAAATGTTCACTTAGAGTGGGGTTGTTGCCAGCTCTCTGTAATCACAAGCATATCAATCCTTTACTGTTGTCACATTTAGGGGAAGGACTAGGGCACTGATTGCTAAGCATAACAATTTGCGTGAAACATGCATGGAAAATTTTCTGGTATTTATATAATGTTCTGAGCAGCTAAAAGTAAAATAAAATCAAGCAAGGAAATTTTGGTCAAAGGAAAACAACTTATCTTTCTTCTGGCCAGAAATCCGGTAGCCTGAAGCTCAGTTTACTGGTTCTAGTATAAATGTCACATCCCCAGTCTTGTGACTATTTCATCAGAATAGATACTGGTACAAGTCCCCACACTCATTAAAAACATACCCCCAGATTATTTAATGCCACCCCTGGAGCAAGGGAGTGCCAGCTGTTTGCCGTTTCTCAAAAATCTTGTCTATACATCTTTAATGGAGTTTTTCTTTGTTGTCATTGATTGCCCTTCAACGTAATACTGGAAGAAGGAAAGTTGCTTATTGGGGTATATTATTACCCATGTAGAACTTAAGATTATGCCTGGCGCTCAAAAAAACTTTCGCTGCCAAGCAAAAACTTGGCGCTAGTTGTGCGCTTCTCAGAATTACTGAAACAACTGCCTGCAAAACAGTGGCCAGGGCATTTCAAAATCAAAAGTTATGTGAACAAGAAATTTTATGGACAATGTTCTATAGATAGACACCCAATGGAATAATCAGTGGTCAGCAACAATCAGCGAGGAAGGGCCTTTGTTCAAAAGCACTTCGATGATTTTGTCAGAACCGACAGTGACATTTTCAGTATCAGTATTTGTTTCCACAAACTCTAGCTACCCCCCCCCCCCCCCCCTGCACCCTTACAAAAGCTTAACTTAACATTCGTCTGCATTGAACACGGGAAGTTTGCCACCCCTCCTCCGCACGCCTGACTACGGGCTTGAAAGAAAGCCAACAAATTTGCAAAAAGTAGAATATTACAATCTCAATGAGGAAAAGGAAAACATTGTGTTGACAAAGAAACTAACCAAGAAATCTAGCATCGATGTCCTGCGTGATTTTCGTCAGTTCAAAGGAAAAAATTAAAGTGAAATATTTTTAATTACAATTAAAAGCTGCATATTTACAGTGATCATATAAACCCAACATTATCGTAATACATGCATGCATAAAGTTTTTGAAAGTAAATCTAACAACTGTAATTGTGTTTAAAAAATTTAGACAGTCGTAATTTTCCGACTATTTGAATTTATACGACAATTGTGACCATCAATATGATAATAGGCTTACAACAACAATGATAATAGCCAACTTCACAATACGTTGGCCTTAAGTGAGTTTAAAAAACTGGTTTTAAAATATCTGCAGATTCAAAGTTTCAGAGCTGATTTTCTTTGTTATCTTCACCAGTTGAGTTACTGGTTTTTTGCAGTGGCCAACGTAAATTCTTTTATCTAATTGAGCAAAATGCTAAGGTGATGCTCAGTATTGGCGTTAAAGTAAAATTAAAGATAATACCTTTATAACGAGACAGCATAAACAGGTTTTCAATGTAAACACTACTTAAATTTGCATTGCCTGTGATTTTCTCCTCCCCTCTTTATCAATCTCTTTATCACTTTCATCCGGATCTAAAACCTTTGGGTAAGGATGTAATGGCTTTATTCTCACAATGTAAGTGCTCTCTCGAGTTCTTGCCTGCCATTAAAAACATTTTCGACTCGTTGAAAATTGATGAAATGAGTTCAAGAAAGCTTTAGAAATCGTTTTTGTGTGTTTAATGATAGGGAGCAAACCTTAACCTTAAAATTTCTAATTAGCTCTAAATTTGAAATGACCAATGTCTCAACACTATCGACGAAAGATGTCATGAAATACTGATAAGACTTATATGAAGCCACAAGCCTAATAGAACATCTTATGTCTATATGACCAGTCGTCAAACTCTTTCACCCCTATACCCCTTCTAGCCACTCCTTTAACACAATCATTGTAAGTGCTAAATTCAAAATTTCTCGAATGAAAGGTTTGGACAGACTGTTTTATGTTACTGCAAGCATAGTATGAACTTAACATGCACTTATTTGCACTCTCCCCTCCCCACTAAACATAAGACGGCTAGCTAGTGATCAACCCTGAAAGTAAAATTATAATTTTAAGTAACAGGGCATACGATCTATATGTATCTAATGGTTTGAAACAAATCAAAAATCTTTCCTGCACCCGGTTTTGCATTTATCGAGCTCTAAAACCATATCATAGTTAGGAGAACGCCCTGCTTTTACAGGAGAAAACGGCCAGGACACAGCCAGCACAAGTAGGATTTTCGTCCAAAGAGTCACTTGTTGTCTGGTTCGGCTTAGAAATCTGCATCCCATCCAGAAAGCTCATCAGGTGGGACATCTGAGCTCGTTGGAAAGTTGTCAAAATTTGAATGGTCCGTTGTTGACCGTACCTGTTTTTGGTTGAAATTCGTTATGAAAACAGTATCAAAACCATAGTACATTAAAAATTTCAGTGAAATGAAGGTAATAGTTAAGGTTAAACCTTCAAAATTAAGATAAGGAATGCAATACAAGGTTAAATAAATACGACGTTGACAAATGCTATAATAAGATAAACAAAGATATGCCTGCATAAATGGAAAGCATCTATGTATAATTTTGCCATCAAATAAATTACAATTCAAAATTAAGAAAAAGAAAAAGATCTAAGTACAGATATATATAAAATTTACAGATAGAAGTTAAAGCATAGACTAAAAACACCCCAGGTTAAAAATGGCAGGGATAGCATTAAAAAGGTCAATACGATCTTGTTTCCATAATGGTCCCTCCATTGCATACTATCTACAATTGCTTTAAAAGGATTGATGAAAACAACAGAACAAATTTTAGAACCTTGAAGAGAAGCTGATTTTACAGAGATGAAAATAAAAATATTAATTAATGTTGGCTTGATTAATAATAAAAAGTTTCGAGAAAGTTTTACCTTTGGCACAAATGGAGGCTTTAGCGTCTTTTCTAACAGTCCATGCCAATGAAATCCTTGAAACCATCTGAAATCAAGCAATCTTGCAATTCAACAAAATCCATGAAACTTAACGTCCTATATAATTACTTAAATTTACAAAATGAAGACAGAAGTACCTCATAAAAGTTTGCTTGTAAACAGGACTGGATGATGTACAATGTGCAAGGATGATTTATGCTTTGTTTGATTGTGATGTTAGATAACAAAATTTAGATTAAATACTGTGTTATTCATGGGGTTTCATCGTTGCGGTATTTTAGTCAATGTTTTGGTCATTAAAATACATATAGACGGTATCCCAGCATGCACTGGCTGATGAACACTGGAATAGAATCTTTAATCCTACATAACACACTTACTTGTGGTTTCTGATATCTTCTATACCATTCTTCTGAGCTCCTAACCTCTCACTGGGCTCATACCTAAAAGAACAATAAAGGTTTACGGAGTTCTCATTTTCATGATGAACATTGGTGCGAGGCTCAGTTGTTAGATGGCTCAGTTGTTAGAAGCGCTACTCCGTGGTTCGAGTCGCTGGCATGACCAAACTTTCACCCAGAGTGAGGAGAGTCGCCAGCTCTCTGTAATTCCAGGCAAAGGAATCACGAGGTGTGGTCACATCGAGAGGAAGGACCAGGACACTGCTTGATAAGCATAAGCTCAGTGTCCTAAAAACTACCTTCGGATGCTAGGTAGAAACAGATACAATACAATACAATACAATACAATACAATACAATACAATACAATACAATACAATACAATACAATACAATACAATACAATACAATACAATACAATACAATACAATACATTACAATACAATACAATACAATACAAATATGTGGTCAAAATCTGCAATTAATCCGCCTTTAAAAATCAAACAACTGCAACGAAAAACAGAAAATTTGGGATAATTTCCCTTTTCGGTTAACCTCAAGAATGACCAAATTTAAAATGTGATGTGTTGACGGAATATAACGTGTTGTATTCAAATAACATTTGACTAGAAGAAGCATAGCATTTGATTGGTGCCTTAATTTGGCTAATCGGCGAGCCCCATTGATAGAATATGAAATCCTACCTGCAGAGCTTCTTGATCAGGTGTTTGGCTGTCCTCGTAACCACTGGAGGAAAATCTAAGGCTTCGATGCCTCTTAGGATGAAGTTATATGTGTTCATTGGATCCTCTCCATTGAACGGGGGGCTATAGAAACGAGTAAAAAAATGTAGTACTGGGAGAAAGCTGGGGATTGAACAAATAGGCCTAAAATTGTCAACATGAAGAATTTCTTCACAGGCTGATTCCTCTCAATAAAATATTTAACTTATAAGTTGATTGAAAATGTACGAATTCATTATAATCACCAGTTAATATAAACAACAAATCAAAATTGAAAACTTAATTTTCGTTTTGATAAAATTTTGTCTTTGTTTATTCTTGGATTGATAGAATAGAAAAAGATATGATATAAACTAGAAGATGAACATGACCCACTTTCCAGTCATTAGCTCAAATATCAAAATTCCAAGCGACCAATAGTCAGCTGCGAAATCATGACCCTAAGATAAGATATACAGAGTTTGAATCGATAACAAAAGCAAATAGTTAATCTTTAAATCGAAAAATCTTAACTTGCAAAAATAATATCATTTAGAAGCTTTGTAGAGCTCTGTAAAAGTCAATTCAATCTCTAATGAAAATAATTTTGTGTAGATTCACGATCGATATAAAAATATAAAAATATATGCACAGCCTAAAGTAACAGCCTTAAAATTATAACGTCATAGTACTTTGTGGATTCTTAGCATTAATCGAGGAAGAGATTCTGCTATTGCCATCTGTTGTTCTAAAGGGTTTTTCTCTTTAAATGTACCCCTACAAATGCTTGTTCATATTTAAAGTCCAAATTGAATATCAAACGACCAAGCTGAGATCGAGGATAAGGGATTAAGGAATTTACTACAACATTGAAGGGTGTCTACAAAAATAGTATAATATCAAGATAATTTCTAAGAGTATTCACATGCCTTTTAAACATGAATAATTATTTGGCTACAGTATTAAACTTGCTGGTCTGTTTTCCAAAACCTGAAAGCATATCAAATCATCGATCTACCAAATACACTTGATTTTCAACAAGATGCATGACCGATTGATGACTCTCCTCTTAAATATACTTGCAGCCCTGAATTTTCAGTTCTAAGAATGTTAAAATCTCAGCCCTGAATTTTCAGTTCTAAGAATGTTACAATATTTCTATTTTTACAAACTTTGTCATATTGCTGAACGTTTGTCAAATACAGCGTACTAACCTTGTTGAGAATTATCTCAGGAGCTACGTATTCAGGAGTCCCACAAAACGTCCACGTCTTGCCAACACTCCCAATCTTTTTGGCAAATCCAAAGTCAACCTTGAATAAAAATTTGGAAAACAATAAGCATAAAATCATTCACAAAGTGAAACACAACTTGTTGCTTATATTATTGAAAAAGGACTAGCTGCAGTAACATATTGATAAGCAAAGGAAATTCATGCTGAAAAAGACCGCAAGGTGGATTATCGAATCTTGCAATCTGATGTCTATAAAACATATGGTAGGAGGAACAATGCAAATTGACGATGAGCAATCCAATATGGCAACGAATTTTGTAATACAACGATTCATGGTGTAAACAAATGAAAATTGCTGTTTACTGGTCTGTCATATAGTGTTTGATGTATGATATTAAGTTGTAACTCCGAATTTTACGCTAAAATAGACCATCAAACAAACTTCTAATGGAACTATGATAGATTTATTTTAGTTTCATTATATATTATTTTATAATTTTTGTGTTCTTTTGTCAATTTTCATTGCCCCTGATGAAAATGGTGGAAGGATATATGAATATGAACGAAAAAAAAAATGTTTAGTAATATAGGTATGCAAATTCATTATTGTGCTCACCAACTTGACATATCCAGTATTGTCCACAAGCAAGTTCTCCGGCTGTCGGACAAAAATATTCAAAGTAACATAATGGTAGATGTGCGTCATATCGTACTATCAACAGCATTTAGCATAATGTTGGCAAAGTTGGTTTTGGCAAAATATTTGGTAGCTGATAGCTGACTGGCCTACTTCAAGCCAAAATGCAGTTTAAACAAAAGTTCGATACACGCTGAAGGTGCTGATCGCCAATTGTTCAAAATAACGGTAGATAGCATTTGGAAGGATAAAAATCAATCACTAAATTTTCAATCAATGAAAAATAATTCGGTAGGTATAGATTGAAGAATCCACACAGAAGAGAATATTCATACAAGTTTTAAAAAGACTGTTAAAACATACTTTTAAATCTCTGAAAACAATCTTTCTTTCGTGTAAATAGGCAAATGCTTCAACAACACAAGCAATGTAAAACCGAGCAGTGCTTTCATCGAAGTAGTTTCTGTGAAAGAAAATAAATCAATTTCTAGTGCTATCGTGCAGTGCATTAAAGTTAATAGAGAGGGTTGTCAAGAAATTCCTTGCATACAAATCCTCCTATAATCCTGATAGTTTGATAATCTATTGTAACTAGCTGTTTTCATGTAATTTGTTATTTCAATGGCATTTGTATGTAGAGGAATTTCAAAATGAAACCATCCAGACCCCTAACTTGAAATTAGAGGTCTGGGGTCTACTTTCAAGTTAGGGGCCTGGGAAACAGGCTAATCTACTGGTAGTATTGTTGTCCAGTTAACGATGTAGTTTAGCATTTAAATGACAGAAAGGTCTTTAGAAAACAGTATATTTTTATGATCAGCAGTTAAAGAAATTCTTATAGCATCTTTCAAATCAATCATCTTTCAATGAATTTCAGAGAAATTGTAGAGTGGTGGCTGAATAAGATACCCAGGCGAAAATGACCATTTTGTGGCGAAAAAGGGAGTAATGGGGTGTAATAGAAAAGATAGTGAAATATTTTAATGAAATAAATAAGTAAGAAACATTTTGAAGCAGATTTCGTTTTGGTTAAAGGACGATAAGCTAGACTGAGGAGGTAGTAATTGAGTGAATTCTAGTTTATATTCTTGGAAAGGAAGTTATTGAGCATATAACTACCTTGAAAACATGTAGCATATAATTTTCAAACAAAAATGACACAAAACGTACAATGAGATAACAGGTCAAGTTTGACTACGACAATTTAAAATAAGGCAACTTATAGGTAATATAAAAAAGTAAAAGCAAAGAAAAACAAACGTTAACAGCACTATTAGTAGACGAAAATACAACAACGCTAAAAGTAACATCAAAATGTACAAACAAAAATAAAAAATTGAAAGGCCACGTCAAAAACCAACTCTTCTTTATCACTGACCAAAGAAGGGGAGTAAAAGATATTCAGGATAAAGAAGAGTGTTGGAATAGCTTAACAAAACTCTTAAACAGGGAAAACAAAAATCTTAATGCTAAAGAATAGACCAAGGCACTCGAATTGTAATGCTTACCTATCGCGAAGAATTGTCCATAACTCCCCGCCAAGACAGACTTCCATCAATATATAAACATATTTTGGGTCTTTGAATGTTCTGTGAATCCTAAAATCAAAATTCGATTACATATTAAAAAAATAGTTCAGAAGCAAAGTCCTTAGCTACAAAACACTCAAATACACAATAACTCAACAGAGTCGATATGCTTTCTTTTGACAATCGTCATGAGAAGAAAGTCGGATGACCTTGGAATCTGAAGTTATGACACTACTCTTAAACGTTTCCTGTTAGTACCAAGTAATTAACACTTGTTATCAATCGTGTATAAAACATATCTTCAAAACAATGTTCAATCTAAGACTGAGCATATTTCGAATACGTCACAGCTTGTCGTGTCATTGATGCAGTCACTGTCACGAAGAACTACCAATAATGGTATCAGATCATTAAGTTTTCAAGGGCCTAAAATCTGAAATTCACTCTCAGAATCAATAAAGACAGCACAAAATACTAGACAATTTAAAAATTTGATCAAAACTTGGTTCCTTAAAACAAGTGCGCATGCTCGTTTTGCAGTAAATGAACTGTCTTATGCAATCCTGTAAATTGCTTCATGTTAGTCTTAATAAGTGTATATTCACTATTGTAAAAACTAACATTAAATAATCTACAATACAATACAAATACAATCTACAACACAATACCAAAACTTGGTACTTATCTTCGGACTGAAGATGCCAATATAAAGTCAACACCCTTCAACCTACTTATAGCTTACTCTAAGAACTTTCAGAAAGAAGATAACAATTCCTACTTGATTATAAAAGGGCAGTCAAGTTCCATCAGAATCTTCTTCTCGTTGTAAACATGCTCCTGTTGCTTCGTTTCAACAATATGCCGTTTTATCAGTGTTTTCAATGCAAATGTTTTGGATTTACTTTCACGCCTATCCAACACCTGCATGGAAAGATAAGATATCAAACATCGTTACCCCAATATAAAGGATTCGAAATTGATGATGATTCTGTTACGATTAGAGGACGGATGTGATTTGAATGATTAAACGATGATTAAACGAGAAAAAATAAAATCTAGGTCTAATTATAACCAATCAGCTCTTAAACCCCGCAAAGAAGAAGGACATAGAAAATTACGAACTTACTTTTTTGATAGGGCATATTTTATTTAAAAACCCATTCTGCGCGACAAATCACAAGGTTTTTATGCAGAATACAATTTCTCCTAAAGAGCTTTCGTCACAAAATATCCCTATTCCCTATCGCTAGGCATAAAAATCAGATCCATCATCAAAATTCATTTTTAGATAAGATTTCATTTTTAGAACAAGAAGTAACATCTGACTTTCGAAAAGTAGGTTCTTCTTATCTTAGGCTGATATAGCAAAGGTTGATAGTCATCACGGCTTGCTGGATGTCATATTCACAGGAAAACATTCCCGGAACCTATACGATCATAACTGAGCCAACCAACCCCCTGACATGTATGACATAAGCTTACTCGAACTATCCTTTTCAGATTCAGTGGGCCTTATACATCAAATGACGTTACAACAGCTTTGTTGATGATTGTCAATAAACAGTCTTACCAGGTCAACCCTTCCAAATCCACCGATACCCAGAGTTGCTATGGCTTTGAAATCTGTCAAATTGCATTCTGCGAATTCAGGAGCTATTCTGATCAAGATGGAAGTGCCATCTTCGCTTGATTTGGGACTTACTCTAAAAAACACAAGAAATCATCCATATAAAATCTATGCAGTTTGTTTGTTTCTAAATTTATAATTGAATCAGACACGCTTCGATGTATATGACTTGTCAAGCGTCGTGAAAAATTTCACGTACACTGTAGCGTATGAACTCTTTGCATACCTGATAGCACCCCTTTCTTCGTCACCGTAGTCGATATTTTGGATGTTTTCTAACGCACCAATTACGTTTAAGAACGTTCTAAAAGAATAACAATGGAATTAAGACTAACGAGTACGGCAGAAGGGTCCTTTGCCTAAAAATAAAACCAGAATTTCTTCCTATATCGTTTTTTGGCCACATTTGCAACAAAATTTCATAACAGTGTCTTTTCAAGCAGCCATTTGAGAGTTCTTAAAAAATATTCACGAATACTGTAATTTTTCCCAGAGCTTCTTTGTTCTGAGATGACATTTTCGAATAAAAATATGCGGATCTTTTACCTATTATCTAAGGTTTGTACCTTTCTAAACCAATGGCGGTAAGTTCTCTATTAAATATTATTCCTCGAGAAATATCGCCAACACACAGGAATTAGAGAGTATAATGAATTTCGGCTCTAAAAAGGTATTTAACGAACAATCTTTATACATAAGTTTGAAAGTAATGAAATTCAGCTGTTCAAAATTTGCAATTTGGAGAAGCATATGACATTACGGGATAATTTTCGTTCTAAGTCAATATTTCAGCAGGCTGAACATGACACAATATGCGGCTTATCGAATCTAATAGATTAATAAACGAAGCAGATGATATCATCGCAAAAAGCGGCATGAAATATCATTGATATCAATATTGGATTGATTTAAAATGATTAGCTGGAATCAAAAACAGTTTAAGATAAGCAGATTCTACTGGAAGAATAAATTATGAATTTTTAATACTGAAATACGAAAAAAACTAAAATCAAATGAATAATTACTCTCGTTCGATGACCATGCATTCAACTCCAGGCGAAAGAGCGATGATGCTAGCAGTCCTTACATCTTCACTGAAATCGATATGAATTGTTTTGATTGATGGCATTAGAATATCGTATAAACATTTCTACGTTTGTGTCATTATTCTTCCACTTTTATATTCTCACTTGAATTTATTGAATGCATAACTTGGGTTGAAATAATTTTTTGTTGCTGTTGTTGTTGTTTTACTGTTGCTGTGGTTGTTTTGCTGCTGCTGCTGCTGTTGCTGCTGCTGTTGTTGTTGTTGTTGTTGTTGCTTGACAGCTATTGTTGTTGTTGTTTTGTTGTTATTGTTTTTAAAGCTGTTAATGTCGCTGATAAAACAAGAGCTTTCTAAAGCATATCATAATCAAGCTCTATGATTTTTTAATTTCTAAGAAAATATTTCCAATTTTCCATGCAATTCGTTATCATCTTATCACACTGTTACTGACATAATTTCATGACATTCTACCAATGACATTTTATCTATTCACCTTACTAGGGAAAAGAGGGGACATGGTTAACAAATACCATTTCGGCCCCTTACCTCAGCAAGGCTTTCTCACCAAAGTAGTCACCAGCTTCAAGTTGGCGAATTTCTTGAGGTTCATGATGACCGCTTATCATTTGAAGAACTTTCACCTAAATAACATAAAGCATAGTTCAACTAGATTACAAAGGAAACTAAAGACAGATAAACGAGGATAAAGAGCTCTAAAATAGATAGATAGACTGAAATAGATAATCACATGAAAATCATGAATAGGCTCAGATTGCTAACATTTGGTCCTTCTAAACTTCAATTTTCGTAGTTAAGGTAAAATCAATATTCTTCTACATAATTCTACATAACTTATCTTTCTACATAATTCAAGAAACTTCAAAATGACGTTGGCGACCTCTCTAGTAAACAAAAATCAAGCTGGGAAAAAGTATAATTTCATTAAATGAGCCACTGAAAGTATATAGTCATACGTACTCGTCCTGACTTTATAATGTAGAAGGTATTTCCTTTTTCACCTTCCCTAACAATATAATCGTCTTCTGAATAAAAGTCCTAAAAAGAAAGAAAGAATAAATAACAAAACAATTAAAAAATGATCAAACAGAAATGAAAATATACTAAGTACATATTACGCGGGCTTCTTCCTTATCTCAAAAAAGTCCATACAGCGAAGTAAAAACTAACGTTACGGCAAGAGGCGAGGTCTGACAACAATAAGTTAGTTTTTTTGGGATATGAAAATATACATTTGAAAAATACAAAAAAGTCGATGATTCATTAAATCACTGTTCAAAGTGGTCTCGAGGGAAAGTAACCGATTCAGTGATATTGTAATTGATGAATTATTCATTTAAATTGATTTAGTGATACCGTGATTGACTAATGATTAAGCTTTGAGAAGAAACAGTTAATTTCTTTTAATGCCATGGACTAAATCAAGCCAAGAGGACTTGACTTTGGAGGACAATTAGGTAGGATAGAGTGGTACCATCAAAGAAACTTTGGGGGGGGGGGAGAGTAAGTTTTCCCCAAATGTTACTTAAGTATTGTCTATTTAGCTCTACTAAGATTGAGGAAATATACTGGGTCAGAAAGTGTCATATTTTTTTAATATTTACCTATAGAAGGAGCACTATAAGATGGATGCGGTTATGTGATGTTGCAGAAAGAGGGTGTTTCTGTAAAAAGAGCTTCACCAAATAACCACAACACCACTGCCCTTCGAGGTATGCCTACTTCATACAGGTAAAGCCGGGATACTTTTTGCTTCATGGTGATTATCAACAGTTTGCTTGAAAAGATGATTGAGTTGTGTAACCGGATTCTAACTAGAATTAAAGGGACTAAGCAAGATTTCGAATTATAGGAACAATATATCGTTAGAATTTTTAGATGAGGGATAAGTAAGACCTTACGCTTTGTGTGGAGATTTATACATCATGGAGTAAAATATGATTTATAATGGCATCGTTAAGTAAGATTTCAATGCTATCTTTCAGCTTACTGAAGAAAACGTGAAGAAAATCTAGAAATAACAGGTTATACCTCCTCAACCACATCCACGATTCTATACATCATTTCCTCTGACAAATCTTTCAACAGCTTGACACTAGTAAGAAGAATAAAAGGAATACTAAAAGCTATATGTCCAGTTCGTTTGACTTATATAAGACTTACATGACACTGATTTCTTAAAAAGAACCACTCAATCAAGGCAGTGGCTGGTGGTTCTTAATTTTTCCAAATTTGATGCTACTTGCTTCTTCAATTACCAGAATGTAATGTAAGTTAAAAAATTTAGACAAAAGACACCATTTTACTGCGAAATGACATTGGGTTTGTACAATGCATGTGGTTTTCTAATAGTATTTACACATGATATACTCTTTCAAAAAAGATAGTGCTAATGATTTTATATTGTTCTTGCATTCTACATGTTACACTTCTTCAGCCTACGATTTCCTTAATTAGTTTTATAACTTCTATTTGGATCTAGAAATTTCTCCAAAGGTAGTATGTGTGTCCAAAGTCAGGTTGGGATGTGACGGACAAAAGTTAATGTGCAAAAATCATGACTCCTTTTCAATTCATCAAACAGAACTATGTTCTACGTCTGTCAAACAGTGCGAAGAATGTCATTGGTAACTTTTGTAGTTTTACATGGAGATGACAAACATACTCAAAACATGCCTGGTCATCAATTTTCTGCCTAATTGACAGCTACAAACGAATGTCAAAACTAAAAGTTATACGAATGTTAGAACATAGGCTAGACTATTGCATTCAACAGAAGGCCACAAAATTCATTCTGTTTTCAAATCTAAGTTGCCGCTCATGAATTTAAAAGTAATTTCTTTAAAATCGTTTTCTTTGAAGCCATGAAATAAAGGCAAGATAATTCAATTTTTTCATTGATGGTAAAAGATAATGTTTGTGATGCAGATTCTTTTTAGCCGCAAGACTCATAATAAATTCATCAATCGGAATGTTTTACATTTAAAAACGACAGCCCATCAGGATTACACAAATAGGATTATGTACTGTTTCATCTGCCTGTGTCGCCCATTTAATTAAAGCTAAAAAGAAATATTTCAAGACTTAGTCTCCTCGTAAAAAGTTTTCGAATTATCAACTCTCATTCTTATATTGGGAAATTAAACATGGGTACTTTTAAATTCGACGTTGGAAAATGCCAAGCTGTATGATGATTCTGATCATAATTATGACGATGAAAATTACTGCTATCATTGTTGATTTAATCTTATTTTGTAATTTTCATGCTGATGATGTTTGTAATAATGATGATGATTATGGTCAAAAAAGGATAATGATCATTATTATTTCTATCATGAGCATAATAATGATAATCACCTTCATTATTAAATTGTTACCTTTTTAAGAATTTATGATGCTCTTCTCGTCTGATTATACCAGTTTTTCGCATTACAATTTGGAAAACACTTCGATCTATCACCCATGCTAGGCAGTTTTCGACAGCTGGAGGGGAAAAATATTACGTCACAGTTGAAGAAAAGCAATGTGCATGATTCGATGCCTTTTCTGCTGATTGGGATATATTGCAAAAGGGTATCTTTCTTACCCAAGGACATGAACAAAAGCAGGGATTGATTATGCAAATTAACTAAACTTAGTTAGGCTGCAAGTAAATAGAAAACCTGTTCAGACAGATCCAAGTAAACACAGACGAGCAGTAAATGGAGATAGTTTAGATAAAGCAATTTTTTCAAAAAGAGTGCTTACTAGTGAGGAATTATGGGCCAATTTGTAGGGTAAGTTTAGGGCCTAACTTGGAACCTCTCCACTAACTGTGCGCTAAAAGATCCCTTGTTGCATGGTCTTCAGACCTTCGTTGATGGCGCAAATATTAACATACTAAAAATACAAAAGATTTGTTTTGGATAACGAACGATAACCTTATAAAGAGACAGGGACTGATAGAAAATTTCATGCATTCCGCCCCCTCCCCATTTTTGCAAAAGTAGAGCTTTTTTACATAATCTTTTGTTATGGGTTTTTCATTGGCCCTCTACTTGCCAACTTGCATCGGATGCTCTGAATAATGTAAAGAAATAAAACAAAACTGAATCTTTGATTACCAAACAGATTAGAGACTGCTGAATTTGCAACTAGAACAGGATTTATGAAACTTTAAAATTCAACAAACCTTTTACAGATGCTGTCCTTGTGCAGTTATAAAGTATGGCAAGTTCACCAAACAGAGTGCCCGGTTTCATCGGGTTTCCAAGTACTTCATTATCTTTGGAGACTTCAAGGGTTCCATCTGCGTGACAAGTTTAAAGTGTTAGAAAGTATTCAAGACATTTCTATGATGGGAGCAATAAGCCCACCAAGCTTTGGCTGGGATTCCTAACACAACAAAAAAGCCCATCAGGTACAAAAAAACCCTAAGGTACAAAAAACCCTAAGGTACACAAAAGCCCATCAGGTACAAAATAGCCCATCAGGTACAAAAAAAGCCCGCCAGGAACAAAAAAACCCATCAGGTACAAAAAAAGCCCATCTGGAACAAAAAAGCCCATCTGGAACAAAAAAGCCCATCAGGTACAAAAAAAGCCCATCGGGTACAAAAAAGCCCATCAGGTACAGAAAAAGCCCACCAGGAACAAAAAAAGCCCATCAAGAAAAGAAACTGAATCTAAAAGACTGGTCTTTGAAGTTGATAGATTTTTAAACCATTCTATATACCTACCTCTTCACACTATTTTTATTGCATGCTTTAGAGGGTGCACCCATTAATCGTATGCACAGAGACGTCTTTCCAAAAAAAACTTACATACACCCACAAGTACAAAACTAATAACATTGTTGAGGGGCCCAGAAACATGTTAATACGTACACACGAGTTAATAAATGAACACTCTTAAGGAAATAACATAGATTTTTACTCATTAAGAAAATTAGAGTATAACAAAGAGTGAAAAGAATCAAGGACTGCATATTATAAAGACTCAAGAGCCAATTTCGGAGGCATAGCAACATCAGTGCTTCGCCTAAAATTGTTATTGGATTTCCATTTGAACCCAGCCACATGACAAGATTTATGTAAATCAACCATGAAATTAAAATACTTGATTTTTGCCTAATTCTATTAGCTACTTGGTTAGTTGCCAAGAATACAAATGGAAACAGTCGCGATTCTTTCAATATAGCTCATTATGGCAAGTTTAACGTCGAGAAATGTTATCTGCAATGACATAAGACGTCTGCTTATTAAGAAGTCACAGAGATGGATGTTATCAAGGAATGATTGCTACGATTGAAATCGCGTCTCCGCAATTCAGTTTAATATGATAAAAGATGGAATGGAATTACTATCAAATTTTACACAACCTAGAGGCCATGGGTCATGTAGGGAAGGTTTCGAACACAAAAGAAAGTATAAAAGAATTCCAAAATCTTAAAAAATTGAAAACAAATACTGAGACATAATAATGTAAAAGAAGGAAGTGCAAAGAAGAAGTCTCCAGGGGTAATTTTCTTCCCAAATAATTTAGTAAATTTTGACGTACCAGCATTCAAAAATCACCTTTCATAAAAATCTCTTTCTATCGATCTATCACATTCACAAACACGGTTGGTTTCAAAATTTGTTTGTTTTATCCAATCTTAGCTAAACAATAAAGGGTCGAAAGAACGTTTGTTATGTTTCTGAGCTCTGAGAATTAAATGCTCGAGCCATCATCAAACTTCTTGGATTCTTTACTGAAATTAGTCCTTCAGCCCAATTGAATTTTTGCAGTGTCGAATTTAAACACTTTTAAAATCTAATGCTGCATCAAACATTTAAATGCGTAGAATTGTGACTTGCTTAACAGTCACATTTTTGCCACGCTAATTAAATTCAAAAATTGCCTATTCCATGAATTATATGAGAGTCGTCTCTGATATTGCTTGCCATTCTCGAAATCTGCGATTACTACCAGCAAATTCAATATTGATAATGAAGCTGAATTTCTCTTTTCGAGACAGTGCAAGAATAAGTTGCTGTAATTTCTCGCCGTATCTTGTTTCGAACTGATGACATCTTTTTATTGTAATGTGATTATATTTTGAAAACAAGGAATGTGAAACACAACAACTCATAAAAATTGAACCAAACAGCTGCAAAATCACAAAAACTTTGAAATCATCCAAGGTTTAAACGTTCTTTACGTATTTCTCTGGACGATGAATATTGATTTTTTTATCTATTTGATCAAGCACATTTATTTGCCACCATGGCTAGTCTGAAAAGGAGGACAAATATATAAACAGTGAAAAATTTTAACATAATATCGGTACATCATAGTGTTATTCAAAGGTAATATACAGTTGTAGATTTTCATTTTGTAATGCCTAGGAAAACCTATGGCAAGAGTTTCTTAGCGATCAAGATAAATAGGTTTAATGAGATTAATAGAGGTATTTTTAAGTTGTGTTAAGTCGTTACAAAGATGGAATATTTGCTTATACAGAAGTTGGAAACATTTTGAATAAGACACACTTCGACGATCTAAGGAGCTTGGTTCCTATAAGTGACAAATCCAAGCGACAAATTCGATTTTAACACACCCAATCACAACATGAACATGCTTTACGGTCCCCGATCCTGATTTCTCTCCCTGCAAACATTGCTTTTTCATCACTCTGTTATAAAAATTATTTTGGTTTTTTTCGATGATTTACAAAGTTTTAGAACTACTTTCACTAATCAGGGGATAAGTTGTTCTATTATGCTTTAGCTCGATTGAATTTCATAAAATATGCAAGAAAACAATTTTTAGGTCCATTAAAAGAGCTTGCAGAAGATTTGAGGGTCATTGGCAAGCTTTACAACATGCATACATTAATTCCACCTTATTAGAAATGGAATTTGAAGATAATACGGGAAGGCGGAAACATAGCAGGCGACACTCCTCACAGTATAGTTTGATTGGTTGAAAAATAAAAAGGAACCAATTAAATGCACTGCTTCTACCCTCGTGTTACTTGAGCATGCGATGCTTTTGCTTATCTGTGTTTTCTCTGAATTTCGTGGTACGAAAGGTTTTCTGAGAAATGAAATGTTCGTCTTAGAAGTATATTTCCAGAGCAAGCACTGTCGTGTATTTCATACCTTATATACAGTTGAAGCTACCATCAGTTTAAATATCAATAAATTTTTGATGAATTCTTGCCAAATAATCAAATCAAAAGAAAATTCAAGATTTCATAGAGGCGTCAGACAAAATATTCTTGCTTTTCATCGCAAATTAAATCTTTTTATCGTGTTTCCTCATATTGGATAGTGTTTCCTCATATTATTCCCAGTATTAATTATGCTCCAGTTGCTATTACACTGAGTTGCACCTGGCATTCGTACTGTATTGTTATCAATGTTTATTCTAGCTGTATTCATTAAAAGAGAATCCTCTTTGTTCAGCCCACGGTCATTCCATTTTTAATATTGAAGGACTCTCAGAAGACAAGGAAATGCGGGTTTCCCTGATGATTAGAAACAACAGAAAGAGCAAGGAGCTACTGCAAACAGTATTTCTCAAAATATCTAGAACATACAAAACTCCTCAACTCCACTACAGCCTAAGGAATTTCGCAAACAAAAACCTTGCAAACAGTCGCCCAACTCTAAAAATCTTCTTTCTGAATGATAATATATGTTTTGCATCATTTATTGCACGAGATATTAAAATGCGTAATAGACACCTGGTATTATTTACAATGCATTGAATTTGCGGACACAAATACATAGGCCATTCAGCATATTGTTTGTGCCGACATAGACCATTACAGAAATTATTGACTCGGTCTGTTTATTTAAAATGTCTGCTTAATGCAAGACTAGCGTACTTTGAAATTGGATGTACCCATGAATGTGCTTAGAAAATTTAGTCTCTGCAGACTGCCTTTTAACCCCTAAACGGGCACTTGCCCCTTAACCCTGTTAAGAATGTGTTAAGTTTGGCAGTTACCCATATCGCCTACTTTATCTTATTGCTAAACCAAGTTGTAGGTCTCCCCATGAAAAATAAAGAAGTCTGCAATGCATACGACGTACCTGCCAAAACATACATCTCGTTGCCACTGTCACCTTCCTTGATGACATAATCACCAGCGTTGAATGATTTTAAATACATACATCCAACAATTTCTTGTACTTGACTTTTCTCGAGCTTCTTCATGAAGTTATTATCCTTAATAGCATTCTTAATGAGAGATTTGGCTCTGAAAATAAAGAAATAATTCTGCTAAGTTTTTCTTTCGATAAATTCAAGAAGAACGGATCTGATGAAGATTTTTGAAAGGATACCAGACCTTGCTTTGCTAAATGTTCATGCAATTTAGAAAAGTTCTTAAGCACCTAGGTTTCACGGGAAGCACTTGGGCTGCTTAGAATTTTATATGAAGACACGTGGAGGCATGGCATGAGAGGGATAGCTCAAATGACCTTCCATTAAAAATGAGCAGCTGTGAGTATTAGCTGATGAAGACAATGGCTAGTTCTGGGGTACAGCACTAAATGGTCAAGAGAGTTGGACCTTAAAGGACTGTGTGCTGAAGTCTTCGTTGTAGATGAAGTAGATGAAGAAGTAGATGAAGAAGAAGCAGATCAAGAAGAATGAGAATAGAAAGTAGAAGTAGTAGTTGCAAGTAGAAGAGTAAGTATAAGAATTATAAGATGAAGAAGCGGTAGATGTAGAAGAGGTAGATGAAGAAGAGGTAGATGTAGAAGAGGTAGATGAAGAAGAGGTTAATGAGGAAGAAGTTAATGAAGAAGAAGTTGATGAAGAATGTGAATGGAAAGTAGAAGAAGTAGCAGCAGAGTAAGTAGAAGAGATAGAAGAAGACGAAGATGAAGAAGATGAAGATGATGAAAAAGAAGAAGAAGAAGAAGAAGACGAAGAAGAAGAGGTAAACGAAAAAAGAGAAGAAGAAGAAGAAGAAAGGAAATTTTCAGTTAAGACTTTTTTAATGTTTTCTACTTTTATTTCTGTCGTAAATTTCATAAATGATCTTTTAAAATCGTAGATATTTCAGTTAGGAGGGAACTTTGAATGAGACCCATTCTTCATTTGAATTTGAATAGAATCAGTCCCTCTTTGGTAGTGCGTAAACAAAGTATAAGAACTTAGAAATTGTCTAGAAAAATATTTTCAATGAGAGTACTAAGGAACTCTGACACCAGTTGGAAAGCTGGGGGCGAGGGCAAATCAAACACTCATTATCTAATATGCATTAGTATACCGAGCTGGCTTGATATTCATTAGTAAAAGCATTGAATGTATAAAAAGAAAAGGTCTCTTTTTCAGCTACAGAAAGCAGATAAACCCTGGCTCGGTAGATTTAACTAGCTGCAGCAAGGTTCATTGAACAAAGTATTTCGAGAATTATTTCGAGACAGGAACATTTCTTATTTATTAGTTGCGTAAGTAGGGTCAAAAACAGATGGCGATGGAAAAAACAGCCAAAAGAAGAAGCATGCTGAGAGTTAATAAGCATTGGTAGAAAGGGCATTCATAGAATGGAGAAAAATCTACCAGTTTACAATAAAACTTCTGACCAAAAGAATCGTTACGCTGACAGTGAGTCTTCATGCTTAGCAATAGGTGTGTTTGTTATCAATGGAGCTATTCAATATTGATTTCCTACGTTTAGGACATAATTATAAGCTGCTTAGGTAGTGTTTAACTCTGTAAGCTAACATGGTTTAGATATGGCGATCAACGAGCTTATATTGTCTGGCAGTACTCAACTGGTAGATATGGCTAGAATACAAACTGAAAGCTTTGTAAAACAATATATTGACGTTTAAGTTCTCCAGCCGAATAACCCAGATTCTTTTAAGCCTTGTAAATAACCAATGAGGCAGAAGATATAATGTGAAGAATATTTTTGCGTTGGCGTTGGTCCACACGATGACAGGCAAAACAAGCATGTTGGATTTTGTAGAAAATTCAAACGAAACAGTAATAAGATGTAGGTCAAAACGGTAAATTTCTCACAAGGATTTGTTGGGTGTGGATCAACTTTTGAATAGAATGAAATGTCAGGGCTAGAGATAAAGGATACAATAGATGGCAAACAAAAGGAAAAATGAAAAGATAGGCCTAAGAAGTGGCTCCTAAGATCCATTCATTTGACATATGGTATTTTGCATAGAGCTGGTGTTAGTAAATTCTAGCGTGGAGAAGGACTTTTTCGAAAGTTGTAAAAAATAGTGGAGTGGGGCTTGTAGGCGTCTGAACTTCTAACATAAGTATCTGAAAAATCATAGGTTTGAGCTGTGTATATGAAGATTTTAGCTTAGCCGTTCAGTGCTATGAAACTATTAAAAGCTGAAAAAAGAGCATTTTGAATCAAATGCTTCCTGAAAAACAAAGAATTCTTCCTCTAAAAAGATTTGCAATCGAAACTAAGATCTTCTAAGATCAATTATTCGTTGGTAAAATTGAAAGTGACTAAAAGGTTTCAACTTTTTTATAAAAGGTTCCTTTTCTAAATCTAAGATAGATATTGAATGTGAATATGTTATCAACATGATTTCATTTGTTGTTTATGCTTAAAACTATCCCTAGAATTAATTTTTGTAGACAAAGTTTTACAAATTTGCGACAAAGTTATACGAATTTGGGAAAATGAGAGGAAGAATTACTTGAAAACACAAACGCAAATCCCTCATTGCAGCTTGTTCGAAAATCATTATCAACTCAGTAAACAAATGCAGTTGTTTTGATGATGACGTCACTATGCACAACAGGAGAGCAGCATATGTGTGAACTGGGATTTCAAAATGAAGATAAAGAAAATCCACGAAACAAACTTACGATGAATCTTTAGGATGTTTCTTAAGCTCTTGCAACTTTGTCGCAGATTTGCGATCTCCGCTTTCGGCGCTCACGGCGAATCTTTTGTTACGCACAGCATTGACAGCAACGGCGAGAAATTTTGTTTTCGAATCCATCCGCGAAAAGTTCTGTAACTCAAGGTCTTTAAACTTTTTGGAAAGCGACAGTTTCGAGGCCTCTTCATTTTCTGAAATCGTCGCTGGGACGTTCGATTTTGCAGTCGCTTTTGTATCAATAACACACCGTAGTTGGTGAATCTCCTTTTGTAGTTGTGATATTTCGAGTTTCTGCTCCTCAATCACCTTTTCTTTCTCTTCGAGCAAAGAATTCCTCGCATCCAGCTCATCAAGCAACTTGGGATAATTCTGCTTTAATTGTGACAGCGTCATTTTCTCGCCATCGATGATTAAGCACTTCTTTGAGCTGGCTCCGTTGCCCATAATGTCGAACGGCATGCAGAATCTTCTGGTTGAGAATCAGCAAGGTTTGATTAATATCCAGTTTCAACAACTCTTGATTACACAATTCTTTCTCCTCAGCCAAGCCTCATCGGATCAAAACATAAACGAGATTTCATTACAAGCAAGCCAGAATTTAAAGCGATAAAGAATCTGCACACACGACCAGCTTTCAAACTTATGACCGAATTTTTAATACCCCTGGATCTTCTTTTAATAGAGTTATTTATAGCTTATTATTCCTGACCAGTCCATTCGGTTTACAGACATTCAGTGATTTTCCATGCCCATCCAAACTGTGCTTCTCAGATTGTTCTCTTTCCTGTTTGAATGAAAATCAAAACATGAATTAATAATAATAGTGAGCAGTAGTACAATAAGCAGTGAGATTTTCTAGCTTAAATATCATGCATCTTGTGTAAACAAAATTGCTTCCCGAGAGCTCATCTTGAGCCTAGAATTTTCCTTAAATAGAGATTAAATTTTTAAAGAGTTTGAATTTCGATGTTTTGATATTTTTGCCGTTAATTGTATGTTGTATTGCCTATGCTCTCGATTCAAACCAGCGGTTGACACAGAAGAACATTTCGTTTGACCAATCATGCGACAAACAGTAGAAAAGTAACCACATGTTTAACGATTAATAACAGGGGCGGATCCAGAAACTGAGGCAGGGCAAGTCATGCGAGGTCTTCATTAGAAAGCATAGTTTTGTAATAAGAAATTACCACAGCAATCGGCAGCATTGCCGCTCAATAACAGCCCACTGCAGAACATCATGATTTTCTGCTGCAAGGAAGGGGGTGGGGTAAGGATTAATTTACGTTTTGAATCCCTTTTAAGACGTTCTTGCTACTTCTTCCTTGCGGATCCAAATTACCGAATTTTAAGGTAGGTTTTCGAGTCATATCGAGCTGGTAATTCGCTTACAAATACTTCGTACATATTCTTGAAAAGTGATTGAAAAAAAATGAAGTGGTTGACCTATATCTAGATGGAATGGCGTGTCTGTTATCTGTTAAAGTTACAAAAATCCTTTGAGCAAGATGTTTACGAAATGGACAAAAAGATTTGCAAACTCGACAGATTTTCACTGGGTTTAATTGAAGTTATGGTGCTCGATAAAAGTTAATTTGTGCAAATGGTAACTGTGATATCACTCTTGTAGCATACATATTTCTTAAATAATCATAATGATGATGATGATAGTGATGATTGAGATAATGATAGGCGATAATGACGTCATTGGGACAATTTAATTAGGACCACTAAAATCAGCATGCCAAAACATAAGAAAATCTGATTTCAGCCAAAATTGTTCTGCTTCACGAAAGAAAATTGAAGCATTAATGCAAGATTTAAAATTAAGCATGATTTGCTACAAGTCAAGTTGATTCATAGCAAAGAATTAAAACTTTTTCTTTGAAATTAGGGGTGCTTCTTTACTCCAAGCACGGAACATTTTACCTCATGGGCCCCTTTCGATAGGCCTGCTCTAGCGTAAGGGTGAGGAATAAAAAGCGACGTAGTGTGTAATGCAAGAAAATTTTCCAACAATATGCCCATGAAAGAACTAAAATTTTGAATAATATATCGAAAACTTAATACCACATTATACATGCAGCTACAACTGGTTCCCAACTTCAACTAAATTTAGAATTCTTCGACATTTGATACCTTCAAAAAGAAAAGGGAAGGGCTTGTGAACAAAGCAAGATGTTAACAAGCAACATAGGATAAATACTAAGGTACAGAACAGGACCCTGAATCTAAACGGCTATCGAGGGAAAATCAGGGTTATACCTAGAAGTCCTAGAAGTCATTCAAGAAGACGGACAAGAGGTTACTACAAAATGACGTTCATTGAAGGGACAGCATTTTGGTGTGTATGAAAATGTATCTGAAAACACGACTTTATCATGTAGAGCAGCTGTTTGATTCTGTGTTGTCATAAATTAGCATTAACTGCCATGACACTATTTCAAAATCAGCTTACTTATAAGTAAAACAAATCCTAAAATCTTTTTTAGTCGTGAAGACGAAATGAGATATAAGTTGTTGCTTTTAAGGCTAATTGGATTAATATCGCTAATGTTATGAATCTTGCCTCTCATGGTCACCATCCTGATTTGTACGTGATGCGATTAGACCCATGGGTTGATAGCATTATTTCATTGTCAATAAAAACATTGTAGGGAAAGGTTTCGTCTGGTAACAATCTTCAGAAACTGTATCCCTAAGAATTATTTGTAGCTACATAGCATCCTGTTCCAAACGAAAGCAACCTAATAAATAGCTAAATGTCGAGAAAAAAGCTTTAAGAGAGAGATGTTATGATGTGATGTTGACATGTCTATCACATTGGCCTAGCACCAGTCAGTCATGGTGGCATCTAAAGAGACAGTAAAATATTCTCCGAGAAAAAAGGAATATGGTGGGAAATCCTCAAGTTGATCGGGATTGTTGTTGAAGAGGGAATCAATAAAAAGACAAGCATCTCAGTGGCAACATCAGTCTTTATGGAGTGGGTAAAAAAAAGTGCTGCCATAAGAATGTAAATATGTCATACTTTGCTTACTGGGAAAGTCAATCAAGGGGAAGGACCAGGGGGCATGAGGTAATAGCTTCCAAATTTTATCAAAATACGGATCATAGATAGTGATAGAATTGATAAAAATATCCTGGGAAGGGATATGCCCCATACCTCAAAATATGTTTGAAGAAAAATGAAATTGCTAGAAGAAAATTGAACTTAAGTAGTGCATAAACGGCGTTTACTCAAACATTTTCAGTGAGCTTCGTCCATAGCGACGCCTTTTCTTTGTCAGCAGTTGCTGCCTCCAGTAAAACTCGTGATGTCTATCGTAAGTATTTAAGGAGGGCTCATTCAAAGCTATATCTTGAATTTGCGCTTCAAAGAAAAAACCTTTGAGAACTTGACTTCCAATATCTATAAATCACGATAACAAAAAACCGATGGCATACTCCAGGGAATTTTAAACAAAACAAAATACACGTATTTTGGTATTTGCGATGTCATATTATGTCTAGCGAAATATGCTACCAACATTTAGCCAACAAAGTTATTAACTGAAAACTTATACTTTAAAGGAAAGTAATTACCCATGAATTGAAAAGAAATATGTAGATGGTCGAAATCATTCATAACTTCCACAAATCATTTACTCATAAGAGTCATCTTGAAATAACATAATTAGTTTCATATTTTTATGTCAGAAGCTTGCCTTCACAAATGCGTTGTTGAGATTCAAAACTTTGTCATTATACGTCAAAGACTTGTTGGCATAACGCTTTCGACCCAAACAATCTTACCAATTATTCACAATCAATTCCAAAAGTTTTTTATCTACCAACTTAAAATATGGAATGGACATATGGCCTTTTCCCTTCATTAAAAAAATTAACTTGGAACCTAGATGTGGAAATCAATAGCATTGAAATTAAAAATCTCTCACTAAAACAACGAGTGCTAAAAATTTCTGCAGCGCTAGGCATGGAATGGAAGAAGGAATACTGTTTGTCACCTCTAGTTTCTTTCAAAAAATATTAGTGTTTTGCAAAGGTGTTTTGTAATGACCCAGCTCTTATACTGCTGCGCTATCGTCTTACAAATCAAAGATAGTTCGCTCTATAGAAACAGCGAAAGATGAGATGGATTGATATCAGTTTTAACTTGAAGATTTAGAGTTCTGCATTGATTTATGGAGGTCTCCGTGCCAGTTTTCAACTCGTGTGGTGGCCTAAATCTTCTCTTTGGCTACGCATTTTGGTTTCCATCTAAAGGAATTACCAAAGAAATGTTGGTAAACCAACTTACCAGGCAAAGTTGATTTCTTGCTCGTCTGTCAATCACATCTGATGACGTTACATACGATTTTATCACTTTAACTAATTCATCAGTTAGCATTAGAATACGATAAATCGAGCTAGACACGAACAGTACTGAAAAAGAGTAAGTATTCACATGCTTCATACGTAAAAATTAGCATTTGACAAACGTTTTCAATGCAGCATTGAAAACGAAATGCTCCTGGTCAACTGCAAATAGGCCGGTTATTGTTTATGACAAATACTCACCTGCAACTCGTATAGAACATCAAGTCAATATACGTACACACCATAGAAACTTGCGAATACTGGCAATAATCAAACAATTCGTTCACATTATAAACCAAACCAAGAATTAATTAACAGCTGAACATTATTTGAACAGTTTTTGGGATTCTTCGTCAACGGTTCCAACAAGCTTCTGCGGGCTTATTACGGACCTGTTTGTTTGCTCCAATAAGCTTTTGTGACTAGCTCATTAGGGCTTTCTTGGATACCAAAATGAAAATGCAAGTAAGAGGAACATAAATTTGTATTTCAATGATCGAATCAAAAATCACAATGCAGATACTATTTTCAAATTTATTGTAACACGAAAAATCCTTGAAACATGCTTCAATACGAATGAAAATGCAATGTATTTCTTGCTGCTATTGAATGATTTCATGATTCCGAATAAAGGTATTAGGTAACGAAAAATTCCCGGCACTTTGTGACAAGTAAATTTTTGGTATAATTTGTAGCGATAAAAAAATCATCATGTAATTTTACTTCAATTGGGTGAAAGTTAACCCCCGTTTTCACTGACAATTTGACAATAATTTGCAATAGATCTCTCATTACAACATCTACTTTGATCGGAGGCCCACGCCAACAAATGTGTGCGCTTGACAAAGAGTAAAACTTATGTTTACTCACGCGTCCTGAGGCTATTGGCCGTTTCCAGGCAACTAATGCGCCATCATCGCGACAACGGCAAACAAGCTGAGTAAAGCAAAGCTCGTGTAAACCAAGTAGAAGATCTTTATAAAGTCATGAGGATTAAGTGGCCAAAGAAATCAATATAATTCAGTATGAAAAACCACAATGGATAGTAGCATGTCTTATCATATCGAAAATTCCTTGCAGCTCCTTTCCAATCGTAGTGGATAATGTAACCATGCGGTTATGGCACATTGTATACTGGCATTTTCTGGTACCATAAATGCGGCAAAAAGAACATAATAATTCTAAACCTACACGCTGTTCCTCGATCTGCATTCAAGAACTTTTCTGAGGCTTGGAAATATGTAGTTTTCATGAAATATGCCATGTTGACCAAGGACTACTTATAACTGCAGTCTGCTGCAAGTCTTATACTGTTTGTGTTAGTGCAATGTCGTCTCTCGGAGATTTGTTGGCTCTTTTCTAGCGCAAATGCAAGTTATATATAAGACTCTGTGTGCCTGAAACGACCACATACACTTTTCGAATAAGAACCTACAATGCCTGCCAAAAGTACTTGGACCACCCAGCCATTTACGCTGCATTTGATATCTTTCATTCCTTTCATGAAACAAAAATTACTACTTCCGCCTCCTTCCCCCAAAAACAAAGATGATAATTTAGAGAAATGTCATAAAAGAAGGGCAAAAGAAAGTGCTTCCTAAAATCCTAACCTGTTTGATAGTAAACCAACATTGTTCCGTGGGGGAGAGGGGGATGATTGATTCTGACCTTGAAAATTGACGTCAGTGTTCCAAGACTCTTGGTAGGCATTGTAGAACAGCTGGATTCTGAAAAAGCAGATCCCTTTTTGCGAGAATTAAGTGTACTTCAGGGAGGGTGCTTTTGGTTTTTTACATCCAAATCTGAGATATGAAAAATCATGTAAATAAACAGTACACTAAAAACTATAGACAAGATTCCTGGGACGCCGGGATGGGGGCAACCGCCACTGCCCTTTGATAGGAGGGGCAAGGGTGGCCAAAGTGCAATGATCAGAAAGATTCACATGACAAATCCAGTGAGGTAATTGACATTAAACCTGATAAAAGGTTTATTCACCGTTATTTCGTTGCCCCCTCTCCGCCTTTTAAAGTTGAAAATGATACGCTAAGAACTTTATATACCCGTTACAATCTAGCATACGGCGTTATAAGGTGCTAATCGTAACATTAATTTACGAGTGAATTGATTCACCAAATATTGTATGCATGAAAATGTGGGGGAAGTGTTTTGCAGGGATGTTTATGCATTCAAATGGGAGAGAAAGGTAAAGATTTGCTTGAGGCAGGCTTTTCTTTGCTCCCCTTCTCTCTTCTCGATTCAATGTTAACCCCCCTGCTTTACAATTGTATCTCAAACCCCAAACAACAAAACAACCAAACTTTAACAGACTCTTTGACCCCTCTTTTGCAAGGGTGTAAACAAGGAGGGGGGGTGGAGGTTCGGAACAAACCAGAAAAAGCGATTAAAGGGGATGGGCAGAGGAATGAAGAACGATTACATTTGTTTTCAAAGAAAGACGTAGATTTCAATATCACAGGGTGTTGCCCCTATTTCTGATAATATTTTAGGCGTGGCTGTTTATAATTTGCCCACTTTCAAGGAGCTGCGTAAGTACCCTGGTAGTTCGATTCGGAAGTATTGGTTTCAGTTCTATTTCTGTCAAGAACAGGGCTTTTAAACCAAAGCTTTTCAAATCCAAATTTGGATCAGGAACTTCTTACGAAGATTACAACATCTTAACAAAACGATTTGATGTGGTATTTCATGAGATCATACGACATCTAACACAATAGGACGGTTGTCCTTGAATGAGACTACAGCCTACCTTGACCTTAAATCGTATAGATATTCAGAATGTTTTGCACGATATGGCTGAATGCAGCTAGACTACTATGAACTGATAAAGGCAGTGAACACATTCAGTAGATCGACATGGAGTACAACCTAACAATTCTCTAAAACCTATGTTGTCAAGTTTTGGCAGGGTCATAATGGGGGTAAGAGTTTTGCTATTCTGTTCCGCCCTCCATACTGTTTTCTTGCAAGCAAAAAAAACATTTTTCTAGAAAGAACACTATTAGTTGATTTGGAATTTGTTTCTTAATTTGATAACATCATAATCTAGAAATAGTTTCTCAGAATTCTACAACACCTTCGACTCCCTCTAGAAGACTTTCTTAATTTGGTGAAAACGGCTAATGGAGTATGATGAACTGCTTCTTATAAAACCATACTAAATGTAATGACAAACCTGGAAGTTCAGGAAAGAGACGCTCTTCACTTACTTTAAAAATGCAAAGGCCTTCAAGTTTCGAACCTAGCTTTCTTCTCAAGCAGTGACGGATTTAAGGGGGGGCAACTGGGGGCAACTAGGGGCAGTTGCTTCTCCCTCAACGAGTTGAAGCAAGCCTGGCGCCCCTTTTTTAGAAATTATGCGCCCCTTTTGAAGAATGAGAATCAGATGAAAAAGGTTCTTGTTGGACCGATAGGTTGATTTGCTTCCTCAAAGATAACCTCAAAGTTATGTTGTTTACTCTGAACAGGTATCTGAAATTGTTGTATACAGCGTACTCTCGTAACCAATTTTTGAAAATTTTTCAGCGCCCCTACTACCAACTGCCCCTTCTTCAAATTTGCTCTGGATCCGCCCCTGTTCTCATGAATCTAGCGGAACAGCTAAACAACTAACATTTATCTGCATTTCAAGCTAGCGATTAGCCTTCTTTCGGAATAATCTACGTCAAGCTCGGCCATGTTTGTTGGTGATGGCCTTTGACGCGGTGTTTTTTGTTTACCGACAAATGCCCGGGGATTTAATCCTTTTTAGCTACAGTCAATGGAGTTTCGAAAACACCTTTATCAAAGGCAGAGTAAATTGCAATATTTATCGCTTTTTACACACTTTTTAACGTATAAATTTTATAGGAGTATCGCAGCTCACAATTTGTAAGATTTCAGAATTAATCGAGAATAACTGCTAGGCTCAAATTTCATCGGCAGCTTGATATTCTATTTATTGTGATTAAGTATTGTGAGCAAACAAGACAAGCTTGACGTTCACACAAAGTTTTAGGTATATGTGTCTGTTAATGTTAGCATATTATGCATATGAATAGGATCACGGTAATATATTTTAACAAAGTTTGATAAATTTTGAGGTAATAGCCCTGTGTATACTTCCTTTAAATGCCTTTAAAATGAAGGGGGCCTTTTCAGCAATACAAAAATGCGTTTTCCTTAATTAAAGATTAGAGCATTCACACCAGTACGGCACCAGATACAAAGTTTCTTAGGGCAGGATTTGAACAGAGCTATGGCAGAATGGTTTTGAATAATGGAAACAGAAGAAGTGCTATAAAGAGGAAATTAATTATTCTAAAGTCGCGCGGGTGGTTTCCAACGTTTACAAGTTTCTTTTGCCAGCTTATAACTTTTTATTTCCGTCTTGGGGAATGACGCAGCCTTTGGGACGTATTTAATTATCACACTTACGTCACAAACTTAAAAAGGCGAACCTGGCTGTTATGGATCAGGATGCCGGAACATCGAGATGTAAAGCAGAAATTTAAACGTTCGATAAACAATTTATTACAATAGAACATATTATTATTGTGGTCACGTTGTTTTGAAACCAAATTTAGAGGTTTTAAAAACGTTTCCGCATGGGTAATCAAAAAGAGAACAATTTGTTTAGAAACTGTACAGGCCCACCTCAATTAGGTTACTACAATGGTTACTAGCAATAACAACAACAAAAATTTTTAAACATAGGCAAAGAAAGCATTCTGAAAGTGGAGGTGGCAAATGTAGAAAAAAATGGGCTCTCCCTGAGCTGCAAATATACATTTTTCTGAAAAGTGGGGGCACGTGTTCCCTGTACCCCCAGCCTTCTATATCTAGGTTTTAAACCAACACAAACAGACCTACTAGGTGAAAAAGTAACCTACCTCAATACCCATCAGCTGCAGAAACAAATTTCAACCAAATACTATGTCCAAAAAACAATACAAATTAGAGAGTTGGAAAAACAATAGTGATCTTACCGGTTCGTTAATTAGCCTGGTTGGTTAGCGTCTCACTTCGCAGTAAGGTTACGACATCGACTGTTTACTCTTCAAGTAAACATATTCGTGACTAGCTTTGGCAAGTCAACTACTGTCCTGTGATATGTATGCCGATAGAGATACCAAAACCTCTTATCTCTTGTCTTCAAAATGTCGAAACCAGTGGAATTCACTTGATTGAATAGCTTACTGTCTGAATGAATAACTTAGACAGCGACAGAGTAAATTCTTGCCAATTACAATCCCTTGAAGGCTGTGAGTTTGCAGTTTCGTATAGCTTGCGGACAGGTTTAGACACAAATGACAGAAGCGCAACCTTACAGGCGTAGAAACATTGACAATACCCTAAACAAAAACGAGCATATCTTTTAAATCACTGTATAAACCAAATTGTTTATATTATGAAAAAGAACATTGGCAGGTCGTGGCCCGGGCCCTTTTAACTTCACAATATCAAAACAAACAAAAGCGGTTCTTGCCCAATGGGTGAATTGATGATTGTTCAGCCTCTGACCTCGATTGGCCGTCAAGCATACCACAGGCACAGAGTGCGGTCAAACAACGTGGGTTGGAGGCAGGGGCTGAGGCGAAAGTAGCTGATTAGGTAAGGAGCTGGCTAAAAACTTTTAATGCACAGAGAGACAAATACAATTCAGTGAATGGTTGGAAGTATTTTGGAGGAATTAGGAATTATTAGAAGACAATACTGAAGTATCCCAGTTTCTGTTCTGAAGTGGCACCAGGACCGTAAATCCTCGAATTGGCCCCATCACAGCCCCACCGAATAAGTTCTAACCCATGATGTAATGTAAGATATCAGATAAAGAAAATGTTACTTCCAACATTTCACCAACCAGCTATCTTGTGGTTTTATCCACTTACTAACGATTTTGCTTTCAAAGGAAAAACTTATTTAATGGTTATGTCACACTTCTACAGTCAGGTTGTAGTACTTTAAAAATAACTCTGGCACAAAATATGCAAGCAAAAGTAGAAATTTGTACTTTTCGGTATTAACAAGAAGGCTCATCCCCCTGTACACCCTAGCAATACAACCCTGTTCACACCTTACTGCCGAAAAGATTGGAGGATATTTTCAAGCTCCCAGGTATTATTTTCTCTACCTCAACCTCAGCTTTTTCTTCATTTATCCGTATATACCAGTTATATTTTTGATCAATTTTGAGACTCTTAGAAACTCTTACGAAAAAGAGTAGAGTAGGAATCACTGAAATCTTTCAATTTCTAATCTAGGGTTGGGCACTGAACTGTCTCCGACCTTAACCCAAACTTTTTTCTGTGAGATTATACACAACCGCATTGCTTTTATAAAAAAGGCAGAAGAGATTCTTTCAATAATTGGACGTTTGTGTGCAATACAAAGACAGATGATATCAGGTTATTGAGCCCACCTCCAACAATCGTCTTCTTTGTACCCTGCGCGCAGACTCGACTGGTTTTCCCAGAGATGAATTTAGTTGAATGGAAAATTTAGGGTTCAATCAACTTAAATTTTCCACTGAAGTTTTCAATTCACTAAATTTCTAATAAACTAGATTCATCTCTGGGAAAACCAGTCGAGTCTGCGCGCAGGCTATCTCCTTTGTGGACTCTTTTACTTTGCCAAAAACTTTCTTTCTGTAGTCTGCTTGGGCTCGGGCTACTGTACCAGAGCCAAATAAAACGTTCCTCCGGCTGTTCTACCGCTCCTTTCTTCTACTTCCGCGATCGAACTTTTATAGCTCTTGTACCCAGGGTTAGATACAGACCAGGGCCCGTGCCACGAATTTGAAAGTGGGGGGGGGGAGGGGGCAAGACTAAAAAGGTTGGGGGCCAAGGCTTCCTACCTCATTTACTGCAGCTTTTAAGACAATAGTATTATTATGAAAAAGTTAGTAAGGCACATAACACAAGTCTCAAATTAGTGCACTTATTTTAGAAAACACGAGCTTGCCTCGTTAAAAAATATTATGAAAAAATAACTGTTCAATTATCAGAAGGGAACATCCGCAACCATAGACCCCCTCTTGCTACATTACTGCGTTAGGATGTTTTCAGTTACCGGGTTCTTTACAAAAATAATTCAAATGAATGCATAAAAACACTTGCTTTTCAAGTGGCGACTCAATGTGTGACGGGTAAAACCCCTAATGAGACTTTTCTTAAGATTCATTGATATTCAAAAGTCGTTTTTACCATTATGTTTACAAGAAAATAAAATTAAAGGTTCGAGTAAAACAGGTCGTCCAAGAAACCGTGTAAACAAATAGCTCTGAATCAGCGATTTGGCATTTTCCTTCTAGGAAAGATCAATAACACTTTGATTATAATCCAACTTGCCGAAAGATGCAAAACTTAGGTCACAAATCAAGGGAAAACCAGGTAGAGGGAGAGTAATCAAGTAAAATCTAACTGGGGTGATTTTCACGAAACAGTAGAATAGAGAACTGACCTAGAGAATGATACAAGAACAGACCCTAAAAAGTAGTTACCTATAACAAAACTTTTTGAGCTCTCCTCTACCTATCTCCTACACTCTTTTTTTTATAAGAACAACTTTATAAGAACACGAGCCTCAAAACTGGTCGAAAGTTAAAAACAAATTAAGAACAAGCTGAGGCTGAGCTTCTGCAAAATGCAATTTTGAACAACGTTTTTTCTCAAAATCGAGGATTTTTAGCGATGTGTGGGTGCTTTTTCGGTGAATATTCAAATTCGTCAGCGAATTAAGGCTGTCTCACTCACTTTGTTGGCAAATGAAGCCTGAACACCTCCTTAGAGCGAAAAAGCTAGCAATAGCACTGCTTACACCATCTTAATTTAAGAACAAATTAATAACAATCCAGCCTCAGATTTTCGAAAAAATTAAGAACAGTCAGCCTGAACTTAAATTTACTGGTTCTTATAAAAAAAGAGTGCACTTTCTGAGTTATGCAAATCACTGTTTACCGACTTATTTAACGATGCCGAATGTAAATAGACATAGCTGTGCTAACTAACTTACAGCCTCATTTTGGAAAATTCTTCAAATTATTTGTACAAAATTTTTGACCTTAGATTCAGATTGAGAGCAAGAATTTTAGTCTGCTTGGAAGTTGCTTATGTTATTGCTGACGATATCGATTTTATGACGACATAGAAATAAAAATATCTTTAAAGGATTTGACCGCGATTGGCTACTATGTAAAAAACTGTGTCCGGCGATAAAACCAAATCTGAACTTGAAAAGTCGTACAATGAAGTTTCGAAAAATTCCCAAAACGTCCCAACATCCAAAGATTAAATGTTAACAATAAAAAGTAAACTTCAAAAATTTTTCATTTTCTCAAGTGACCAACGCCCTCTTAAGTCAGAATACTTCACAATGATATCTACACATGCAAATCAAAAGTCAACTTCCCAAGCAATTTTTGGGACCATGTCAGAGCAAAATTAAAGACTTGGAAAACAAGGGCTCTTTAAAATATTTATACTATTCGGCTTTAAAGCATAAAGCACAGAGGTGGCACCAGAAATCTTCCGACAGAGGGGCTGGAGCTTCCGACAGGGGGGCTAAAATGACTAAAATAAGCAGTTTTCGTACCTTATTTTGTCAAATTTGCTCCGACAATAACCTAAAATTTCCTCCGATGCTTCCGATGGAGGGGCTGTAGCCCCCCCAGCCCTCCCCTGGCGCCACCACTGATAAAGCATAACCAGTTTCACCCATGGGCTTGGTTATAGAGAAGCCCATTGGGGTTGAGCCAATGAAATAATCCCGAGATAAACCCATTAGGTCGCACGGTATTATTCCACAAATAGAAATAAAATCAAAATATTGTAGCTTGGCAATATTCTTTCAATTAGACGTATTGACGTTGGCAATATTCGGGTTGGATGAGACCAGGGTGTAAACTAAAATTTCTGCAAACCAAAATGAACTAAAAAGCTGGCTTGAGGTTCTGTTGCCTGGCAACATATTCTCTCGGCTTGTTACACATAGCTGTTCAAATTTGTTGAGCATGCATCGACAGCATTTATTTCGCAACATCATTTTTGAAGTTGGGCAGCTGTGGCTATGCAGCAGACATCAGCGGGTCCGTCCAATTTATTCATAGTTACGATTAACAAAAAAATTGACACTAAGTCAACCCCCCCCCCCCAAATACGCCCCATATAGAATTTCAAGTCCTGAAAATGGGGGAGGGATAGAAATACAAACACTTGCAGCATCTAATACCAAATTATTAGTAACCAAGTTCCCTTATCAGGTTAATTTCTAGCGCCTCCAACCTTTCTTAGTCGTTACATCTCTCAGACTTAGTCGTTACATCTCTCCAACAAATATTGATGAAAACGGCTGAAATAAAAACCACAAACTTATGATTACATCAATTTTCGGAGAATTTGCCTTACTGAAGTACCTATTTCACCTCTCATTTCTTACTGCTCCAGCTCTTACTGTTAGCCTTAACTAGTGCCTTAACTATTCTCAATACTAACAGTAAACTTATCATATACACCATACACTATACATCAACGTGTTTTCAATTTTATGGCCCACTAAAACCTTCAGATTTATAGCGAGTTCATTCATTGTTTATGATAGATTTTTTCCCAAGACAACTACAGATGCAACTTTTGAACCAGAAATCAACTTCACTTTAATGCCAAACAGAATGACTTTGCACATTCATGTGTTGACCATAGAAATGAAGAAAACCGAAAGTCGGCCCAAGCTTCTATTAACATTGCTATCGGTTACTTCATCAATCTGCTCCTCCGCTTTCCTCTCCTCTTTACCGTTGCTGTAGTATGCAGGCTAATACCACACTAAACCCAGGCTACAGAAATTGATTCCAAGCCCATGTTTGGCCTAGGCTCAATTTTAAGTTACGGTACGTGATGCTAGTAAACAATAGTGGCAAAAAACTCACTCGATTATCCAGCAATAGACAAGACAGGAGTACCATGTCCCAAAAGATTCCTCAAACTGATACCATACCATTTGAATCCAAAAGATACCATTTGAATCCACTAGAATCTCCGTATCTTTGCACTTTTCATTAGCCAAGTAAATTCGACGGTTCTGACGCTTCTGTTCATAATCTATTTAGGCCCAAATTCTCTGACTATGGAAAGCTATTTTCCCTTGTCGAAACATCTCATTCGGTGTATTTCAAAAAGATACATAATCCTTAGCACCAGAAACGAATAGAAATGATAAATAAGTCACCAAACAACGAGCCACAGTTTGTTTACCTTAAATACAAAAGACTTGAGGCTTTTTGTCAAAGAACTTTTAATTAGATGTAGGTTGTGATTTTCAAACTCAGTGTCTTTGGAAACTTGTTTGCTCTAATATTTGGCCGGTATGCATATCTCCACACAAGTTAATGAACTTCGGTGTTTAAAAAGCTGAAAAAAATATAAAAGTAATCGCCGCAAATTATCAGAAACGACTTTGCCAGCCAGGTATTAGTAAAATTAGGGATGCTGAAACCCTGACACCCCAGTCAAATATGGATGTCAAAGTACTGTGGGTACCCTCCGTCTCTCTGCTTCTCTCTTCTATTTCCGCCCTCGAATTTATGTGGCTCTGGAACCGACAGTAGGCATGTTCTTACTTTGTTCTTGATATTTTTGCAAATATAGCATCAGTGCTCTATAAAGTTCTTATTGAAAAAGAGTGTACCGTTGAGAAGGTCAGTAGGGAGGGCAGTAGGAAGGGCAGTAGGGAGGGCAGTAAGGAGGGCAATAGGGAGGGCAGTAAGGAGGGCAATAGGGAGGGCAGTTGAGAACACAGTGTCTGATCATTGCAGCATAGCGATGTGGCTCTGGAACCGAAAGGACAGTGGAAAGCCCTACCGTTTTCGATCCACTCTGGCACGAAGGCTCTGGTACCCAGGGTACTCTTCTTACAAAAATCTATAGAGACTGGAAGAGAAAACAGCATGGCTATCAGAGGCAAGACAGATCGATATTACCAACAGCAGATTATAAAATGAGGAGAGCGGTTTTCCTTTAAATATTGGGGGCAGGAAAAATTGAGGAGTAGGAGCACCCTCTAGCTTAATTGCTGATTGAAAATGAGCAATCTCCGATAAGATGCGAACACTTCAAAATATTTCCTTCAAAATAAAAAGCATGGTTGCAGAGTTGGCTACTATCATAACTATCCGATAGAAAACAAATTAACTGTGTTGAAAATTAAAATAATCACGAATAGCATTGTTTGTAATCGGAACGGATTAAAGACTAGGCCCATCTTGCCGATTCTCCTACATTTTAGTCCCTAGTTTCCATACAATCTACTACTGCTCGCCTTATCTTGGTAATTGATAAGAAAAATAAGCTGTTCAAATCAAAACAAGGCACTCGACTCCAGTAAAATTTGAATTTACAATTGTGTTGGAAATATAAATTAAAGGAAATAAAAAAGATTGACTGAATTTCAGTCCTACTCTTTTTTGGCGGAAAAAGGCAGTTACCAAAGGCCCCAAGATGCACCCCCAGACAAGAAGATATCGGTAAAACAGCCGTGTTACACCATAGACTATGGTTACAAATTAACTATTTCATATATACGATTAACATGAATTCTTAGGCTAACCTCTAAATTCACAATTGTACAATAAGTAATTTTGCTTACATATTTTGATTATAGTAATTTTGCTTTCTGATTTGATGCGTTTGTTTGTAGATATTTCGTGTATGTCATTCAATAAATGCATATGGATAGACCTATTCACCTCTTGACCATAATGACCTATACCTCTAGGCCCTAGGCCCCTAGGCCATCTAAAGTTCCCGGCCCCATGTGATCGATATCCAAACCTTTTGCCACAGCAAAATAAACCGATAAATACGGGCATCTTCGCATAAATAATCCCGTATGATCGCATTTAAAACAGTAAGATTAGATTTATTTAATTAAACCTGTGTTTATACAAATTGAGATTAAATTCGTCCTGTTGACAAAATCACAGAAACGTAGACCTAAGCGCAAGGTTGGAGAACCCAAAATAAACGTTCCTAAACTATCCTTTGCTCCATCTTGCAAAAAAACCAGTTGTGCTGAATTTTAATATTTAGGTGCAAGTTATGCAAAAGCCTTGAAGCTGTTTGTTTGTGTTGTAAGTACATCAAAAGTAACTGTGTTTAACCACATTTACCTTGAAATACACAGTAAAATATATGGTATATTATGTTAAGCCATAAACTATATAATCTCGAGCCCTAAACCTACAGGAGCATCTAGGCCTAGTCTTTTTTGAAAATCAAAACAACTTGAATTATTCAACTATTCAACTACACGATTTGCACAATTATCAATGGAATCTCAAAGAATCACTCTGATTGTTTGACTTTCGATAAACAATTTCAAACCTCACTGTTTTTCGTTCTCTTTTTCCAAGGTTTCTTGGTCTTCCGGGTATCTGCCACGAACAATTGTGTTTAGCAGATGACCAACCTAGAAGACACGATAGAAAATGAATAGCATGAGCTCCATAACAAGATCCTGTGGAACAACATTTGAGTTTTGTGTAATCAACGCGACAGAAAATAAAGAAATTCAATCATATCGCTTTTTTTTCTGAAGCAAGGCAAAAATAAACGATACTGTACCATTGGTAAGGGAAAACATAAAATGTAAAAAAAAAGATGCAAAGGAAAAAGAGCACAATGATAAAAAGAATTAAGAGATAATGAATATATGTGAGGCTGGATGAATCAGCAATGAAAGCGACGAAAAAGCGACAAGAGCGGAAGAAGATCATCTTGAAAGGGATGACACAGATGGGAAGCCAACATTTTTGTATTTGTTACAACCCCCTGCAAAAGGTAGGCTTAAGGACACTTCGAGCAGTGCCCTGGTCCTGTCAATGTGACCACACCTTGTGATTCATACGCCGGGGGTTTACAGAGAGCTAGTGAGTCTTCTTATTTCAAATGAAAGTTTGGCCATTTCACTGGGTCGAACAACAGCGGGACCCAAAATATTGAGCCATTCTCACTCCTAAGCTAATATTGAGCCATCTTCACACGTTAGTCAAAAGGAAGGTGCAAATGTGGAAAGACAGAAGCAAAAAAAGCTTGAACACCAATATCCAGATAAATATGACATTCACGAGAAGGCATGTAGATTTGGTGAACAGATGAAACCTACTGGGGCAAATACTATTTATGAAAACTGATATCTCAAATGACAGAATACTAGATGTACCATTCCAGACCTTTTTTTAGTCAGTGATGTTTGGAAAGTCCAGGATCCTATAGCAAAGTCTTAACAAGGGAAAGGAGAGGGTAGTTCTGAAGAGTGGGAGAAAAATCAAGCTTATGATTAAAGACAGCTGTTGACCTTCAAAGCCCCAAAACAAGGCTAGTTACTTTAAATTTATTTCAAAATACGATTTTACAAAATATTGGATTTTCATCGTCGTTTTGCGTTGTTCCTGTCCATTGATATTAATCAAAACTCATTGCAAGATTCACAGAGTCCAGTAAACAGCCTATCCTGCCTATCTTTCTCTTTTATATACTCTAGTTTTGGTTTCATATTACTGTGTAAGAAAACATCATGAATCTGAAAGATGCTGTACCTCATCTGGGTCTCCTAGTGCTTCACCAAGAAGCTTTTCAATATTTCGCATTACTGCAACTTTCTGATCCATCTTCAAGGGAAACTTAATTTCCTTTGATGATGTAGAAGCTGTCTAAAGACAAAAAAAGGCTCAGTACAAAATTTGTCACCTGACGCAGAGGTTCTTTGTTAAAAAAACAATATATTTTATTATGACAATCTTCTTAGGTCATAGCTAAAATGCATCTGGCACTGTTGAAAATTTAAGTATGTTTACCACTTTTTGTTTGGATGATTCCAGTGTGAGTAAAAGAGATTAATTTGGTAGGCCAGGCCTCTAACCTAAAGCAAAACCATTATAACAACTTGATAGCTTACCTTGTACCAGAAGTTAATGGAAAGGGTTTCTCCTTCATCTAAAACAGACTCTATGTAATGCCACCTAAAATAGTATAAACATGTATAAAAAATGGATAACTGACAATTTGGCTCTAGGGCGAAACAAAGTATTTATAATTTCTTATACCAAAACCATAATTATAACAATTATATTTAATTTAAAATTGATAGAAACCATAAAGCAATTAGCTAACTGTCAGGTCAGTTTATATCCTTTATTCTACTTTTTACTATTCATTTCACTAAAGTCAATTGTGAAACATAATTCTAAATTTAAATTATATAAAGAATTTGATAGAATATACAAAACTTATCATACATAATTTACAGCTGCAACTAAACAAAATGAATTTCTTCATATTGATTTTGAAAATCTTCTATCATCAGGACTCTGTAATTTATATCTGCCATAATTTTTGGCCAAAAAAGCAGATAGTATCACCTTTGGAGAACCTTTAAGGTTAGGTAACTGACAGTTTTATATGTAATAATTCAAAACCAGAAGGAGTTTTGCATGATTTATCTTTTTTTTGTGGCAAGCTGTCCTATTAGCATATTCCACTTTTAAATCCCAACTTTATATTTTAAGGATAATGCTAAAGGCTATTTTTTAGATTTATTACATATATGTAAAATCCGGACAAAGTCAGCAATAAGCTGTCAAATAGGGATGAACATTTCAAATATTGGGGGCAAGCCTATTGTTTTGATAAGATGAGGTCACAGTTTCCCATTGTTTTAAAACAAAAGACCATTGTCCTTCAAAATACTTAAGGGGGGCAACTGCTCCCTCACCCAAGGTGTCTTCCACTGCTATCAAAATCATCAAGGACATACTGTCTTTAAATAGCAAATATGTGGGGGCTGTCACTCCAAAACCAATCACTGAAATTTCAACCTGATATCATCTAAAAACAAAAGATTAATTAAATTTGATAGTTGCTAATTACCAATAGACAGGTATGTAGAGAACATCCCCAGGACCAACTATAGCTTCCCTGCCAAGAGCTTTTCTGAATAATGGAAAACGTTTATAGTCTGGGTTGTCAAAATCCACCTACAAAAAAGTTTCTACTTAAAGAATACTGAAGGTAAAGAATTCTTCAAAAGTTCATTGAAAATATGTACCTTGGATAAACATATTCTTCTAAAACTATCGAAGACAATTCAACAGTTATCTGAAGTATTAAGCAGGAAACTAGGTGTAGCAACCTACAACTATCCTGTTCTATATCATAAAAATCCAACTACTGAGGTGAATTGTATGAATCATATTAAAATGGTGGGAATGTATAGTTGTCCCAACCATCTACAAGTTCCAGGGCCATCACCAGCTATTGTGCACCCGATCAGTGTCCCAATCCCATTTGCTGACAAAGTGGGTGAAAAATCTCAAAGTAAAATCACACAGTCTTATCACAAGTATGTCAAAGATTCTAGGGCTCTTTATCAAATAACCTTATTGATGTCTGCAATGGTAGTCTAAGAGTTTAAGCTTTCCACCTACCTGGCTCTGTCTGTCACAAGGATGATGGTAGGGAAAAGGGTATAAGCATCTAAACTGGCTTGGAGGGAATAAAATGCATCTTTTGTAGCCCTTTGCTTGGGCAAAGAAGTTCTCTTGCTCATCATAGTGGACAGGGGTAATGTTTCCTGGCTGTCCAACTAATAATAGGTTTGATGTCAATGGACCCCAGTTATTTTTCTGTTGTTGTTCAGACAACCATTGCCAATTAAATCCAATGAAATCAGAAACAACCTTCTCCTTCACGGTGTTATTAAGCATTTGCTGCAAATACAATCTCTTGTCTCCATTTTCCCAAGATTCAACGAGCTTGTAGAAGTTACTAAAATCAAGTAAATGTTTTTCAGTTGGTGGTTTGAAATTCTCATATTTTCCAATACATCGCTTTTCATCATAATACATAAATTTTCCATTGCTGGAAAAGAAAACTGTATTTTCTCCATCTCCAATATTTTCGGCCAAATATGAGAGATCCCATTTAAGAGCTGGCTGTATCAAATTTGAATCTGTTAGAACAACTGGCTCCTAGAAATAGAATTCAAAGCAAAACAAACTCATTTATATAATATTAAAAATTCTAAGAAAATACAGTTATCTTACATCAGACAAAAGGAGAAAGCATAGTAAAATTTTACTAGCATGAGCAAAATACTTTGGCATGATTAAAAACGGCTATTGTTGCATCTTTTTTATCCGGGCTGCCCCCCCCCCCCCCACCATCCCCTCAAAAAAAGTTGCATATCTGCCTTTGCAAAATGCATTTCAATTTCAAAAATATACATCAGTGAGTGCCCAAATTTAAAACATGCAGACCTACCAAGTCACACGCATTCTGCGTGAGACACATGCATTTTGAACCTTTCTCACGCTCACACGCATCAAAACAGAATTCTCATGCATTTTGCAACAATTTTTTTGGTTTATTTAAAATTTTAAATTTCATTCCAAATCCTAGCAAAATCCCTCTTTCCTATGTTAGCACGATAACAATGGCTAGATAACAGCGAATCTGTACAAGTTATAAGCGATGTTACATTTATTGGCAAGCCTACACAAATAGCAGGTATAAGCTTTTTTGTGACTATGATACATTACGAATTGATTGGAATTTTACTGAAGGAGCATAATATTCCTTTAGTTAGAGTTTCACTATTGCAAAATGCAATTGGAGCGGTCAGAGCGGAATTGCTTTTTATCAAGAATGATACATAATTAGGGTAGCAGTTACACTACAACGCTCCGCTTGCTCGTACGCCTGCATTACTTCCTCTGAATTCCTGGTCAACAGTGCTGTGGTTTACACTAATTTGCACAGCGCAAGTGCACCAGATTAATTTTTTTTCATGATTATGCACTGTTATAAATTCTTTCTCGATAAAAACTGAATAGAGTTACAAAAATGAAGCCCCCTCAATCCCCCCATTTCTGCTCAAAAAGGGTGCTTCCAAAGAACTAGAGGCCGTGGCAAAAGAAAGGTTTCTGGGGCTTGGCCCCTGGACCCTGCCTTTGGTTGTGTGGCAGTCAGGATTCGCTCTGGATCGGTTAAGATCCTTATGACGACCAAACATTTAAAAATTAACCTTCCTTTTAAAAAAACTCACTCATTTTGAAAATTGAAACTTGACAGGTCTGAACATGTGATTTAGAAGGAAGAAAAAATCAATTTCTGAAGTACTCCCATGAAAATGTAAGTCAAGATGATGGATAAAAAAGTATGAAACAAGGTAAAGGTGAAAGGGAAGACCTAGCAAATACGCCATTGAAAAGTCTAAATGGGCTCCAAGAATTCAATAATGCCAAAAATAAAGCATTTCATGCTTGAAGCTATTTTTCACAAAGCAAACACTCTAAAAATTCTACTATTTTTAAATTCTGAGTTTTTAGCAAACAATTTCAAAATCAAAACAATTCAGAATAAAAGATTTAATGTTTTAAAAACACTTTGGTTTCCAAAGACATTCATTCGGTTTATCTCTAGACATATTCAGTCCTTTTTTAAAGCCGCCCAGTTCCTCTTTTGCTGAATTAACCGATCATGAGCAAAACAACAACAGTACCGGAAAAATAAAAGATATACTCACCTGGTTAGCAATATGCTCGATCGCTGTTGGATCATTAAAATTTAGCCTTGGTATTTCTGACGATTTGATGCAGTATTTTCGCACTTTGTGACCATCAAGGAAACAATATTCTACATTTGGGTTCGGAACAACATCCATGTTTTATCCTTCTATCAGCTTACTACTCCATCAAATCTGTCCCTGCTCATGCAAATTATCATGTTTCATTATTCAGCATTCGAGCCCGACATTGACAAAATTATCGGCAATTATGAAAAGGCCTCACTTTGAACAACAAAGGAACCGACGACAGTTGCCCTATTCTGTGACCCAGTACTGAGAGTAAGTGAGGGAAAAAGCCAGAACAATCGTGCATTAAATGATAAAAACATAAAAATTGGCCTATTTATAGATTTTGACATGCTGAAAACGATGAGATCAGGACCCCAACTGTAAAGAACCCCAAAGTGCGATTTGTAGCCGATGGTACTCGGACCCAGTCCTTAAAGCATAAAAAGTTGTAGATGTGTATAATCAGACAAGTAAACACAATAATATTGATATCTAAAATTGTCCCCAAATTCTATTTTTAGATGGGGCTTTTGGTCCCAGAACTCCAAGAAAGATGCTGATTATTTTTCTGCCATACCCGGCAAAGAAATACGAAAAATACTATGACTATGCTCCATATAACGATAAAAGTAATCATTCATTCCAGGTAGCTTCTACGTGATCCGTAGGTTGCTAACCATGGTCCTCCAACAAACCCCGTCACTACACCTACTTTTCAGGATACCAAAGTAATCGCATCTTTTAAATTGCCCCACGAACTTTTTTGAAAGGGGTACTTGGACCTAGACCTCTACAAACGGTCCAATTTTTATCAAGCACAACAATTTCATTGTCCCAGAGGAGTTTGTTCAAATCCTCAAATCAGAACTCATTCGGCATTCAGTACAATTTAACTCGTTCTACTTGTTTCCTTGAATGTATATTGTGATAATTTCAATTACCAATGTACGATTTTTCTGTTACACTGTCTTATTTTCTTGTAGTTTAGCTATTTTGTTTGTTGAATTATTGCGATGAATTGTATGTAGTGGTTGAATTGAAAAAAATTGAAACTGAACTGAAGTGAACAGAACAAAGTGTGCAACTTCCAATTCAAACTTCAAAATCTTTAACACTCTTCAAAAATTGTCTGGCTAAAGTATCTTCAAAGTGAAAGAAAAGTACAGTGGTTGATTTTAAAAGCACTTGGATATTCAAAAAGTATTTGCGGTCAACAGTGGCCCAAGAAAGAGTGATTGGTGCGTCAACTCTTTCGTATGAGTGCAAAGAGGCAAGGTTGAATAGACAATTTTGCCAGAATGAATGTCTGTATATCTAAACATGTCCTTTCACTTTGAGCATTTGCCTGAGATTAAACTTTTTTCTTGTTTTTACTATCTGAAGTTGTTTTGTTCCTTGTTTTTCCTTCAATTTAATCGAGTAAATTGCTTTTCGCGCTGATTTTCCTAAGCAAAATATTCCTAAGGACCCTACACTGATCGGTCTATTTAAAGCATCTGGTTATCAATTATTGAAAATGTACCATGCTTCAAATTGGGCCACGTGGTAGCTTAGGCGAGGTCTGCCACTGCACCTTTTTATGATTCGGTTGCCGCCTCCGACTTTTTCTAAAACGACATAGAGGCCGCCTAATGGTGATTCCAACCATTACATGCATAATTAAGTTAAAAATAATAAAAAAATTCTTTTTTTATGATGATGATTAAAGGATGACGATAAGTACATTTAATTAACGGTCTTGCATAGCAGTAGGTAACTGTTTCGTATATAAATAAGTGGAAAGTAGTATGCCGGGCTGTATATCACTGTATTTTCCCTGTATATCAGTGTATTTTCCCTGTATATCGGTGTATTTTCCCTGTATATCAGTGTATTTTCCCTGTATATCAGTGTATTTTCCCTGTATATCAGTGTATTTTCCCTGTATATCGGTGTATTTTCCCTGTATATCAGTGTATTTTCCCTGTATATCAGTGTATTTTCCCTGTATATCAGTGTATTTTCCCTGTATATCAGTGTATCTCCCCTGTATATCAGTGTTTTTTCCCTGTTTACCCGGGCGAAATATCAACATATTTCAAATATAAAATTTTAGGATCCTACTGCACAACATTGGATTCTCGTCGTCGTTTTGCTCTGTTCCTGACTATCACCTTGATATAATTACTCATGACAAGATTCGCAGAATCCGTTGGACTGCCTATCCTGCGTTTCTTCCTTCTTACATATAAATAAGTTGGCGGTTTTATGCTAAGTTCATAGCAAGTATGAATGCACAAAAGGAGCCAGCCTCTCCTAAGTGAACATATGGGTCTACCATTTACAAAAATTTTCCAAACTTTTAAATACGATAATTATGTATCGGGGGTCTTTACATACCAGGATATGACTTTTTTAGGGAAAATTTTTTCAGAACTTTTCTCTCAGACACAAAAGAATTTATATCTGACATGGACAGGAACATCGACAGGTGAAACAAACTTCGTAAATACTAAAAATTTAGATAGTAAATAAAAATTCTACCGACAAAATATACATTCAGAGTTTTAATACAAAGATCGTTTTTACCACTAAAGTCAAGTACAACAGGAATTGTCTAGTTTCCATACTGCTCGACCTGACAGTCATAAATAAGCATGATTAATAGTCATAAATTAGTATGATTAATTATTTCAAGTAGAGGGTTAGGGTTAGGGTTAGGGTTAGGGTTAGGGTTAGGGTTAGGGTCAGGGTCAGGGTCAGGGTCAGGGTCAGGCTTAGGGTTAGGTTTAGGGTAAACTAATTACGTCATCAGGTCGAGCAGTATGGAAACTAGACAGCTCCAGTACAACAACAATCCGCAAGACCACATTACTGGCGTTTTTGCTTTGCCTCTTCTCAAAAATGAGGCTGGAGGTACACGCTTCTACTCCTCGTTGTGAACAAAACCAAAACTAAAATGCTTCTTGATAACCAACGGACGTGACAGAGCAGATATTGTAGCTCGGCAAGTAAATAAATGCCACATATAAAGAAACATAGAGAAACACCAACCAACAATAACCTAAATCAGTTCATTTGAATTCTTGTTGATCTACACAGTTAATGCAGAACTCTAAACAGATCATGCAAAATTTTCCCTCCTTAAGCCTCAATATTGCCTCCCTCCCCCTACATAAAACGATTTAGTCGACTAAAGATAGTAAACAGAACCCTATGGTTGATTTGTTTCAAAACTGCCAAAACTTTCACAATGGAAAACAAACCGAATAGCTTTGAAATACGATTATTAGAGAGGCTGTAGCTACGATATCTATTTATAAAGTGAAGTCCACCTTGAAAATATGAAGAAACAGCGAAGGAATATAGAAAGGTATGATAGCAACGTCTAAACAAACCTTTACAAATCTGCATGCACAACTCTAAAGACACACAACTAGTGTTCTACGTGGCTATTTTCTATAAATAAGCATAGGACAAACAATGGCACATGGCAAAAACAATGACAGATTTGTATAAAAGAATTTATATGGGGTTGATTGATATACAAAATAACAAAACATTCATCAACAAAAAAATACTAAATTCTCAATAAATGCATCTACATTTCACAACTGGTTGTAGCTTTCAATAAGATGATTCGCGACCAGGAGTGGCGAGGACAATAATATCATCTAGAAAAACAAAGTTGGCTTCAATTTTGGCTACATATAAATGGTTGCAAGTAAAAAAGCTGAACTAAAGAATACTAGATTAACTATAAAATTGACAAATAACAAAGGCCTTTTTATTCACATAGAATTCAAATATTTATAGACATTGATGAAGAAGGCTTAACAAAATAAATCTTTGTAGGGAGGTGTCAGAAGCAACTTTAAGTATTATAACCACTAACATCACCAACAGCCGTAGTTGCAGCATTTGTGAACGCGAAAACAAAATTGATACCCTCGGTGCCAGAGTCTCCATTATTCATTCTCAGAAATAAAGTTCGAAACTAGTAACATAAATCACTTTATCCCCGGATCATGGGGCTCAGGTATACAGGGCCAGTGGCGTCGCCAGCTCGAAGAAAAATGGGGTGGACAAAATTTTCTCGGCCACGCCCTTCAGACTCTAGGAAAAATCTTTTTTTTTTAAATTTGTATCCATTTTGAAATTTTTTGGACAAGCAATTTTCTCAAGCAGAATTTTTCGTAACGGTGGCTTTTTCGCCAGTGCCAAAATTGAAATCGATCTGATCAGCCTCAAAACTCAAGGTTTTGCTCAAAATGAGTTTTTTTTGGGGGGGGGGGGGTTGTTTCAGTGAAATCTTCAGCCAAATGAAAATATAAAATTTTTTGGTAATGAATATGTAGAAAAATTTGAAAATGGCACGAAATGGCGGAAACATTGCATACTGAAGCACTTTTCGTCCGACACATTGCAGAGAATGAACTTCGGATAATGGATAGCCGAAAGTAAGCAGAAAATAAATATCCAGGTGTGGATCGAAAATAAAATGAAAGGAAGCAATACGCTTTTTGAATTTCTAGAATAGAAGGATCAAGACAAACCTGGAATAACTGACACGCTATTCTTTTGGTTGCCACTTTCATCAACATATGAGCTGTATTCAAGAGATCCCTGGACGAGCACTCGAGATCTGAAAATTGTATAAAACGTCATTAACACTAAACATCGCGAATACCATGATGGAATCAATTGTTGAGATAAATCCAAGGAATAACAATTTTCATTATATTTGATCTAATGAAGCTAAGAAAAGAATTTGCTGAAGGTTTTGAAACACTGACACCAATTCCAAACGCATTTTTCAAAGTCGTCCTTTTTGCAGAGGAAACTCTGTAATTTAACACTGCCTTTAGATTTTAATTATATCATTTTATTGCAGATGCATAATATTTAACAAAGCTATCTATGTTTTTTTGGAGGGGAGGGGGATAGGATGAAAGGGTACAACAGTAGCGGTGATCCTTATTACGGTCTTATTAAGTTATCGAATACGCTCCAGGGGCTTATTTCACAAATAAATCTTTGGGGTGGGGGCCTTTTTCAAGGAGGGGGCAGCTTATTAGGGAACAGCCAAAAATATTACGAGGGTAAATTTTCCTCCTCTATTTGAGGATGATCATTATGGTTATAAATGCAAATTTATTAGGATAAACCTTTTGCTGACGGGGCAATACATCAGCTCATGGGGGCTTATTCGAGAGTGGGGGCCTACTTCATAAAAATTACTATAGGGTGGGGGCTTTTCTAAGGGGAGAGGGGCTCATTCGAAGATGAGGCTTATTTGAGGACTTGCTGTAAAAATGAAAGCACGAATGTGCAGTAGGTTTCAAGGAGTCCTGGCAGACCCTCAACATAAAGCGCGAATACACTGAGATGTTCTAGGAATTATGGAAGTAAGCAAATAACAAATCAAGATCTTGAGAAAAGCAGTCAGAACATCTGAAAAATCAGATTCAAAAAGCTGATTCTAAACTAGATAGACAAAGCAGCGATCTGATAACAGATAAGAAAGAACCAAACATGAATTGATTAAAAAAATAGAATGGTTTATGGGTTCTAAAGAGTGGCTATGGCTTCAAAAGTTCAAAAGAAAGGACACTCTTAGGATGGAAATTAGGACATTTCTTTCAGCTTATGTTGATGCAAAACTAACAAGAGTGTCTGCAGTTTTATGTTTGTTTGCTGTGGATTGCAGCTTTTGTTATTTTTAGACAATTTGTGGCTTTTGGTGTCTCTATTATTGGTCCCCACAAAAAAGATAACAAGTCACAATACACCACCAAAATGGAACAAGATTAAATCATGAAATAACAAAAAAAGGAAAAAGAATCAAAAAAGATATCTACCCTTTCTTTACATAATTTTCAACCTTTTCTTGAAGATAAGGTCTGAATACAGCAATGTTGTGCCATGAAGTCTTGCTTTCCAGTCCACCTAAGGGGTTAAGCTAATTTTCTAAGCATATTTCAACTTACAAATCTATAGTCATCATCAAACAAAAAATAATGTTATAATTTCATACAGTCAAAGTTTTGTAATAAAGCTCAATTAAAACACTGGAAAGCACAACAGTAAAATATAAATGTGTGATTGAAGAAAAGGCCACTGTAGCAGGCTGCGCTGATGAAGCCCCGTATGCCGGGGCAAAATATTAGCCTTTACATATTTACATGTTTTTATTGTTTTTTATTCTTGGCGTATTGCGGTGTTTCATATTTGCTACAGTAAAATATAAGCAGGCTTCGACTAGTAATAATCTGCAGTATTCGTGTTTTCACAGATGCTAAAATGGTCAGATAAGATGGGATCTGCAAGATACAAAAATGGCCAGTTCCATTGTATCTTATGAAGATCAATGTTCCTTTAGAAAGTGACATTTTGGTTAAAACATCTCAAAGGTGTTTGCTAAATACTAAACAGGTAAGGATCTATAAAAGAATGCAAACCTGGTGAAGCAAATCCTTGTTCACCTGAAGGCTGGTAATAGACAGTTGTTGCCATTGAAAACTGGACAACTTTCCTTGACCTTCCAGCCACTTTTGGGTCCTGTCCAACTCTACCAAGAAGCTGAACACTATTTAAACCTATAAAAAAAGGTTATTAAAAAAGGTAATAGAAAGAAATAAATAAATAAAGAAAGAAAGAAGGAAGTAAGGAAGAGAGGAAGTAAGGCAGGGAAGAAAGGAAGGAAGGAAGGAAAGAAGGAAGGTATGGAGGAAGAAAGGGAGGGTTGAAGGTAGGGAGGAAGAAAGGGAGGGTTGAAGGAAGGAAGGGAAGAAGGAAGGAAGGGAAGAAGGAAGGAAGAAAGGAAGGGAGGAATGAAGGAAGGAAGGAAGGAAGGGAAGAAGGAAGGAAGAAAGGAAGGGAGGAATGAAGCAAGGAAGGAAGGAAGGTAGGAAGGGAAGAAGGAAGGAAGAAAGGAAGGGATGAATGAAGGAAGGAAGGAAGGAAGGTAGGAGGGAAGGAAAGAAAGAATGATAGGAAAGAGGGAATGAAGGAAGAAAGGAAACATACATTTTTCTGTTTGGGCTGGAGAGCTGGCACTCATTGGAGATCTTGAGGCACTGCGTCCATAAGTCGCTTTGCTTCTTACCAAGCAATTGGCTGCCTATAAAAGAGAAATATATGACAATGAAAAAAAAGAGGAGCAACTATATAGGGCTACCACTATCTGAACTAAGCAGTCATACTTTGATAATGGATCTTCACAATTTCATCTTAAGGAGACACTATTTTAGAAGCTGCAGATAAAGTGAATGACTTTTGGAAGATACCTTGTTACTTCTGAGAAGTGATTTTGATAAAAACCATTTTACAGAAAAATAATTATCATTGGACATTGGTTTGGATTAAAAAAATTAAGCAATATTTTAGAAATCAGCAGTGACTCAAATAAGGAGATGCCTTTAATTTTGACATGCGTATAGCCTAATTGTAAAAATCAAGTTCCATATAAACTGTAATTCTTGGTGTTTTCTTTCCAATCACTTGATGAAACATTAACTTTATTGATTAAGACAAGTAATACTTGATAGTTTATAAAAATTGATAGTTTTTAGGGCTGTAAAGAGATATCGAGTTAGCCTTTAAGTGGTGTTACATTTTTCTTTGTTGTGCAGAGCAAAGTAAAAAACAACAAGAAGGTCTTGCATGTGTAAAAATTGATGAGAAGAACTAGGGAAGCTCTTGCAAACAATTCTAAACAACAACAGCAAGAAAAACTTTTTTAAATTTCAGGATCAACAAGGCTCTACCCAAAGCTTCCTTGTATAACAACTTTTGTGTAAAATCTATTATCAATATGTCTAAAAAAAAATTCCTTTTCTGTCAAGGTCTCCTGCAAGCAAAATGGTTCTCTACCTTTCCAAGTTGGCATTCCTTGATATCCGTGCAAGTCTATTATACATTAAATTCTTGTGCATTTGTGGGGCGAGTCTGGGGTGGCTAAATCCTTGGGGAAAACTCATATGACCAGCCCTCTTTTAGACTTGCATACATGGATTGAATCTATTTGCAGATAAATGGACAAGGCCCTTTAAATGTTTTATACTTTTAATCAATTATTTTGAAAAAAAGGCTGACAGGAGTATAGATTTAAAAATATATTGTGTGGGTACGGGCATGGCTGGAAGCCTGACAGAGGTAAAATCTTCCAACGACACTACATGGAATGTAGATTGGTCACTTTCAAGGGTTCATCTTTTGCTTTTATGAAAACCTTGGACTTTCAAGTGCCACATTTTCAAACTAGATCAAAAAAATTATGTTCATGCGTCTTGCTTATCGTGGTAAAACATAAATACACAGAGCAACTAAAATTTTAGCTAAAAAGTTTGCTTAATATATTTTACCATAAGCAAAATTAAACAGTTTATTTTGAACGTTATATGGATCAAAAGTTTCCTGGTTTGGTACTTAAACTTTGTGAAAACAGTTTTCAAAACCAGTCAAACCTCTATTTTGTTATATTAGAAAGCTACAAAACCATAAAAGTATGTGTCGCTACAAGTATTGGCGTGGAAAACCTGCAATAATTCACACTTTTATTTCAATGTTTTGAATAATTTTATTGTAACTAAGGTTCTCATACATAACTGTCAAGTATCCTATGAAGAAACACCTAACCTTATTAACTTTGACACTTGCTACGATTAGAATTTTAACACGCGACAGCAAAGGTAGTTAGGCGGTGTAAATTTTGTTTCATTTGACACGGGTTCTGTTCTCCAATGGCCATAAATTCAATTCAAGCTTGCAATTCAAGAGGTGCATTAAAGGTAAGCTGGGCTACTAAAGTTAAAAGGTAGTCAGTTCCAAATTATAATTGCATCTTATGCTACCTGTTTCGCCGTTTGGCTTTGTGCAAATTTACGTAACATCTTCTCACAACTGCTTCGCAAGACACAACTTGATTTAGGCCGATCGCACGTGCAAATATATTCAGTGGCCTCGGTTCCGCCAGTTGATTTGGCGCTAAAAATCTTTTCCGGGAAAGGTAACGAAAATATGAATTTCGATATTGAGCCACTGTGTTCGATGCAGGGACCGCGCACCACTCTTAAAGAGGAGGGGCTGAAATGGGTGTGACCGAAAGTTTTTTGAGGCCACGCCCCCTTGAACGATATAAGATACATCATATCATTAAACAAGATGAAACACCTAGAAAAAGAACAAAAATGGTTCGCAGTCAATGATAACTGCTACTATATACATAGGAGTAAACTATCCAAAGTTTCGTTAGAGTAAACCTTCAAAAAAATTTTCTAGCCTATTATTGCGAAAAAGTGGGTGGGCTATAGCCCCTGCTAGCCCAATGGCTGCGCGGTGCCTGGTTCGATGCATATGCTTGATCTAAATGTATTTGAAAATAGGGTTTATAGCGGCGTCGAGAACCGAACTGACCTTTTTGAATGACAGGGGCAAGTGCAGTTAAGTTTTTCGCTTGTATCGTTTGCATCGATCAAAATTTTTGCATCGTATCGACAAGAGCGGAAAAAGCCCAGCAAAACCTCACAGTTCTTGCAACTAGCCAAAGATAATTATGCAATGAAAAGACTAATATGAAAAAAGAAAATAAGATTAAAAGATATTTAAACCGATATCGATATCATATTTAAAAATTTGAAAGGATCTGAACAAATTTGACAGTATATTTTCAGAAAATTTTTTCAGGTTTCATTGAATTTCGCTATACAACAAGACCCTTAATAAAACAGGTTTTTCAAAAACAGTATCTTCTTTATACAGCTACAGCTGGCTTGGAAAAAATCTTTAAAAAGGGGGACTGAAGGGAATATTTTCCTTGAGAAAATTAAGGGACCCTGGAGGGACCAATATGTAAACAAGGTTGTATTGACTCTTTAATGCTATCCATGCCATTTTTAACCAGGGGTGTTTTTAGCCTACATTTCTAACTTTTATCTGTAAATTTCATATATCTGTAGTTCGATCTTCTTCTCTTTCTTAATTTTATATTGTAATTTATTTGATGGCAAAATTATACATACATAAGCCCTCGCTCCAACATCAGTGCTATCCTGTGGTTGGATAGATATGAATAACAGGGGAGGACTAATGCTGAAGAAATTGCAATGCAAGGGGGTGGCAAACTACTGCCTGTTTCTAGCATATTAAACTTCTAAATTAAGAGGAGAAGGGGTGGCAGTTTTTCTTATGGATTATTTTCATTTTTTTCGGAAGAATAATACTATTTTGCATCTTTTCCAGACCCACAAGGCTGTCTTTAACTTTGATCTTTGTAGAAGTGAAAATAAATGATGATTATCTTTTTCTTTAAATCAGTTACGTTGTTCATAGGTAGATTGGACGTTAAAAAACTTTTGAAATGGTTTAAGCCGTAGAAAAATCTTCAATATACGTAAAATAAGACACAGGTATAAACGTAGGTTAACTTGAAATTTTATCCTGTATTAAGCCAGAGTCAATGATGTCAATTTTCAGGGGACTTAGGGTTAGTTTCCGGTAAGACTCTTCCTCTTCCACCAAGAAAAAACTTCTCTCGCTACCTTGTCCATCATCTTTGCATTTTTCACTTCCAGTTTCTGTCCACGAGTGGGTGGAAACAAACGATTCGTACCCAGAAACGTACCGGAAAGTTTCAGCCGGCATATTCCGTTCTCGGTACAAACTTTTAAGCTTGTATGCAAGGTCAATAACATCAAGGGGCTTAATTTGCTTGCTCTTTGGTAAATTTACACCTTCAAATGGAGTGTTGCATGGTGCTCTAAGCTTTTTAAGCCTCGTAAGTTTTCTTGGGCTGACATCAACTAGATATCTTGCCATAGAGCTGCTTAAACTCGTACTTATTGTACTTAACTCAAGATTCATTGTATCAGATCTTTGCATTGCTTGCAATTCCTCTTTCTGCCACTGTAAAATTTCATACTTTCGTTTGCCTATCAACTGAGGTAAGGCTGAGAGGCGTTCAATTTCCACGCGTAATGGATTTAACCTTCTTCCAGACATTAGTGTTTCCGTTTCATTCCAAATGAGGCTGTTTGGTGTATTAGCCCTGGCCGTGCTCCCCGACTCATCGCCCTTGTAGCCTCTGCTTTTCAATTTTTCATTAGAAGTTAAATCAGCTTCTCTAGGTTTAGTAGCTTGAGATGATCCAAATATGGCTGGTAAGTGTTGTAAATGGTTCTGTTTCATCTTTTCTAAACTACAGTTACTACACAAAAACGAGCCAAGTATTTCACAGTATGGCTGCAATGCAGCAAAGTCGGTTCCTTGTGGAGCAACATCATCCCTTGGCTTGGTCCACCTAACACATTTCTTTGAGGAATCAAACGATAGTCTGCTGCACTTTGAACACACTGATGTTGGTCTTTCGCTCTTTTCATTGTGCTTTCGAGTCCTTGCAAATTTAACAAGCTTCGATAAAAGCCCTTTTTCAAGTGGTCTACTGGAATTTCTTGAGCTCTCCTTCTTGCGTCTTTGGGCCAAAAACTTTGAAGCCATTGGTCCATCATAGTCAAACTCCAATTCCTCGTACAGAAACATAATTGAATCCACAATATCGCTGACTTCAGTCTTCACAAGACTTGATTCACATTGTACATTAACGATATTGATTTGAGCTCGAAACTAAAAATAACAGCCTCAACTAAACAGTATCATGGGCAAAGTTAGCATACGTCAAGATTCGTCTCGATTAACACAATACTTCGATTCTAGCTAAAATGTGGTCAAGATTTCACAAATTTAGCATATGAGTAACTTCTTGCCAGCAAAGTGTCGGTTTTGTATCGATCATAGACTCTGATCTATAATCAGATAACCATAGACTATGTTCAAATGATTCAAACTTTCTTTGTCCTAAACTTCTATTCGTGATCAAACTATCAATCCAACGTAATCATCGAACAAACACCAAATGATAACTAGTCCAGTGTCTAGTTTATATTGACCTGTTTAATAGTTGGTTGCTCCATTTTTCTACAAAACTTCATCAAAGCTCGAGAACGGTATATACATCGCAAATACTTCACAATAACAGCACGGCGTTCGAATGACAACATCTGAGATCATGATTCGCAATCCGTGTAATATTTATATTTCTACGGCAACCAGCGAAATCAGGTGTGACCGACCCTATTATTCTAGTAATTACTCTTTTTAATCATACAATAACTCGTGTTGCTTCTTTTCGAAACCATACAATTGATACTCGCTCCTCCGCATCAGCATAAATTAAGAGCAATAGACCTTTGCATGATCGGGGCTAGCGACCGTTTCTTTTAATATTTTTTGGAGGGGAGGGGCACAGGCTTCAAAAAATTACAAATATTCTTTCTTCCCAATGAAAAGTTCCTTTAGTTACTTTTGTCCTCAAACAATGGCGCCGCCTATAATTCTATCTTTCTTACGACACTGACTACCAGTATATGTATACTGCATAGGTTTCAGGGTTTGTGGAGCAGGTTTTCGAGTTTTGGGGGCTTCCCTTTCTTTCAAAAGAATTTAGGGAACTGCTATTTCTAGTGTCTTGAAAGGAAAAATAGATTTCTAGCACCGTTGTAAAGGGCGAGCCCATGTTTCGTATAGTTTAGACATTGAAAATTGATCTAATGTACAATGTATATTTCAAAGTACTTTTGGGGATTTGTAGGTAATGTTTGCCTAATATCATTCGGTAATATAATATATTATATGATATAATACAACAGGATTAAGTAAATACTTGTTTTGCCTGGCATACAATTTTGTCTTTGAAAATTATCAAGTCAATATAATATGCAAATAAGGGGAGGAAGAAGCATTCTTATACCGTCTTTTATTTGCAGCTTTGTTAAGCTGTCTTTGTCGTTACCCAAATTATGACAAAAGACTCAAATGTGCTAAGAAATTTCTTATGCAAATTAACTTAATTGCTTTCTGTTTTTGTTTTGTAGGCAGTAGACCAATCTCCCCTGTTCCCTTGTTTCTTCCGTTCAAGGAGATCGGACCTTTGAGATTTGAATGTCTTTGTATCTGCACCAAGATTAATGAACCGCAAGTCAACCTTGGCAGAGGCAGAAACTTCTGAATTTCGGGTTTATTTTGAAAATGGCAGACAGCATGTAGGGACAGATGGCAAATAAAGGAAATCTTTGTCATTATCCCTAGAAGAAACGCAGAAATTCTGTATTTTCTTGACGGATGTTGCCGTCAGAGGATTATGACATGTGAGTGTAATTATTAAGCATTTTCGTTTAGTAGCAAATTTCCCTTTGAAAGATAATTATTTTGCGCGTATAAATAAGCAGGTAACTTATTTTAAAGCAAAAACAACAAGCTGGCAGCAAAAATAATTGGCATTTTCATTCAGAATCATCAAGCTATGGCTTTCTCACCAGCTAGACAAAACAATTGTGGTGACAACAAGAGAACTTCTTCCTCTCGCGAAAATTTGGCTTCAAGTCATTCAAGCATTCGATCAACTACTTTCTGGTAAAAGTTGTGATTTTACGATCAAGAATGTTCGCTGTCGTTCAGCCAAAGGGAAAGGGGCACGGGGAGCATTTCCCGCCCAGCTAGTATTTTTACCCCTCAGTGCCCGTCCAGAAATTTCAGGATGAAAACGTGTTTTTGTCTAAAAACTAACGGTGTCTTCCCACGTTACTGTCGGAAAAAGTCAGTCTCGACAAAATCTGAGCATTGTTGCTACTCTTGTATATTGTCCGTCTAACTGCAGTCACCTTAGAAAAGTCTATTTCAACTGTATCCTAGTTTGATATTTTTTGAAAACAATAAGATGATAAGTATGATGAGTACAAAGAGCCTGGACTGAGAAACATACCCATGAATGTTCAAGGTAATTTTTGAATAAAGAAATTATTGCTAAAATATAAGTTCAAAGTAAAAGAGATGTTGGAAACAAAATTGTTGCTACCCGAGAACATATCATACCACAGAAATCTCGTACGCATTTGGCAGAAATCCTTTTGTTTTCGAGTAAAATCTGTCAAAAGTCCCTAAAAATCCTGCTGTTCCAAAAAATCTCATACTCTGTTTGGGAAAAGTGATACACCCCTCGTTGACCCGACAAAAAGGTTAAAATTTGAGGAATTTTGCAAATTTTATACTCTCAATTTGTTTACCTATTCTTATAGACTGGATCTCTCATTTCTGTTTTGCGACGCTTACACTCTAGGGAAAGACGTGAATTAGCTTTTAAAGGGTGTGCCCCCTAAATACCTTATTTTCTACCATGGCCCTTTAACGCACAGGGTCTTTAGTATTTTAGCTATGGCTATGCCATTGTCTGTGATTCGCTTTCAAAGCAGGGTCAAAACTGTTCCGGATAGCAGAGCAAAATCGTCACGGTTCCACAGTGCTAGTGTAAACGGAAGGCCGAACAGCGACAGTTTTGTCACGGTTCCAAACTTGCACGGGACAGTGTAAACGGGGTCTAAGATTGGACCTTGTCACAGAAATTCCTGGTTTCGGTTCGATGTCACTGATTTTGCATGTCGCTATTTACTGATCTTTTTTTAAAAAAATCTTGAAATTAGTCATTATAAGAAATGTCATGTTGTTTGGACAGTAAAATCGCGAGATACTATTCAAACATTTGAATGATAAGGCGAATATTTAATTGAAAATAATATATATTTTGAAAAAATTTCAAAACATTGCACTGGAGTAGTATTTTACAGTGAAATGTGATGGTAAATGTTGAAAACTGCGAAATTTGCGACCTGACTTTCCAAACAACATGAAATTCTCTGGACAGACTATTTTCGACATGACGATTTCTATGTACCAATTTGATTTAAATAAACATTACAAACGTTTACTAAAATCCAGGATAATTTGGAAAATTTTTCAGTGACATAAAAATTTGTATGATACAGCCTATTCAAAGCAAAGCTAAGCAGGCATATTTCTTTATTTCAACCCAAATTTAGCATCTGTTTTGTGGTGGCAGTGGAAGCCAGTGAACGTGATTTTTTGATACTCCATTTCACGACCTCTCCTTGGTAGAGCTTCTGTAACAAATGGCAAAAATAGTACAATCAGCCTGGCTGCTTCTTGATTGAAAGTCGTATTGGTACAAGTTTTCTAAATGGCTGCACACAAAAATAGTTTTGTGGCAATTGAGAAAACGTACGCCCCTTTCCCATGACTGGTCTCACTTGCTACGCCCATTACCCTCCCACTCTTTCAGTTAATCCTTACCCTTTTTAAATAGTAATGTAGTTATGCCCCAATCTCAAATTATTAACAGCTTGCCCTAAAACAGTTGCCAAGAAATGAAATATTACTTAGTGCCTGATAGTGGCTAACTATCCAGAAAAAACCTTATTCCAGGAAGTGGGTTTGCTAAGTGCACCAGCCCTTGTACTGCCTGTAGAATACCGATTTCTAAGGTCGGTGTCACCACTGAGAACATTTTCCCGACTGATGCACCTGCCCATAAGACGAAAAGGTCTTCGGGAAAAGAATGATAGCCAGATTGGAAGAATAAGCAGACAAAGAAAGAGAAGCGGGTGGGAGGAGACTTAAAAGATTGAACATTGCTGTAGTGTCAAAAAACCGTTTGCAACATGCATAGACCTTGTAGAGGGGGCGTAGCACTCATGCACCCCTTATAAACCTACAAATGTCCCGGATGTCCTAAGTGAAAGCGAGGTTAAAATGATCGCAACAAGGGGGTGACTAACTCTGTTTAAAACAGGGTTCTAAACAACATTTATAAAGGGGTACCAGGCATCTATGATAAATCACGCAATCGCGCGTAAAAAATTGCAAATCACACTTTCACAGTACTAGAAATTCAATTTTACGATCACGCCCCCTAGAAGCTCTCTGATTTTTTAATAACTATCTAATAGTTGTAATTTATTTTTGGCAGAGCCATCAGCATTGGAATCTCTGAATAATTGAGATTGACTCTGGTACCGGAAACCAACACTTTTTGCTTGAAAAAACGAAAGCACTCCATTTCGAAATTCGCTTGCAGCACTCAGTTTTACTCAATCACGCCATGTGTAATGCTGATTCAGTGGTCACGCGCCAATTTCTATTCACGCATTCACGCATAATAAAAATTTGTTTCACGAATTAACGCATCGAAAATACGCCGATCACGCAATCATGCCAAAATACCTGGTACTCCCATATAAGGCTGTTTTATAATCAGCATTTCATCAATCCGAAACTCGATTTTTTTCCCCTTTTACGAGTCATCAGGGCCCACAGGTAACTGGTTCTGAACTGGGGCGCAGCAAAGAAAGTTAGTTCTTCTCTTCCCCCTACCCCTACCCTTAGCCGACGCTGTGGCAAAAGTTTCCTAACACTAATTTACTTGCAGATTATGGTTTAATATTGTAATCTACAGGTTTAACCAATTTGAAGATTTCGGCTAGTTTAAACTCAAATGTAACAAAAAAGTGGATGGGGCACCCTTGTGGCACAGGCCCTAATCATACGTAAGGGAAATAGTGGGAAACCCACACAATGATGGCGTTTGATGCAGTTGGCCAGTTTTCGTCTGACATGTAGTAATTTTTGCATACAATTCATTTTCAGTTTCGCAGAACGTCAAACTTGGTCTACTGATTGGCATTTCAATTTTCATCGCTGCTTTTGTCGTTATAATCGGTTACCTCGTTATCAAATGCTGTTACCAACGCAAGACTCAACTGGAACGCGACAAAAAGGGGTCCTTCAAGAAGCTAGATGAAAAACGCTCGTTCTTCAAAGATGAAGCATTGAAACCGCAATTTGGTGAACAAAAAGAGTTCATTTTCCAGGAAGGGTCATTTAAATCCATAGAGAGTGAAAGCCCCTCCGCAACTCCGCCTCCTTACAATGAAGACCTGCGCAAGCTACGCATCGGTAAATTCGAATTCACACCAACATACTACCACAACCGAAAACGTTTGCAGGTTGTTATTCGTCGTGTAACATGCTACCCAGTTTGCCAAAGCTTGCTCAATGTTGCTTACTTATATATAGTTGCGTGTCTGCTACCAGACAAAAAAGACTTCTTCGAATCAGAGTTGCAGCAAATCAACGAAGATAACCTGGTCGACGAGCTGTGTGAATTTGAAGTCTCGTATTCTGATTTAGACAAAAGGGTCCTCCTTTTCGAAATACACGTCTGTGATAGATTTTCACGACATTTAATGATCAGCGATCTGAAGTATGATCTTCTAAAAAGACCCAGAACAGAGCACGAAGAATCGAGTCTGGAAAAGCTAGATTTTAAAGAACATACTGGAAACGGAGACGTAAGTCGTACTTTAAATTTTCAGTAAAGTCTGAAGGTAAATAACGGAGATAGTTGAGCATTTTACAGATGGGAATGCCCCCCCCCCTTTGCCTGTAGGACCGCTGGTAGAATATTCGAAAATTATACAATAAACAAAAAGATAATGCTGTTAAGGCTAGTTATATTGCGAGCTTATTTTGTACGAAAATGGCAACGGAAATTAAATGAGATTTCAGAATAAGCGGGGGTGGGGGTAGATGAAGGGTTTCTATAACTTTTGGAAATCTAAACAGATACTCGAACGAACAAAACGAGGATAAACTTATATAAATGAGATGTTTAAAAAGTAAAATTTATCGATTCCATGCACGGAAAAAAATCTCTCGGTTCATGCATAGAGGGGATTATTGGGGTGGAGGGGGGTTTAAAGCAAGATACTGATCACATTTGTTCATCGAATGATGAGAGCGAAGTATTTCCATACAGTGCAGTGATTGACTTCACATAATTTATGTTCCGTCACCTTCTTCCTTACCAGGATTTGTTGGCTGGCCGTTCACAATCGTCACCTGAGATTCTTATCTCACTTTGCTACATGCCTACTTCAGGAAGATTAACATTCGTTGCTCTGAAGGGAAAAAATCTTAAAATTGAAGAAATGGAAACCGGAGGTATGTAAACAATATGAAATTCTTTGTTCAGGCAATTGCGGGTATAAAATGTGAAAGACACTAGACACTTCACCAAATTTATTTGCGTCTCTGTTACTCCACTTAGTTAGGCTTTTTAAGGGACACTTTTTAGCAAAACTGCTTACCATGGACGTAGGAATCAGGAAAGCACAGGGGGATGTGCCATCCTACTTTTCAAAACGTACCTTTTTGTAGCTCACAGAGGGGCCCCTTTTTGCCCTCCCACTTTCGAAATTTTTTCTGTGTCTATGCTCCTTCCTTCCTATTCACGAGGATCTTTAAACCATATTTACTGCCGAGGCTGCTTTCACAGGCTACAATAGTGCGATTTACTTATTTTTATGTCTATGCATTGATATTTTGTCGTGACATGCAGATTTTAGGAAAATTGTTGCATTTCAAATTTCAGCCCATGATTCAGCGTCAATTTTTACCATTTTTGCTTTCTTCGATGAATAAAGGTGACATGTTTTTATCTCCTATTGAAGATATCTTCTTGAGAATCAGTCTTATCCAAGGGAATCGCACCATGAAAACAGTAACGACAAATGCAGTGCGAAGGAGCACCTCACCTGTATATAATGAAGCATTTGTGTTTCACGTACCTATTGAACGTGTGAAAGAGGCTCAGATACTGATACGGATAATTCTGCGGTCAGAGAACAAGAAAGAGAAGGTCCTTAGTCAAGTTACCATTGGGACAAATTCAGACTCAAATCTTGGCCGAAAACATTGGGAAGCTATGCTGTTATCTGCTCGAAGACCGATTGCTCATTGGCATACGGTTACTGACTTGGAATGAAATAAAATAGAATATCAACTAAAAAAAGAAACTTTGATAAATGGAGCTGAATATTTGAATACCAATTCTAATTAAGCAATTTTTTGCTGAGATCAAATTATACACCCTGCTCATTTTTGGCAATTTTGTGATAACGAAAAATTGATTTTTGGGATTGACAAAAGCATCGAAATAGGGGGTAACATATAGAAGTATTCTCCTTTCTTTCGGTTCCCCTCCAACTCATAGATAGTTCTGAAATTCCTTATGGGTTGAGTGGCGGGAGGGGGGGGGGTTATACAGGATGGGGAACATAATCATTAAATCAATTTTTCTGGTATCTTATTTCTTTTGTACTGTTTTTGCCTTTTGTTCGATAATGCGGTTTGACTGAAAGGGTGTCATTGAATTAAGAATAATTAGAAACCTTATATCGTTCTTGTATTTTTTTCTTTGCTTCCTCGTGTAGTTTATCAAAGACCGACAGAATGCATTGCATCTTGTATGCATATTAAGGCCGGGGCTGTTGTCTTTTACCCTTGTTGTCTGATAATAATTGATAACCTTGGGAAAATATTCTGCTGCTACACTTGACTCCCAATACTTTTAGTATAACAACGACATCAAAGTTTAGCAGGGATGACATGTTGCTTCAGCTGGAATGGTACTACCCCCATGCTTTCTATGTTTGGTTTGCTATGATATTATCTCTTGAGGTCTGTGTATGTCTAACTGTTTTTCGGGTATTCTATAAGTAATAGTGCTGTCTAGAGTTGTTAAAACAACTGCCTTATGTATGTCTATTATATTTCTTTCTTTAAGTAAAATGAAATATCTTTCAGCATTCTGTCATTGTTTCTGTCAATCTTTCGTGATTATGCTAATTCATAAAGTGCATCTGCCTGTAATTAATGTACATTGCAGGGAGGGGGGGGCAAACAACTTTTATAGTAATATAGCGATGACTATATTAAAAATAACTCACAGAGGTAATGTGCAAACATGTACAAACTAACTCAATAATGAGAGAAAGATGTGCTCATTTTCAAACTCAGTACATATTCGCATTGCAAATTGTTCCTCGACTCGATCTGTAAACGTATTTGACAAAATCAAGCCATGCTTTTGAAAAAGTGGGAATTCGAAACCACCTCTCTCTCGAAAATAATCCCACTTTGAGCTCCCCTCTCTCCTCTTTCTCTCCTCTCTCTCCTCTCTCCCCTCTCTCCCCTCTCTCCCCTCTCTCTCCTATCTCTCCTCCCTCTACTCCCTATTCTTTCTTCCCCTCTCCCTTTTCATATACAACTTGTAGAATAATTTACTGTATTTTCTAACAGTTTGATAATCAATCAATAGGAGGTCGAAGTGAGCTTGAATAAGCCTGGAGCAACTACAAATCGAAAGCTCAGCCCTCGCAAAACAATAGAAAGATTCTATCAAGGTTTGATTAGTATTTTCGGGTTTCGTCATCTTGACACATTTCAGCCAGTAAATCATCTGGAAAATACGAGCTGATGTTAAACGAAATGTACTTTTTGGCTAAGAAGCACTGTATAAGCGTGCTCTGTTATCATTTCCACGTCGTTTTCTTAAGTTTCGTTCATTTCTAAGCTTAATCGTAATTGTTTTGCACCATAGAGATAGCATAATATTGTTTTGATCTCTATGTTTTGCATTACTTCCACAGATCTCTATGTTTTGATCTCTATGGAAACATATAAATCTCTTTGTTTTGCACACTTTTTACGTCAACTTACATCGTTACCTTGGTAACATTACGCATATAGATAGTAATATTACTGACTACGGAGAACCTCGTATTACAGTATTATTTGAAGAATTCCTCTATTGCTTGACTCAGTTTATGGATACAAAACTAGCATTAATCCTTTGTTATATTATTATCTTGTGTTTCCGCTTATATAGAGAGCAAATAATTTCACCGGTAATGTCTGTTCTTTGTACAAGGAACTATTAGCATAAATGTATATTGCACATCCGTTCTACAATTGAACGATTCACTCCATTATACAAGCTTAGTCTAGTACTCTGGCATAATATCCACCAGGAAACATTTCTACCAAGTTCCATTTTTTAACTGCCTGGGAAAATTCACTTATTTGTTCCAAATTCATTGAAGGGAGCTTGAATTGATAATCGTTTATCTGCCCCTCTGTGCCTTAATGAATATCTCAGAAACCATCCACATGATTATTTTGATTTTCAGCATTAACCTACGTATTTACAAAGATGACAAACTTTCTAAAATAAAAATGATGTTAAATAATAATAATAATAGGAAAACATCCTTTACTTTTTAGTACATTATGGCACAACTGTGACCTAAATTTCTAATCATTATAGCCCTACTATATTGCAACCAATTGGCACATCGGTGTCATTTTTCGTTAATCTGTGGAAGTAATGCACTCGTACTATTTCTGGGTCTCTTTTTAAACGTCGGTGCAATGCTTCACTACTTCCAAACTTGTATCTTTGGACAGTTGTAGTCAAAATGTTGGACCAAAATGTACTTTTCCTACGTTTTGTTCCAAGTGGCGTTCTGTTTGTCACAAGTTGCTTGGAAGGGGTACATGTAGCTTGGACACTAAACTTTTTTTACAAAACTTTTATATAAGGGTAGTTGCTGCATGGTAATCTTTTGCAAATTTCATGCCACTGTTACCACACTGAATTTCCTATCTTTCTACGACACAAAATGTAAATTTGCTTTTCACTTCACAATAAGAGCGCAATCCAAAGATTTTATGTAGAATGACAATAAATTCTACTAATAATTTTCACAGTGATTCATTATGTATGAAAATTAATTGATTCCAATCTTTGTTGTCCACTGATCATTTCCTAAATCAGTGGCGTTTAGTTCTTCGAAATTACGATTTTCTGTTACGGCAATGGTAAACGAGGTCACATCTTTTTCATAACGAGATCAATAAAAAATTGCTTCGAAATATGAATTGAAAAAAGAAAAATTGAAAAATCACCAAGACTGCGGATAAAGAAAATGGACTTTATTGGCAAAGAAATTGAGGATATTAAAGGCAGGTTAAAGAATATGGTAGACTGTGCAGCAATTATTGGTTGCAACAGACAGCTCATACAAATAAAGCTCGTGTAAGTTTCACTGCTTACTCGGTTAACCGGTTGTTTAGGCCTAGTTTTCCGATTTTTCCCGAATGTGTTAAACATTTTTCCAACAAGCGATAAAGTAATAAGCGTTGTTTCCCTTCCACAAGAACCTACACTCTTCATTGTACGAAGCATCCTCAATAATTTTATTTAACTGTTTTGATTTAGAAAACGGACCAGATTTGAGGGCATGAACACTTCAAGTCTTAATCGATATTTGATAAAAAAGGCTGTAATGTAACAGTAAAATGATACCCTAGAAAAGAAATAAAAACAGTACCGTACCCTCTTTTTATTTTTTCTCAAACTAATTTTAATTGAATGGTAAGTTTGGCACTTTTTCTTGATCTCATGTATGTACAATTTGGGATCTTTCATAGCAAGTTATTAAATCACCTCCATCACACGCCTTAAACTGTCTAGGGGTGCGAAATGCCACACTTCTGCTAATTCATTCCCAGGAAGGCCTGAGGTTAAATCAATAAACCCACAGCAGGAATACAAACTGTATTTGTATTTTTCTAGCACGGGATATTTTTAAGGATACTGAAAAGCTGTGCTCATCAAACAGCAACCTGGTCCTTCCTCTCAATGGGACTACACCAAGATATCTATGAGTGAAAGTTTTCTTATGTCGGGGGCTCAAACCACAGACTTTTGGATCTGTAGTTACCACCCTGTTCACTGGGCCCTCCTCACACCGAAAGTCTTGTTGATTATGATGTGCTTTATCATGGGTGGTATTTTCTGTTAATTTAAAACAATTTTGTAAATATATTTAAGTTGTCACTTTAATACATAGGACAGAAACATACCTTACTCACATGATTTTTTCCAAATCTTCTGATTTTAGCAAAACTCCACACAGACAATTGCTTTGTCAATTCCAGTTTCCCGAAAATTATCCAGATAACCCAATCATCATTGAACTGAAAAGCAATTTATTTGAAGTTAAAGTTCTGTGTTTACTGAGTGAAAGATGTGATGTAGAGGCAAAGAAATTAGTTGGCAGGGCTCAGGTAAATTTTTCTAATACATGTTTAATATATAAAACATACATGTTCATGATCTTTGTTTTTTTCGCTAGATATGCTTGTTGCCAGTGTTATTCCTAAGTTACAGAATGCTTCTCTTGGAAGCTAATTGTTAGGGGGACCTTTTGAGGGTCCAAAAACTATAGAATATTTAATTAAATATCAATAAACAGTCATTGTACCATTCAAGGAAGCTTGCATCTTAATATCAAGATATTCAAAAAAATACCCCTAGCAGTGTGCGAGAGTAACATCTCAATGCACATAATAGATGGAAAATGTAATAAGCATCAATGCTTTGGCCAAAATCTGAGTCTCTTGTGCCTATAATATCTTGATTTATTCAATGAATTTTCCTGGGGAAGGGCCTGGCTGTAGTATTTTGTAATGTTCATAGCTGAGTCATGATCATAGCTGTATCACCCTGACCTGACTATACCTGGTGTTACCATTGTATTGATGTTGAAAAATATAGGATTCCTCATCATAAATATGAACAGTAAAGTGACGAGCCCTGTCATTAATGCAAATAGCTTTTGGTAGATGTCTGAATAGTTATAGCATGTAACACCCGTGATTGGTGTTGTGGTGTCACATGGTAACATGTTTGTGCATTCTCTTTTATCAAGATGTAGGAAGAATTTCACAAGTTGGGGCACATGTAGGCAACAAAGGGGCACCCCTGTGAACTGCAGAAAGTGCTTCACCTTTGTTTCTGAAAAGCAGGGGTTAAGGACCCCTTGTCCCTCTTGTGCCCCAAATTTCTATGTCTTTTTCTGTAACAGATTCTAGAGATTCTGGTTTTTAAATTAAATACTGTATTATTTAGGTAATTTCCATGACAAAATTCATATCAAAGTTTCTGGATGATAACCCCTTAATGGTTTGTTCAGAAGAAGTATCATACATAAAGAAGTCGTTAGTTGACAGTCAAGATGACCTGAAAATAAAGCAAAAATCTGGTGTTCTTAGGTATAAAATATGTCAAGACAGGTAAGACAACAGGGGAAATCTCATTATGTCAACCTTTTGAGTAAATTTCATTAACTTTTTAAAGTGTATATTGTGAAGTTGATGAGATTTTTTTAAAATTTCCAGTACCAAGGATCTAGAGCCATATGTTCATTGATTAACAGAGAGTGAATGATAATGAATATATAGTAAAGACCCATATTGGCATATAAAAGGAGCATTGCAATGTTTAGGAGTTTTGGAAGTAACTAAAAATGAAAAGTCATTTTCTTTAGTACCATAAATCCTCGAATAAGCGCCTATGCTTTTTTAATTTTTGAGCCTCAAAGCGGGGTCATATTTTCTATTTTAGTGGATGCGAAGACAAATGAGTAAAATAGGGAATTTAAACATAAAAAAGGTAGTCGAAATAGATATATTTGAGAGTGTGTTAAACATGTTCTATTGCCATGGATGGGGCTTATTTAAGTAGGGCGCTTCTTTGAGGGGCTACTTATTCGAAGATCCTCAGTACTGGCAAATATTGCTTAGCTTTTTAAAGATATATTTCGTGGTTTAAGAACCATTCAAACTATAAATCAATTTTTAACCCCATGGCAAAGGCTCTTGTATCTAATGTCACATTAAGCTTTACTTGATGTCATGCACTTCTGTTCAGTTTTTTTACAAGTTAACGTTTATGTTGATATCAGTTTACAAGTTCAAATTTTAATGCTTGTCACCAGCTTTGTGCATCTTTGAGATACATCCTAGAAAATTTTTTTGCTTTTAGATATTTCCTAGATGTGAAAGTAACAGTTCCAGAATTTTATCCAACAGATTGTGTAAGGTATGTGTGGCTGTATTTTTCAGCTCTATGAATTTGTTACTTGATTTAACCACTTTGAGTGTTTGTAATCTTGTTCCAAAAATTTAAACAAAAAGCATAATTTGAAAGACTGGTGACCTGAAATTGGTTCCCTTCATGTTGGAAATAAAGGCAGTATTCAGCTAGGTGTCAAGAAACAAAATATTTATCCTTTATGCCTTACATTCAAACTGCAAAATAGATAAATGCTTGTTTAAAGGTCAAAGATAAACCTAATCAGAAAACCTCTATCAAAAGCATAATTTGAATTTGCGCCAGAGCCAAGACTGTTTTGATATTGTTCAAAAATCACCTTTAATTATAATTTGTATTGCAGTTTCATGACACCCTAAATTCCAAATTTTCTTCTCTTACAGGGTTGAAAATAAAAGCTGCAATTTCCCAACATTTTTAGAGACACATTTTATGGCAGAAAGTATTGAAATAGCAAGAAGATGTGTGGAGCCACCTCTGAAAAAGGACCCAAAGTATGTACTATAATTTTTTGTCAATTGTTCATCGGTAAGCCTTGGCCAAATGACTGGTCTTTTCACTGAACATTTAACCAAACAATGAACTTAACTTGTTTGCAGAATTTTTACTCAATGTGTGAACTTTGTTTAGGCATTTGGCTAGGTCTATAGGAATCAATCTTATTGACAGACATATATCATTATATTAGAAAGTTAATTGTGATATTAGGAAAAAGGTACTGTATCATGTGATAAATATAATCATTGTATTTACAGAATGTCACTTTTTCATTGTATGGTATTGCTAATTAAAGAAAAAATATCTATGCTTGGGAGTGCCATTGACCATTTTTTCTTTCCAGTTCAGAAACCCCCATTAGACACCCTGAGAAGATATGATCTAGTTATTCTGTATGAAACAATTGAAGTCTTAGATAATTTGCAAACTATACTGAAATTATTTTCTTTCATTTTGAAAGTTAAATATTGAGGTTTTTAATATTTAAATCACTTTAATTTGCCGTAGAGCACCACCTTTTCAACCTGCACCATCATTAAAGCAAGTTGTATCGTATCTTGTTAAAGACTGCATAAAAAAGTTCCCTGGTGGTATTTGCAAACTTTGTGGTAAACGTGCTCTTCCTAAAAACCCTGAGGTAAGCAGTGCTTGCTAAATTTTTATTTATACTTTTGGGAAGTGACAGCTAAGTAGTGACAATGGCAAAATAGAGTTAACTACTTTACACAAATTATTCTTTGGCATTGGAATCAGTTATAAATTTTTCTTGCAATCGAAATGTAATATATTGCTCCTGATTCAAAGTATAAGATAAAGCTCTCTGTTCTGCTCACAGTTGCAATTTTCCCTTTGTGAATCATACAAGGTTAAGTGCTACAAAAGTATATGGACATAATGCCTGATTTGTTTGATAAAGAGACTTCTAGAATCTGGACAAGAAGTGATGTGTTTGTTCTTTAGAACAATGAATTGCGCTGGTGTCACAAATATAATTTTGAGCGTTTCACAATTTGAATTACCTTATTAAATTATAATTCATAATTTGAAGAGTTTTGTCATTATGGCAATCAACTCTTATTTACAACTTACACCTGTTTTTGGCATTGAACATTGTATATAGATGAGTAAACAGTTGTATTTATTAATCTGTGTATCACATGTTTGAACAAATGCTTGCATAGACAATGTTGCAAAAATACTCATATAGACAATGGACAGTGTACAAGATTTCCAACATCAACAAAATGATTTACAGATAAGACAGTATAATTTCACCCAAAGGTTGGCAAGATTTTCATGTCGTAATTTGCCGTCCTTCTCCCCTCCCCCTCCATATGCTTAAAAAACATTGCAGCATTCATTTTACAAGTTAAAGCTGGGTTCTTAAGAAAGCCCTGTACAAAAGTTGTTTTTAGTAAACTCCTTGGAAACTTTAATTAGGGAACTATACACAATAATTTTCAGCTCAAATTAATTTTACTTATGTAAGCTATTATGATAATAAATGATTTTTATTAAATACACCAAGGACTATCCTGAAAACCCAGATGATGAAAAAGGGGTCGTTTGGATTTATTGCAATCATATTTACCATCTTGGCTGCATGGACGCCTATATGAAAACACCACCATTTACAGGTGAGTTTGTACAATTACAGTTTCTTGAGACTAGCCACAGATCAGCTAGAGTGACCATAACAATCTGACTTGATTCCTCTACAGAAAATTTTGTAAAATCAGATAACACTGTGGCTTTCCAGAATTGATTTGAAACTTCTGTGATTTTTAAAAAAAAATTGCGGACAACGCAAGGGGACATGCTAGCAAATAACTAATGCCAATTAACAAAATGAAAACCTTTTCTGGAGATCGTTGAAGCCATGAGAATTAATAGAATTAAGCCATGAGAATGTTAAAGTCACAATAGGGCTTGAAATCGGCGAAGAAATTAAAATGTTCTGATGTGTATTTGAATCGCAAGGAAAGTAATGTGTCAATATTTTGTACAGGTGGGAAAAAATGCATCGAATGTGGAAAGGTTGTTTATCACGATAGGTGGAATATAAGTCCAAAACTGGCTGAAGAACGTTGGGCACATCAAGAAGCAAGGAAACGTGAAATTGATGAGGTCGCAGACTTTTTAGATTTAATGTAGAATCTTGCTATTTTGTGAGAATACATGTACATTCAAATGAATTTAGGATAACAATTATTTGTAATTGTGTGTCCCTATTTTTAAATTCTTAAGATCTATTGATCAACAAGACCTAATTTTCGATTGTTCAATAATATCAAGGAGAGGGAATTAGGTAAGCGAAGTCCTAAACATGGTCTACCAAACGGAATAATTACACCTTACTACTATGATTTGTCGACGAAATATATCTACGTAATCGATAAAGATTCATTTTATACTATCCACATTTAACAAGACTCACTTTGGTAACAAAACTGACTTAATTAAACTGATTTTATTGTATTCAGAATCATGTAATGCTAACTGTATATTTTGTAACAAGTCTCGATTAAGGTGAGCCAAGAAGATTTTTGGCCCACATAAAAGAAGAGTTTTTCAAGGCGAAGCAAAAAAACCGTTTTGTATCTTGTTATGTTACTATTGTGCTTGTTCAATATCATTTTTGGATCCTGTACTATGTTAGGTTGAGATAGTTCACTACTTACACGAAGAATTGTGTAAGCTTCAACCACGGAGCTGTAGGTGTCGGCTAGGGGGGGGGGGCAAACTCGAGCAAGAACCATACCTGAGGGGAGGCAGGCTTTAAAACAAGAAAACAGATATATATCAAACAGATATATTTGGACAAAATTAAAGTCATGGAATTATAAATTTGCCAAATTTTCAAAATATCATTTGGAAAAACTGTAGCCAGAGGGGGCAAGCTGTTGTCAAAATTTTCATTTGGGCAAAGCCCCCCGTGCCCCCCTGCAGCTACGTGGCTGGTAAGCTTCTTACAGGAAATTAAAATCTGAACCATTGCAGGAATTTTTCCGATACTCTCAGATCCATAGTACAAAAAAACTTTTAAGCATTTTTCAATTATTTTGTAACAATTGCCTTAAATACTCGTTAAGTCAGATTTTTGGCTTTTCAAGGCTAGGTTATAAAGTTTTGTTACTATTTTTCCTTTTATTCGGTTTTATTTGGTTTTTCGTTGTGCCGTGCGGTGAAAGCACGATGACGCAGTTTCTACGATTCTTGTTATGGCTGGACTTGTCCCACTTTTGGCAAAAACATTGGAAAACCTGCTTAAAACTTAAGTATACTCTGCATTCCCCCATTCTTCCCTTATCTTTCGTCGTCGCTCTCATCTTTCTTCTTTTAATGAGTTTTCCATTACACAAAAAGCCTGACAAATTTAAATTCCAAGAAACACTGCACACAACCAAATCCAACCAAGTCTTTAATCCTTCACTACTAACTTTCCTTAAAATTGTAAAATAATAAATACAGATCTAAAGCTAACGCTATCACAATTATAAAACATAGTTTATATTTACTGTTCCAGGCTTCTATGTGCCTTCAAACCGAACGTTTTTTTCTTTTTCTGGATATTTACAAAATACGACTCTACTGCCCTACATAAATAACACACGTGACATCAAGAGCCGTACTTGGAAGCCAGTCAAATCAGGTCCCAGGAACCTATGATTTGTATTGCAATGAGAATGTTAAGTTAAATGGGAGGGGTAGGTTCCACGAGTGTTTGATCGCGAAAGGGGTTGGTTCGAGGGAAAATTTACGTACATTGGCAAACTTTTTGTAGGGAGGGAGTAAGGGAGCAGCAACCTGAAATTATCAGAAAGTTGAGAAAAACGGAAATCCTCAATAATCCAATAACAAATTTTTGTTCAAGAGAGGTATTTTCCAAAACTCCCAAGGGCGTGGTCACATAAATATTCCCCCAGACCTCCCCAGGTAGATTGCGCTCTGCTCGTCTTCCCCAATTTTATCATATCACCTTGGCTAAGCACTTGGGGTAAAATAAATACGATGTTTCACAACACCCTTTGTCAATGTATCTTTTCCCCTTTGCAGGTGATAGATATACGCGAAAGAGGAAGGGAGTCACAAGCAAAGCATACGAGCCTTGCGGGGGGGGGGGAGAAGCCATATTTTTTAGGCTTTCATACTTTATGATCACTCTAGACTTCCATTAACATCAGACAATAAAGCTGTTTGTGTTTAGCTAGCAGGTACAGCGGACTGAAGTTCCAACAAAACAACATTGGGTCTTTTTAATGTTTTGACAGAGGCAGCCCAAAAGTGGCCATGACCTACTGGCTTTATCTAGCATGACCCCTGACTTTAGAGGACATTTTTCAGGGAAAGGACGACTTCAATTTTTAAAAACATGCTGAAACGAAATGTCTTTCTTTGATCTTGCTAGCAATTTGGTATGTCAAAACTAGTGCATTGCTAGAGCTGTTTTATGAGGTGTGGTCATCATCCCCTAAGTATATATGTACAGCTGCTAGCAATGACCAACAATATTCAAAGTTCTGTCCCAATTGATTACACCTTCTGGATAGAGATCCTGCACAGCTTTAAAAGACATTACATCAATAATCCCCACAATACTATCTTGAAGAGCTCTTGCAGAGACATCATCTGGTTCAATCTCTGTGGGGTAATAAAAATGTGACATTTCCAGTTTTTTGCTGCTTACAGTGCTATGTGACTCAACAACTACAACTCCGGCAAAAACAACAAACATTTTATGCTGCAATTCATCAGTTGTAAACACAAGCTGGTCTTTCTTCAGACGGCGATGAATGACATTCAGTGCCATACGATATACCATACCATGAGGAACTAGTGATAAAAGAGCTGACTTTCTCAGAACAACTTGTGTCATAATACTACCAAGTTGTCCAGCATATTTGTCTTGGAGATTTCTGTCTTGGTTTTCAGTGAATCTTTTCCATGATAGACTCAACTCTATAAGTTTTGCTTGCTCAACTGGAAAATTTTCTGCAATCCTCTAAACAGAAAATATTTGGAAAGGTTATAAACCTGATGATTATAATTGTCACAAAAATGCTTATGTTGGTATCTAATTATTCAAAGGACAGGAAGTTAATGCTGCCAGTAGGTGCAAGGCCAAACATCTTTTGGCCACCATTTCTACAACTAATCATCCCGATTCCCCAAATTTGTCATTCTTACATATGGCCTTAAGCCTTGGTTGCTTATGCCAAACAACAAATTATTTCATTTGATTGGCAGATAAGTCATGCATTCAAGTGAACCAGATATAAGTTCTTAAAACTACTATATAGTAAGGTTTCAATGATATTCTATTGTCTGAGCTTAAAACGACACATTTTTAAGCAAAAAAGCACAAATTGGAAAATTAGTTGAAAATTGAATCCTTTTATCTCCTCATGGATGCATTCCAGGCATGTCGGGAAGAAATTTTAAATGAAGGGAAATCTGTGAGAAAGAATGTGGGACCTTGACCCACTGGAAACCACTTGAGACCGAAATCATAGATCTCTGTTTAGAAATTATAGAGGTCCTCCGGCCTTAACTTTCTTAAGAGATGTTATTAACAGTCTTCTGTTTTACCTGAAAATGCTCTGCCCTGAAAATAGCTGCCATGCAAGGAGTGTGTGCTCTAGCTGTTATCTGCCTTTCTGTGTAACAAAAAAGCTGTTCATCGCCAAACCATAAACCTGTAGGCCAGGCACTCAGGACCTCAAGGCTCTGATCAGTTGCGCTGAGTAGCTCAACTTCACCATTTATAATCAACCATCCATTTGTATCAACTTCACCTGTTTTAAGATTCAGACACTAGAGTTTTCCTTTATCAAACAAGCAAGTACAAATGCTTGCAGAAAAATATTCCCTATCGTGAAAATGGGAATAAAATTAAGGAGAATACTGGAGACAAAATCCGAATGTACTAAGAATGAGAATAACATTGTATCCAGGGCCACCGCTATGGGAGGCAGTGTTGGGGATATGACACACCCCTTGGAAGAAAATTTTATAGTAAAAACAGGAAGCTTTTGCCATTTAGGGGTGCTTTGTAGGCAATTTTCAGCTTTGTCAGCAAATAAAGAATAGCAAATGGGATCCTACTCTTTTGGCAAATGGGATCATTGGTTTTTCCAATAATTTTCAAATATTTAGGGTTATTAATTTATCTTATCGTTCTATACTTCCAATTCAATTCACTTTGGGCCTAGCTCCATGTGTCCTATTCTGAAAAAATATTACATTTTAAGCACCAAGTGAAAGAAGTGTGCAGGGAGGTTCTACAGTGTATTGTCTTTTCGGTTTATAAGCGTATTTGTATTTTCAGTTTTAAAGTAACTTACCACTAGAGAAAAGTTCACTGCCTTGGGAATAGCATATGATTCCATCTTCAGCAATAACTGCTTCCACTACCGTTTTGATTGCCTCTAATGACCAGCCATGGAATGGTGCTGCTTCTTTCACAGTATCAATTAATGTTTCTTTAACAACATCATATCTACTTGCTATTCCACCAATATCAACATATCTTCTTTTGACAAACCAATTCCCTACTGGAAAATCTACAGGCACGTGTAAGATGTTTTCTAAAATGTCTCTAGGAAGCCATAACAGCTCTGTCCCATTCTTTGAAGATACAACAGTTGCTGTGCAAGGCCTTCCGTAGAAGGAAGAAACTTCTCCAAAGAAATCTTCATCTTTTATTACACGCAAGACTTCATCAGTATCGGACATAACCTCACAAAGTCCACTGGCCACCAAATAAATTCCCTTTCCTCTTCTTCCTTTCTCAAGAATTGATTCCCCCTTATCAACAGTCACAATTTGCAAATGAGCGGCAATATTCTGGAATTCATTTTCGTCAATATCAAAAGGCATTGCCTTCAAACAGTTTAAGAATTTATTGAATTGGCCAATCGGAATCGTTGTGTTTTTATTTTCAGTAGCTACAGACTTGGCACCTCCATGAGCACTGTCTGCTCGTCTTTCTGGCGAAACAGGACCTATATCCTCAGATTCGTGTGTTCCTTGGCCCGGTTCTAAAACCTGATTTGAAGAAATCCCTGTTGTTGACTTCCCTTGTTTATTACCCATTTCAACCTTCTTTTATCGTGAGATCAAGCATCATTTTTCGAGAATGAAAGAGCTAGGCCCAATTTTACAACGACAACCACGTTGCCATGGACACGGTGGGCGTCGAACCAAAGTTCTATTTGAAATTACCCCAATTTTCATAAACTAAAGAACTTATCCAGGAATTGGTGCCACATTTTAAAAAAAAACTGAGAAAACCAACAACGTTTAAAACATATTAACTTTTTCTTTTACAGACTTCTGCCAAGTGTTTTGGCCAAGGTTTGTATTTATATAATAAGTGTAGTTCAATTAGTGAACACAATTTCATACTTTCAGAACCCATTGACTACTGATCAAAAAAATGTCCCTGGGATCAAATAAACAATGAAATGTATAATGTTTGACATCCAAATAACTAAGAACCAACTTAAATAACATAAGGGTAGAGCGTTCGGACATTATTGAATCGTGAGAATAATGAAATATGGACGAGAAAAATAAAAGGCAGACTCTATGTACGTACACTGAGAGGACAAAAGTATGGAAACGATAGTCAATTATGGCGGCTCACAGTGGCCAAGGGCCCAAGGCGATAAATCTTCAAAACAAAATTACTAGGTGAAGGGGTCTTACTTGTATACTTCGTATTGAAGCTATTGTAATGAAATGCAGAACCAGGAAGAGATTGATGAGGTCAATTTGAATTTAGGACTTTTCAAAAATAACCTCTAGCCATGAAGGTAAACATGGGTGTAAGGGTATACATGGAGATTCTTGACAAAGGACACTTTTAGATGGTGTCGATCGACCAACTGGACGTGACCATGTCGTCAAAGTAAATACATATGTACATACGAATATTCAATGTATTCGTAGTCATTTTGTGTCTTCGAATACAAGTATACAGTACAAAACTAAATGTAAATGAGTACTATATTTCTAAGTAGCAACAAGACTAAGTCAGAAACTGAAAAAGATCAGACAGGGGAAAATTCATTTGTCTAAAGTTGGAAAAACAAACATCAAGATTGTATTTCTAGGCATTTATGATAACTGCATTTATAATTAAAACGGTTTTAAATCGTTTTCCCTGAACAATTTTACATAGGTACATTGGGCAAGAAAACGTCACTGAAGAGTCAGAAAACATCAAGTTGATAAAGAGATACTTTCTCTCTCTTTTATACCAACTAAATGCCAACTAGCATCATAACATGAAAAAACCTTTCATAGGTTTAAAGTTACTGTACAAATACAAGAAAATCCATAGAAAAGAGTAACTCTTTTAGAAAACTTGACAAAATATACAAATTTATGCAACATTAAAAATTGTCTAACTAATCAGAACAAGCTTTTATTCTTACTGTTTGAGCGTTTGTAGCCCTTTGCAACGGAGGTTGTTGTCATCCATTCAGGGCATTTTCTTTTTCCAAGTTGACTAGGTTTTGGCTGTTGAGAAGCTTTTTCAGATTGCTGAAATTTATAGAGAATATTGTTAATTAGTAAAATCCTTTTCTTTTCGATTCCAGTTTACGTCAGGCAAATTTCAAGGCCTAATTAGTTGATTAATAATAAACAAGAGCAGTGGCGGCTCCAGCTCGGGAGTTGCATCCGCCGGAAAAAAATGTTTCAATCAGGAAAAAGGGCGTGGTTCCTGACACACCTTTTGTCGTCTCCCAAGGAATGTCATTTAAATTTGACGATCTAGATAACGTACATATCACCCACCCCCCCCCCCGAAGTTTTATTATCAGGTTTGCAAGAATCTCAAGGACCGACTTTCTGAAAAAGTGGGGGGGGGGGACTAGTCTCCCTATCCCCCCCGTGGCTCCGCCACTGAACAAGAGCTTGTCAATTTTCAATATTTTTGCTAATTACAAATCACTCACTCTATGTATGTTTTTATCATATGCTTATTGGCATACCAACTTTCTATTTCTTCCACACAATTAACACCTTATCAGTGCTATTCCAGATCAGAAAGCAAACAAACACAGAACAGCCCTGATGTATTGTAAAAGAGTCGTTACCCTAAAAGTTTAATATACAGGGCCTGTATTGCTATAGAAAGTACAAGTGAGCCTCCGGGAAAAATTCGCAAAAAACAATAGCCAAAAGTAGAAAAGGGCTCTTTTTAGAACTACAAGTCTCTGGGTATATATTATGACTAGATGAGCTCTCTGGCAGTTTGCAGGCAAAGAAAACGGCGATAGGGTGCCAACTCAGTTCTAGGATCTACCCGTTTTTGAGTGTACTTGAATCATTTGTGAGCAAATAAACTCCTCCTTAGAGCAACAAACTCTAACCAAGGCTATGCTTCAATTCCCTAGTCTCCCCACGTGGGTACGAACGAGAACTGTTTCGTGACATTTCAATTTTTTACACCAATGATGGCATATGGTCCATTATCGACTCAACAATCTTGTATTTGTAATTTGAATGAATAATAAACTTACAAGCTAAGGCATTAGATCTTCAAGACAAATGACAGCGGCCACGTGTATCCACAAAAAACTCAACAACAGTGAAATGGCCTAACGGATCTCTCAGGATTAGACATACCTAAGGAATACCCAAAGGGGTCAGTTTTGATGTATCCTCAATACCTTTGGGACCCTATCCTAAATTCCTATGTGCGTTATTCTACCAAAAAAATAACTGTTTATTTTGATGCGAAGATATTTGTTATCTTATTTTTGAATAGCTTTAAGCGGGTTTGTTCTTGTTTACTACAAATGCATTTTGCACCTAAGCCACGAGCCTTCGTGAGTAATGCTCCCATGAGACGTTTATGCTCCCAGAATTAAAGATAAGCAACTACAGAAATTTCACAATAATAATGGGCTAAAGGCAAAGTTAAACGGGGTCTTACATGGCTGCAACAATAAATCGTAATTAGTTGTTTAAAGTATGAAGGAAACTTTTCAAAGTTTGCAAAGTAATTAAAAACAGAAATAAGGCCTAAGCAAAACTAGCCATGTATTTGAGATGGGCTTGAAATCAATCGTTTTCGTTATTGCATAGCTTGAAAACCAAAAAGCAAATAAATAAGAGGATTAAATAGGCAAGGCACTGTTTAATATCAAAATATCAAAAAGAATATAAAGGAAGGCAAAAAACAACACTAGTACGAAAATTAAGTTTCAATCATCATCCTTGTCTCTAAGTTTAGCATTGTCTTCATTCTCGTCGTCTTCGTCATCAGGAGCATTATCTTCTTCTTCGTCATCATTTGTCGAGTCATCGTCATCATTGTCGTCTTCATTGTAACTGTTTCTTGAGTTTGATTTCGAATAATCTGGTTGTTCCAACCCATTTGGCGCATGGCCCAAATCAACAAATTTCATGAATCCCCCAACTGGCTTCCCTAGAGGTGGAGAGACTCCGTCACCTTGTGGAGACATAGAAGCAGTGGACCTAAATCTTTCTGGCCTGTTTAGTTGCCTTGTGGTTCCAGGCATCATTCTGTTAGTTTCAATATTTTCACTGCCCATAGTAGAAGGGGTAAGCATCGAATTAGCTGACACTTCGTAAAACCCAGCGGCTAACGAACCCAGAGGAGATACATTGCCAATCAAGTTGGGTGGGGCAAATCTATCAAATTCTCTATTATTATCATAGCTCTGACTTGGGTTTCCTGTGTCAGATACTGGTTTCCAATAAAGCTTGCAGGAGAAAGAACTCTATAAGGTGTTGGTGTTCTATCCACTTGCATATCAGGCGAACCCCCTCGACCAAAATTTTCTCGCCTAGCAGACAATCGTCGACGCCAATGATGGCGACGGTGATGTTTCCCGTTCCTGTATATCAGTCCATGTTTTAAACCATGCGTCTTAAATCCTGACAATCCCCTTTCCTGTGCAAAAATATCAAAATTATATGGTTCTCCCTCATATTTAACAGGCTCTTCAAGATGTGGCCGTAGGGGTGCTATGACACTCATGTCTGGCCTCTTTGACCTATTTGTCTCTTTCATTGCTTTATTTTTCTGGTCGATTCCTTTCTTATCAGCTTCAGCATGGCCGTCTTGTCTAGCACCATCATCTTGGTCAACATCATCATAATACGATGCCTTCTGTTGCCTCGAATTTCCTCTATAGCCTCGATCATGATTATCGTAACCTCCTTCTGGTCGGTGCTTACTCCATCCATTTCTTGAGTCCGAGCCACGCCTTCCTCCCCAACGGTTATTCCCATATCGATTATACGAATATCGTGAAGAGAAGTCGTGAGACTGCGGTATGTTGGATGCAATATCCAGAGATGCAGGGTTAGTTCTTACATGCACACCGTCGTCCGTTGCATGTAGCTCGATGGCTGGAGAGCGATCCTCCATGTGGAAATGAGCCATTCGAACATGGTGCACGTGAGGGTGGTACGAATATGCAAATGATGCGCGCAAGACAAGGAACGACACCAAAGCGTTAATTACGAGTTCACGAATCATGTTCGTAAGTGCGAAAAACAAAAAAGATCTCTTTGAAAACAAAACTTTCTGAAATCAGGTACCAAGACCTGGAAAGCGCCCAAATTCGTAGCTACATCACGACCCAATCACGCTACATTGTGCCTTAACTTTTCCTTTAGAGTCCATTGAAGAATAACTGCTCAATAACTGCTTAGAGCAAATGTCAAATGATCAAATGAATCTGAAGAAACAAGAGACCTTCTCCAGGGTTCCTAAGCTGTATCTTCTATATAATTGCAAGTATCTCAATTCCTGGCAAATCCTGGCAAATCAAGTCAGTCTTCCACAACAAGAATCAATTTGCAACCAAGTGGATATTAAATCTGTCTGTTTAAAACACAGCTATAGATACTTGATCTGTCTCTTTAAGGAAAATCTGTCAAACCGTGGCTAGTACATCGTTCATTTTTCATAAACTGAAGAAGCGTTGGAGAACGAAAAACAAACAGTAATTTTCACGCCATGCAATTTGTTTGCACTCACAGCAAACTGAATGCCTTGCGCAGATCTTCATAAAACAGATTCCTGTATCTCAATTCCAAACTTGAAAAGACGAGAAAGTTTTAATACAGAGCTCGTTTATTTGTCAACACCAGCCAAACTGCGATAAACCCTTGGCTAAAAAGGTGGCCATCCGCCTCACTTAACATGAATGGTCCCAAGACAGATTGTGACAAATATTATTCAGAATCTTAACAAATAAACGTCTGGCGGGTCAAAGAGCCAAGGTTGCGGATATTTACAAAGGACCAAGCTAAGTTCGATATTCATGGTCATTGTAGCAAACACATATCTCGTTCTTGCTAAAAAATAAAGCTAATGTCTTTATTTTTCCCTCCACAATAAACAAAACAAAACATAAATAAAAACAAAAAGTGTACAAGCCGATGATCTGCAGTTATTTTTGAGTAAGCCAATGAAATTGAACAACTATTCTGAAAATAAATTCTGAATTTAAATCAGTACGTTTCACTCCAAACCAAAGGTGATTTTGAAGCTGTATAGTATACGAGCTCTTGTAGAAATAAATTTGAAGCTTATTCATGATATCACTGAAAATTCTCCAGCATCAGAAGTTTTATAGAAAATATTTCTGTCCAAGATTGAATGTTCTCGTTTATTTGCTTACCAACTTAGGAACTTTTACTTTTAGAATAAGCAAGGGTTGGGTGAAAAAGGGGTGAAGAAGGGGTGCATAGGCAAAGTGAGTGGTTGTTGTTCGGAATAAGCGGGAGAAAAATGATGGAATCCATGAGTCAATAGATATCAAGAAAAATTTTATTCCAGCAAGTCTGCACAAAGCTTCCAAAAAAATTTTGTCCATTGAAACAAGCTTTTGCCTTTCCAGATTCGTTTGGTTTTCTTGCTAAGATTTTAGAAATTTGTTGCTTCATTGTTGACGATTTTGGTAGAAAATAGTAAATAATAAATAAGTGTGGCGAGAGGGATATAAAATAAAACGTCATTGGTAGACGACTATTACCCAGAATGATCATTAGAGATTTCAGAGTACATCATCAAAAACTGTCAATAAAATGAAGCCAAGGTTTCATATTTTTGTCCAGCTAGCAAGACCTGTAAACGAATCCGCAAAATCTTGGAGATACACACCTCTTTACTGTTGTCTTTTCTTTTACTTTCGACACCACTGTCTTCTTTTGAATTTGTTCGTTCTGCAAAGCCGTAATTGAGTTCCAGCATTGCTAACACGAAATTCAGCTTACCAAAATCTATTGAGTACGGAAGCGCATCTTTGATAGCTTTAACGCTCGTTATATCTGGAAATGAGAGCATACATGTATAATAAACACATTACATTGCTAATTATAACATCAAAATACCAGATGATAAGCAATGGTATTCGAATTAATATAGTAATATTTAATATCATATTACGAATATTTCACCATATTGAAAAAATAGCAAATAAAGCAAAGAAATATTACATTTTAACAATATTTCAACAAGTTTTGGCAAATTTTCTGATTCCTACAAAACAATTTATCGTATACTATTAAAAAACCACAGTCTAATGAAATAAGAAACAGTTTGGTACCCGATAGGAAGGTATTGTTAATTTTCATAAGATATAATTATACACTGTTTCAATGGAAATCGCTGTTTACTGGTCTGTCATAAAATGTTCGATGCCGTATAGGCATATAATAGGCAGACGTTTCTAGGTTTCTTTAAAATGCATCCTAACAATTTACGATCAAATTGAAAGCAATAAAGTCCAAAAGTCCGGAAATTTAAGACAGCCAGCTTGCGCCTCTGTTCACTGATTCTTAAATATCATAGTGTATACGCTATTTGGTGTAGAAAAAGACGGTTCTAAGCTGCTACTCCGAGTTTCACGCATAATGTGATTATCAGGCAACGGAACCGTCTTTTTTTACACCAAATAGCGTATACACTATGATGTATAAGAATCAGTAAACAGAGGCGCAAGCTGGCTGTTTTAAATTTTTCCAGACTTTTGGACTGGACTGCTTTCAATTTGATCGTAAATTGTTAGGATGCATTTTAAAGAAACATGGACACGTGAAAAGCGAAGCAGCACGTGAAAAGTATAATGTAAGTATTGGCTTTTTAAGAAATTGTGCTTCGTTATCTCTAGGAAATAATTCACTTCAATATACAATTAGAAAATTTAAAAAACCGTCCCACCTCCATTAAATTTGTTCATCACTGTCTTTGATATAAGTGAGATTTCGTTGCTTAATTCAACTTCAATTAGAAAATTTAAAAAACGGACCTACCTCCATTAAATTTGTTCATCACTGTCTTTGATATAAGTGAGATTTCTTCGTTGCTCAATTCAACTACAATGAGAAATTTTCAAAATATAAAAACTAAGAAAAACAGTCTACGTTTGTATAGTCATCGTCCAGTAACACGATTGTGCAAAAATGTAATGCTGTCAAAGAACAACAGGGAAAAAATCTCGCTTGAACTCTCAGCAAATAAAAGGAAATTAACAATTTTTTGCATTGATGCGGAGGCCGGCTGGGCCGTTATTGTAATATCCCTGATTTTGTGTGCATGAAAGCAGTGATTTTTCGCCTTACGCCAATCAAATTATACAAACACTTGATAATCGCCAATATATGATGTTCTTGTATCCGAGAAGCAGATCGAGTTTGGGTTACTTTTGTTCAAACAGCCCAGGTCTAACCGGAGTTAGCCAAAACGAGGGGCGAACTTGTCCTATAAATCCTCAAGATTGGTCATCTTTCTAATTAAGTATAATGACATTTCACATTCAGAATCTAATAAAAAAAAAATGACCTCCAGTAGAAAGAAACAATCCATTCTCTCATAAGGGCTGTTTAATCATGCCTCTTGGTATAAAATTAAAGTCCTTAAGCGTGTGCTTTATCAATGTCCAGATGGACAACCGCTTTAATCCTATTCCAAGTTTTATATTCTGTTGACCATTGGGTATATCAACTTCTAATAGCTTTCTGTTGGCCATTCGTTGCATTTCTATGTGATGGCCATCTATGCTTTTCTTCAAAAATATGAAAGGCCTAAAAAGCTTTAGAATTTCCGATCAATTTGACCCCATACGAGGGCAAAAGGTTAATGTCCCTTTACTCTCAACCAAAAGCAAGTCAAAGTTAATGATGATGTCATTAAAGAAAATATCAGCATTTCAGTTTGTTCCCTCGCATTATACTAAAGAGAATTCGTTTCTCTCTATTCTAAATACTAATCTATTTGAATCAATCTCACTTCAAGTTTTCCGTCTTCGATACCATCCATACATATAAAAGCGAGTGATTGAAAATCACATGCATGTCATCATTCAAAAGAAGTGGTCGTCACACTTACGTCTATTGAAATCAACCGGTAATCCTGCCTTGAGAGCTGTGGCTAAATGACCCATAACTGTACTGGGAACCAAGGCTCGTGCTCGCGCTACCTCCACCTGAAAATGGCATCGGAATCTACTTCGTATCCTCCACATAACGAATTTTTATGAAGATGAGTAGCAACTCTAACAACTTGCAATAAACAACACTTTACCTAATAATAATGATTATGAAAATCATTGACAAAATATTTTTAATGATATGAACAACATTACAACGCCAGAAATGGGACTCAATTGAAATAGGTTGAGGAGCACTGTCATATATGTTCCTCCAATAAGCATGCGAAAAAAGTTTAGAATTTTCGTTAATAATGAAGGAACCTGTCAAAGAAGGAAAATTTTTAAAATAACTACCGTTGCTACAGTTGATAAACTATCCGTCCAAGTTTTTAGATGCATAAAAATAATTGTTATACCGAGCAATAGTATGGAGATAACTGAAAAAATTGCGAGATACTGTAGCAAAAATTTTCTAGCTATAAAGACAATTATAAATTGGTAGAAACTTTAGCCTGAATAATAAGAGCGGAGCTGCAACCTATTTAGAACAGGAGTAAGTTTATACTTTATACTAACACTCAATTTTCTACATTGGTAATAGTTTTATACCTTCGGGCTTCTCAATTCCAACAGGGTAATGGCAACCATAGAATTAGACACTGGTATAAAGTTTTAGGGTAATTGTGTTTGGCAAAAACATATCACCCTTCACTTCCAAGATGCCGGACCCTAGAAGCTTTCATGTTTCTACTCAAACGTGAAGCAAGAATAAAAAGCTACCTACCAAAGGTTGTTTATGCTTCTGGTATAGGTCATAAGACGAGTCAACGGTAGTAGACAATTCACCCCTGGGGGTGTCACCCATCTTCTGAAGACAAAAGTCCTAAAACAGACAGAGTAAAAATAATGACCTACATTTGAGGCTACGTCCCTCACATGCAGAGGCGTAGTTGGACAGTTGATCGGCAATATTCAAATGCATCTTGAGGTTTTATATATATGACATTTTTTATGCATTTCTCCTCACAATTTCATTATACTGACAATTCATACTTTGTGAAGAGTCAGACAAAAAGCTAAAGTATGTCTCAAATGCTTACTTCCTTCAAAGAAATTTTCAAATTTCTATCAAAAAAAATTCGAACCCTATTTTGTTTCCCGTCAATCTTGTCATCAAATCCTTGGTCAGTCGCTAAATCGTTTGCTTTGCAGAATTGAATAACACAGTCGACAAACTTTTTCCCAAATCTCTCAACCATCATTCTGTTTACACCGTTAATTTGGGCAAAATTCTCCAAAGTGCTCGGCCTGAGAATACAATATCAATAAACTGTAAGTAAACAACCAAATTAACACTATAAAGAACTTAACAGTAGACTAGAAAAGATTATAATATTATCATAATAATATATATATATAAAGGGATTTATATTAGGACAAGAGAACAGTTCTTGAATGTAAAACACGGGAAGTTGTACTGATGACAATAGCCTGAATTTGTTATAATTATTACTATGAATTAAGACCAACAGGGCATCTAACCTACTAGAAAACAAACCTAACCTTTATACTGAAAACAGCTGGTAAATAGCATGCTGGCAATCAGATCGGTTACCTCAAATGGTCTGATAAAATTCTTTGTGAATATTATGATTTCATACAGGAATTTTGAAAAGAAATTCTGACCATATTTTGAAAAGAATAGAAAGGTATTCTTTAAAACGTCTTCAGCAATCACTGAAATATATCTGCTGAAATAATGGCAAAGAGTCTAAAATCAGATCATGAGTAACCTAGATTTGGTAATATCAATGAGACTTTTCGTTGATGCCACAATGTGGGGAGGTACGTCCAGATCGTCACAAATCTCCTTTCTCATTTGGTGGAGTTTCTTGTAAAGCAGCTCCTGTAATAAAAAGATACAATTTTAAAACAATGCTAAACATTAACAGCTTTCTACCCATCGTATAAACAAACCCTCTACCTTTTTAAAGCTGTGATTTTGTTAACGTATATTTTTTTCTATTATCGACCCTGATATTGTCAACTTCTGCTTAAGTGACTTCACGAGGCATGCTCTGGGCCTAATGCTGATAGCTACGCAGTAATTTGTGCAACAGATTTTTAGGTTGCTGATGAGAAGGAAAGCCCTCTCTCCAGTCGATTAGATGAGAAGATCACTACGTTCCATCTTCATTTTTATGACGAGCCCTCAATACACTGCTATCTTTAGTCATGAAATTCATCCATTCTTGTTATACAAATTGGTCACCTTATACAAGTAAAGTTACAGCGCGTTGAAATGAATAGACATGAAAATTCCAATATACCTTGGAATTTAAGTAAAACTGTATTCAGAAAAAATAGTGAATTTATTAACGACGTTTCGTGCATAGCACGTTATTCTATTATATTGTACAGCTTGGTATCAAAACACCAAACTTGGCTAAATAGGCAGAAATCTTGGATCACAGAAAACCTCCTTCCAGGTTCGGTCTGACACCGTAATTTTCAGGTGGCGGGCAAAGCAGGAAGGCCTGATTCTGAGTGTCACAGAGAAAAAAAAATTTCATTACACCCACTAGAGAAAGTTAGATACCCAACTCTACGCCACTCCCAACATCGGCATAAATCGATATAAGGAAAAGTATCACCACTTGGACCGTAATTCAAGTCGGGCCCCTTTTCGTGCCAATTATACTTCAACTTTACAAATTTTATTCATGGGCTTGTCCAATATTCTTTTTAATTTGCATATCAGTTGGCCCGGGTCGGGATCTCCTCCTAACAACCGGGGGCAGACAGTGTCTGCCTTTCCGTACCTCTGATTTGGCATCGTCAACTGGAACTGTTTCCTCGCTTCTTTTGTCGTAGTCTATTAACAATTTGATCGGTTCGTGCATTTCACACCAAGCATGTTGGAGGGGCACGTTTGATAGAATTCTGTTGGATAAAATAGTTTAAATCAACAATTAAGTCGTTTTCTTGACCAATATACGAAAATTTTTCCGATAAGGGATATTCATTGATCGAACTTTATATAAACCCCCTGGTTCTGTAAAATAACAAAATAACTATGAAAGACACCAAGACTCACTCTACCAAGTGATAACTGGAGATTTGTATAAAACGAAAGCTTGAAATTTTTATCCCTATCCAATATTTACTCTGTTGTCTGTTTAAAAGAAATCTGCTGCGTAAAACAGTTTAAATCGATAATAATTTCGTTTTCCTGACCAACAGTTCATTAAACGAAATAATTCCCATTCAGGTTAGGGTTATTTATTGATTAAGCTTGTCCTGCACAATATTCATGTTCTTCCAGTGTAAAGAGCAAATATTCATAAGATATTTTAGCTGACACTGGCTATTAGAAAGAAATAGAAATGTTTTGTTATGCAAATAGTTATGTAAATATATAAAATTGTGGTGTAGGTCAAGTGGAAAAATACTACTTAAAAAATTCATCTTCTCTTAGACTATACACTCACGTTGGCCTGACAGAAACGTCGAAAGGGTCCAATGTGGCCCAAGGGCCGTGCAGTCCCAGGTCTTGTTATAATATCATCAAAACTAACCCTGGTTTCAATGTTCTGCTAAACATTTTAGATTATACGTCGCTATTCATTTATTAGCCATTTGTGATTCTAGCTATATTCAGTGTTAAAAATATAGATTTTGACGTCAAAAGTATGAATGAGGTCACCAAGATAACTTTATTTTACAGAATGATGCCACAAGTACCGCTGTTACGAAAATAAAGTCCTCTGTTACTAGAAAACGAATTGAAAGAACAAATTTGATGCTGAAGAATTTGGGGGTAACGAAACTTGTATTGCTAACAGCAAATTCTCATTTAAAGGCGTTAGATTTCCTGAAGTGAATTCTATGCTACAAATGTATCCCTTTTGCATATAGTTACCTTGAAATAGGAGTAGCCATGCTTCTGCTGGCAGGCTGTGTCTCGACTTCTGTACGAGCTGAAGCTTTAGGATACAATAACATTTCCTGCAAAGCAAAGAGAAATTTCAGAGACGTAAACTTCCCAGCTTTTAAAAGTTTATTTGTAGCAATTTTTATGATGCAAACAAAGGGAACAGACAAGATGTAAAAAAATTGACTTGAATATCACACCATGGCTTTTCAAGTTAAAGGCTCTTGCGCAACCGGCATGCTTTGCAACTATGTTTTCCAAACCGGCATTATCTCGTATTGCATGAAAATACAAAGCACAACCAATTTCTCAAGACAGCTGCCGCTAAGCATGCCGGTTGCGCAAGAGCCTTTACCATCAGAATGCGACATTAAACTAAAGTAATGAAAAAAATTACAGGCACACTCATTTACGAATCTGTGGCTATAAATTTCAGTTTATAGAGTGATGACTACATAAATTTACATCGACATGGCTTAATTCTTAACCAAGCATTTTAGGCTTCTTTAGATTAGCCCTACGTTAGAGAAAAATATTAGTTGAAAATACCTGATTGGGTATCAGTTCTAATGTCTGAGCAGAGGAATCACGTATTGCTTCTTTGTACCATTTCATACCTTTTTCTGGAAATTAAATAACCTCTTGATAGTTAAAATATATACATATTAAAACATAAGGCATAGACTGACAGAGAAAATAAACTTTTCCAACTCAAGTTTATGTCAAAAAGCAAAGATATTTCAGTGAGACAAATATATATTTAAATAAATATATGCAAGAGAGGCTTAAACAGCGTCGAACAACACGAACAGATGGATGAAGCAGTCTATGGGGGCATGTTAGAATCAAGTAGAGGGGCAAAGCGATAGTGAGGCACAATTTAATGACCTTCGATTTAGAATTTGCTACAGACAGAAAAGGATGACTTAAAAACTCGAAGATACTTTTTATTAAAGTTATTCGTATGTAAAGAATACTTTATCTTACAAGAAAACTTTTTTCACTTTTTATCAAAGAGAATCCCTCCGCGAAACCATGCAAACTGCAAAAACCTTGTTTTCTACAAAACCATGTGTGTCAGTGGGAGAAACAGTGCTACAAAATTGTTGATTTACTTAGGACAGTGCTGTCAAAGGTCCTGTTTAAATAGCAGGTATATAGTCATAATTATCAAGAACAGAAAACCTGAGCAGACCTTATCAAGGACGAGGTTTGGCTTTACTCAGCTACAAAAATTCGCCATTCTTGGTCTTCAAAACAACTACACTTACATTCTTTCAAAATAATATTTTCAAAATAACATATTTAGTAAGTTTATTGAACTAGAAACTGGACGTACGACTTCGGCCTAACATAAATTGAAATGAATTTATTTCATTGATTTTTCACAGATATATGGAGACGGGAAATTCTTCTAAACCGACTGAATATCTTATAGGAATCTTATAACTGGATATCTTATAACTTATAGGAAATTTTTTGCTAGACTAACAGGAAATTTTCATTTCTAATTCTGCTGCTAGAGAAAAAAAAACAATTCGAAGCCCAGCTAAAGATCTATTTGCAACAAGTATCATGTTACTTTACCGTAGTATAAAATCTATGATTCAACTTACAAGGAGGTGGTTAAAATTTGGAAGGGGCAATAATAAGTATTCCAAAGATTGGTCTTTCATCTTTGTTTGGAAATTAATTGAGGATAGTAACACTTGAGTCTATGGGTGAGTTTAGAATGAGTTCTGTAATTCTCTGATTCTAAATAAGTTTTCTTTTCAAGAAATTATATCCAAGCTTTCTTTCTTGTAAAAAAAACAAATACTAGCAATGTCCAGAGCTTTTACTAAATCAAATTAAAACTCAATCTACCCACATTTTGCAGTTTTTACTAGCTGAAGTCCTTATCTTTCTTGTCTGTTCAACAGCAATGGAAAATCATACTCAATCTACCCCATTCTGCAGTGATCTCTTGCTGAAGTCCTTAACTCTTTTGTCAGTTCAACAGTAATTGCAAATCGCTTTATCACGAAGGAGTGTAAAAAAAGGCTCTCACATACATTTTAATTCTCATTTTTACGCACCTGAGAGCTGCACAAACTTTACAAAGGGTCTGTCTGTCCTCTTTTCCATGAGGTAGTTTTCAGTTTGAAGTTGCCTGGCTGCAAAAAGACAATGTCTACTTTATTTGCTGTAGACTCATATTCAAGCGCTTTTAACAAGGGAGCCAAAAGTATCTTTAAAGTGAGAGGTGTACATAAAGTTACACGCATTTTAGGCCATTTGGTTGCTTAGTCTTGCGACTGAAACTTGGTTAAGGGTTATGCAATTTGCTTTGAAGCATTCAAGGTTGAATTATCAGTTCACACATATCCCTTGATAAAAGTTATTGAAAATGGTCTTATATGCCACTGGGAAAGTCTGACAAACAATTCAGGCATCAATCAAATGTTTTACTACGCTACAGAGCCACAAATGCTATAGATTCAACTATAAACAATTTGTAAAATAAATTTGTGAGTGCAATCATGCTTGATTGTGTCCTAGTGAGTGTCTATGAATCGTCCATCTTGTGCCTTACTAACATTTATGGCAAACGAAATCCCAAAAGACATTTCAGCATTTTGCATAACATGACAAGCCTTCTAACGAGTTGCTTACAAAATTAACACATATTATCATTCTTTAAATAAAAAGTGGGGTGACCCTGTCAATTCATTCTAACCTTTTTCTAATTGGGTGACCCATCTAAGAATACAGTCACGGTAACCCCGTTTTCCCTATTCATTTTGATACATTTTTTCCATTCATTTCCTCATCAAATTAACCACTCTTTCAGAATCAGTTTAATGACTAACCTTTTTCACATCGTTTCAGCTCTACCCACGTCTTACCCTCGTTTTGATTCCTTTTTTGTATCTACATTCAGTGCATGACTTGGTTTTTTTCATACATGTTTTCTACGCTCAAATTTATACCATGTTAGTCATTTTTCCTGTTATTCTTAAAAACCATTGGTTAATTTCTTTACGTGATTCCAAGTAGCTTTTTATTTAAACAGTAAATTGTAATGAGATTTTAAATTATGTTCCATGTCTCACTGGAGTCATCTTTATCGTTGAATTTACGAAACGTTTAAATGAATATTATCGTTTTCTATATCGCCCAAAACTAACTGACTTCACAATACATTAAGCACATAGATTAAGTACAATAAAGAATCTTCTAAACCCCAGTTCTAAACCAACTATCATACAGTACCCCCCCCCCCCCCCCCCCCCCCCCCCCCCCCCCCTGTCTCCAAAGGTTTAACCAACTTGGCAGGAATAAATGGCAAGGTCTCTGGATTCTTGTGATATTACGGTACACCTCATCAAAACGTGACAAGTTGACAGAAGAACTCAGAGTGCATATAACGAAACAGCTTACCAAGACCTTTCCAGAATGTTTCAGGTTTTTCCCTGTAACGAAAAAATATCCAAAGGGTAACTTTGAAATTCTATAGATGTTTGAGAATTTTGAAATTTATTAAGGAAAATTATTGGGATTCCGATTGGGCTAATGTAATGACACTTCATTTTTACCACAAAGCCATGGTGAAACCAACTATAGTCATAGCAAGATTATTTTATCTTGGTGTCCACTGCCAGTTGCATTCAATCACTTTTAGATCTATACTTGCAAAAATAATAATTTGCATCCATTTAAAAACCTCACCCCAAATTTCTGTTATAAAATTTGATTTGACCACAGAAACTAGAATTTTGAAGTTTCATTGACATTTTAGGAATTTTTCCATCTTTTTGGAATAGATTGGGCCTCTAAACATAATTCAAATTTAATCTAGCTGGCATAATAGAAATAATTCCATTGTTTCGATTCTTTATCTGAGTTATGAAGACTCTAGCCTACAATCAAGGACAAAATTGCTGGGACAAGCCAGAAGCAATCCAACAGAAGTATATCCGACAACACTTCCTCGCCCAGTCGAAGTTGGAGTTCACGTATTTTTAAAGCAGATATAAGCAATTATGTTGCGTGTTGCAGGCTTGCTTTTGACACATCTAGTTCAGGGAGAATGAAAGCCTACAGTAATCACTTAAATTACAATCTTTGGTCGTGAAAATGTTCAATCGATAAGCGCTATATCGAATCGATCGGATGAAGAAGGGGCAATCTCCCTCCCCTGCATATCATATTGGAAAAGCGGTGAATTTTATCGCAAAGGATGCCAAAAGAATCTTCTTGGAGCCATAAAGATAGTGAACAGGCTCGCCTAACTCCTTTTGTTTTAATAAGCCAACTTTTCTTTTCCGAGAAAAAATTTGATGAGTTGATGATTAGTGGCAGCCATTTGTGTATTACTATTCATATATATCCATGCATTACGTAAACATAGACGTTTAGCAAAATCTGTAGTATGTCGTATGTTTGTTGAAAATGGCCCCGGTTTTTCATATGTTCAGATACTGTAACAGGGAAAACGTGCTCAACTTGATGCTCTTTGAGAACTTTTTGTTCAACAAGCTGGTATTGATTGCGGAATACCTTGTAAGGACATCATTTGGTAAGAAAGCAGGCACCGGTACACATGTAAAGACGTCAACACTTCGTGAACGGTGCCAGGAACAAGAAAGACTTTGGGAAATTCCCTTTTAAACGGAAATTTTGACTCAACACCCGTGCACCCAGTAAATCCTTCTAAGAACTTCCTCAAACTGTGAGCTGTGCTGAAAGTTTCACGAAATATTTTCTGGGGCAAAATGATAAAAATCTTCTAACGTTTCCTCCCAATGTATTCTGAGAAAAACTAAAAAACCATTTTTTTTAGAATTGGAAAATGAAAATGAAAATGATGTAATAAAATGTGAAATGAAAATTTTTTAATCCACCTTTCTGTTTTGAAAGCAAAAATAAAAGCAGGGAGAGCCTTAACCCTTGTAGTAGCTTTTCCTTTGAAATTTTGGGGAGACAAACGACTTCTGTTTTTATGCATCGTTTATTGTTTCTAGCCGTTTGTGGTTCTAGAGGTTCAGAGAAATCCCCAACCCGCTGATTATACCAACAGTATAGTCCTTATTATTTTAGACCATAAAACCTTCTTTTTCCATTCATAGTAACACGCCCAAAAGGTCATTGCTTGGTAGGAACATGTCATGGGGGGGGGGGGCGTTGGGCGCTACCTTGTTTTCGTTTGTGGGTTGGCAAACTCATGAGCTGATCACTAAAATCGCCTGATGGTCGCTAATAGGGAAAGCGAAAATACGTCTTAGTCAGTAAATTAAGCTTCACAATGCAAGTCCCATCATGACCGTAACAAAGCCGGACGCATCTCTTTATCGAAATCCTTAATTCGGGCATTACACAATACCCCCTATCAAAACTCTACTTGTTGCCAGAAAGCTTCAGCTCTGACGTTTCAGTGGAAACCAAGCTCAAAGCTTAATCCCTAACCTGCGTGCAGACTTCCCTCTATTTGTTAAGTCTGCACGCAGACTAGTTTATCCCTAGTAAAATTGCGTACTATGTACTTTCCCTTTGTTCTAGAACTGAAAGCTAAATACTTCCGCTTCTAAGAACTCAAACACGGAAGAAACTTGAAAGTACTTTCAGCAGGTGAAAGGAGTTTTGTAATGAAACGTGAAAGTTATCAGCATAATAAATAAACGATTTACTTTCTTCTGTCACAAAACCTTGATTTTTCATATCCCCCGGGTTATCATAGCGAAAGTCTGACGTGTGCAGGGGAGTAACAAACTGCGCACTTATGCATTGAAAAAGCAACTTTCACCCACCTCCTCCGCGTTATTCTTCAAAGTGCTAAAATAACATTACTACATAAATGAATTGTGCTGATATGCCCTTTCACGATTCAATCAACATGTCTGAACCTACTGACATTATTTCAATGGCATTTGTCAAACAAGTTTATTATGTTTGACAATAAACTGTTTATTTTGTGTTTCTATTCGAAAAATAATATTTAGAATTTAAATAACATTCATTTTCACCTTATGAAACTTTTGTTACTTGCAATCATATATACTGTTCGCCCTTTTATATAGGCTAAACAGTATTGTAAAAAAGGCCCACATAATAAAATTGACTGTCATTATAACAATCATAACTTCAAGTCTATCAGAATTGAGGGCTTTGAAGCTTCAGCCCCCATCCCTAAAAATCTCAGGGAAATGTTCTTTGAATTAGGAATGGCAAATGAATTGTTATTCTACCAGGAAAGCCCATATAAAATTTAGATCCTCCAGCTCTTCTGTGCCATGCCATTGGACTTCCAGTTGCGGAATATTTTTCAAGATGTAAAACACAATTCTAGATTTAATAATCTGGTGAGTCAACAAAAATGTTTTAAGCTCTTACCTGCCAGCTCCGAAAGATTTGCTGTTTTGAAATCGTGATGGGACAGCATTACTTTTCTAGAAAAAAAATCAATTGGTATGGTATAAATTGCAGCAAAGGAGACTTCAATTTAAAAACAGAGGTCGTAGAAGCGATAACTCCCAATAACTCCAGAATGCTTAAAATAATTCATCGAATAATTTTGCTATTATTTTTATTTGGCTGTAATTCATTGCAATAAAAATATATTCATAAATGTAAACAAATTATTTACTTCCAATAACGAACATCTGCTTACCCCTTTTGTTGCTTAATACCTTAAAATCTTTTCTAAATTTTCCCGTTTTACAAAATGGTGTCACTTTGAACTTTCCTTGAAAACATCCAAATTAAGTGCCTTAAAGAACCTTACCATACATTCTAAAGATTGCCTAAAAGCATCAAATGTATGCACAATGCCTCTTAATACCTTACAATTTCCTCACCTTTAATAGCATTCTCTTCGTGGACTTCTCATTATATAAGTCATGCTGATACAGACCAGTTCTTTGAATTAAAGAAAATAGTAAAACAGGCATCTTCTTAAAATACAGGCAAATGGCAACTTACCGATCCTCGTAAAAGTAGAATTGGTGTATTGACACCATAGTTCCCATTTCCCATCGTCTGAAAATAGTTTAGAGAGTGTTCGATAGAATGTGGTCATAAGAGTTGAAGAAAGACAGCCTATTTCGGTATATATACTTTATCTCTAGACGTGCACGAAAAGGATTTCTGTGTAGGTATCTAGAGATAGCTTGGTCATCTGAGGGTCCCTAGGGTATTAAAAATTTGACGGGCATGCTCCCTTACATTGTCTCCAAAAAGAGGACAGAAAAAGGGCCTAGAAGACAAGAGATATTTAAATGAACAAATGTGGATTAACACGCCCCCTTATAGCGACCGGCCTGTGCGATCAATAGACAACTGTTTACAAATAAATACGACACACAAATCCATACCATGATTGCTTGCATTAAGATTAAGACTTCCTTTCCAAAATCGTACTTCTGTCCAATCTGAGGAGCACTTGATGGTATTAACGATGATCTCTGGATTCTATAAATATTTTCAGCTTTAGGTTAAAACTCTTGAAAAATACTGAGAAATGTAGAGGGAGAGGACCTGCGATCTTATTGTGGACCTGGGAATTGATGTTGTAAGAAAGAAAATGTCCAATCAAATAACAGAGCATAACGATACTGAATCTATAATAATAGCTGTGGTTAGACGCTCTTATTATCAGCTTTGAGTTAATATCTCCACCAAGGAGAGCTTGGGAAACCAAGAATTTGATGAGGTACTTTCAGAGAACTTTCAGAAACAAAAATTTATCTAGCAGCTACATTCTCACTATCAGTAAGGTAAAATGGGATGAATAGTGTATAAAAAGCAAATAGTTCCAATTAATAATGGTCACTAGTTATGTGGACATAATTTGGCACTGTTTGGAAAATATTAAAAATATAGTGACCAGCCCCCCCCCCTTCTCTAATCATTCCCCATCTTTCAGGATTCTGTTGCTACCGCATTTTTAGCTTAAATACTTTCATTCGAAGCAGAAACTGGAACAGCGTCCATTCTTCCAGAATCTATTTTCAATAGTCTAAACATTGAATTTCTTGATAAAAATGAAGTGCTCAAGATGTGACTGGTTATAGGCGAGGAAGAGAAATAAAATAACCAACCTCCCACGACAGACATCACAACATTCTTCTTGGCCACCGACATCATCAGAAGCTTCAAAATGCGACAAAATAGCTCTAAAAAAATGAAAATTTACTTACCATCTTGTAAAATGTAAAATATAAAAAAAATTGAAAAGCTTATGATAGTTCTAAAACTATGATTAGGTTTAAAAGGGATTATTAATGTTAAGAATGAATCTTACGAGGGTTTTTCCATGTTCAATTCATAATCAGGTAAATACACAATTACTATGCTGTCTAGAGAGGGTAGATCACAATATTACGTAACTTGGCCTAAATGACAGAAAATCGATATCTTTTTCAATTAAGTGTTTCCACAACAAAGCCAGGGCGAAAGTATTATTTCAAAAGACAGCTCGAAGCTAAAGTAAAGATTCTTGAGATTTTACCGTCTTCTGCAATTGCTGTTCTCAAGGTACTTTATCATCTTTGAGACCATACTTTCTTTGTACGATCTGAATTTTTCGTCTTTGATATCACGAATAAGACTCCTACAAATAAAACAGGTTTGAAGGGTGAACCGAAAATATAGGAAGTCTTAATATAGAAAATTAGAAGCTCTTTCTCGCGTAAAATCTCTATATTTGTACGAACGTTAAAACAATTCAACCGAAAATGAAGACGTTCGTATGAAATCGTGGTTTTTTATCTTTATTAAATTTGTGAAAAAGTGCAACCATCAAATTATATAAAGGTCTACGATCTATCAAAATAACTACCAAATAACATAGAAGTTCAATTTTACGATCATCAGATGGAAATCATTTTCAAAATAAATTCATGATTTTGAAACAACCGCACATGATATATGAATCTGTTTAAAAAACCAGGGATTATTTACAAAAACAATATTTGGTTAAAATCAAGCGGAGAGATGTCGGGTCACATGTCCTGGGTTATAAAAATGAACTCAATATTAAAAACAACATGCGCAGTGAAAATCAAAGATCGAGCAGTAAAGATCAAGCTGTAAAGATCGAGAATCAAAAAATCAAATTTTGACCAAAATATTAACGATAGAAATGTTAAAGCAAAGAATCATTCAGGAAACCGTCCGCAAAACGGGACTATGTAGTATTGGGATCATCTGCAAGCATGGGATCGTGATTTCTAACACCCAAATTAGTTCTTAACGACACCAACCTACATATCAGACTCTAACTTCATAGTAGTATATAAAATGTTATGAAACCAATGACGTTCTTTGTGAATGCCAACAAGGAATTCTGGGATATGACCATCCCACCTTGATATGTTTCGAGATGAATCTTCCATATTCGTGAATATATGATAAAATATGATTTTCTTGGCCTTTGGACGCTCTGACGGTTGTCGCGTCTTTCATTTCACGCCAAATTTCAGCCACTGTTGATGCGAGCCTTGGATTAATCTGCAATTTCATTAAAAAAGGCCTGTTCTAGGCTAAGGTCCATTATTCCAAGCTTTAAAAATGTTAGAATAATAAGCCATAAATATAGAAAAGACGAATACCTCATAATATTGAAATCACTTGGCGAGTAGAACGCGTAACATGAGCTCGGAAATCTAAAACGAAATAATTCTATAAATACAAATCTAATGCTGTACTTAAATTTATCTCAATTAATCAAAATATCAAGTTACACTGCAGAAAACTTGTTCGCATTGAGGTTTTGTAGTTGAGTCTATTTCAGTATTCTTTCAAATGTATTTATAAATGCAGATTTATAAATAATTTGAATTTAAAAATTGATAATCTTCACTCGCGGACAAAAATACTAGAGACGGTTGTTAGAAATTACGTCATAGCTTACCCATCACGCCCTGCTCTACCGATTTCTTGATAATATGACTCAATATCTTTTGGTGCTCCGTAGTGGATGACAATGCGCACGTCCTTTTTGTCAATCCCCATTCCAAATGCCACAGTAGCAACGATACACTGAAACAAACGACAAAGACAAGATTATCGAGTTTGATGGGACTGCAAAACAAAAAAATCGAACAATATTGTATGATGGATGGAACAATTATGTAAAGACAATATCCTATTCACAAGAAAAACACTTTCAAATTTTCTAAAATTTAGAAGAAATTTCAAATTTTCTCAAATTTGAAAATAGCTCGAGAAAGCGGAACATTGCATACTAAGGTACATTCCGTCCGACACTCCTCAGAGCATAAACGCTGGAACCAATCAAAGGCGCCATGATTCCTTACACGCTTCTTTCGGTACGCATGGTATCATAGACTAGACTTACTCCATGAGCCTTTGTTTCGCTACTGCCTCACTTTACTGACGCTACAACAGAGGTTGTAGCTTCCGTCAAGTGAGGCAGTAGCGAAACAGAGGCTCATGGAGTAAGTCTATTGGTATCAATTTCTTCTTATTTTCAGTCAATTCCCATCGTTTATACTCTGAGGGTCGAAAGAACAGTACTTTAGCGTGCTATGTTTCCGTGCCTCCATGCTTTCTTGTTTCTTATAAGATCATTTTCCTATACGGTAACAAAAACGCAGACAATTTAATTGAAATACAAATCTGCAGCGAATATTCTGAGGGGCAATAATCTTATGCCATTGGCAAAAGTCCTTTTGTTTTGGATAAAGATCCCTGAAAAATCCTTTTTTAAAAAAAAAATCTCGTACCCAGAATATTTCATCATAGGCAGCACATAGAATTGCATATCAGGCAGTTACCTGGATCTCATCTCTTAAAAACTTGTGATGGGTGTCCTTCTTTTCTTTTAAAGATATCCCTGCGTGGTAACGTTGGCACAAAACCCCAAAACCTTGAAGGGAAGAAGTTCAATGCTGTTACTAGCAATACTCCGTGTAAAACCTACCCCGTCCTGAGGGTTTTAATTTTTCGTAATTAGAAGAACATTTGAAAATCAAACTTTGATAATTCGAAAAAATTTTACACCCTTTTGGAAGTTGGAATAATAAGATTTTTCACAAATAACTACCACGTTGATAGAGGGTTCCGATGCAATCGCACTCGTTGTCTTGGAACTGGTATAACAATAACCAAACAGGGTCTCCATTGTACTAAAAAAATTAAGAAGAAGCCAAACTTTGAAGACAATCATTCCATGCATCGAGTGAAAGGTGCCAGATCAACAAACGTTTCATACTGTCAAGAAAATGATGCTAGATCCAAGAACTTTCTGCCAAATACTTTCTCTAGTTACAAGCAACATCGCCCCTTATCTCCTACCCCATTTTCAGTCCATGATCTAATACAAATGGCTGCGAAAAGAGCAGGCATTTCAAGACAACCTTTAGCCATTTGTTTGTTTTTTCCAAAGCAACTTTTTAAGTTAAAACCATTAAAATTTTTCGGCTTTTAATAACGCTAAATAGCGTACCTTTTGGCAGCGTTAGGATTCCCTTATGATTTCAGCTCTAAAAACAGCACTTTAAAAAGAATATGAAGGGATATTCCTAATTGATTCCCATGTAACTTTCCCATCAAAAAAGATTCTTCTAACCACGATTACCAATTTGAAAACGATGTTATCATCACATGATTTTAGAAGTATTAAACCTTAATGTGAAACGAATGAAACGAAAATGAAATAAATGAAACGAAATAACAAATCATTCTAATATTTCAAAGATGGCTTAGAAAAATTTCCCAAATATTTCTTAGATAATTGCTTAAAAATAAAGGTACTTTCCCGAGGATTGTAAAACCTAACAAGCATTGAATAATTTAACTTCCTAAATTTTTTTTTATTTCCTTTTCCATTTGTTTCCTTTTTGTACAAATATTTCTCTTTTTCTTCACAGATACGATAAGATAGTACCATACTGCAGCCCTATTTTTACCAACCAAGCAATAACAAATTTTGCTGTTCTTCAGTCAATATTAAGAGTTGCCCTCATGCGTAACATCATAGATTATAAATAAATAGATACATTTCATAACATGGAAATTACCGTGGGTAAGTATTAAGGATAGAGGGCGAGGATGACCAGGAGGGGGGGATTGCCTCCTAAAACATTGCATTATCTAATGGCATTGTTTCTTTTTACGATTTCACCAGTGTATCTATAACCACATCTGTTCCTTGCAATTCGTTTGCCCCCGTCCACATACCCAGGCCAAATAGTTATCTGCAGTCCTGGCAAAAACATATCAATTTCATTCCAATTTACGTACTAGGAAATTCCACACGCTTTTTTCACTTCATATCCGAGGGGATAAAGCTTGGCGAGATGCAAGAACCGCAAAAATGGTGTTGGAAACCAAGTAATTAACGTAATTTCTAGACATGTGATATGACGGATACTCGAACAGTACTGATGAACAATTTAAAATATGTTAAATTGATTTCATCGCAAGAAAAACCTGTCATGCCATAAATTGGGAACTTGTTGTACTGCCTGTCATGTTTAGAACACTTGAACCAAACGGGAAACCCCAAGTTTACATTGATTCAGATCAGCTTTCAATGAATTGGTTTTAATCTTTTAGATATTGCTTAAGAAATACTGTACGCCTTTCAGGGTAGATGTCACTTTGACAAAAAGGATTTTGTTACTTTTCACCTTGAAGAGTTGAAGTAACAGACTCGACAGCTTTTCTGGTCGGGCAGTAGATGATTGCTGGCCCTTCGAAGGAGTATGTAAGCCTAAATGGAAAAAGAAACAATTGAAAAACTCGTGAAAAATTTTGAGAGACACTTTAGTTGCTAGGATTTGGTAGTCGGTATGAAGATATGAGACTATTAACAAGGAAATCCCTTGACAAGCAACGCGGGTTGAAAAATCATATTAACTGCAATCATATTAAAAGGGTTGGGAATTCACAGAAATTCTCCAAGTATTTAGTGGTTCGGAGCTTTTGGTACGGTTGTATGCAAACAAAAGGGTAGCTATGGTAACACAACAGCCTCGGTATGGTTACCATTCCTGTTATCAAACATTTCAAATTTCATTACAGTTCATATTTCATATTTTGGCTTGTTCCCACATGAGTCATAATTACTTCCACGGTTACTTTTATGCCGTCGAGAAATTCCTAGCTCTGAATCAGAGATGCATTAAGCTCTTTTTGCTAAAATTGGAAAGGGTTGGCCCCTTTCAAAAGGTGAGTATTTAGCCGAGGAAATTCTTTATGTACACTTGCCCCTGATTGGGACAATGAATTTATCTGCTGATTGATTGATTACAATAAAATACAATCCTTGTTTCATCTATGGTAAGGGGGTTTTGTCATAAAAATATGTGGAATGTGTTCGAGGAAGTTGCACCTAGAAACACCCAAAGTCCTTAAATCATAAATGTCCTTGAATCATACAGTTTTCAGGAAAAGACAGTGTCTGATATTTAGCCCTGTCTATCATATCTTGCTATCATGAAAACAGTGAATTATGTTATTTTGACCTGGCAATTGCAGTGAAACATTTCCGATTAAAAATATTTAAATGTTATTCCAATTAGCCGGCTATCGAATACCAGGAAACATAAAATAACGGAAAACAGTAGATAAATGACCTTTCACAGCAAAGGCTGATTCATTTCAAAATAAATTTAGTACAGTTAACTGAATATTATGATAACAATTCAATTTGCTAAAAAACCAATGAAAATCTAAACAACCATCCAGGGGGTTGTGTTTTTATCGGATTCCATTTTTGAATAATAAACTTACTGTAGGAAACAAGTAAATCAAGATAATAGTTAACTTGAGCAAACAGGGGTAGGTTCAGCATAAACTTTTTCATTACTAGAAATTTCAAATTTAAAAACAAATTCTCCCTCCTTGCAACCAAAAAATTAAGCAGCCTTCCTAAAAAAAGTAAGCAGCATGCCTAAAATAAGAAAGTAATCAAATGAACTAAGATTCAATAAATATAGGTTTTCACCTTCCATTTTCATTTGTTTTTGACATCAATTTACCGATATCTTCTATCACAGACCCTGACTTCCGCCTCACTTCCAAAAAGAGGTTTGGCCTGTCAAATCCCGTTGAAGTAATAACTGGTGATTTCAATTTCAATGCTGAACAAATGTCCATTTTTACGATAGGTGTTGCTGTTGCTGTAAGGGCCATTACAGGAACCTAGCAGAAAAACACAATGCTGCTTTTTTCCAGTGTAGCATCAAAAATATGCCATAGACTCTGATATACAGTCGAATCTGCTTACTGTTTAATGTCACAAATCTTTAAGCAACATTTGGTGTGACTATAACCGGAGTTTTCTGTATACACTTTAACGACAGTCTAGCCTGTGTTCCCGACCCCTGACGACAGTTTTGCCTATTCGACAGTCTTGCAATGACGTCATATAAATCCTTTTTTAAATAGGAAAATTTTGAAAAAAAACCTGGAGGAACATTATGAAATAACTCCCCATGTGATAATAAATAAACATGTTACAAATTTGCGGATCTATATGATCATATGAGAACCAGCTTTTTTTCCATCAAAACAACTAATTGCCATGTGATCTTGGTTCTAAGAACTATGAACGAAAACAAAACAACTGTAATCCATCAACTGACATCTTTCACTTGCTATATCTCGGCAAACGTGCAACATATTTTACCCATTTTGGCACATTTACAATGTTTTTTGGATATATTTGATAAAAAATAAAGAACTCTTCGACATTCGTGACGTCACTCTATTGAACTTTATTTTGGTCTCCATTTCAGGGCTATATAAGAGCCGAAAGTTAATAATACGGTCGAAGCCATAAATTTCTAGTTAGGGCATGACTAGTTTGCAAAACTCGATTAACAATAATAATAGACCATGCCAATAATGCAAGGCACTGAAAAAATTTCAAACAAATACCGTCAAATTACACTCCAAACCCGATTAAAATCTCGACGAATCTCATTTATTTAAGGTTTGGCATCTTATTAAAGGCAATTGTCAGAAACTTTGGGGGCTTAAGCCATCTTTCAATTAAAAATTGACCAATCAGGGTGTGTAATTCCACTCACACGCCCATCGATTGGCTGATATTGATTGACAGATGGCTTTAGCCACTTTGTCAATTACCTCTAAACGACGCCTTGTGTAAATGTGCAAGGGTGTAATGCTGTAAGGCTCCAAGGGACTGAGTACTGAGCGAAACAATGGTAGTTCATGTCAAATGGTGCCGTGGCCTGATTTAGTGCTCCCTTGCATTGCCTGCCATCTCAGAAAATATCCCACTCGAATAAGCGCGCATCATGATGTATTACAAAAACCGTATTCTGTAACGACCCGCCAGTTTTAATGCACTTTATATTGATTGACAATCAATGTCATGACATAGGGCAGCTAACAAGGCTGTTCCAATCGCCACCAGGGGGTTGCAGGACAAACAGGGTTCTTTGAGGAGAAATACAACTCACACCCTTCCGCCCTCTTACAAGACAGAGCTAGAGGCGCAACTTGTTCAATGTTTTGTTGGGGAAAAAGTGGTTCGATCAAATCCCCATCTGCTGTAAGTCATCCTTGTATCCCTGTATTTTCGGGACACAAAACATCGGTAGAGACAGAAAGACAATGCAGCAATACTGAAGAATCTGTAGACCTACATTTGGTACTTGCTCTTTTATAATGCGCAGCTCTCGATATGACTTTCTGAAATCATGACCCCACTGGGATACACAATGTGCCTCGTCAATAGCTACAAGGGTTAGGCCTGTATAAAAAGAGAATCATAACGTTGTGAAATTTTGGGTTTTATAGATTGGTAATATTAGGAGGTTCTATGGAGTCTTGTTGAAAAGGCTGAAAAACTAAAAGGAAATCCACAAGATTTTTGTTCAAAAGGGACCTGATCCCAAACAATTACGTCATCTGTATAGCTAGATAACCCCACTCCCAAGAACATCCTTACACAAATGGATTCCGAAACAAGTTGTGAAAAAAATCATTCACTAAAGGTATAAAATTGCATGATATATTGAACAGAAGCCAGGTAACCTTCATAATAGATTGAGATTTAAAACGAAAATATTTGCTTGGGTTGGCGAGAAAGGCTTCAATGAAAATGCATTGGCACGAACTCCGCGCTACATGTCCTTCGACTTCATGTAAGGCGTCAAAGATGACCACTAGCTGGTAAACTTTAGACTGTTTGACTCACCTACTTTAGAGTCAAGGCTTTTTAAAAAACCAGAAGAGCCTGTCACGTATTCCGGAGTAACATAAACAAGGCGGTATTGCTGATTGTAGATTCCATCAAGCACTGATCTTGAATCAGCCTGAGCAGAGCCAAGATAACAAGCGGGTACACTAGCCATACTGCAAATGACAAAGATACAATACAAGATAGAATTAAATATTAAGATGAAATATAAAATATGTAACATAGCATAGCATAACATAATATAACATAACATAACATAACATAACATAACATAACATAACATAACATAGCATAACATAACATAACATAACATAACATAACATAACATAACATAACATAACATAACATAACATAACATAACATAACATAACATAACATAACATAACATAACATAACATAACATAACATAACATAAATAAACATAACATAACATAATATAACATATCATAACATAACATAAGATAACATAACATAACATAACATAACATAACATAACATAACATAACATAACATAACATAACATAACATAACATAACATGAAAAACATAACATAACATAACATGAAAAACATAACATAACATAATATAACATATCATAACATAACATAACATAACATAACATAACATAACATAACATAACATAACATAACATAACATATCATATAATATCATAGAAAAACAGAACATATCATAAACAGATTACCTCAAGGCATGAACTTGATCCTCCATGAGAGAGATCAAAGGGGAAATCACTAAAGTAAGGCCAGAAGTGTACAGAGACGGATACTGGTAGCATAAACTTTTGCCAGAACCTAGTAAGAAAGATAACTGACAGGTTTATTGAGCTTTTTGAGTAGAAATGATTTACAAGTGCAGTGGATTTTCTTTATAACCTATCTTTTTCTAGTTTGATTTACTTAGTCTAAATATCCGAATTTTGTCACCAACAACACCCCCCCTCCCGCGGTTGGTAGGTGAGGACGTGAAAGACTGTTGAGTGGTACTTTTAGGGCCTGACAAAATGTCCTCTCCATTATAAAGAGCCCCTGTTAATAGCTCAATTCTCAGTTAACGGAGAGAAACAAAACTTGGTATATTTATAGCTTGCTAAGTGCAACTTAGTGCTATATTGAGACATTACCTATGAAATGTATAAAAAATAGTCATCATGTGTCTCAGTTACCTAAAGAGATTATATACAGGGATAATGTGGGCGGGTATATTTGAGTTGTATACTGTTGATCACGAGCCCTGGCAGAATACATTCTCAAAACTTGGGAAAATCATCTGACAAAAAGTGTATTTTATTTGTTAATACTGTAAACCCCACGTGAAAAATCCCATGTGACATAAAAAAACACATGACAAACTGGATGGGCAAAATGTATCGTTATTAAGAGCACCCTCGAGTTTGGGGTCTGAAAACGGTGTAGATGAGAAAAATAGGGAAAGCTGAAATGTAAATTTGACCGACAATAACATTTACCAGTAGCCATTATGACACAATGATCTCTTCTTTCCACAAGTACAGATCGTATAACACCCCATTGCGCACTAAAAAAAACAGGCAGCAAACAAGTTCAAGTCACCGGCGAGAGGATGGTTATCCGTAGTTGTATCCCCTCAATTCGCAGTCAGGGCCGCCGAGAAGAGGAGCAAGGAGGCAAGTGGGCACGGGGGTACGGGGGTAAACTGCCCCAGGGCCTCGAGGTCTAGGGGGCCTAGTAAAGTAAGGGAATAAATAAGAAGTAACAAATGTAGGTCGAAAAAACTTAAACATTTTAAACGTTTGCAGGAAAATGACTGTAGGAAAGGTTCTAAATACATTTCAAGCTAATCTGAAAGGCGTGGTCGCTGAAATTTTCTGCTCGTTCCGCTCGCAGGCTGCCTCGTCGGTCTGTTTTGCCTCTAAAAACTCTCGGCGGCCCTATTCACAGCTGCATTTTTCGATATGGGGCATTAAAGGAGGTTTTTTATTCGAGAGAGGGAGCTTATTCAAGACTCATTCAAGACTCAATGCTAAATGAAGGCTTATTATTCATAAAGAGGGGCTTAATGCAATTTAATATTAAAGGCATTGAGTCATGATAAATGGGTATACCCAAATGCGCTGACTCATGATTTTCATGCTTTTATGCTTTTGGTGCGCCTGAAACTGATCACGTGAGCACACCACGTACTGGTTTTCAAAACAGCTTCCCGCAATAGGGCCTAATAACAAGTTGTCAACAATGGATACTGATGTCACATGAAACTACAGCGATCACACCAAAAGCAAATGATTTTACTGATAGAAATATTACTGGCATTTCGCATTTAGAAATTGTTTCTATTCCTATCGCTATTGGTTGAAATCCAGACAGGGTGGAATCCATGTAAAGTTCACGGCGGATATACAGCAACAGAAATCGTTAGTCCACGCCGAATATATCCGGCGTAAGCTACATGGATTCAACACTGGAAATGCAACTCGATATCAATGTTAATGTGAAAAATTGCAAAATTACTATGCAACTAGCCTGGTAGTTTCATGAAATGGTGCAACATTGAACCGGTTGCTAGTTGCATAGCAAAGCGATGACGAATCGATTATTTATAGTGACTCATTGTGAAAGATAAAAGGCTTTGTTTAAAACTTTTGTTATTCACTACACCGATTCAATAGACTATTTGTAAACCAATATAGAAAGCAAACAATGGAGAAAATCTCAAAAGCATAAAGAGCCACGTGAAATCACACGTGAGCAAACACCGTTGTGTGGCTGTAGTAGAACGGGGGGCGAAAAGAAATGTGAGCGAGTCCTGCCCTGGCATTGCCACTAGTTCACATTTTCCCTCAAGGGCCTCCGACGAAGGCGGCGAGGGGACCATGCCCATGCCCCCTCATTTTTTTTACAAAAAATGAGTTTTCTAGGAGTGTTAAATTTTCTCTTGGCCCCACAGTACCCAACTTGTGTCTGAGCCGGTCGATGCCCGTGCCCTCAGTTCAGGGACCATGGAAGCAGGGGAAAGGGGGCTGGGGAAATTAGGTGTGGAAGTGGGTGTGACAACATTTTAACAGCAAATTTGTTATTTCATGAGTAAAATCAACCGAAGTTCAATTGCAATTTGGTCTTTTTGAATGTCTTTTTTGGATAATAGTTCATCCCTCTCCTCACAGATTGTGGCATTCTCCAGAATCTTGTATCTGGAATACTGTAAATCTTAAAAAGAACATGCCAAGGATAAGCCCCCCACCCCCCTCCTAACTTAAATGAAACATATTAACATTCACCCTGCCCATAATTTGAAAATGTTTAGGGCAGGATAACACTAAAACCTGTATTTCCAACAAGGGATGCTTTGGCTGTGGCCAAAAAAACTCCAAAAGCGACAGGTATGCTACTTTTGTGACTTGCACTACTAAAAATGTATCCATATTGTTCCTCTGTTTGCACCACTTAAGAAGGGATTCTCTAGAATGAGCAGACCCCCCCCCCCCTTGAAAAAATAGGTGACAGCTTAAATGCTCATCCAAGGCTTTGTGATATTTCTGTTTGAACTGATTAGTCACATTTGAAACATTGATTTATTTCATACATTTAAAAAAAATCGAAAATGAAGAGATGGTTCTCTTCATAATATCAAATGCCATAAAATGACCCAGAAAACCTATTTCAAATGCAGAAATGATGCAATATTATCAAGAGTAAAAATGGTATACTACTTGCCAGAAAGCATAATAAAAAAATGATAACTTACGGCCTAAATCTACCAAAACCAAAGTAATGTTTTAGAATATCTGTGTGCTCTTTCTCTGGTGGAGGGCATTCAAAATTGCCTGGAAAAAAGGGCAGAAACTACTTTAGTCAATTAAGGAAGAATCTTAATACAATTAAAAACAGACAATTAATTGAAAAGGAAAATACAATTAAAATTGATGCAGAGGTGTACCAACTAAGATAGAAATATGACAGGCAATACACACATCATAAATAGGCATATCATAATAATTATATGCAGCTATCATTATCAGCACAAATTGTTTTTTTTCAATTCAGTTACACTATAACTTCAAACCTGGAAAAGTGGTAATCTGCTACTGTATTCAATGAAAGCAATTAAAATAAGTCTCAAACCAAACATATTACTTTAAAAGGAAGAGAACACTTTTACATGTCTCATTGAATCTCTTTGTTATTAATCTAGTTGAAAAAATGAGCAGGTGAGTTTGTAAAATCTGATTGATATATAGAATAACTTTTTGGAACTAGCAGACCCTAATTATAAAATCAAGAATGCTGTATAGCAACTGTATACCTATCTCGCCCTCGTGTTTTTTGGATGGTGTGTTTGATGCTGTGAAAGATTCCTCAATCTTCAACGTAAAATATAAGCTGGTAGAAAGTGCAATTGGTCAAACTATTAAAAAGCCTGTTTGTAAGATAAGTAAGTATTAATTTCTTACCAAAGAAAGATTAATGTTTTGTTTAATGGCCACAAGGCTACCAATTGCTGTTAACAGAGAAGTGACCAAGACAACACTGGGATACATACAATACAAACTTCTATCAATGTATCAAAATATGGAATGCTTTTCATAAATTGGAGGGTGTCAAACTCCAGGCTACACCTGGCCTGCTATACAGCTAGATGTGGCCTAGAAAATATTATTCTCATAAGAGGACCAAAATAATCCACTGATGTACAAATAAATTGACAAACAAGGTGTTTATCTATTAAGAGAGCTGAAAAACATTAACCATTGGACTACCTAGCTCCAAGCCTTCTCGGTTAAACTTTTTCCTAAAGGACTGACTGCAAAGTTTCATACATCTTGCCAAACACTTTTAAAATGAACAATGAAACAAAAATTTCAACAAGGAGCTCAATTTACATGAAGTGGAACACAGCTATACCTTTTCAAGTTCAGACATAAGATCCTCGTCTCCAGATTCAAAGCCATCAATGTCATCAGAGAAAAAATCTTCAGCCTCAATAACCTGTGCATTAAATTAAGCATAAAAGAATCCCCTCGAGTTTAATTAATACTTCAGTGAATTATATAAGTCAGTTCAAAATCACAAAGTAGTGTCCCTGACAGTACTTTGTCAATCTTGAATTACATTGTTCTTAATACCCAAAAACAATCTAAACATCAGGCCTTGCAAGGTGAGGCAATCAAGGTCAATCAAGCGCCTCCACATGCACCCAGAAAGTTCTAGGTTGCTTTATTGATCGAGCACCTAGCTTGTTTATGCTATCTAAAAACTAAATGGGAAAAACCAAATTTTGTTATTGATGGTATTTGATTATGCTAAAGCAAGCAATTAGAAAGTTGAAGCTATTCCTGCTTCAGAACCTTTATATCATCAATTTACAACCCTGCAGTTGATTAAATTTATACATCTTAGACTTATTGTGTGGCATTCACATAGCTCTGTCTTAAGCAAGGAATGAACTCAACTTTTGGAGTGTATATGCACAAAAAAGATAATAAGTGATAGCTTTATCTAAGCCCAAGACAAGACCTCAGTGACACAAAGTCCATGAAAAACAAAGTTTTGTTGGATTTGAAAAAACAAGATAGCTCTTTAAACTTCCAAACTAACTAAACCTCCAGATTATGTTTCAGAGGAGGCCTTCTGCCTGGATGGTTTTCAATTGGTGAAGGCATTTCGCATGTGAATGGATTGCCTGTGAATTGTGTTGCATTATTAAAAAAGAAGCCAAATGCGGGTGTGCTGAAGCATTGTTCAAGTTCTCTGGTATGCTGAATAAATTTTTATTGCCACTGAACTGAAATAGCAAGCCTGATCATGCAAGAATACTGTTTCCTGCATTTTGTGTTGATCTGATCAATACTGTCAATAAAAATATAGTCAGTTTCTTAAATATTCCATACAAACTGACTTGTACTTGAAGTTTATCAGATATTAAGCAATTATAGTAAACACTAAGTGCTTTGGTGTATAGAACAGGACAGTTCAAAGTTAGAATTTTGAGTAGGAATCCTGTTGTATACAACAAAGCGAGCAAATACTAGCAAAAAAGTAATTTTATTCATATTTCTTTCTTCATATTTATTCGTTTTTCCTTCTATGTCTTTTTGCTATTGTTGATCTGGCAGAACTAAACATAATTTCCTAACCATTTGCTGTCGATTTTCATCTTGTAGTTGTTTAGACTCCACAGTAGTCTTCGGACAAGAGCTTTGGGCTGAATCAGATGCTTCGTTGAAGTTTTTAGCAGATTTTAGTTCTAATCGATTTGGGGGAATACCAAAATCCCAACTAGGCTGAAACTGGAGCTTATCCAATGATGACAGTTCCGATTCTAGTTCCTCGAGATCGTCGGTAGTCGTTCGACCATTTGCAAAGGAAGCATGGCTAGGTGAATCTTCAAATTGGTATTTCTCTAAGCATGTATCTGACGGTTCATTTTTGGCTGACAAAATTGAAAATATATTCTTGAACGAGTTTCTGCCATCCTTTGCTAGTTGTATATACTGGCCTAACTTCTCCACGTGGTGGCCTAACCGGGCGTCTTCCAGGGACAACAAGCGTTGTATGCATTTCAAACTTTGTTGCAAAACCTCTCTTAATTCAGAAACAGTAAAGAATATACTTTCTTTCTTTATATCTGTCATTTCTCTCGTACAACTGTAGCACTCTATGTCATTATTTGGCAAATGTTGTCCCTAACTGGAACATTTTGTGCCTGCCTCCTCTCCGTTTTGTGTACAGTCGATTGGAAATTTTCTAGCAATATCGTAAATCTTCGAATCGAACCCCCCTCCTAACCGCGAAAAAGCCCCCCCTCTCGAATAAGCCCCCACCTTAGAACTACAAATTGTCAATAAGCCCCACTCTCGAATAAGCCCCCATTGCTACCGTAAATTCTTGAATTGGACCCATCAATTGGATGATTTTTGCCATCTGAGGTTGCCTATGGTGTTTTATTGAATTACCACAACAAATTCATACTTTTGAAATTCCTACTAAAATAAACGAGGTCTTTTAATAATGTCTTCCTAATGTCTTCCTAATATCACTTTTCGGGAAAATACTAGAAATATCCCCCGTCTTGGAATTCTCTATAAATGGTCTACGATCAATAAAGAGTCAGATCATAGATTCATTTGTGGTATATGATTAAGATGCCTGGATATAAGGCGAAAATAGCTAACTGTAGCGAAGAATTATCTCATCTGAAATGTTTGAAATGTGGGCTCTTGGTGAGAGATCCTGTACAACTGAATGGTGGAGAGCGTATCTGCTTCACTTGTTGTGAAGGACCTGAAGAGAAACTTCGGTAATTTTTTTATTCTTTTTTACCAGGCATGTTATCAATTTGTTTTTTTTATTTGTAAAATGGAAAAAAAAATTAATTATAAAAATTTAGTGTTCAAAAACGATAGATGTGTAGTGATTTTAATATTGTAAATTAGGCCATATTCCTACATCATGCCATCACCATGACATCTACCTGACATGACATTCCATGACATTCACAGCATCACCTAGCACAGGACATTCCCTGCACCATTGAACACACGTTCACACATCTATGTCATGCTGATTTCTTCCCAAGTCTAGATCTTTCCTTCTCCATTGCACAACACATCATTACTCAGCACATTTATTTTGTATATAAGTATGTTAATTTGTATGTGATTCAGTCAGTCAGTCAAGTTCAGTCAAGTTCAGATCAGAGTGATACAGCAATACACTGTCTCTCTCACTGGCTCCGTGTTCTCTGCACGTTAAATAAGATTCGTCGAAGCGAACACCAACGATGGAAAGTCACAGGATATGATAGGAACCATTGCAATTCTTGTCACATAAAAGCGTTCCTTTAGATGTAACTAAAAAATATTCTGTTCTTTTTGGTATTCAATAAATTTGACAATTTCGAAACCAACATTTTTCTGAGAAACCGCCATTCGGAAAAAACACTTTGCTAAGCGCTTTATTAGAAATACCCTTAAGAACTTCCGAAAATTGTAAAACATTATTTCTTGATTATATATACAACTATCCTTGTTATATCCCGCCGGTTTTTACGAAAAGCTAAAATTTCAAACTTATGTTCTAAATTAAATTGATTACTGTGTTATCTAGGTACATCTTTTTAATAATTATTCAGTTAGGCCTATACGCATTTGTTACGGTGTGGAGCTAAGGTATTTGGCTTCGACCTAGGCCGGTCAAAAAATCTGATTTGTTGCATGAAAGGAACCCTTACATTGTCTTCAGCTGAAAGGGAACTCTTGACTGCAAAGGGACATTAATGTCAATCTCTACAAAGTGACCACGTTGTCCTGTACTTAGATTCAAATGTGCATGTTCCGCGTGGTCTTCTGTCATGGTCCACATTGCCCCTTAGAAGAAGAGACGTTTTGTTTTCGCTATTTTGTTTTCTATATCCCACCAGATTTTACGAAAAGCTTAATGTTCAACCGTATGTTCTAAACTCAATTTATTACAGTTGTATATCTTTCTAATTATTCAGTTATACGCATTTGAAGTTTGAATAATATAATAGTTTAGTTACAATACGGATCTATGGAGGTGTATTTGCCCGCCCTCGACCAGTTTTAACTTGATCTAGACTGGTCAAAATATCTGTGTTGTATGAATAGAACCTTACATTGTCTTCCTTAAAAACCAGTTTCTTAAAGGAGACTAAATTCCAGATAAAAACAAGTTTAAGCTGGAAGGGAACTTTGGACTGCATGTCGTCATGCACTACAAAGTCATCAGGTTGCCCCATCGCATGGCCTCCATGTGTCGCTTTTGTCTAATGGTCTCCATGTGTCGCTTTTGTCATGGTCCACGTTGTCTCTTATAAGAAGAAAGTAGTTTTGTTTTCGATATTATTTTGTTCTTAACAGTTGCACGAGTAATTGACACTAGGCTGAAATATCTGCCACTCTATAGACAAAGTAATCCAGTATACCATTCACCTCTTGAGCATCTCCATGGTCTCCATGTGTCGCTTTTGTCATGTTCCACGTTGTCTCTTATAAGAAGAAAGTAGTTTTGTTTTCGATATTATTTTGTTCTTAACAGTTGCACGAGTAATTGACACTAGGCTGAAATATCTTCACTGCCATTCTATAGACAAAGTAATCCAGTATACCATTCACCTCTTGAGCATCTCCATGGTCTCCATGTGTCGCTTTTGTCATGTTCCACGTTGTCTCTTATAAGAAGAAAGTAGTTTTGTTTTCGATATTATTTTGTTCTTAACAGTTGCACGAGTAATTGACACTAGGCTGAAATATCTGCCATTCTATAGACAAAGTAATCCAGTATACCATTTACCTCTTGAGCATTTTCCTACTCGCTGTTCTAATTATTAAGAAGGGACCCCTTTTTATACCCATATAAAGAGGTCCAATAATTTAAGCTGTTTTTGGAAAAAGTCTTACAGGAAAGTTATTTTAATTCTTTATATTTGATGTTTTGTAATTTCAATATAGGAATGGAATCCTTCTTTATAATGGAAGTGAGAGTCTCAATGGGTCAGCTATTGGCAATGACGTTGTGAGTATCTTTGAATTTTGGTGTGTCAATTTCATATTTTTAGCAGATCCAGTTTAACAACAGTTACAGTATTGAGCAACCTCCACTTATAGTTGCACCTCTTAAAAGTCACACAATCTGTCACAGTCGCATAAAATTTAGACCCAAATATGCAAAACAGTTTCAGTTTCATTTATTTATCACTCAATCCTAAGTACAATTCTAGAATATAACACTGCAACTAAATACTTACAATATATAATACCACACAAAACAAATTAAACTTACAGAAGACTAGAAAAGAACTTTACATATTGATTTTATTTGAGACTGATTGATTGATTGATTGATTGATTGATTGATTGATTGATTGATTGATTGATTGATTGATTGATTGATTGATTGATTGATTGATTGATTGATTGAGACTGAGAGATCCCCCTTCCCCCCCATAAAAACAAATAAAACTAATAAAATATTTTAATAAAAATAAATCAAGCATATTGCCAGATGCTTCACAATGAAACTCCAATGAGGATATTAGGAATAACCTTTCCAGGAAAATTTGCCAAAAAAGTTATTAATAAGAGTCAATGATGTGTGTTTTCAATTCAAGTAAGCTCTGTTTACAATCACACTTTGTTTAAAGTCACAAATTTTCAAGCAATATTTGATGTGATTATAACTGGAATCTACTGCATTGTTAGAAGTTTTTTACTTCTGGTCACAAGATCTAAATGAAACTCCATGAAGTGTGTTGTAATTAACAAATCATTTAAATTATGTACAAAAGGTGCAGGGTAATTTTCCCACCCCTACCCCCAATTCAACCCCTTGGTGCCACCACAGCCCCCTGTTGTCTTAAATGCACTGTCATCATGACACAGCACCACAAATCATTACATCCTTTAGTTGAAAGATTACTCCCCTAGAATTGCATCATTTTGTGTATTCGTTTGCTTTTAGAATTACCTTATAGCCTATTTTTAGAATCATTTTTTGCTGATTAATGCTTTTGTTAGAAAGAAAAGTTTGTCTGCTCACAGAAATCTTAATTTTTTCAATCTGCATACTTCAGGGCATACATACATCCCCTTTTTCATTCTACATTTGCAAATTGAGAAAAATCCATTCCATTTTACAATATGGCCACATCCTATAAAAATTTTATAGCATTCAACTGATTTTGCATGATTAGATGTAATATTTCACATTACCAACATTTTCAGCACTGATTTTGCATATTCAATAAGTTGTAAAAATAGATTTATGACATCATCATCTCTATTGTTCAGAAATCATGACTCAGCAAATTTTTGTATGTCTTCTCCTTTCAATGCCTCTACTAGGAGAATATCAGCTCATGAAAAAATTATTACATTTGTTACAGTAACCAAGTGTCAATATCAATTATCAAGTACCAGTATCAATTATCATATATTCTCATTTATTGTCACATTCGATCTTAGGCAATCTTTAAAGACAAACATGCAAAAAATGAAGTAGATGCACTAAATGTGTATTGCAGCTATAAAGACAGTGGATGTTCATGGGTTGGACTAATTAGAGAATTTGAGGTTAGTTAAATGGTAAACAACTCATACCCAGAATTCTCTAATCTTTAGAATATAATATATCTTATTAGAAAGATACTTTGATTTTATTTTTGAGTAAGATTTAGTAAGTTGAATGGAGAATATGCTAGAAAACAAAAAGCAAAATCTCTCATTTTGTGTTCTTTGCTTTCTTGATCTTTAGATATTTAGGTGAAACCTTAAGAGCTTATAGGCTTTCTATATTATTTGTGTAATATGTGTGATATGAAAATAAAATAGTTTGATTGTTAAAAACACAACGTTTCGAGCATGTACTTGTTATCAAGTGGCTAGAAAAGAAACGAGAAAAAATCATTTCTTTTCTAGCCACCTGATAACAAGTACATGCTCGAAACGTCAATTTTTTAACAATCAAACTATTATATTTTCATTCTGGTACTAAATTTATTTGCTAACTGTATTATCGTTATTCTGCATCAATGAGGTTGTTCTTGTATAACAAAGGGTTTGATGTATGCAAAACAAAACATAATGCATTATTTTAATGGGGGCTGATCAAAAAATTGCTTTTTCTGTCATAATGCCCAAGAAAATGTCATTAATCATGTTTTGCTCCAATAACTTAATTATTTCTTTTGGTTGACTTAAACCTGAGTAAGGCATAAACTGTATATAGAACTAAAATACATGCAAACTATCTAAAAATTTTGGATTGATATCAAGTTCAGTTTTTCATCTTTTGTCCAAAAACTAGCAATTATTGAAGTGCAAACATATTTAAGTTCACCATGTGAAATTTTAACTCCACTTTTATTAATATTATATATTTTTGAGAAGGTATGCTCTCACTCTAATTATAACAATAAAATTAGTAACTGCAGCATGTTACAAACAGAAACCAGTAGGAAAAACTAATAAACAACTTGAAATGGTCACCAAAAAAGTAGGAAGCAAAAAAGTAGGAAATGAAAGAAATCAGGCTTTGAAAACTTTGTCAACATATGAAAGTCACATGAAACTATATTTCTTATTCTTGAGTTATTTTTAAGGATAAAAATGACTGTTTGATTTTATGATTCTGTGATGGATGTATCAATCACACTGAGATATGTGTGAGAGATATGCAGTTTGTCAAGATTGCTGGTTTTTTGGCCAGATCTAAGGATATCATAGGATTGCTAGACGATATTTTTTATAGACAAGCAGCTATTCAGCAAGACTATATGTAAGATAATATTACAATATGGTGAAGAATCGGGGGGAAATGGTTCTAATATGAAGATATATCATCCTTTTTGTAACTTTAAGCTGCTGTAGGCTACAAGTCATGCAAAGTAATCAGCTTTTACTTATGCAAAATAGTAAACTATTTAGACCAGAGTCTTGCTTCATCATAAGCATTTAAACCAGCTCATATTAACAATATAATTGGCTTCAAAGAACTTTTTTAATAACGGATCCAATACGCTTAATCTTGTTTCTTGCTTGCTTAAGTTGGTTTTTCTGGCTATTTTATTGTTCCTACTGGTTTCAACCTGTTTGATGTTTTAGTAACTGCAAGAAAGATTATACATTTATGATCTGTTTGTAAAATTATAAAACTAAAGTCAAACAAGAGGAAACAGTGTATTTGAAGTTTCCTCATATTCCCTCAGTGTCACTGAAGTTTCATGATTATGGCTGTTCAGCTGTCAGGAACTCAAAAAACAACCTGAGGGATTTATAGGACAACAATTTAAATCATGACAAATAATGACAACAAAATGAATGGTGAGCGAAGTATTTGATTGCAAACCCATTCCCTCAAGGTCAGGGCCAGCTCTAAAAGGTTTATTGTGAGTTTTACAAAGCTGGATAGCCAACAGGGCCATCGCTAGCGGGCCAAGCCCTCAGCAATTCAAAACAGGAAAAGATAGCGCTATGGGTATCACAGAGGAGCAAAAGTCCCCCAAAAAACTTCAAATTACTCCCTTTCGGCAGCCGGAGTCTAGAATCTAATGTCCAATATCCAGGGCGACCTAATTTTTACCTAAAGTTTGGGGTTTAGGGAAGGGTCAAAGTTTATTGAAAAACTCTGAACGTTCATCCTTGAGGTACTGAGAGCCACTGTAAGCAGGGAAAGGGGGCAAAGTGCCTCAGGCTAACTCCATTTTAAGAATGAAATCAATGAAACGTAGGTATGCCTAAAAATAGTGAAAAGTTCTAAACGATTGCAAGAAATGACTGCAGGAAATATTCTGAAACGCATTTTAAGACAATCTAAAGGGCGTAGTTGCAAAAATTTGTCCTCGTCTTTCGGTTTTGTTTCAAGGCCTTCAAAACCTAAGTACCCACAGTCACTCAAAAATTGAAGCGATGATTGACTAACGAGAACACCCTCTTTGATAAACAAAGCGTCATCAATTGCGTCAAAATGCCACACCCCCACATTGAAATATCTTAGGCCACGCCCTATTTTGTCGGCAAATTGGTGACTGGCATCCCCAAAGTTTTCATGTGGGATAGGCACTTGGATTTTTCTTCCTTTTCAGCTTTTATCATTTGTAACATCAGATTTGTGAGAAAAACAAGTGGAGCAGGCCCCATGCTGCCTCCGCAACACTCTTTTCCAATATATTATAAGTGATGACAACAAGAAACAGTCAGCACCAAAATGGTGTGCCCATAAAAGCTTGATTTTACTGGCCCATAAAATTTACAACCTTACCCCTCTGTGTAGTGCCCTTAATTTCCTGGGACTGTCGTACATTAAATTGATCTTTAGAGCTGGTCCAACCTATTCAATATATTTATGAGTGAGAGACATGCAAACTTTGAAGAAGTCTTCGGAATTTGATAATTTTTTTGTCTTTATAATACTTTCTACAAATAATAACTAATTTGTCTTCATAATTAAATCTATGTCATACTCTTTGTATGCTTACCCCTCTATCTCTTCACAATAAAGGAATAAAAAAATTTAGAACATAACATTGTTTTTAAAAATTTATCCATATACAAAGTCACATATTTAAACTTTCTTGCTGTGTAATTTTTAGGCACATGTTAATAGCTGTGAAGTATATCCTGAGTTATGTCAGCAGTGTGGCTGTGATGTCCAGAGGAGACAACTAGAGAGGCATTTGGAAGAAGAATGCACAGAGCGGATTGCTACTTGCAGGTTTTGTGAAGGGAAATTTCAGCATGGCTTGCTGGCAGTGAGTATTCAATTGAAATAAATTTTCTCTTGTTCATACAGAAATTTAGCTGCAAACACAAAGAATAATAAATCACCATTCTCTCTAATCAAAAGGTGAAACAAAAGAGGGAACAAAAGGCCTCTAAAATGTTTACAAAATTGATTGCCTATTTTGTTCTGCTCCATTGCCTTGTCACTGCAGTCTTATAAGGAGTGAACCTCGCACCATTGTAGAAAAATACTGTACACAGCATATCATATTAGTTCAGTTCAGTTAAGTTCATTTCAGTTCAGTTTCATCTTTCAAAAGATTGCTTTGGGTTCCAGGAGCTCAAGGGCTCTCAAATGTGTTAAGTGTTTGTGACTCTCTAATTTTGCTAAAAAATTTGCTATATATGATTTTGTTATTAATTATCATGATGGAAAATTGTTAAAACTCTTAATTTTTCTGCCATAGAGTCATTTGAAGACATGCATTAAAAAGCCAATAGCATGCAATCAATGCCAAATTTCTATGCCACCAGATCAGGTAAAAACATCAGATTTTAAAATGCTTGTTGTTTTGTCCAATATGTTTACTGCTTTTTAAATCATTTATATATTGTCTACAAACATGGGTACAAATTATATTTAGTCCCACAGTGGATTAAAACATTTAATCCAAAACCAGATTCTGATTGAGGAATTTCTGTCTGGCTCATCTAGTTCTCAACATTTTGTCTAAGATATGTCTAAGATCTAAGGTACCCTACAATTTGTCTAAGATTAGGATCTCTCTACACCATCCCTGCTTTAAAGGAAGAAAGTATCTAAGTGATTCATCTAATAACTTGCAAAAACGCGTTTTCATGTCTAATTGCCAGGAATTATTGGATGCCTTACTAGTGGGCCAGATTGGAGAGATCATTGTTACCCAGAATTCAAAAGTGATCTTTCATTTTACTTTCCTTCTTCTATGTTTCGGCTCCCTCCCCCCCCCCCCCCCCACCAACCCGACCCTACCCTGATAGTTACCTGGCATCCCCGAGACTCTGAAGTTTTGCAAGAACACCAAAGTTGAAAACTGGCTTGTAAATATTTGCTTATAAGGTTTCTTAATATTTCGTTATATTTTTCAAAACAACGATATACTTTGCTTTTAGATCAAGGACCATGAAGATCTTTGGTGCGAAAAGACAAAGACCGTGTGCCCGTTTCAAGAGGAGGGCTGCAAAATCGATCAAGTATGCAAATCAACTAATTATCTGTCCTTTTAAAAATTTGCTAGTTTTACAATTCTAATTCTCTTGGGTAAAAGGATGCGATATTCCTAACCCTGTAGTTTGTTAGCAAATCTGGGGAAATTGGGATCTTTTAAGTTATCCCAAGTTTATATCGCGTTTATGAACCATATTCTTTCCCAAACACAACTTCTTTCCCTCACTTCTTCCCACGCTTTCTCCCTCTCCAAACATAATCCTTATAGTTGCCACATCAATCCTTTTTCTCACCTGACGGCATCATTGCAAACTTTGGGACCTACCTCTGTTGGGTATCCCATGAAACTACATGCGACATGCCCAAATGTAGATCGAGGGTTAGTCGATTTTAAAGTTTGAGTCACATCGTTTTCTGAATTCATATTTGGGAATTCCCTACTAAAGCGATCAAGCAATGCTGTTCTTTATGTATTTAATACAATGTATATGGAACTGTAGAACGTTTGGTGAAATAGCTCATTCTTTTTGTAGATCTTCGACAAGAAAGAGCTTTCAGTGCATATAACGGACACACTATCGTTTCACATTCTTATTCTACTGGCGAGGTTAAAAGCCCTTGGACGATTTATAAAAGAGATTTCGACAAATTTGGTTAATTTGAAAAACGATTTATATCCTCGTTTGGAAAGACTGAGCCGCTTATTCCAAGACATAGAACTTAAAGTTTTAAGCTGGACTAACTTTTTGAAAGCACAGCTCTCAAAGCACTGGGAGGAAATTCAGCATGTAAAACGGACCGTAGCAGATAATAGAGAGGAGCTTCAAACCATTGTTTTGCAAAAGGACGATGAAAAGAAATTGCTAGATGATATTAGCTGTAAAATATTTATCCACGAATCTCAGTTATCGGAGCAGATTGGAGCTTGGACCGACTTTCAAAAACAAGTCAAGACGCTCACTGATAGAATAGAGGCATTGCGAGCTTCGCAATATGAGCTAAAGCTAGGCCATCAACGAATACTTGGCATTGGTGGGTCACCTAATCTTCCAGCCCCTGTTTATCCTTCGCCTGGGTCACCAGATTACCACATCAGCTATAACGGTGAACTAATTTGGAAGATTTCAGACATAACGACCAAGAGACAGGACGCCATTTTGAAGAGGACAACTTCTATTATCAGTCCTCCATTTTTTTCTAAAATGCACGAATACCAATTATGTGGTCGTCTTTATCCTAACGGAGAGGGGCCAGCTAAAGGAAAGTTCATCAGCTTATTTTTTGCAATAATGAAGGGCCCGTACGATGCTCTTTTGCCGTGGCCTTTCAATAAAAGAATAACCTTGTCAATACTGGATCAAGAGGGAGTTGAGCATCACGAAGAGACCTTTCGGGCTGACCAAACAAGCAGCTCGTTTCAGAGACCACAGAAGGACATCAATATAGCCAGTGGGTCGCCATTCTTCATTAGCCTCGAAGCACTGGAAACGCATTCATATGTTGTTCAAGATGTGATGTACATCAAGATAAAGATTCATGAAGATTAAGGAAATTGTAGCTGCTCATTTAAGAAGTTGTTGCTGCACGTTGCTGGACCAATTGGGTGCAATGCTAAAATTTATTAGAACTTTGACGTAAGAAGCAAACTGTGAATGATGACTGAGCAGCGAATTGAGTTAGATTGACCGATGCTACAGTGAGATCGTCAAGAAGGGACATTGAATAACATCATAAACGAAAGATGATGGGATTGCAGCGTAAGCTCAATTGTGCCGGATTACGTCATCGTAAATAGAAGAAGCCATTTTCATTTAACTATAATGGGACTTTAAGGAATTAATTTTTGTTAGATAGCAGCTCTAGAAAGTATACAAATAACTGCTTAACGGATTTTTTTTACGAAGTATGTAAGATGAATTCTTCCGAAATCACAAGCTAGTTTTTGCCATCGATTTTAGCATTCGTTTATTTTTAAAGAATGGCAGAATATTTTATTATTTTGTAATGGCTTTAAATATTCATTCGCCCATGTATTAATATATTAATATTAATGTAAAGAAAATTATATTTATTTCGACACCGTTTTATATCTTATAAAGAAAGAATATGCAAATAGCAAACGGAAATCTGGAAATCTCTCAATGATGCTACAATCTCTTTCAACATTGTATAAGACCTTAAGCTTCGCGAAAACACTACCTATTGGAACACTAAGCCTCAATTGGCCAAAAAATAAAAACAGAACCTTAACAGTGTAAGATCATTAATCGGGGGGAGGGGGATGTACGGTGCGTTGACGTGCCATTATTTAGGGGTACATTTTTCTGAAAAGTGCGGAATTATCGGTTTCAGTTTTTGAAAATGTATGGAATTATGGGTACAAATTGGATAAACATCCAGAATAAGAGGCACCACCTTGGGAAAATGTTGCAAAATTATTGAGAGTTACTTTGTGGGGTTCATTCAGCATCACCCCTCCCCCCCTCCTGAAACACATCATTCGGTAAAAGATTCCCAAAGCAGAAAACTAAATAAAGCTGGTTTGATTGTTTAAGTAACATCCAAAGGTTTTTAGCTAATTTCTCAATATCTGAATCACATTTTCCTATAGACCCTTCTTATATCATGTTTTTCTACAATATTGTACGTCTGTTAATGGTTATTGCCCTTGTTGGCACTACTAAATCAAATTTCTACGGTTTGAGATCTGTTTATCACTTTTTTAAACAGTACTAGCCAATTGCATTGATAACTCATTCGATGCTTTTCCAACAACGAGGTGTGGTATAAAAAAGTTGAATTTTTAGGGTTTGGTCGAAAAAAATTTCCAGAAGTAGGGCCCCCAACTTCCTAAGATTGTAGGAAGTCGTCACTGGGCTGAAATTACCTAAACTTTCAACAAACGTGTATAGTTTTATATGCTGTGGTATGCAGAAGCAGAGATTTGATGTACAGAACAGGACGGCCTCTTCAATGCTGCAATTGTGAACCAAAACTATGCAATTTTTCTCCTTTTATAACTTCCATGAACAGTGAACCGAGGGATAAAGAAACGAAAAAACAAAGATTTTTAGCAATCCAAGGAAAAAAGTATTTGATGCAAACCATTTCCCTGATGGCCAACTAAAAATGGCTGGTTCTTAGAATTTTACATTTTGACAAAGAAATATCTGCTCTCTCGAGAATGCCTTGTTGTACAATTCGATTCCCTTGTCAGCAACTTTTGAAACAACTTCAAGAGTTGGCTTTGTAAAGTAAAATTAGTCAAATGTTGACAACAAGAACTGAAACAAAACAACTTTTGTATCGTACAAACTGTGCTATTAAAACAAGCCACTAGTGGTATAATTGTGCCGTCACTGCGCCAAGTATTAGCAGAGCTATACACACCGAACGCAAACAAACATACGTTTGAAAAAACAGACAAGGCCAAGCTATTGACAAGAACACATTTCCTCGTACTATTTTTTAAATGCAAGCTTTTACATGATATTGCTGGAAATCTGGAATCGTGGGTGATGGCACGATATACATACGTGTTAAAAGAAGAATGCTGGAGCCCAAACCAATCTCAGGTTCAAGCAGGTTTTATACGGTATGTTCAGTCACATCACAGAATAAGTAGAGATTCCAGAATAACCTCAGCAAAAAGTTACCAAAATAGATCTTTTTGCAATATATTCTACTTGATAGTTCGTATACACTACCAAAAAACTGACAACAAGGCAAATGGCCCAGGATTTTGCTTCCGATATCAAACCATGGGCAAAATACTTCGAGGGAAGAAACTTTCGCGAGAAGAAACTTTCGCGTTTTGGCCTAAAATCTTGAATGTACGAAAATAACGAAAGTCTATTCTCGCGAAATATCCAGATAATTCGGCTGTTGCCGACAAACGATTTTTGTAGTGATTTTTTTAACAAATGCCAAAATGTAGGCCAAAATGGGCTGAAGTTACATGATGTTTTCGTTGTTTTGTTAGTAAAGAGTTGAATGAAATAGAAGAAAACATTACTTGACTAGAAATGCTTTTCGCGCTAGATTCATAATTTTAACTAAATCGCAAAAGTTTGTATTCGCGAAAGATCCTCTTTCGCTTCATTCGCAAAAATTGATACCAAAAATTTTGCGCTTTCTCAATTCCCGAAACTCTCTTCCCGCAAAACTTTCTTCCCTTAAAGTAGTTCCTTGCTTTTGTTCTTGAACGGCTCTACACTGCATTTGTAGGTTTGGTTGGGTTGAAAAAAATTTACAGTAGAATAGCCCCACCATACTTCAAACGTGGCTACACGTGAGGCTTTATGCGTTTATCGAACTAAACACAAAAATAAATCTAGTTTAACGAGCTATCAAGCGTGGCGATATTACTTCTAAAGAGTTTGGGCTCTGTTTTCTTTATGATATTTCGAATGCTACGTGTATCATAAAGACATATCATTTTTTACACGTTAAGTCAATTATTTCCATTCTTTTCATTTGCAATCTACTTGTATTTTAGGAGTGGAGCCAATCACAGAATTCCAACACTTTCAGACAACCACTCTTTATGCAATGTCGTGCAGATACGACCGTTCAGTAACACGATGTCCTCCGTAAATGAAAACAGTAACTCCATGGAATACTTTAATTGTCTGATGGAAAGAACAAAACAAGACAAGAGGTTAGTGAAGGCAAGAAACTGTCGCTCGAAAATATCAGACTTCAAAAGAGGAGAAACGTTTATAGATAATGTCTCTACTCCAGAGGAGAATTACAGAGAGAATGAAAACAAAATCCCAATTTTAATAACCAGTTTATCAAAAGCCCCTCGTTCATATACGACATTCCCGAACCTAAAATGGCTGCCAAGGCTTTGTCGTCAATGTTCAAGCGGAGACCCCAATGTAGCTGCATTGCCAACCCTGAGAGAAATGCTAAACGAGGCCGAAAACCTAAAATATATATTGAAGAAGCAAAATAAGGCAAGAACGTTCAATGCAAAGCGATTGCATGTAATCCTCCCTTCTACAACCGACAACTTGTGCTTATCTAATGAACATAAGCAACAAAATGAGAGCCAAGACACACTACTACAGGACTGCAATAAAAGCACTGATGAATATGCTGTACAGAAGGGACTGTTCTGTGCCAAGGCAACAAATGTCAGATGTCAGTTGAAACTACCACTTATTTCATTTGCAAGTACTTTAAAACCAGAACGAGGAAAATTTATCAGAACGAGGGTTAATGCTCGCGGGATCGGTGACTTTACAAATAAAACAGTACACTAATTTGAATTGTCAGATAAATTTTGCGAAATTGAGGTTTTTGACACTTACCGATGCTTTATGTAAAAAAATAATCTATTCAACTTATATTTAAGAAAAAAAATTTGTCTGAAACTTTATTAACTTTTTTGTTAATTGAATCCTATTGAAACCCACGTTTAGGATCTCAGTTCATGGCACCAGCTCTAAAATATTTTGCATTATTAAAATGTAGTAGAAAGCCATCACAATTATGTCCCGTAATTGATCTTTTCCGCCTATTCCCAAAATAAATTTCAAAAATTTAAACCCACTCTTTTTCGCCAAGACAATTTCACGAGCCCTAAATATGTTTGCCACCTGCACGACCTTTCCTAGCTCTTTGTCACCCGCACCCAATTTGTCATCTTCATTTGTGTTAATAGCTGTTCAGTCGTTTAAATACAGAAACACTATGAAATTAACATCGAAATCGAATAATGCTTCATAGTGACAAGATAATGTTCGTCCTAGCCAAAAAAACCAAAAATTAATCCAAAACTGGTGACAAGCCTAAGTCCTAATGATTATCAAGTGTAAAACAACAACAACAATTTCCTAGATACTACTTCATGTAAGATAACACAACACTCTTTTGCTAAAATCCCTGAGAAAGGAGTACTAACATCAGCTTTCAAAGGCGAAATTCAGCCTTCCTCCTCCCTCTCTGAGACAATGTTCGTTTACTATAGAAAAACAAAAGTGGTGATGGAGTACGCTCTTTCTTGTGGCTTCCATGTTTCTTTCTAGATTATCAACATTCTTCTATGAGAAAGGGGTCAGAAGAAGTTGCATTCGGGGAAAAGAATTGAAAAACCTTCATCGTTAACCGTATTCAGATATGGAACACAACACAAATGCTGGGTACACCAAGCTATTTGGATTTTGGCAGGCATTCTTCGTTTTAGTGTTTAATCGTGAACTGGAAGGTGCCATTCCTTCTTAAATGATTCGTCGTTAATGAAACTGGATACCAATTTCCTTCACTGGCTTTAGAATATAATGTAGTATTTTGACATATCTCCTGCTCTTCTTCATATGTGTTTTAGATTTTTTTGCATAATTAACTCTTCGCTGACTTCTAACATTTAGGTCCCATTGCACCCCCTGGTTAACGGCTCAACACCTTTGTATGGGTCAGATATCAGCTAAACCATGTATTTTTGCTTTGATGTTTTTAACATTGAAACTTTTTTTGCAATACCCGTAACTGCAGTAACAACCTTCATCGTTAACCGTATTCAGATATGGAACACATCCGCTGCGCGAGCCGTGAAATTATAATAGACACACCTTAATCTCCTACCCTCTATGAGATCAGTCAAAAAGTAGAATAGAAAACTGTAAAGAAAGCGTCAAATCTTGAAGCAGCTATAGGAAACATTCTCAAGCATGGCTGCTCAAACGCACCTAGTTGAGTAGTGCTGCTCACAATTACCGGTCAACACGCATTGTAGGCTCACACGCCTTGTGGCATCAGCAGGTTTTTATCGATAACTAATCTAAGAGAAACACAAGTCTACTTGGTTTAGTCGCTTGACTTTTAGTTTTATCAAACAAGGGGAATATGACAATAGACTATGATATATGTAGCGGTTTAGAATATGTAGTAAAAGGCCATCGCACTTACTTGCCGGTGAAATTGTCTGAAATTTTAGAAAATTTACTAGACGCGGCCTAAATTGGAAATAACGTGGACCAAATACGTGAATCAATGGTTGTTCAATTTATCGATGCTAAATTTCTAGAGTTCGGCGAAGAATTGCTGAATAATCCGTCACCCAGTTACTGCAATGAGCTCCTTCATGTAGATTACATAATCAGCTTTCGCCGTTCATTATTTGGAAAGCAATTTCTACGTGAAGAGCTGAAGATTTAACACTTTGCTGTTCAGGTACACATCACAATAAGGGAACCACAGCTCAAATATCGGATGCAAGTTGATAAAGTCTTTTAGAAGTGGCCGAGATGATCTCGAAGGCTGCGAGGGCAAGTATAATCTTGATGTGGTATCTCTCAATAGTACTGTGTGAAGGAGAGTTTAAAGGCAAGGTGTCTGGATTTGGTTACGAGGTCCAGGCTCTGCCGGCCGGTGGATCAATTTCAGTGAAACCTCCGCAAACTGAAATCGAGGACAACAGCGGGGGCAAAGTTGATTATGCCAAAACAGAAGCAGTACCGCTCATTCCACCCTTTGTTGACAATGTGTTTGCAATGGCAGAGGCTCTAAATCCAAAGCTTGACGTAAAGGGAAAATATACCAATTGGACGCCAAAAATTAGGGTAATAAAGCCAAATAAGAAGATAGAGTTGATCAAAATGCATGCACCAAAGCTACTGCCAATGCCCAAGATCATCGCGCAAAGGCGCGGGAAATTAAACATCAGACAACCTGCGCCCCGCGGGAAAGATACCCAAAGAAAATACAACGCCGGTTTACCGATCAGTCCGAAAAATATACATTTGGAGGGACATGATACAATGACAATGGGTGCTGTACAATATCAGCCAATTCTGGCTCACCTAAAATCTAATACAATTGGCAGTTACCAGATTCTCCCTGGATATTTCAGGCACAATTATGGTAAACGATTATTCAAGAGAGATGTTACCAGCAAAAAAGATTTGCAGAAAAGTATAGAAGCGATTATATCAAACAGCTTTAAGACGAATGAAAATGAAAAGAGTAACATTATCAGCAGAAGGAAGGACGTTGACGCATCTATCATGAAAACAGGCACAAAAGGCAAGATAACTATCTGGATTTTCAGTTCTCTGCCTTCTATTTAGTCCGTGTTTGGAACTAGCCCTTGTAACCAACAACCTTAAGCAGTTGAGAACCCCAGCTCCGTAGAAAAATTGTCTTTTGATGGGTAAAGGTTGTTGTTCTCGGCGAAAAGGGTCATAGAAAGAGTCATTGTTATTGAATCGTTGCATAAGATTCCCTTGTGCTTGAATCTCAATGGGTGTCAACTTGCATTTAGTGCAACACTCTTTGTATACTTTGCTAATATTTTTGAATCAAGGAAGATCGGTTCCTTGGATTTAAGCGTAATGCAAACAATTGTTTTGTTTTCTTTCGTATATTTCAATAGCATTATTTACGTAAGCTTTATAATTGTAGAAATTGCTTGCAAAAAATATCATTCTAGGAATCTTAACATATTTTTGACAGGAAACTCAAAGATGATGAGGTATGTTGACGGGATGAAAAGTAAAGTCCATCATGTAGTTGCAGAAGCAAAAGCTGTTCTTGAGGATACAGGCAAAATAGTACATGGATTGAAAAAAGTCATAAGTGGAGCAAAGCGGCTGACTGAATTTACCAACAACGCAGTTACATTTGCCAAATATTTTGCCAGGGAACCAACTAATGCAACGGTGGATTTCTTTGAAGAGAAAGCCGTTATTGCTGTTCTTGAGTCACAGAAAGCAGCTGCAGATGCAAAAATTGCTGCTGTAGTGGCAAGAGAGGCAGCCAGGAAGGTTAAATTAATTGCAAAACAGATCCGTGGAAAAAGCAGAAGTTTTGATAAGAAGTTGTCCAAAGCTGTGAAGTACGCGGAAGGACAAGCACACAGAGCGGAGCAAGCTGCTAGGATTTCATCATTTAAAGAGAAAGATGCAAGAAAAGATGCAATCATAGCTGACAAAGCGTTGCGGAAGATGGTTAAATTGGCCAACAAGAAGAAGGAAGGAGAGAAGGAAGAGGAAACCAAGAAAGAGCCCGAGGATATACATGTCAAAGAACAAGAAATTGGGTACGAGGGCTCAGGGGAAACCGATTCTGAAAAAGAGGCAAAGAAATTAACAAATAATGAAAACGAAAATGAGAAACAGAAAGAAGAATCCAGTGTCAACGGTAAAGAAGAAAAGAACACAAAAAAGTCTGGAGATGATACCGAATCCGATTCGACAAGAAAAGAAAGCATCGAGGAGAAACTGGAACAAGGAGAAAATGGAAACAAAACAGAAATATTAAAGGAAACCAAAACCAAAGAAGAAACTGTTGACAGTAGCAGCAATGTGAGTAGCTCAATGTGACTACTGATCAAAAGGAAGCCTCAGTTTTTGCTTTCTAAACTTGCTGCATAAAACAGCTACTTTCATGTGGAATAATTTGCGTCATTCTAACTTCATTTCAGGGGAGCTCCTCAAATTTTTATACATAACTTTTAGCATATGAATCTTAAAGAAAAGCTATCTCGTTTTAGAAAACTAAAAGAGTCTATTATAGAGGCTAAGTCTTCCGCTTTTAGAGCCATAGTGCTGCTTGCAGCTTTTGTCCTACAACCCAATCTTTAAGAGAAATAGCAAAACATGTTTAAATGAACGCAGATAAAAGTAAAAATTCCCAGGTTAATAAGTCATAACTGAGGATATTCTAGGAAGCTTGGGAAAATGAATCTTTCCTATTAAACCTTGGTATTTACCCCCAAGGCCTCAACAGTCTGCCGCTAGCTCTGATTTTTTAATAAAAGTATTTATCAGAATTAAGCCTATCTTACCATCTACACTAATTATCTTTTAGACTGTGAATTTGAAAAATATATCGAAGTGGAAACCAAGTGCCAATAAATCTTCAGAGAAGCAAGAAAATTTGGAACATGACCAAAAAGTGTCGATCGATTCAGGGCCTGAAGCAAATGGTAACAAAACGGGGAGGCTTGAGGACACCGAGCTGCCAAGACTTTTTGAAGCTGGAGATGATGAAAATGAAGTTTTAGCAAACGATTTTGATAAGGCAAAGGGGACATTTCATGGTTATTTGTTGCCAAAGGAAGCAGTGAATGGGTCAGATGTAAATGAAAGCGAGGAAAAAGACAATAAAAATACAGAAAGCGAAATTTCAAAGAACAGTGAAAAACAGAGTTCTATCAAAGATAAAAGTAACTCAATAGCTAATGCTGGAAACTTGAAAGCGATCAACAGTCACAAAGCTGCTTCTGAAGATAAATCCACGCCTGTGAAACAAAAGCATGAGTCGAAAATTCTGGAACGAGAAGTCAAGAAGGTAAGCAAAGGCCCGGTAGATTTGGTTGTTACAGTGACAAGGAGAAAACAGGATCGTGCCACGAGCGGTTTGGTTAGTCCATCGACTGGAAAAAGGAAACAGAAGACTATGGACATTACTTCATATGACCCTTTTAATTTCAAATCTTTAGAATCAGCTGAAAACTCAAAAAAGGCTGCGCATTATATCGTTGATAAAGAAGACGAAGGAAGAATCGGTCTTTCACCAGTCCATGACGTCAAGGAATATAACAGCATAAGATCCTTTATTCCGAAAATAAAAGCGCCAAGAACATTGGTTTCCAATAGATACTTCCCTGAACGATTGCAGAAATCAAGAATTATGCCTACCTTTTATTTGAATCCAAGGAACGGCTATACATCTATGAAGAAAACTCAGAGGTCTTTCATTCCGTACAGACCGTACAGAAATTACAAATATGATACCTTATTACCAAGCTATTATTGGGCATGACCTTAGTATTAATCGAACTAGTAAATATTAAGTATTGTAAATAGTATGCTAGATTTATAAGTTATTAGATAATATTTTAATTTTGGTATAAGTGACATTAAGGAATATTTATGTTCCTTTTGTTTTAAGAATCTGTCGATGGTACTTCAAGATCTAAAAATAATGATTTGTGGCATATATTCATCCTTATTCTTTATCATCTTGATTAGGGTTAGTCTGCATACGTTGATAAATGCTGGGTTGATGAGAGACGAATGGATAAAACGATTTAAGCACTGAAAATAGCGATATTAACCAGAGGAATTATCAACAATTGATGTAAGCCACTGACAAACGTGATAGAAAATTGAGAATAGAATGCTTTTTGAATGTCATGAACTGTAAATCTCATGTCTGATGTTGGAGCCATAAAGGCAAATATTTGATGGGGGTTGAGGGCTGGGGTGACCAATGGCAATTTTCAGGTATGTGGCTTGCTATCATTTTTGATGCAGAACAAATTTTGCCAAACAATAGCGAAAGACAACATATTTACTCTTAGAAGTGACGATTCTCTATTAACAGTCTGATGGGCCTTTTGTCGCGACCTTAGCAGAGACGGCGCCACGAAATTGAGCCTGGGGAGGGTGGGGGGCTAAGAAACACATTTAGTGAAACAGGAGGACCCACCAATTGGATTGGGCCCGCAAAGAAATTTTTTTAAATTAAGCCTTCTAGAATGGCTAAAAATGCATCTCCCAGACAAAAATTTAGCAAATAACTATACTGCTCAAAATACAGAGTTCGACGATTCTCAGAAAAAACATTGATTATTGATTTTTAGAAAAAATTTGGGAGGGGAGGAGCATGCTAAGTTTTAAGCTTTGATATTCATTGTGCATTTGATAAATAGATCAATAAAATCAAGCAGGATATAAACAGTTTATTCTCTTTCTGTACTCTCTTTTCTCTACTAGTTTATTCTCTTTTCTCTCTTTCTATACACTGTTTTTAAAAATGATAAAAAAGTCGGTCGGAAAATTTTCCATCTCTAAAAAGAGGGGGGGGTTCAGCCCCCCAGCCTCCTCAGTAGCGCTGTGCCTACCTTACCGCTCTAAAAACAGAAAACCCATTTGATTCCTTTAAAAACTCAAATCAGGTAGGTAGCAGCAACGAAATAAATAGATAAATATACAAATGAATAAGTAAATAAATGAATAACAAATAAGCAAATAAACAAATGAATAAAATTATTTTTTTAAAAGAAAAAAAATTTGAAGTGCTAAGTGAACTGTATCTAAAGCACGGCTCCAAGGAAGAAAACCTACTTTTATACGTAGCCCACTGTATGTTTCCGGGTGAAAAATTCTAAGAAGTCATTTTGAATATGCCTCGTTTGGATCAACCGAACAGAAAATTGTTCCAAGCTAGAAGAGCCCTTTCAGCAATTTTCTCATCGCGGGCACCTCTTGAAGTATCGTTTATGACCTGAAAATTTGTTGGGCACATATGGTACAGGGTCTTCGTGCTGTTGTTACACGAAGCAGTTTTGAGTCGTCTTCTGATGTTCACTTGTTCCACTCATCTAAATCAAATTGAAATAATTTCTTGCTAAAGTAACATCGACGGATGAATGATTTTGAACGAATAATTTTCTTTTTTGAAAATTGTAAGTTATTATTTTGTTTTCAAAGCTCATTATTTTGGAGTTGGATTTGACACATGGTTTTAAATTGCTGTAAATGCCACATTGTCTGTTAGGCCCATTTCGACATGAAGAAGATAAATTATCACCTTGGAGATGTTAATTAGTTGTGGAAAGTTAGGGTGGTGTAGGTTGGTATCAAGTTGAAATTAGAAATGTTTGGACGGCTGAGCCAGCTTGCACAGAATGTGCAGAATTCATTCAATGCTGACGAGAGTGGAAATGGCGAAAGTAGTGGGTCACTTACGAAGAGCAACAGTGAGTTGGAGAAAACCGTTACACGTTTACAGGCAGATCTGGAACAAGCAGAAGAGCGAAACAAAAGCATTAATTCAGCTTTTAAGAAGCTTCTCAAAGAAAAAGAGGTACACGTGCAGTCTATATTGTGAAACTTGTGTATCTGATTTGTCTCTTCTCTTCTTTTGATTGTTTTTATTTTTGTGAGAGGTCTTTGTCTATCAAAAAATAGCACCTGAAAAACAGGAGTTAACTCGAAATCTTATATCCTCTTCTCATATTGACATTGATATTTGTATTTAGCGGACTTCAATTTATTAGTGTTGTAGGGTTACCAATATATGCATTTAGAAGTATAGAGAACATTGTTGAAACCACTTCTAGCTTAGCTAAGCTAATGGTGAAGAGAGCAGCACCTTCCATTTTAAGATAAGTTCAAAATTCAGAAATATTTGGATTTTTATAAATGTGTTTGACTTATGGAATCAATATTATTTCAGCAAGAAATTAAAGCTCTGAAGGAAGGATCAGCTGAGAGAGGAAGTCAGGAAGCATCTGGCAATGATGAAGGAGGTGCTCAAAAACCAAATGGGGTAAGAGAAAAACCAGCAATGCTCTATATGTTTTCTTATAAAATGTATTGTAGTCTTGAGAAGCAAAAATGTATGTGAATATTTTTCACACCCACAGGTATCTATTTGTAGGTTCTCTGTGTGATTTTTTCTTTGGTTATTAACTTAGGACTTGTTGAATCAGTTAAGAAGAAAAACAGAAGAATACAAAATGCTCTTGGAGCAAAAAGATGAGACAATTCAACAGTTGATGGCTGATGTCAAGGAAGCTGAGGATCTCAGGGACAAAGTAGAGCAACAAGAAAGAATAAACACAGAAAAACTCATGTTTGAACTAGCAGAGAGAATCAAGGCTCATGAATCTATATCAAGAAAATTAGAAGAGACAAAACACGTCATGTCTGAAAAGGACAATGCTATTCATAATATGGCAGACCAGGTGTGTGGTGATCTTATTTTATTAGAATTGCTCTTAATTTTCTAGTTTTGAAGCAAATATTTTCAATACAAAACTTTGCCAAAAGGAAGCCCTAAACTTTTCAGTGGTATTATGGAAAGATGAAATGTTGCATCTGATGTTAGTTTATAGGTCACACATTCTGTTGTTTAATCCTTTATTCTTTGCTTATAAAGGGTAACACTTTAAAAGTTTGGTACTCAGATATTTTCTTCTCTGTTTTTGCTCACTTTGCGCTACTAAAAAAGTTCAGTTGCTGCTTGATTAAGAGATATATATACATTGCTTGGCTGCAGAAATTTGCATTTTTCATTTATCAGGAGAGGCAATGAAACAAAAGGGGATAGAGATCTATGAATGTAAAACACAATGACCAGGCCCCTTATTAAAGGAATTAACACCCTGGAATCAAACCATTATGTCAAACCATTAGCCATTGCCAAAAGTACTTGGAACACCCAGCAATTTGTGGTGTTTTTATATTTTTCAATTCTTTTCCCGGATACTCCTATTTCTGCACCCCCTTGTTTCATAGAAGTCGCAGAAAAAAGCGTTCTTCCTAATCCCCTACCTTGTTTTGTAGTAAACCAACATTGTTCAAAAAGGGGGGAGGGGAATGTCCTAACTTCTTAACTTGCCTTTGGAAACTGATATTATTAGAATTCCACGAAGAGTATCTTGAAAGATAAACTACAGTTGAACAAACATAACAAAACAACTTATATATATAATCAGGATATAATACTAGGCCACATTACGTATTCAGCATAAGAGTAGTAAAAATGTATTCACAGCATGACTAAGCAAGGCTTAACTTGAAGTGTCAATCAATGATACTATGAGTCAAAACATGCTAATAGTAAATGTCTTGTCAGATATTAGTGTATCAATGTGTTTGGCAAAGATTGTAGCTATATCTCAAGTTGGTAATGTTTTGTTACATATCATCTAAAATATTATTTTTATTTTTAATTGACAGCTAGCAGCACAAGATGAGCTCCTTAGAGCAAGAGAAGATTCAATCAAGAAACTAAAGAGAATGGCAGCAGGAGGACAAGCAACTGAAGAAATGATAACTGCTCTGCAAAAATCTCTTCATGAAAAGGATGAGAAATTGAGTCAAATGGCACAACTTGTTGATAAACTGGAAGTTGAGAAGAAACTACTTGATTCAAAAATTGGAAACCGGGATGGTTTGGAGACAAGCAAAGATCAGGTACATCTTGATTTGGTGATTTTACCCTTGTAAAAAGGGATGACAAAAGGGTGGGGAAAGACTTTTAGGTATGTGTAAAAACAAGGAAATCTGTGATAAGGTAATAGGAAGTGGAAAAAATAATTAAAATGAAAATTATAAGAGACAAAATATATACTGATAAAAACAGCCTTGACCCATATTTTTTTGTTCACTAGAGTAGCACACAACAGCAAGACAAAAAACAGACATTACATTCTTATATAGCTTGTTGATATGTAATGGTCAGTGTTTTTTTATGGTTGGCTGTTGATGAGGTAGTGATCAGTGAATAGCTCTTTCAGAGAGGAGAAAAAATGTTTACTGCGAAAAATAGGAAATTTGAAGCAATTAAGAAAAATTTAATTTTTGTAACTTGATGTTGCTGCTCATTCTTTCATACATGGTGTTCATGAATGCAAGCAATTTATTTTCAACTTATGTGTAGACAATCAAGACTCTGTGGGCAGAGATAGAACAGAAAAATGAAATGATTCAGAAATTATCTACAGAAAGCAAGGAGCTGCTGTCTGAAAATAGCAAAAAGGATCAAGATTTGAAAGCCAAATCAGAATTAGTTAGTGAAAAGGTATTTAATTTTTACTCTGTAAAATGGGCTTTTTCTGTGTGCTACCATTTTCCCTCTGTCTTTGTCTTTCTAAAAGTTTCCAATTTATATTTATTTTTGCATGGTCCGAAAGTTAACTTTTCAAAATTGGATAAAGTGAATAAGCTGAAGAAATTTATTGTTTCTTGTACCTTTGTTTCCTGTCTAGCAAATGAATTCTTTCTGTATATTTTTTACATACCTGCTATTAAATTTGGCTACCTTGCCTGACAGATTTTGAAAAAATTCTAACCACTGCTTCTTCCAAGATATAAATTTCTATTATGAATCAAGATTCACACCTGTTTATTGTTAAGATCAGCAAATTTGTTATGTTTCAGCTTTGTTTTAAGATAGATGAGGATCCTTCCCCAAGCCTATTTTGAGCAAGCATTAGCAACCTCTTTAACAGTGAAATATAGAGAACAAATATATTTCAAAGACCTATTTATCTGTATTTATCTAGATGTTTGAGCTTACATTTAAGTTATCAAGCAAGAGTTTTTCTACCAATATCCTTCCATTGTACATTCTGAGTAAACGTTCCACCTCAATTTTAATGTTCCAAACTAGCTCTTTCCAGAGTCTTTAAGAATGACTTGTATGGATCAATGCTAAAAATACCTGCCTCTACAGCCTTATACAGTTAGAGAGGGAATATTTCCTAACGAACTGGCGGAGAGGGAATCAGGAGATTATTCACTTGTTTCCACTTTTATTGAACACACTTCAAAATTTTAAGGTATTAGCCCAAGAAAATGGAAACAAGTGAAAATCTCCAGTTAACCTCTCAGCCAGTTTGTTGGGAAAAGTTCCCTGTCTAAGTGATTTTTTTCAATAGGATGAAAACTTTATAGGCTTTTTATAGTAGCTAAGAATTTGTTGTTGAGATGTCCAATTATTTTATGAAAATTTCTTATTTAGTGGTATGATCTATGTGTAGCATTATTGATCAAAATTTTCCAGTGGTAATAGAAAATTCAGATATCCATTGGGATTCCTGCTTGTGTCTTACTATAATTTTACTTTGTTGCAGGAAAATGTTATTGATGAATTGTCAATGAAAATAAGGTCAATTGAAAATCAGCTAAATATAAAAACTAGTGACATTGAAGTATCATCAGACCATTTAAAAGATCAACTAAGTGAACTGAAAGAGATTTTGAAAAGCAAGACCCAGACAGTCAATATGTTTCAGAAGGAAATAGAGGAGAAGGATGCGGCTTATTCTGAGCTAAGACAGAAGTTAAATGCCCTGCAAAGTTCTTTTGATGAGAAGGAAGAGAAGTTTCAAGAGCAAGTTAAGTTATGTAAAAATTTTGAGAAAGATGTAAAGGAGTTGAATGATAGACATGAAGTTGAGTTAAATGAGAAAAGCAAGCTGAAAGACCAGTTAGACAAAGTTGGAAAAGAATTGTCAGAGCAACTTGATTTGGAGGCACAAAAATCTGAAGAATTTATGGTATGCAGTTATTTATATCAGTGTTGACTGAGTCTTTTGGGTTTTTGAAGAATGGAGAGGCATAGAATTTTTATGTTTGAACTTGAATTCAATTTTGTTATGAAAGATGAATTTGTTCTGGTGTGCTGCAAATGTTTAAGCGAGCGTGGAAAAATGAGAGAAATATTTTACCAAATTTAGTTTTTCAACTTTGACTAAACAAGTCAATCAAGACAACTTTAGAATTCTTTAAAACTTTTTTCTGGAAAATGCTTGATCTTCTTTGGAGACAAAAACGAAAAACATGTGTCCCAAAAAGGACCACTTTTATTAGCATATAAGCCGATAGCATAAATGCGCATATAAAACGCTTCCACTTTTTTGTGCCAATGTAAATTTCCAAAGGGATGGCTAGATTCTTGATTTTGATTTTTGTATTTTGGTATAGATGTTTAAGGTTTTGGCAATTTATTTCAGCAGTCATTGGGGGTTTTAATTTGAAAATGTTCTTGTTTAAGGCTTTGTTTTCTTCACAGATATTAACACCTAAAATAAAAGTCCGTTATTGTTTCCTATTGTTTTTGCTTTTTTGATGAAGTTATTTTTAGACTTTTGCTTCTTAGAGGAAAGTGGAAAAATTGGAAGAGGAGAACACGCATGTGAAAGCTGAAAGAGATGATTTTGCTTCACAGCTTGGGAGTTGTCAAGAGCAGAGCCAGGGTAATTCAACCGAACTTGCAAAGAAAAAGCAAGAAATCGAGAAGCTGGAGAACGAAATTAAAGAACTTAAAAGTGAAAAGTTATCTATTTCAAATGAACTTGAAAATGTTAAGAATGATTTAGATGCCAAGGTCGAGGAGCTAAAAGCCAAAGGTGTGCTGATAGATTCAAAGGATCTCGAGATACAAAATCAAAGAGAACGATTTGATGCTGAACTTAGCATGTTGCAGACAGCTAGCGAGAATGAAAAGGGCAACACAGCCGGCATCTTGCAAGAAATGGAGCATATCAGACGTGAACTTGAGGCAGCCAATCAAGACAAAGCTCAGGCTGCAGAAGAGAATCGCCGAAAGGAGGCTGAATTGCAGCACGTAAATGAACGTTTCCAAGAACTGAATACACAGTTCAAAAAAATTCAACAGGAAATTCTGTTATCGCAAAAGGAAAATGATAATTTGAATGAAGAAATTAAGAAAATTGAAGAGAGGATTGAGAAAACTGAAATGATGAACGAAGGGCTTAAAGTGGATGTTGGAAGATTAAAGGGAGATTTAGATAAGGAACAAGAAGTAAAGAAGCTATTAGAGGATGAAGTTAATTGTTTAAAGAATGAAGTAGATGATAGGAGTAAAATCCTAGAAGAAAAGACAAAAGATAATGAGTTGTTGAAAGAGGAAAATACAAGACTAAATGAACTGCCGAGACAACTGGAGGTGTTAACGAAACAGTTACAAGAAGTAGAAATGCAAAAAGAGAATTTGATTATGGAGAAGGGGAAGGAAAAAGAGAATTCTGAGTCTCAGGTGTCCAGTTTGAAATCAGAATACATCGAGCTAGGGGATAAGGTAAAAGAATGGAAGCAGCAATGAATCTTATGATTGAGAAACTGAACTCAGCCGAGGTACAAATGAATGAGTCAATGCGAGAGAAGGATAGTCTTGAAGAGAAACTGAAGCATGTTTTGGAGGAGAAAGTGACACTGGCTAATCAGAAGTCTACGATTGAAGTAGCTTTGGAAGAATTTGTGAAGTCAACTGAGTCAAGGAAAAAGAGGAGCGGCAGATCGAGTGCCGATGACTCTGAGGGAACACGTTTGACACCAAGTGAAGGTCGGTTGATGTCATTGTTGTCAAGTCTTTTTATTAGAAATTGTATTGTATTATATTCATTGTTCTGTTATTTAGCTCGGTCCTTAGAAGTGCACAAAAGCTAATAGGCCCTTCTCAACTTGAACTTGGACTGATCTTCCAAAGATAATCCCAATTAACTATCCGGACATTAGAACTCAGAGCTCTACTGAATCGTTCTTTCAACCTAATCACACGGCTGTCTAAAGATTCTTAGTGCTCGTTAACCTTTTCCCCTTTTTGTAAACCACATTTCGTAAACATTATTCGCTTTTTCACAGTACTCACAGTACTGTAATACACCCAAAGTGAGCAGTCGCTAAGAGGTCTTCAACTAGGTGAGAGGCTATCAGTTGCTAATTGTTAAAATGCAAAAGAACCAATCAAATGCGCCTTTGTTCCTCTCACGTTGGTTTCGATCCACATCTGGATATAAATCATCTGCTTACTTTTGGTCATCATCCGACTTTTATACTCTGAAGGATATCGGACGAAGTGCTACTTCGCTACTTCGCTACTTCGAGCCTATTGTAAACTATAAACTGTGTGGGTTGAGAATATTTGCTCAAAGAAAAACTACCACCAAATGATCAGGAACGATTTCATTATCACTCATGCTTAACTCAAACACCTAACTGACTAACAAAACTACACCTTATCGCACGTGCTATATCGTAAGCCTGGGGAGAGCGCAGAATACAGCTTCACAGAGGCTGTATCTGTGAAGCTACTTTACAACAGTGCCATTTTCAAATTTGGGGTGCAAAAAACTTGTCTATAAATAAATTTTCATCCTAGGCTGCTCTGGGTACAACACGCCTATATCGAAAGAAGGATCGCCCCGAAATAGTGGACTTTTTGAGAACATCCAACCCGTAACACAAGCTGCTGCAGTTGGCAATTTCTTTGAAGGGAAAGCTATCAGCGAGATTTTCAAATTAGTTGAAGAAGAAAGAAAGTGCCTGGAGGCTAATCTATCTTCTGTGACGAAGGTGTGTATTGTATTTGAATTTTACTGAAACTGAAATTGGATAATAAAACTCTAGAAGAGTCACATCAGCAGCAAGCTTTTCATGTTACTTTTCATATTATTTGTTTAATGTTATTTTTTCGTTTCATTGTTTTATACTATTTTATGTCCTTATATCATTTTCTTTTGAATTGTTGAATACGCCTAAGTATAAGTTAAAGCTAAAGTTGTGCTGTTTATCCCGAAACCCGTCACTATGTGTTTGTTTTGCTAATTGATTCAAAATTTGCATCATTATGGTTGATTGTTGATGTAAGTCTTAAGGAAGCTTTTGCTATAATAACAATTTGTGATTTTTAGGAGAGGGATGCTTTGTCTGTTAGAACTGGGGAGCTCGAAGATTATCTTGATCTAGAGAGGCAGAAATTCAAACAGGCCAGTGACGAAATAGCTCAATTCCACCTTCAAAGCCAGCAGGCTGAGGATGTATTCCGTGACCAGGTTTACAGCTTACAGGATGAGATTTCAAGGGTCAGGTAAAGATGATCTTTTGAAGATTGTAATGTTGTTTAAATAAAAGAATAAGATCCACAACTGGGTATATATATTACCTAGCGTACAGTTTTCGATCTATGTTCTGACGTTTTAAAATCTGAAGAGTGTCAGACGAAAAGCTGTAGTCTACGCAAATATTTGCTTTTTTCAAAGCCATTTTCAAGTTTTGTACCACCAAAAGATGGTTTAAAAAGAATAAGTACACAACACTAGATACTAGTAGATATTTGTATCCAAATGATTTTCTTTTAACTTAAAAAATGATTTCACTTGGCGTTTTGCCCATGAATTCTTCAAATCTTGACTAGTTTTCATTCAACATCCTATAATTCTTCTCCTATTTCTATCTGTTCAATTTTACCTAGTGATGTTTGCCTTACAATGTCCATCGTTTGCTACTTCAATCTGCACTTCAGGAAACATGTGCATAGATAGGGGACGTTTACAGTCTCATTCTTTATCACCACATTTTCAAAACTCTTCCAAGCATTTCTTGAACTTCAGAAAATTTGATAAGATAATCATAGAGTTTGAAATATTGCACTCCATTCTTTTTCAAGTTGAATTCTAATCAACATATCTAACTAGAAGCGACAGGACCTCTTGTTACAAAATCGCTTAGCCCTATTTCTAATTCTTGTCAACTAATTCAAAACCATCCCTTAAGTTGACAAGCACTATCTTCTTCTCTATGAGATTTATTTCCTTGCAATTATCTTATAGATGGTCGTTTTTTCAACACTTAATTGATCGTTATAGCTAGGTGAATATGTTCACTATGTTATAACATTTTCTTTGATTGGGTATATTTTCATAAAGGCTTTTCCCGAAGTATTTTAGCACCACTATTTTATTTCAGGCACTTTAACGAAGATCTAGAAAAGAAAGTCGAGGAAGATGCAGAATCGATTGATGGCTATAAACAGATGATCGAGAAACTTGAGCACGAGTTGCGTGAAGTGGAAGATCGGCTTGCTGACAAAAATCTTGAGCTGTCCAGGGTTAATGAAAGCTGTGAACAAATTCAAGCGGAACTAGGAAGTAGGGAAGAGCAGTTTGAGAAGATTACAAAGCAAAATAAGTTAATGAAGCAGAAGCTTAAGGAGCTGCTAAAAGAAAATGCAGAGAAGGAAAAACTGATGAATGAGAAAGATGTGCGTATTGATGAGCTATCAGGATTATCAGAGAAGCTTGATAAGTCTTTAGCTGATATTGAGATGTTTGAAGCAGAGATCAAAGATAAAGATTCAAGAATTGCAACACTTGAAGAAGAAAGCTTAGCAAAATCTTCTGAAGCGAAAATTTTAGCAGAGAGGATATTAGAGCTGGAAGAAGATTCTAGTCAGTTGCGAGAAATGAGTACTAATGAGCTATGTGCGGTCAATGAGAAGACAGCTTATTTGGAACGCAGCTTCAGAGAGGTTGAAGATACAAGAAATGTATTAAAAGAAGAAGTTGAGGCCAAATCACGTGAGATTGATGATTTGAATAGTATCTGCTCAGTGCAGAGAGAAGAACTATGCAGTTTGAAGGATATGATACAACGCAAAGATGAAGAGTTGGCAGTTACAAAAATAAACGTTAGCAATCAGGAGCAGACGATTGGTGAATTTTCAATGAAGCTTGAAGCTGCAAATTCTTCTCTGCAAGAAAAAGAGGGTAAACTTGTTGCTCTTGAAGGTGAAATTGGAGATGTGAAGAATAATATGGCTATAGCTGATAGTGAGCTTGAATCACAGAAAGTTCAGAACACGCGACAGATCGAGTATATTTCGAAGCTAGAGGAAGATTTGTCGGAGGTGAATGCAGAACTGGCAAAGGTACAAGTTGAGTTGTCAGAATCAAAAGTAGAAAATGAGTCGTCTTCTGTCAATTGTAGTCAGCTACAAGATGAGCTTCGGCTGCTGAAAGAAAGCGTTGCAGAAAGTGAAACGAAAGTTGCAAAAGAAAGAGAGGACTGGCAATCAAAGGAAGAACAGTCTAAGGAAGATCTAGACGCAAAACATAGAGAAATTGAAAAGTTACAGCTTGAAAAGGACGATTTTGAGGCAAAACTTCAAGGAATGGAAGAAATGGCAGTACAACAAGATGCTGGATTGAAAGAAATTGTAGACGGAAAGAATAAAGAGCTTGAACTGCTTAGAGATGAAAGCCGAATGCTAAGTCAAGAACTAGCAGATTCTCAAAGAAGTGTAGTTGACCATAAAGAAAGATTGACTGTAGCTGAATCAAGTTTAGAAGAAAGTAAGTCGAGGTTTCATGAAACGGAGAAGAATCTGAATGAAATCATCTTAAACAAGGACTCTGATATTTCTAAAATGGCAGTAGAGATTGAAGAATTGAATGCCAAGTGCAAGGATAGAATATCATTGCTTGAACAAGCACAGAAAACGCTAGATGATCTTCGGGTTACTTTAAAAGAGACTAAAGAAACGAAAGAATCGAAAGTCGATGAGCTCGAGAAAGCAAGAAAGCATCATTCATCACTAGAAACTCGTATTTTCGAACTGGAGAAAGAGAACTTACGGCTTCAAGATAATGTTGAAGGTAAGGAAAGAGAGTTAGAGTCAGTTTGTAACAAACTAGCTATGCAATCTGAGATGATGGATTTACGGGTGAAAGAATTAGAAGAAGAGAGGCAAACTTATGAAGACCAATTGAAGGCTATGCAAGCAGGTCAGAGTGAGGGTGAATCTCAGATTGTTGATCTTATGAACAAGATTCACGAGATTACGCAAGAAAAGGATGAATCTTTCAAGTCCATTATGGGGTTAAATAATGAGATCGAGACTCTAAACAAGCGCATTTTGGATTCAGAAGATGAGATAGCTAATCTCAAAAAATGCGTTCAGGATTCAGAAAACGAAATTCAGAGCCATGTTGTCGAGAAGCAGAATCTTTCTGATGAAAATTCTGCCTTAAAATTGGAGGTGATTCGTTTGGAATCTCAATTAGAGGCTAGCGGGGAAATGTTAAACAAGAAGTTTATTGAGTTGGAGACAGCAAATGAGAAACTCCATTCCTTTGAAACTGAAGTCGCGAAACTTTTGAAGGATAAAGAAGAGTTGAGATTTTCTTTGGAAACTTCAGAAAAACATATAGCACAACTACTTGAGCAGGAAGAAAAATTGAAAACCGCATTTGAAGAAGATATGGACTCAACAAAGGCTTCAATTTCTTCGGTCACTAATGACTTACAAATGGCTAAAGAAAGAGAAGAATCCTTGAATCAAACAATCTCACAGCTAGACAAAGAACAAGATCTTCTAAAGTCTAACCTTGAAGAGAGGGAGCTATATTGCAGGTCTCTGGACAAACAAATTGAGGATCTGAAAATTCAGATCGAGAAGGCAGACCAGGAGTTTGAAGCTGAACGAGATATTTTTGCTGGTAAAATCTCAGAGCTTGGCTCTTACGAACAGAAAAGGGAAGAACAAGAGAGCCTTTATCTTAGTGAAATCGAAAGATTGAAAGCAGAAGTAAGTGAAATGAAAGAGTTGTTAATAAAAAGGAATGAAGAAGTTGAAAATGTCAACCAAGAGATACAATTACGCAGCAATGATGTTGGCACATTGAGACAGACTGTTGATGAGAAGAATAAGGCGTTTGAAGAATACAAATTAAAGGTTGCAAAGAAACTGAAATCTATGAAGGATGAAATGAAGAAGTTAAATTCGATTGTTGATGGATTAAAAGTCAAAGAGGGAAGATTGTTAGAACTAGAATCTTCGATGGGAGAATTGCAAGGTGAAAAGCAAGGTCTTATTTCACAAATTGAAGCATACCGACATAAGATTATGGAATCTGAAAGCCTCAATGTAAGCAGAGAAGAGAATTTAAGGAATTTCGAGACTGAAATGGCTAGGTATCACCGGCTGCTTCAGGATAAAGATGAAGAAGTTTTAGCAGCTAAAGACATGATGAAAGTTTCGATGGAGGAGCTGCAAAATATACAGGAAGAAGTTAGAAAGAAAGAGGAAAAGATTAGGCTTTTGCAAGAGCAGTTGATTGCAAACGAGGAGGATCTTAGTGCGTCATTTACAGAAAAACAGAATGAGATCGATGATATGAAAGATAGACTGCAGAAAATGGGAGCTGTAGTGGAGGAGAAGGATAGCAGTATTGTTGAACTGTCAGGCGTCAGGAATTCATTGGAAGAAAAGTTGGCTACCTTAGAGAACGAAAACCTGAAAGCAGTCGAAAATTTGGAAGTTGTAAGTAAGAGTAAGGAAGAATTAGCTGCAGAAAATCGTTATCTCATAGATCAAACCGAAATACTGAAAAATGAGGTAGCAGAGATCGATAAAGCCAGACAGGATCTTGCCAAAGAGGTTCTTAAGCTCAAAGAAGATTTATCAGCAACAGCTGAAAAATATTCTGAAGATGCAACCGTTCATGAGCGATATCAGACGTTGGTTGCCGAAAAAGAGGATCTGCAAAAACGTCTGGAGGAACTTCACGAGGAATACGAGTCTACACTATTAGCAAACAAGGAGAAGATGGCAGAAATCGAGATTTTGACTGAGCAGCTGGAGAGGAAGGGAGAAGAAGTCGAGAGCTTAAAGTTACAAGCAAGAACTAATGTTTCAGAGGATGAAATTGTTAGACCTTACCAAGAGCAAATTTTGTCTCTTCAAGCAGAGGCAGATAAGAGGAAAAAAGCAGTTGAAGAATATAAATCAAAAGCATCTAAAAAAATTAAGAGCTTGAAAGAAGAAAATGCTTCTCTTCAATCAACAATCGAGGAGGTTAAAAAGAGGCTTGAGGAGCAGCACCAAAATGCAAATGAGTCATTATCTGCCCTAGAGCAGGAAAAAGAGTTGCTCAATCAACGATTAGTCGAATTACAAAATGAATTGGATCAAAAAAGTGAAACACTTGAAACTTCAGTTTCTAAAGTAGAGGAATTTCACAACTTGGCTGAGATGAAAGGAAACGAGGCGGAAGAAATTAGATTCGAGGCTGCAAAACTAAAGCAGAGACTGAATGATAAAGAAGAAGAGATTCTTGCTGTAAAGGAGATGATGCACTCATCTATGAATGAAATGCAACTGCTTCAAGAAGATATCAAGGAAAAGGAGAATATTATTTTGTCACTTGAGACCAAATCACAAAGCATCGAGGATAGTTTGAATTCCAGTATATCTTGTTTGAATGAAGAGCTGATCTCACTAAAAGAACAACATGACCTCAAGATCAAGCAGAGTGGGGAGTTTGAAGAAAAGTTGGCTGAATCCAGTGAGCAGCTAGGTACCCTCCAAAATATGCTTGACACAACAAACTTGGAGTACAATCGTTTGAAAGAAGAATTCGAAAAGAGAAACAACGAATCTTCAGCTGCAGGAGGAAAAGATTCTATTCTGCTGGAAAAAGAATCCGAGGCAATCAAACTGAAGCTTGCAAAAGCAATTAAAAAGCTAGGGACAATGAAGAAGGATCTGCAAGCGAAAGACGAATTGGCACGTGCTTTGGAAGAACAGGTGTCAGTTTTGAAATCATCCACCCAAAACCAAGAGAAAGAGCTGCAGGAGAGTACAGAGAATATCAAAAGACTGGTTGATGAGATAGGGATAAAGAACAAAACGATCAAAGCTCTTGAAGGGGAGATTCTTTCACTACAAGGTTCTCAAAGATCCGAAGTCAGTGAAGTGATTGTTCCTGCTAGTGAAGTGGCGGTCTATGCGGATAACGTTGATGGCTGGGGTGAAATTGATAGCTTCAATATGGGGCAGTCTGTGACAGGAGAGGTGCAACCAGTGGCAGAGACTGTAGATGTTGTGGAGGAGCAGCTACAAGGGACTAGTCCAGAGGATTCTGCCAATCAGAATTTGATCTTGCAGCTCAAGGCGGAGAAGGAAGATGTTAGCAAAAGTTTTAAGAAGGCAAGTGATCAGCTTGAAAAGGCAAAGAAAAGGATAGCAGCTTTGAAGAAAGCAGAAATGAAGACAGAAAAGGAGAACGGAGAGCTTAAAGTAGCCATCGCTGAAGAAAAGAAAACAAGAGAGGTAGAAATGTCTGAATGGCAAACGAAGGTTGATGAGCTCAGTAAGAAATGCTCTGAAAAAGAAACCAATGTTTTTCAACTTGAAAAACAGATGCATTCGTTGAAAAGTGAAGTGAATGAACTGAATAAACTGAAGGGGAGATTAGAGGGAAAGAACGAGGATTTAAAGAAACTTGTAGAAGCAATGGCTGAGGAAAAACATGAACTCGATGATGAAATGAAAGACATGTTAGCTGAGATCAAAGATGTTATGGACATCAAAGGTAAGCTGTTGAAGGATTTAGAAGATACTAAACAGAATCTCGTGAGCTGTGAAGATGAGATAAAGAAAATGAAAAATTTACTAGAATCTAAAGAAGCAGAACTTGTTGCAAGTGAATGGAAGATTCAGGAATTGAAGTCATTGGAGGAAGAGTTGGTTGACTTGAGGGAGAAGAATCAAGTGCTGAATAAAGATGTTTCTTCAAAGTCAGTTAAAATTGGTGAACTTGAGGAGAGCCTTATAATAAAGGAAAATGAACAAAGTGCATTGATGGCAGAGATTGCTGGTGCTAAAGAGAGACAGGCCCAAGATCAAGGTAAGATTTCTGAAATGCTTCAGGAGATCTCAACGAAAGAGAAGATCATTGAGAGCCAGCCAAACTGTGAAGCATATGAAGAGCAGTTGGCAAGTTTAAAGGATGATCTGGATGCCAAAGATGCAGAAATAGTTAAGCTGAATGTTTCAATTGAAAAGTTTGAAGAACAGGATAGGTATCAAGAGTCATTGAAAGAGAGGCTAGAAGAAGAACATCAGAAGTCTCTTCGATGTGAAGAAGAACAGCGATTGGCAATGGAAGAATTGCAAGCAGAGTTGACTTTTGCAAAAGAAGAGCTAGACAGGGCGTCAAAAGGATCGGAAAACCTTGAAAAGCTAATGCACAGGGATAGAATGTTGGAAGAGGAGATATCACAACATAAAGTATTGATATCTGAGTTGAATGATGAGATTGGACGGAAAGATCAAGAGATGGACGAGATTAAGAGCAGAGTTAAAAAGCTGTTGGAAACAGAAGTGGAGCTAAAGAGGGCATTAGATGACCAAGAGTCGACTAGAAGGTTCTTAGAAAGTGAAATTGAATCACTAAAGAATAAGCAGGAAGAGAGTTTTAAAGAATCTGATAATGAGAAAAGCCTCCTTAGTACAGAGCTTGAAGAGCTTAAGTTAAACAGCTCTCAAATGGAGACATCTCTAAACGAAGAGGTAAAGTTGCTGCGAGAGAGGTTAGAAAAAGAGCACGAGGCTGTAAATGAAATGTCAAAACTTGAGCAAGAGAAATTGGTTAAATCTGTTGAAGAATCTCAAAATGTCGAAGAGCTGAAAACTAAGCTTCAGGAATTGAATGAGAGTCTAGAGAGCAAAAATACTGTTATTGGCAAGTTGAAGCTGAAGCTAAGGAATACTATGAAGGATCGGGATGTGATGAAAGGTAATCTTCAGTCTGAAGTAGAGAGAGTAAGTCAAGAAAAAGATGTTATTTTCAACGAGTTCCAAACGAATACACAACAGCTAGAGAGAGAAATTTCACAGCTCAAATCTCGCATTGTTGAGCTAGAATCGGAGAATGCTAGCTTAGAGAAAGAATTAAAGATCAAGACGAAAAAGATTGAAGAGAGTGAAGACGAAGGAAAGATTGCTCTTAAGGAGCTCACTGAATTGCGAAAACGTGCAGAGTCAAGCTCTATTGAGGTGTCAACACTTGAAAATAAAGTTGCATGTCTTGAAAAGGAATTGGAAACAAAAGAAGAAATAATTGAGAAGTATGAATGGGAGGCTTCAGAAAAAGAGGATAGGGTTCGAGATTTGGAAAGAGAAGCACGGTTTTTCCAAGATCGCAAAGATGAATGGGAAGAGCTTAAGAGAACCTATGAAGAAACAATCGAAGTGAAGGAGAAGATCATGGAAGGACTTCAGAAAGAGATTGAAAATATTCAGGCAAAAAGATTTCAAGATTCAAACTTAAGGGAGGAAGAAGTTAGTTCTTGGAAAGAGAAGAATAATGATTTGGAAGAAAAGTTGAAGTCGTTTGAAGATCAGCTGAAAATGGCCAACGATGAGCTGCAAATCGCTAGAGATTCACTCGCCCCTTTGGAACACATGCCGCTTCAAATCTGTTCTGTTCTTGGCGTTGATTTTGATGCAGAAAAAGAAGTTGATGTTTATGAAATTGTGTCAAACTTTAAAGGAAGCCAAGAGACGTTCTTAAAGTCGAGAGATTCAAGAATAGCAGGTTTAGAAGAAGAGCTTGATAAGGTAAATTGTATGAAAAATGACATGGAAGAAAGTTTTGGTAGATTTAAAGAAGAGCAAAAGCTAGAGCTGGATAAATTCCTGCGGGAAATAGGTAAAGATGAGCTTGTGTCTCAAGAGATGTCCCTGTCAAGTATTTTAGCCTTTGTAAAATCGGAGAGAGACACCGGCATGAAAGAGAATCACGTGTTAAGCACTAATGAAACAAAATTGAAAGATTTGAATGCTGAATTGGAGATTAAATTAAACAACGAAAGAAAGTCGTTTGAGGAGTTCAAGGCGATGAATTATGAAGAGATGACGTCATCACTGCACGAGCAAGTTAAAGAGACAGAAAGACAGCAACTTGAAGCCGAAGAGAAAATTGCGAATTTTGAAAATGAGGTGTTCGAGTTAGCTCAAGAAGTGAAGTCTAAGAATCAAATTGTTGATGATTTAAGTAGAGAAAAGGAGAATTTAGAGATGAAATACACAGAAATTCAGACATCATTCGACTTATTAACGGTATGTGCCTTTTCCTATTTTGTGAATGCTATTGCTGAAATTTTTGTTGCAGTTTAAACAACTTTTTGAGAATTTCAGTCTTTGGTCTGTCGTTGATTTATTGGAACTTATAGGTTTTAAATCTTGATTGGTTATGAAGGCAAAACCTCCGTCGCGTTTTTGAGATTTTGAGACAACGGTGGTTGCTTTTAGAAAAATGTATTATCAGAAGAACAATCCGTGCAGGTAGAAAGTCAAAACTAATAGCAAGGGGGGCAATCCGTTAGTCCTGTATGAATCGATAAAATCAAACATCAGCAAACAATTATTTCTAGGCCTTATTTTTTAGGAATTAAGGTAGATGGTAAGAAAAGAATTCCTTGAGTGTGATTGAAAAGTTTTACTAGACTAAAAGCATGTGGAGTTGCCCAAATCGCCCCGTTGTGATTATTTTTTTTCCTAGAGGCGCTTAATTCTAGTAGAATGTCCATGGTATGCAAGAGCATACAGAATTCTTAATAATAGTTCAGTGTTTAAACGAAGTACCTTTAAGATACTCGTCACATTAGGTTATTTTAGGTACATAATTTTATTGATGAACTTTCCTGGTGAGGCCTGGTAATTTTGGTGTCTCTTGGCAGTAGATGGTTATGTAGGCAGTGTCTTTCCAAGAAAACGCCTTGTGATTTTTCTGGCTGAAATAGGCTTTTAGATACAAGGTGCTTTTAGATACAAGGTGCGAATGAATTCAACAACCTGTAGGTTCTTGAATTTCACATTTTCGTTCTTTTTTGCGGAAATTCACATTTTTTGTGAGATATTCTTTCCATTTATAAAGATTTTTTTTCTTTTTCTAGCTTGAAGCGCAAGGTTTGCGAGCAGAGAAAGAGAATCTTGAGAGCATGCTGCAATCGATGACCCACGAAACAGAAGCATTAAAGTCCTCTACGTTACCTGAAATGCAGGCACATCTGGCGGCGAAAAATAACGCAATGCTTGAGCTGAGAGAGAACTTCAGCGAGATTATGTCAGAAAAAGATTCAATCATATCGACCCTGCGTATTAGAATTAACGAACTGCAGCAGAGCGCTTCTGATGGAAATGTGAGAAGTGTTGACGAGATCGATTCACTGAAATCAGAATTGGCTGAGAAAGATAACCAGATTAATAAACAAAACGACGAGATTGCCAAGCTAACAAAGATGCGAGATTGGCTGCAGATGGAGCTGAACCAAACTATCACAGAGAAAAATAATATTGGAGGCTCTATACAGAATCAATTTGAAGACATCAGCAAGGGTCTAAGAGGTGATATCGAGATGTTTATGCAAGAGAGAAAGGATTTTGAGACGGAGTTTCAAGTAGAAAGACTGCAACTGGAAAGAAATATAGCAGAACAGCAGCAAAGGATTAAGGCTTTGGAATCAAATATTGAGTCGAAAGATAAGGAGATTCTGGAATTGAATTTTGTTGTAAGAGAATTGAGAAGAAGAGTTGAAGATGCAGCTGATATATTGAGCAAAGAGAGTTATTATGAGCAACTTGAAGAACGGGTCGAGGAGTCCTATGGAAAGGTTAGCGAGGCCAGTGCTAGCGTAAGGGAAGCGATGGACAGGGTTAGGGAGGAGCAGTCCAAAGTTCAAAATCTGGAGATGAAGCTGGATTCGTTGAACAGGGAACGGGGAGAATTGGTGTTGATTTATGAAGGGAAATTGAAGAAAATCCAAAATGACCATGCTATGGTTTGCCAGTCACTTAAATCCGAGTTGGAAGAAGCAGCGCAAGAAAAGCGAAATGAAATCGCAAATCTTGTCGATAAGATCGAGGAGTTGCATAGGAGTAATCAGTTTGCAGAGGAAGATCGCGAGAAAAGGTTTGCGGAAGAAAGAAATGATCTTGAGCAGCGACTTGACTCGTTGAGCAACGAATTGAAGATTCTTGAACAGCAAAAAGAGGACTCTAGAGAGCAGCTAGTGAGTCAAATGTTGATAAGTGCAGATGAGAAAGTGGTTAAACTTCGTGATGAATATGAGGATATTTTGTCTGAGAAGAACGATAGGCTTCATGAGTTGACGACGAAGATCGAAAATTATGAAAGGAAGGTTGCATCCTTAACAGAATCAAACACAACTCTGTCAAAAAGTCTCTTTGTCCTTGAAGTTCAAAACAAAAATCTGGGGAAAGAGTTTTCAATCTTGAATAGTCAATATCTCGAAAGCAAGGTTAAGCACAAAAATGAGATCGAAGAGTTATTGGTTAAGAAAGGAAGTGATTTTAAGCAACTAAGATTGCAGTTTGAAGAAGCGTTCAACGAGAAAGAAGAAATTTTGGAGAATCTAAGAGACAGGGTCAGGACTTTGAGTGAGCAAGTAGAGAAAAAGTTCCAAGAAAATAATAATTTGATATCAGAGAAAGAGAAACTTGTTGAACAAGGCATAAAGATGGACCTACTGAACGAAAAATTGAAAGTAAGCATTGATTCATTGTTGAATTCTGTTTTTGAAATGAGAAACATGGATGGACAAAGATCTGTACCAGAGAAATCTTCGACACAGAGCGAAAATATTGAGGAGGGGCTAGATGGCAAAGAAATTAGGGTTGAATATCAGTCGAGAGAAAGAGGTGATATGGATTTCATTCATACAATTGCTGAAGCCAAGACTGTTGTTGACAATCACTTGCGAGCTGCAAAGAAAGAAGCCGATTTTATTCAAGTTGATATGCAAGAATATAGTGAATTAGAAGAAACACTCACGAATCTTACACTAGAAAATGAACGATTACGGGAAGTTGTTTCTGAGAAATCAATGAAAGAGGAAGAGGAAGAAAAGGATCAGAATATCAGAAAGGTTGAAAAGGAATATCAAGACGATGACTCTGGCCTGCAGTCTCTAGCCATGGAATCTACTGGCGCCCAACGTGTACACACCGGCTTGGATTCAGAGTTGAGCAAAGCAGACTATCAAGAGGAAGAGTCAGATTTAAGAACTATTTCTGAGGATATTATAATGCCAGTAGGTTTATTATTTTCTTCATAACACATCTGCTACACATCCTGGAATGAGCGCCCCCCTCCCCTACAATGATTACACCTTAAAAGAGTCAATATGTAGATAACGCCCCATCCCTCAAATGAGTATCATTAGATTCATTCATGAGGTGGGACAAGTTAGAGACAATATAATGTATTCTAATACAATGAACTGCGACATCCTAGTTGTTCAAGTATTTTCAAACGTAAATTCGAATTGCGTGTATTTCAAAGCTATATTCGAACTGATTTTTGTTGTTGCGTGCAACCTGGAGAATTTTTTAAAACTAATCGGCACCATCCTGCGAGTAAGCTCCGATCGCCCATAAAAGGATTTACGGTCTCTGATTTGTTTGTTAGTGAATTGTCACTGAAAATGGTAAACTTTTAATATGTTAATGCTTTAAACGTTTTATAATTATAGACATCATCATATCTGGAAGAAGGTGGAAATTCAGAATTGGCTGAGCCGCAAGACATACTCGCTTTGAAGGAGCAGATTGCTCTGCTGATGTCAGAAAAAGAAAAGGCTCGTAGTGACCTCCGCAGCGTCGAAGAACGTGTTAGAAGCGAGTTTGATGACATCTTACAAAACTTGCGTGAAGATTTACAAAATGCCATGAATGAAAACAGAACGATAATGGCGGAAAATTTTATGCTGAAAAATGTGGACACTAGCAGTAAAAAGTCAGGCGCAGTGGCTGAAAGAGGATACGACAGTCGTGTACAACTTGATGTCGGTTCGCAGACAGCTGAAAACACGGTGAAGTCTATTCAGAGTGCTGCAATGGCACCTTCCCAAGAGGCCTCGGCTCAAACTGACGTCAGTTTTGTTTATCAGCCTGCGGAGGACTTGAAACACAGTGGAACTTCAACCGATGAACGGATTAAGAGGTATAGTAGCTCAGAAAGACTTCCAGAAGTTGTGGAAGATTCACTATACAGCAAGATGGTGTTTGAGCAGCTGCAAACATTCTCAGATAGTGCTCTGGAAGGAGAAGGGTTCGCAGGCCACAGCAAGCTTGAGTTAAGGCTTGGAGAAGATGCTGAAGATGGGGACAAGTCGACAAGTATTTCTGATTTGCAAACAGAGATTGAGACTCTGAATACACAACTGGATCAAAGCAAGAAGCTCATCGTTAAGTTGAAGCAGATGGCAAAGAAGTACAAGACGGAGCTCAGTGAAGTACAGGCTGAGAAGTTCGAGCAGGTTCGTGTTTACGAAGAGGCGATAAATCTCACAAAGCAAGAACTGGAGGAGTCGAATCTAGAAAAGGTGAGAAAGGAGCAAGAGATCAGGAGTTTAAGAGAGGAGGTTAGGGTTCTGGTCAAGGAAAAAGCTGAGATGGGGGACTCGATCAAGTCAAGAATAGAGGGAATGGTGGATGGCCATAGGAAAACACTGTCTGATGTAGCGGTGAAGAATGACCAAGAATTTGCGAAAAAAGATGAAGTAATCAGGGTCTTGTATAACTTAAGAGATAATCACGAAAAGAAGATAGAGGATCTTGAAGGCCAGGTATGTTAGAAATTCATTTATGTTTTTATTTAGATGCAAAGAATGTCTGAAATATCATAATGAAATATCATAATATTGAAAGGTAGTTGCACCAGACGCTTAAAATCCAAAGCAGAAATTTGAAAAGAAACCTGGATCAATAACATTCTCGTGTTGTTGTACAAGCATGCTATGCTCATAATGTCAGTTCTCCTCTTATTTTTGTTATTCTGATTTGATAGCTTGCCGTTATGATAGCTTGTCGACATAAAACTTATCATAGGTGATCTGACAGCATTTGCAAGTTGTGGATTCAGCATTTGCAAGTTGTGGATTACTACTTTTGCGTTTGAGAGCGAATTTCTTAATCGAATGGTACTAAAACCATCACATTTCAACTCAAAAGTTAGTAAATGAAAAGAGAGTTTCATATATTTAAAAAATTTGTAAAATCGCAAAAAAATATGCTATACAGTTCCGAAAAAGAGCTAAAACAGATTACCTGGGAACACAGCTTTGTGAAAAACCTCTGTCCTTCAGCGTAATTTAATTATTTTTCAATAACCTTTTACACGTAGATTTTTTGGAGTTGCTCTTGATATGATGTCGCCTGATTTTCTGAGTGCCCAGTGCCCCTTTAAAAGCGTCTGTGCTTTAAAAAGGTGCATGGTTGTAAAAAAGTTTCTTCTCTTTTTATCTAAAGCTACTTCAAATGACCGAGACAAAAGAAGGGCTAGTTAAGTTAAACGCTGATTTGAAGAATAAATCCAATGAGAAAGACACTGAACTGAAACATCAACTCGAATTATTAAATGAGAGTGAGGCGCAATGTGTACACTTGGAGTCGAGGCTGCATGCTGCTGAAAATGAAGTGTTGAGACTGAAAACGAGACTTGACGTGGAGAAAACAGATGCTGCTATTGACAATGCAAGATTCGACGATCAAGTGTTGTCCGACTGTGTTGAAGAACTAGAAAGGTACTTGTACGTTAGATCTTGGGAAAAATCTCGATATTTGTAAATAAGAAAAGAGTAGATTCCGATTTTTCACATGGTCAAGTCGTTGGGGATCAAATTTCAGAAAAAATTTCAGAGTTTATTCTAGAGCCCATAATCAGTTTTTCTACCCAAAATTTCAGTCTGTTTGAAAACTGGTATTGCTAATTCAGACCTTCACTTTATGTTTGAAATTTGAGGAATTCGGAAAATGTACAACGATGCCTGACTTGACTCCACCTACGAAAGAAACGCCTCTAGCACCACAAAAATGCTCTGGAACCATTTTCATTAAGGTTGGGATGGGATATCGACCTAAGCACGTTTAAGGTTTATAGCAGATCTGACCTCATAGCTTGGCTTATCCTATACACAGCTAGGTGCAAATAAGTAAAGATATGTATCAATGAAAATAACTTAGGAACCCGTTAGTCGTATTGGGGTGGCTTGTATAAAAGGGGCCACATATGTTGATTGCTAACGAGGGAAACCTGTCAGAGTGTCTTTTAACGTAGGGGCTTTAAAATACCGTTTAAAACAGTCATTTGATCATTTAACTACCCCTCCCCCTCGAGCATCCATTAGCATCTGAACAAACACATGATGATTATTATGTCTTTGCAGGAGCAAGGTCGAGCTTGAAGAAGCCTTTGAATTGATCAGAGCAATGGAGATACGTCAGACTGAACTTGAAGAGAATTACGAAGCTGAAATCGGAGAGCTCAGTAATGTTATTGAAGCCCACGAAGAAACGATCGCGGAAACGGGCAAGGAGAAGTTGGAGATTGAGAAATCGATGCAAGAAATGCGAGAGGAAGTTCAGCGAGTTGTTGAAGAAAAGGATAGCATTGTAGAAAATTTAAGAAACGAGAAAAATAGAGTTTTAGAAGATAATGAACTGAAGTTTAATGAAAAGATCGAAATGAGTCAAAGCAGCATTGTTGACTGTCAGGAAGAAATAACCAATCTTAGGAATAAGGTTGACTCACAAAATGAAGAAATCGAGGTTTACAAAGCTAGAGTTAAGGAAAGTGAAGACATGGCAAAAAGTTTCTCAGAAGCGAACGAAAATTTACAGGCATCATTAGCGAATATTCAGTTCGAACTTGAAGAGGCGATACAAAATAAGAACCTAGTTGAAGACAAACTGGCATTTTTTGAGCATCAGGTTGAAGGGATGAGAAATGAACACGAAAACCAGGTAAGCAGGCATCAGTTTGAACTGGATCAGGCAACAATTGCTGTTGAAGCATTGCGTAGAGGTATAGCTGAGAGAGACCAGGTAATAGCGGGCTTTGGAAACGATATACATGTGCTTAAAGATGACTTGATCAAGAATAAAAAGAAATCAAAGCGTCTAAAACGGGATTTAGAGACAGCGAAGCGATCAAGTCAAGAGTTATCCGCTGGAATTAGAGTTGAAATGGAGAAAGTCGTTGATGAGATGCACCAGGAAAAAGCTAATCTTTATTCAGATATGCTGTCTAAGGAAAGAGAACTGCAAGAGGCCCGTATTCATACGGATCAGTTAATGAAAGAGAAGGAGCATTGGAATATAAGGCCTAGAGAAATAGAGTTGTTAACTGGGAGCTCTGGTACAGAAAAACCAATGGGTGATACCGAGCGACTGAGCTTGCAAGTTAATCAGCTGATGCGTGAAAAGGAAAAGGTAATTGATAATTTTGAGTCAAAAGTCTCACAACTGAAGGATGACTTATTCGCCATGGAGAAGGTTAAAAGAGGGGGTGACTTAAAGATTGCTGAACTGACTGCTAAACTAGATCACCTACAGCAGAAAGGAGGTTTGGCTGAGACATCAGAACAACAGGAAAAACTACAGGATTACAGTACCAAAGTAAAAAGTGTTAAAGGAGATTTTGAAGAGCTGAAGAAAGAAGCCAGTGGGTTCGCTGATGCATCTAAGCTTATGCTTGGTCAACTGCAGAATGAACTCACAGGGATGATTTTAACAGCCGCACAAAAACAAAATGCAGAACAAGGAATTGTAAGTGAATCATGTAACGCTATAGTATAATTTTTGACACATGGTTTCTTTACCAGAAATTGAAACAGCCAACTTTTCATATCCACTTGCTCCTTTTCTTGTTTTTAATTCCTCATCAAAATAATTATGATAACTTATTTTTGTATTTTGCTATTTCAGCTTCCATCACCAATGGCACCGTTAAGCCCTACAGTCGATATAGATGCAAGAAGTTTATCGCCTATAGACAGGTATGTATCCTATCAAATAACAGTGATATTTTATAAGTCTTCCAAACAAATCTTGCCCCGAAATACCCACAATCAAAGGCATGTTCAAATTACCTCCAATCCGCAAAATGCTCACTACCATTGGTCCTACAGGCTTTTGCTATATGTCTTCTCTTTGCTATATAAAAAAATTTAATATTTCCCTTAAATAGTTGAATTGCAAAATATACTCACCTTTTGTGCTGATTTTTCGATTATTTTTATTTTGTCATTAGAGCGTTAAACTATTTTTTGCCCATTCGCTACCGAGATTCATTCATTAATCTTTCGATCTGCCAAATTTTAGATTGGGTGAAGATAACGGCGAGCTGGAAGAAGCAAGGGAACAAATAGTGATGCTTGAGGTACATTTATATTGGGTTTATTATTCATGTACATTTGGTAGTACAAAAGGTATATTTTTCTGCGCTGAGTAGTTTCACATGCTACCCATATTTAATTGACCAAAAAGTCCACATGATTTGTTTGTAAGGCAAAAAGGTGGTGATCTAACACCTTTTTATATGAAACTATGGTGTTTTATGTCATCTCTTGAAGTTCAGAATGCTGGCGCTTTTATGTTCAAACTAGATTTTTCCATCAAATTGGTTTATTCTATGAAAGAGTATCCGGCATTGACATAAAGGACAAAAGAGTCATAATTTAAGCTTGCTGATCTGAACATGCCTCCGTGCTGGTTTGAGAAAGACAGATTCGTGGGCTTTTGCTTTTCTAAAACCAACACTGTGAACTATACACAATTGCCTGAATGTCTGCTTATTACGAATAGCCTAATTAAAGTTGTTTATATTATCTTTTAAGGACTCCCTTCGAACATGGAAAGAGAGGTGTGTTGATCTCGAAGACCAACTCAAGCAGCAAGGTCTGTTGGAAGAGGAACCATTCCCTGGTAGAAGAGGAAGTCGTGAGGTATTTCTTCAATAGAATGCTGCAATAATCAATCCTTTGTTTATGATATATTGCTTAGTGGTGTGAAAAATCTCTATATAACTACCATTTTCGTTATTTGTACAAAGGGTGGCACAATCAGGCAAGAACAGTGCTTAAAACGGGCTATATAAGACTCACATTTTTATCGAAAATATAAATTATCCTTATTATAGAATCTAAAATATAATATCTGGGAGAAAGTTTTCATCATTATCATTTTTCCCAGTAACATATTCATCTTAATTCTCAACTATATCGCAATTTTTCAAAACTTTATTGCCTCTTCAATTCCTAAGGAAGTGTATTCCTCATTACTTTTTTTTATTTTCAAACGTACGGATTGATGAATTTTTTATTGCTTTCTCTAAACCAATATATTTCCTTGCTTTACCTTCCTCCTGCAAAGAACTGAAACCGTTTATGGCTTTTCCTTTAGTTTTTAATCAACATAGACGATGAAGGGCCTAGTATTGAATCTGCACGACCAGTTTCTGGTGCAAGCGCTCAACGATTAATGAAATACAGTTCATCTGGAATGCGTGAGTAGCTTCTTAAACATAATTGGAAAAAATTTACATTAAACTATTCGCTTCTATTTATGTTTTTTTCTTTTCCTATTCTTTCCTACCTTTATTATTAGCATTAGTTTCCACATTAGCCTTCTTGTAAAAAATATCTTTGTGAACCTTATTCTAGGATTCAAAACCAGAGCAAGATCATTATTATCCAGTTTCCTTGGGAGGCAAAGGTATGTTTTCGGCAATTATATCGTCTAAAAGCACCTCATGTGCAATATGAAACTATAATCGTCTGTCTTTAAAGATTTCGTCATCAGGCTCGCAATATAACCTGGTAGTTCCATGAATCCTCTTTTAGTCTCCTGATTAAGCGGGACGTCGTTACTGTACATATAAAGTATCATATGACCACTGAAAATTTTTTTTATAGTTTTAAGGGGACGCTTTTCGATGGGGGTGCTTTTTTAAAGGGAGCGCTTTTTCGAAGGGAGTGCTTTTTCGAGGGTGGGCACTTTCTGAATTTTTCGTAATATTACTAAGTTAGTTTATTATCAAAAATTTACTGTTTGCAAGTCCCAAAGGGAAAGGAAAGCTTGGATTCCGCCTCGTTGTTCAAGGGACTTTTCATGCTATGACGATGGGTTCTTATCAAGCAACCTTTTTAATGGTGAACGATTAAAAATTAAAAAAGTTTTAAATTTACATATATAGAACGTCAAAACGAGAGTGCCGTTCATTATTAAGAAACTTTTCCGAAAGGGGCGCTTTTCCCGAAGTTGGGTACTTTTTAGAGGAAAACGGCACACGAAATTCAGTGTCGCTGGTCGCTGGTTCGAGTTCTTCCTTGTCTTATGACTCGCTCACATTTTCACCAATCATGTTCTACTTTCAATCCTTCGATACTTCTTGTTTCTTTATTTTTATCATTTTTTGAATAACATTTCGTTCTCTTTTCCAGGGGGATGCTTCCTGTTAGGAGATTATTGCTAATGGCATACCTTTTGGCTATCCATGTTTTTGCATTTATGTCAATATACGGATTTCTAACGTGATAGCTTATAGAAAGAATTTAGATAATTTTCAATTCTCAAACTAGAAAATGCAAAATAGTATAGAAATTAGATTATTTAAAGTCGTAAAGATTATCGATTAACTAAAGAAACTGCTGTTAGTAACTTAAAACAAATAATAGGGATTAGTGAGTAAAACGGTAAATTTTACATATTGGCAATAGCCATGAAATTTATAGAATTAAAGTTGTTGATAAAAATATAATGAGGACTTTGTCTTTTACTATCTTTTTCTGTCAATGTTGTTAAATTATCTTATTCCATAAATCTCCATGGTCTATTGGTAATCAAAGAAAGAACTTTTATTTACTTTATTTATCGTAATTCGCAATTAGATTTTCAGTTCATTACATGTCATGTGACCCAAAACAAATCTTTGATAGAACTATTGCATCGTTATGTCCTGAAACAAAAGCTTCCTTTTCGCATTTGATTTTATGTCAATAGATTCTGTTTAGTTTTACCATGAAGAAATATAAATCGAACGTTTTTATTCCTGCTTCTGTGAATTTAGTCCACCAAGACACTCTGTCGACCAAATCCTACAGCATAAAAAAGCTTGTTTTGCCTACTCGGTACTTTCTTACATCTTTGAGCATTTTGGCAGTTCTGCATCTAGAGATCTACAAAGCCCATGTACTTTATGAGCAAACACCATGTATATCTAGAGACCTTGGTGCAGTACCTCTTCTTCGCCCCTTCTTTTAAAGCTCTTTTTTGTCCATGAATATATATGATTTTTGGGCTGCATCTAGGCCCAATGACCGTAGTGTCTAGCTAAAAATATTGTTGTGGTCATGCGAATATTGTCTGTACTTCATGCCTGGAAAATCATAATTTTGCCACTTCTTTTAAAGCATTTCTTTGACCATGAATATATATATATGATTTCTGGGCTGCGTTTAGGCCCAGTGACCATGTAGCTATAGAGTAGCATGAAATCCATGCTATTTTTTCACAATGATACCAGTGCAGCTGCCGATGTGTCCGACATTTTAAGCGATAAATTGACATTTGTCGACGTCACGTTTATATCACAAAACTGCTTTTCTCTGACTTTTCAAAGCTTGGATTCCTGTTTGTTAGTATCTCGGGAATCTCCATTTTTAAAAGCAGAATGGGTAAGGGGCGGTTAATCCCGATATATTCTGATAGAAATCCACATGTTAGGTAGAGCTACTGTTCGTTTCTGCCTATACTCGTTTCTGTATATCATATCAATCTAATTTAATGACGTCATAACCCAAACCCCCTAGCAATAGCCTACGTCCACAAGGACACCTCCCCAGCAGGGGATTCTTTTGCGACATTTAAAATTTTTTATTTTGGTATTGTTTTTCTTCTTTTTGCACTTAACCCCCCTGCCCACCTTCATGGCAGGGCTCCTTTCCCCTTTTGTCGTACACTTGGTTGATGCAAGGTATATTCCCCACTGCCCCTACTTAGCCTTCATTGCTTCGAATATGCATGTTACTCGAGTATGTTGCATTCAATTCAACTTTAATCTATTAATCAATGCTTCAGTTGGAAGATAAAAAGATCAGACAACTTTATTCTTTCATAGCGGGTACCAGGTGCAGGTTTGATATTTCCATCGAAATTGTGTTTCTGTGAAAAACGTGCTTTTGGCTAAGTAGATAATTAAAAATGAGTGAAAACTAAAAAGGAAAGATTTTATTTTTATTGGGAATTTACTGGCTGTGTTAGCGAAGAATCGAAAGATTGAAGAAATATGCTGATCAATCGAGAAGTTATTTTGTTGTTAATATGTACTATTTTGTTCGTTCTTGAATGTTATTCAAAGGCATCATACCACGGGCCTGGCCATCGCAAAGGACTTTATGGAATCTCAAAGCGAAAGCCTAAGAAAAATCTCGGTAAAGCACTCAACAGCACATCATCAAAAGCACCTTCGTCTTTGCCAGCAACGAAAGCAGGGTCTGGAAAGGCTGGCGAAAGAAAGGTTGAAGTGAAGGGTCATAAAAGAGCGATTATTGAAGAACTGCACAATGAAGAGGATAAGAGCTCTGCTGGAGTGGATTACGCAGATTTTGAAGGACCTAAAAAGCGGGATGTCAGCTTGAAAGAAGTTAAGGTTGGTTACAAGAAAACACTGAAAGACAAAAGCCCTGAAAATTCAACTCAGGTTATTGAGATTACGGGAAACCTTACAAGTTCTGAGCACTCTTCAAATCAGAATGGTTATGAAAAAGAGTCGAGTAAAGCCTCAAGTCATGAGGATAAAGGGACTGGGCAGGAGAACAATTCGAATGAAGCCCGTAGTGCCAGTTCGAATATAATAACAGATCTTAAGGTACCCCAGATGGGGGCAGCTATTTTTGGGAACACACAGAATAACAACGGGTCGGAAAGCAAGGAGGCAAGTGCAGATGGAAATTCCACTTCTGAAATGGCCACAAAGCAACAAGAGACACCGGATACTCGGACTTCCAGCTCCAATATGATTACAGATCTCAAAGTGCCAAATATTATTGATAAGACGGTACCAAATAGCAGCATTTCTAGCTCGAATGGATCACAGGTAACAGATGGTAATGCTTCAGAAAATGTCGACCAAAGGAGCCCCCAAGTGCCAAATCTTGGGGCTTCTATCGTTGGGATTGTGGATAACAGTAATGGATCGCAGTCGAGTAACAGGGGAACGTTGCTTTCAAACAATACAGCTGAAGGCAATAGCACGGATTTGAAAGAGAGACAGACAGAAGGAGGAGCTGATTCGAAACTGAAAGACTTTCTCGACACGTTAGATGAAATCGCTAACACGACAGCCGAGACTGCGAGGCTTGTAAACACGCTGAGAAATGCTTCTATCGCTCAAGAAAAGGGGGCTGGGAACCAAACTGCAAGCGCAGCTACAGCTGACTATACGGCAAAGGCTGGTAAAGATGTGAGTGCCAAAAAGAAACACGAGGTGAGAGTGGATTCAATTCAATACATTTGCATTCAGACTTTCTTTAATTGTGAGTGATTACAAACTTTTGTGTGTCGCCTTTGATAAAAAAATTATGTTTCACAAATAGGCCGAAGATAAAGACAAACGAAAAAATGACATGCACTTGCCCGACCCTCTAACTATATTTGTCACTACCTACTGAGCCTGCCATCGTCTCCAGGGCTTGATCTATCGAGCAACGTAGTAAAATCTTAAGTAATCAGCATTTTTATGAAAGGGAATCAATCCGTACCACCTTAAATAATGATGGAAATTGTGAAAACGATTTGCCAAAGGTGTCAGGAAGGTAGGAATAGACAAATTCCGAATGTAAACTATGAACGAGACTATATTACCAATAGTGGATCGTGGAAGAGAGGGAAGAATGGTCGGCTCTGAATATTTCTTCAGTTGACGTTGGTTCTAAAGTACCACGTGTCACGAAATACAAGAAGCATCTTGGCCACATTTTTAGTCTGTTGCACACAGTAACCATTTTTTTATAGCTAAAAGTGTCTTCACATTGATTTATTTCAGATTATTGGTCCCCATTATTACGAACCTGAATGTGATGATAAGAAAAAATGTCCTGATGGACATTACTGTAGAATGTACGTGTGCGTGGAGTGTCATCGCAGTAAACACGCGTGTACGCATCGTGAGCAATGCTGCAACAAAATGGAATGTGTCTACGGAAGATGTGAAAACAAACCAAAGGGAAGTCCAGGTAATATGGGATGAATGCTTTTCTAAGAAATAATGAATGTCGTATGAGGGCTGCTGTTTTCTAATAATCATCTAAAGGAGATGCAAATATCTGGCACCCAAACCATACTCTCCTGTAGCCCATTTATCCATTCTATCACTTAGAATGAAAAACCTACTTGGAGAACTTTTTTTGGGATAGCCAACCTCCCTTCCCATACACTTTCGTAAGGCCTTGGTATACATAATTCTTCTAGCAATTGATAAAAATGTATTGAATGGCCCTTTTAGCAAAGTTTTTAGCATTTACTTTAGGAAAAATATTTTAAAAGTAGATAGCCATGAATTGATGCACACAAGCCACCTTTTTAGCACGACAATCCTTTGTTTTTAAAAAATTTTAAAAGAGTACCCCCCCCCCCCAGTTTACCCTAAATGGCCAAATTATTTGCACCTTCACATGTCTGGTAGGTTTTTAGATTGTAATATTAAGCTCTGTTGGTCTGTCTTACTGTCCCTATTGGCGTGCAAACAGCTTTGGCTGATGCTTTGTCCAACTAGACCCTTCTGTTATCTTTCAGGAGCATTCTGTGAAAAAGATAGTGAATGTGCAGGAGAAGCATGCTGTGTCCTAGAACCGACCGTTGACGAGGAGCATTCGATTTGCAAGCCAAAATTATCAGAGTTCCATCAATGCTCTCCTATTCTATTTCGGAAAATTTGGATTGGCGATCATAAGCCTGAGTGTGGCCCATGCAAAGGTGGATTGACATGTGTGCAAAGGGGGTATGTGATATCTTACCTATAGCTTCAGCTTTTGCAATAAAACTGAGTCCTTAATTTCAGGCACGGCGGAGCAGGGGCCAAATATTAAGTATTAAACTACCAGAAAAGCCTCTTTTTATGCGGTTGTAACCCCCCCCCCCACTTTTTTAGACCCCCACTTTTCTAGACGCTCCGCGGTGCCTGAATTTTGCTATGATGGAAATAGCCCAGTCATAGGCCAAGGAGAGCAGAATGGAGCAGAATCTTCCGTCAATATCCTAGTTCCTCAATTCACCCTACTTATGGCTATGTTTTAGGCCCATTCGACATCTTCCTATGGTTACCGACATGAAGGTATCGGTTAAGCACGTGCTTGCTCTTTCATGAAATGGGTCATAGCTTTTTATCTTTTTATCTGTTTGTTTACTTGGGCTTTTCATACAACTTGGTAAAACTTCATATTTACCAAAGTCTTTGTTTTCAGTATATAAATTTTCAGTCTATGAGCTACAGCAGACATGTAATCGAAACGAAAAAGAAATTCAACCTTCAATAATAAAAAAATCTCGAATCTTTTTATTACAGCGTCGAAGGAAATCATGAAGTTTGCATGAAAAAGTCTTAAAGCTACAAAGAAAAGTAGAAAGACGCAGCAAAATTGCTGAAGGTTTGTTGAAGGCAGCCTCCAATTTAGAAAAACCCTTTACAGCAACTCAAATCATTTCTAAACATCGAAGTTCCCTTTTGGCTTTTAAATGCTAACTCGCTTGTATCAATTCATCATAGGATAGAAGTCCACGTTAATTTTATTTTATCCAACATTCATATACTTATATGACGTCACTCAGTCCCAGTCTGTACTGTTGCAACTGCTCTCTCTTAAAAGAAAGGTAAGGATGTTTGAATGATTCATTCAGGCCTGTACTATTAAGAAGGACGCGCGCATGCAAGTTCACCGACACAATTAACTGGCAGGCGCATGTTCCAAAGATAAATATTTACTTTTCGATACTTTTACAAAAACGAACTTCGAGTTATGGTTATAAAGCTTCGATTGGCAAGATACCCCTTTTCATGGAATTTTGACAAGCATATTTTCATTGCTGCATAATGAATTTGGTTCCAAGTTGCAAAACATTTTTATGCAGCGTTTAATGCCCTCTTTCCTAGAAACTTGAAAAACCAAACATCTCTGCAGAATTGTAGAATTGCTCCTTGGTACTTCTGAATTTTGTTATCATGGAATTTTTCTTATCTTTCACGTTTAAATTCATGTATGACAGTAGGCCCCAGCCTATTATTGTGCACCAAGCGGTTTTTCGCATACTGAATGACGTCACCCCATTTTCAGTGAAGAAATCAATAGGGTAAAGTTCATACTTAATATGTTTAGCGTATTCCTTGCATATTAACCCACTTTTTGCAATTGTGTTGTGTGATTTGTATATCATCCTCAATTGTAACGTAAACATTTTAAATCTTAAAATTCGCAACTTAAACAAAAGTGCTTCTCTGTTTAGATTTACTCTTTATAATATAATCTTATATATTAAATAACTATTTCTTTTACATTTAACCTTTCTTATCTCTATTTTCAAAACCTTAGAAGCATATGTAATTTTCAAAATATAAAATCCTTCAATGCTCTCTGTAGCTTGTTAAAAATCTTTTTCATTCAACTCCGTTTTCCAAAAACACACAATCTATGTTTGTCAAAAATTTACGTTTGAAAATGCTATACGACTTTGCTTGACTCCTGAACTTACAAAAAGCCCATTATTGGTACCTATAAAAGTGTCTAAAAAAACACTGGTGCTGACAAAGAAAAGTAACCTAAACATTACTTGCCATCTTTTTAAGAAACCAAGCGTTAAGTTAATTAGTCGCGGTAATGGAATATCTTAAGTTTTAAGAATATTTTCTCCAGTTTAAACTTTGTAACTTTAAACTTGCTTAAGTTTTAGCTTTGTAAAATGTAACTTGAAGACATTTTAAACATAAAAACTTTTTACACTTAACTAGAGATCATATTGAAACTTTTTTTTATAACAGAAGAAAATCAAATAAAACACAGATAGATCAATCGTCTAATTGTAGTAAATAGAAAGATATTTACAGAAAATTTCTCAAATGTGAAATTTTTATTACACACAAAGTTAAGCAGTCGAAGAATGCTTTTGACAGGTTATCTATCTTGTTACTTTGATACTTTTAAACTAAAGAGGTTAGAAAATAAAAAGAGATTTAGCCATCCCTGTTTTTGTTTCTTAATTATAAAGCCTTTTCGTGTTACTTGAGATTTTAAAATCATGTTCTTGAGATTTTGAAACTTGATAGACGAAAAGAGTTGACAGTAAAAACGTCTCCTTGGCCTAAGATGAAGTATCTTTAGTTAAAGTGTCAGAAAAAGAAGATCGGACTACCATTTTAGATGCCTCTTGCAAAGGCATGTTTATTGCAAATGCTAGTGATGGCATTTATGTGACATCTAATATCTCCAGATATTCTAAAACCTCGATTGTTGTTGTAACAGTAGACGAAGCCTCCGGAAATTGCTTCTCGGGTCCGTGCAATCAGAACATTAGAAAGCTTTTCAAAGCCCTGCTTCTAAGCAATTTCGTGCTTTAACCGTTTTGTCAACAGTTTAATTAACCCTGCTTACAAAAGGTAAGACAATATGCAGATTTTAAAAACTCGCAGAAGAGCTTACTTGTTATACACTGTGTCACTTACACTGTAAGTCAGTTCTTCCACACACTGTTGTGCAAATCTACTAGATAAAACTAGAGCAACTTCTCTTGAGAAGACGTCCCGTGACGCTTACTAGCTTCAGTTAACTGTAGCGTAATACAGAGTAGATTTTATAAGTTACTTATCGTCAGTTGGGTCTTTAAGGGCAGACCGTGCTGTTTTTGCTTCGACTGTGATTGGACCAAACCCTACATGCTCCTTTGTAAACATAAACTTCCCATCGGAACCCATTTCGATTTTGTTTCCGTTTATATCGATTTTCGTATCCCTCAAATGTCCACGCTTTCTTTCTTCCGCTTCTTCTTGCTCCTGCTCCTGCCTGCTTTCATCCTGGTAAAGCTCCGCAGCATCCCCTTCTGAGCCGTGAATTTCCTCTCTGTAGGGTTTATCAGGACCAGTGAAGCCATTCTTTTGTAAGTACTGCTTCTCTGCCTCTTTGAACTTATCATTAGTTCCGTCTGGGAAGTATTGCTCTGTTTCATGCGGATTATACGAAGGTGGCCGGTAAAAAGGAGCGGGTACATAATTTTCGGGACCGCTCATTCTCTCAAAGTCTCCGGTTGCATCTTCTTGAGGTGCCATGCTGTTCCTTGAAGTGAAGGTATTTTGCTCGTAAGTTGCTTGGGGGAGGTTCTCGTCCATTCCATTCTGTCCAAAATTTTCTCCTCCATTCATCATTGGCAGTCCGACTGACCCTCTAGCTTCAGGGACATGTTGTTCGCTCTCTTGAATTAACCCGGGTATTGAAGGTTGATGGTCCCCAAATGATTCCTGACCCCTTTCTATGTTAAATGGCATTTCTCCACGTGAATATTGGTCGCCACCTTGCTCATTCTGCATACCTCTTTCGAATCCTCCTGCAAACCTTGCATCTGGGGGGCCTTCCTCTCTATTATTGGAAATATCTGGTTGCATTGCTTGCATACCATTTACCGGAACGGCTTCCATTATTGGCACTGATTTGAACCCTAGAAAGGGTGGGCCATTTCCAGGTTGTATTCCATATTGAAACCTACCCTTTGCTGGAAGTCCCGGCTCCCCAGTGTACTCATTTGCTCGCATTTGTGCGAAAATTGGATTCATCGGAACTCTGACGGGACTTCCAGCAAGGATTGGATCATAATATCTTGGGCTGGCTCGTGTACCCCATTCGTTTGGTCCATTAAATGATCTAGCATTTCCTGGTTGAGGCTCAATAGGAGCAGGAGGCAAACGAAAGGGGTTTTGTCTCGCCATTAGTTCTCCACTTCCCATCATTGCCTGCTGGCTTAATCTGTATTGCCAGGGACCAATGCCAGGCACGCCTGTAAACATAGCAAGAGGCAGACGGTTTTGCTGAGACCCAAGTATGAAATACCTCTTTTTACTGGAATCTTTCGTGTTTTTTGCGGCTTTTGACTTATCAGTAACATCTGATGCAGGCTTAGGGATCTCCTTTCTTGATTGGGAGGCAGTTGCACCCTGTTTTTGTTGAATACTGCTCTTTTTAGTGGACAGTTTTGTATTGACCCATCTTGGAATCATCGCTCTCACTTCAGCTTGTTGTCCTGCTTTGTGAAAACTGTTGCCAACGGGATCTGTTTCGCCCAGCTGGCTTGGCGTTGTTGAGTAGAAACTATTTTTAAGTGATTTCCAGTCTAAATGAAATTTAAAATTAGCATTGAAGTGAGTTTAGAAAGCCCATACTTAAGTTTATTACTAAATTGGAGATTAAAGATGTAGGCTTATCATTTTCAGGTTTATTTATAATCAAAATAATCAGGAAAAAGTGAAAAAACCCAATTATAATCATAAACACTTAGAATAGTCATGTTATCAAAAAAGAGAGCCCATTACTAGCTTTAGGTTATGTTTGGCACTTTCAAAATCAATTATTAAAATCAAAAAGTACTTTGCCAAAATATCACGCCTTCGAATGTAGACGAGTCACCAAATCGATCATGCCAAGAGCTAGCGGGCCTGTCCCTCGCCCCAAGTCCCTTGTCACCCTTAAAGATATATGGCTATGAAAAAGTCAGGAGTTACTCACATGCTGCGAAAGGGTTACTCGTTTTCTCTTTCGCACCGTCTACTCCAAATTCTCTGTTTTGTAATTGAGAATCTCGATAAAACGTGTCTGGGTTTCCTCTCCCTTCACCGTTGCCAACAGCCTGACTTATATCATTCAATTCCATGTTCCCCAAATTCTTCATCTGTCCATCGCTCATATCATTTAATGTATCCTCATACGACAATGAAGAGGTCTTAGAGCGACCGATAAATGCTGGGTCCGCATTTCGCATACCCTTATCGTAGATTCCAAGGTATGGATATCGAGAATGTGGCTCAACCAAACCTGAGAATGATTTTGAGTCTGTTGATTCCCCTAGAAATGACGTAATTGGCTTAGCGTAGAGCCCAGACCTTATTGTGGATAATATATCTTGCGGGCTCCCATCATTGGCATATGATATTGTCTGTCTTGTTGTAACTGCTGCATCTTTTGCAGCTTCAGGCGTGATGTGGTATCGCTTGCCACCACATATGAGACTGTTGCCTAAAAATAAAGAGACTCTTTGAAAAGGTTCATTTTAATCAAAATTATTTCCATTAGAGACTTCCATTTTTATGGTCTTTATTATTATCAAACAAACATGATCGTTATTCCAAGCAATTTTTAGTCAGATGGCAGGCAAAGTCAAGATATAATGGATCAATACCATCACGATTTTGTAATAGAGTAAATGATTTTCTGACCGTTTGAAATAGAATAAATGATTTTCTGATCGTTTGAAATAGCTATCATCAACAGGGCCGTTTATACTGGAAAATATCCTTGTTTGCGGAGGCTAAGACTTAAAATATATTTGCGTTACTAAGAATTTCGTAGAGGGTGCAACATGATTTTATGCACCCACACTTTCTCTAGCTACACCAATGCTTACTAGGGAAGTTACCCACCTAGAAGGATTGTTAATGATGCTAATTGTTAATATAAAATTGAGATTTGCTGAGGGCTTGGGTCTTTGACAACAAACATCTAACTCACATTAACAGCTCGTGAATGATAAAAGTTAACAGTAATGGTAGTTTTTTTTAAATTTATACAATCTACAAATATATTCACGCCAAAGAACAGCCCTGTCATTTAAACCTATCTGTAGCTCTTTCGTTAGCTATATTTTAATTACATTATACATCACTTTTAGACTCCGATGATCGATTTGCCTAAAAACTACATGTTTTGAAAAGTTTCTTCCATGTTAACAAAACAGAGCATATAGAACAGCAAATCAACCGAGCTAGTCATGCGAAACAGTAATTCAGTGGTCTTAGAAGAAATTTATATTATGTAGATGTAGAAAAACCGATGATAAAATGAAACAATATGAAGAACACCAGAGCCTCAAAATATCCAAAAACAAAAACATCGACCCATAGTTATATGGTTCTTCGTTGACATGTTTTGAAAAGTTTCTTCCATGTTAACAAAACAGAGTAGATAGAACAGCAAATAAACCGTGCTAGTCATGCGAAACTGTTATTCAGTGGTCTTAGAAGAAATTTATATTATGTAGATGTAGAAAAACCAATGATAAAATGAAACAAAATGAAGAACACCAGAGCCTCAAAATATCCAAAACAAAAAAATCGTACCAAAGTTATATGGTTCTTAAAAAAGGGTGTGCTATTTAGTACGTATAGCTTAATTTTTAACTTCTATCCCTTCGTTGACCTGCCTTGTCAAAAGTATTCATAATGTTTGCAATGTTTAATATATTGATACCAGAGATAAGTGTCACATACCTGTTACTATAGTTGTCTCGTCAGAGTGGAGCCTACATCGTACAATGCTTCCAAGGTCTCTGATTGTCTCGAATCTTCTCTCGAGGTTCTGGAAATTTCCGAATTCAGCCCTGAGTGGATGGGACACGGTGTCTTTTTTGTGCAACTTTTTCAGCCAGTCGTGTCGTCTTCTGGATTTCGTTGCTTTTCCAAAACTCTTTAATTGACCGTACAAAGAGATTACGAAAATGCCAACCAGCAAAATACTACAGACCTTTCTAAGCTTCTTCATCGTTTCATTATTGCTTTATGTAGAAACTTTCAACATTTAAATTCGTTTATTGTGAAAACAGCTTCAGAAAACTACTCGAGCCTCAGGATTTTCTCCTGCTGCAGAAATAAGCAGGTGCTCGTACACATATCTTTCACGGATCAAAAGCTCTGCCAGGGGCATATGCGATAAATACCTCGTTTTCACCAGCATAAAAACAATTAGGTTTTTTTGGTTTCCATCATTATAATGTTAGCTTCAATACAACAAAAATCCACGTATACGAAGCATAGTGTCTGGAACCAAGGGGTGAACATGTTCTTGCTTTTGGGATGTACAATTCTATGAGAATATTGTAAAGAAAGTATGCAATGAGCAAAATTCATAGAATATTTTTTGTGAAGCTTTCGGCAAAATTTACAGAATGTTAAATATGATTTTGTGCAACCATAAGAAATTTTAGAAAGTTTAAGGTACTTTTAAATTTAGCTTCTTTTATGCTCACAAATTTGGTTCCTATATGCATGTTTTTTTGCAGTTTATATTGAATGAGGGGGGGTCGGGGTGGTTAGAGGACGCCTGCATCTTGTCACGGGTGCAGTCAAGATAGATTCAAGCACAAGGACTTCAAGTTTTATTGCATTTTACGTGTCTTTGTCTTAACTTACTACAAAAGGGAAAACGATTACATTATTGATGAGAGAAATGAGTTTTGCAGCCTTTTGAAGCCTCAGAAATCGGCTGAAGATGTTTAAATAAGGGCTCAGACTCAGGACTGCACAAGACAAAGCACAAAAGATGAAAAGCACAAGACTCAGGGTTAAATAGATAAGAAAAAATATCGATAAAAGCAGTAGGACATGCTCTCTGCAGACTACAGGTCAAATTAATCTACCAGTATATCTAAAATTTCCTAATTTTCGTAGCTTGACCCTCCAGACCCGGCGGTTGGAGGGTTTTCAAGAGTATAATTTACCGACGAAGACATAAATGAAAAGATATTGAAGTCCTATTTTACCTATCGATGGGTGATTTTACCGACAAACTATGATTTTGTGAATCAACTGAAGATTTACCGTACAAATCATGAAGAACTGGGGGCTGTCATATTTCCGACACCCTCTCTAGCTATGCCTCTGAGTTCCTGGTACCAATCTGAATGACTGCAACTTTATTGATAGTTATTAATTTTTGCCACCTGTCAGACTGTTGATAATTTTTGCGACACATAGGCCTTTATGAAATCATCAGTACCATGGGTATATTTTGGTATTTCTTCATAGGTATTTTAATTACATGGAAATATTAGGTATTATCAGAATATTAGAAGTATTGGAAGACCTGATTGCCCTAGGTCAGCCCAGCATACAAAATGGAACAAACCTAAGTATTTCTTTGTAAAAATTATTTATGTGTATTTCTTGTAGCTGTGTTTTTAATTTTGTTGTGTTACGTGTTACGTGCAATTTTGTTACGTATATCATTTTCGATCCACGCTTTCACTTAGGCTCTGGTATTTAAAAACCTTCTGGTCAATCATTGCTTTCACGAGCTTCCAAAAAATTCAACCAATATACACTAAATAACATCAAATACATGGGATCAAAATCCACGTGTAAAACAGCCTCTATGGGGGGCTAAAGGGAGTAAGAAGACAATTTTACAATGCTGGGTCTCAGTGTAGAACCTATGACGCGTACCCTGTGGTGATAACGATGGTAAAAATGACAGTGGTCATGGCACCAATTATTCGTGGTAATGGCACCAATGGCAGTGGTCATGGCGTTGGTGTTGGTAGCTGTAGTTTTGGTGACAGCTGTGGGATCATAAGAACTGTGATTATATGTTTACCACAATTGCTTTCAAGGAGAATTCAAAAAGTCCGCTCATTTTTCATTAACATGCTATTATAAACAAACTTATATACAACTATATTTCAAGCCAATTTTATTAACAAACATAATGTCAATGATAATTATCAGCGTAAAGATGCTATGGCAGTTAAAAACGGTTATATTCAGTACAATACCTTATAGTAAATATTTCATAAAATAATAAACTTGCTTTCATTGAAAGTAAATACCATCTTTGGTTACATAACAATCTTTCCTTTTCCAGTCTTGGTTTGCGACTGTGACTCATTACATTTGGCTTATAGTTAATTTTGAATGAGAGCTTCGATTGTGAATTTATGAGAGCTTCGATTTCGAGTTGCGTTGTAATCAGTTAGGCCCTTTTTGCTTTAACTAAATGTACTGCCCTTTTTTGTTTTTATTCTTCTTCTTATTTTTGCTATTGGAATACGTCCCTTTTTATAGCCGTCTTCATCGCCATGGCCGGGAAAGTAATCATCATAATGATGTCTATGGAAATGACGATAAGGGTACCAATAGTATGGGCGGTGTATTTGATGATGATATTGTCTGAAGTGTGGATGATGGTCGTGATATAAGTCTCCTCCGTAGTATACAGGTTGGATGGGATGCACTACTTCCGGTGGTGCCATAAACAATTGGGGCATATTGCCTATAACTGGCACGTGTTCAATATGTTCTTCCTCATGAATATGTTTTATCTCTTCAGGTATCGATTCTACTTGTAAGGAAGCTGGTCTTGCTTTTACATCAATTCCCTGATCGCTAGTTTTGACTTCGATTTCTGGGGATCTATCGTCCATATGAAAGTGAGTTGGTTGTCCCCCTTTCTTTTCACCCCCACTGTCACCTTTGCCATCTTTTCCAGCAGCGCCTGCATTTGGCAGTGCAGCCTTCACCGAGTTTAGGACAGACAAAAGCTTTGCCACGAGAGTTGGAGAAAGAGGGGCAGTTGCTCCAAAACTAACTATTGCTGATAATACCAGAAAAACAAGAAATATCTTCATTATGTAGGCAATGCTTCACAACGAACATTCAGATATCTCTGATGAACATCTGATAAATATTGACCTCCATAGGTCTTTATATACCTTAAACATGAAACAAATTCTTCTGAAATAGCTTCAATTGAATTGGAACCAATATCATCTGCATTTATGAAGTAGTTTTCACAAATTGAGAACTGCAGTATCTTTGTGGCCTAAATTTGGCAGGTCGGTGCAAATATTTACAGATGTCAATTTTGTTTATGACTTGAGCTAACACGGTACCCCTGTAAACATCATGTGAGACTGCCACTTACTCAGTTATCACTGAACGCCCACGCATTCTTTTTGCTCTTTCAAACAATGATTGAGTGCATAATGTTCACACTGAAACGCTCCCATTCTATCTTAAAGTCAGTCTGTCCCCTTCGTGATGCTCAGGAAAATTACGCTATGGTGGTTCTTCACTCTGATTGTTTATTTGTGCATTGAATCAACGAAGCATGAATATCGTGGCCATGAAAAGATATTCTGAGAACAATGGGGGACCTAAGGTTAATCAAGCGAGACAGACTTTAAACTACTGATTGCTCGGATGCATTCAGCTGTATTATATTATATTGATGATATTTTTGCAGGTCTTCCTTCGTGCAGTATGGTATGCCTCCTCTACAACTGTTGCTTGAAATGCCATATTCAGGACCCATGTTTTGTGAATGCAATCCTGTTTCAAAAATGCAAATTTTGTAGGTTTTTCTTCCCACAAGATGAAATGCTAAAAGTCCATAGGCCCCCCAAAAGTAGAAACCAGTTTTGTAATGACCTGATCCATTAATATGGAGCTAATTACAAGGAATATTATGTTTTAACTGACATTTAAATCATCACAAGCAATCAGTGCTTGACCGATCAACTAGCCCAAATTTTGTGGGTTTGACCCCCTGTTTTCAGAAACATCCCCTCAAACACTTTATCAACGTTCAAATTCGTAATCTACGCCAAAAACCAGATTATAAAAAGTTAGTGTCTTAAATTCTCCGCTCGGGTGACAAGACAATAGCCTCGCTCCAGCCTCTGGACTGATACACTTTGCTTTATAGAAAAAGACTTGAATATAAAACAATATGTATAGAACACATGTCTAAGATTTGAAAATGGCTTTGAAAAAAGCAAACATTTCACAACATATTACTTAAAGCTTTTTCCTCGGACACTCCTCAGAGTATAAAACGTGAGAATAAGGATCCGAAAGAATTATAATTCAAATATATTTTATTGTTCATCACAGTAAAATACCTTTTTAAAACACATAATGTTTTTGTATGGTCTGCGACGCAGGCAATGTTTTAACAAACCAAAGGAAAAGCTTCAAAACTAGAAGAAAGAAAATAACTAAATCCAAGTTCAAGCTTCGAAACTAGACACAAGAAAATATCTTAACCAAGACAACAATGCTGCGGTAGCCCTCCTCCTCATCACTGCCGGTGTCACATGCGTTTCGGTAACCTGATGCATTTAGGTCCTGAAGCAATTAAACAATAGGGTACCAAAACGAATGGTGGAAGTTAGCATACAAGACGGTCCAGGTACACAAATGTTCTGGTTCATATTGTTCAGAATGGAAAAAACACTCGAACTATTTTTAACAAGGGGTTAAGAAGCGGTGCTGTGATTTCCCTTGCTAAGAGTAATGGCGAATCCAAATGTTTTCGTGATTGACAAGCGTGAAATTTCAAACACGAAAAGCATTATGGTCAATTTGTTACTCATGTCATAACAACGCACTTGCACTTTGATGAAATCACATGATTTGAAACATATTGCATTTCACAATTGTACAATTTTGCACAGGCACTTTTGCATAGGGTACCAAAACGCATATTACAGCGGCAACCCCCTACTTTGCTACGCCCCTAAGTATATAGGTAAAGTTAAACTAACTACGTTGGAAAGGATGAGCCAAAACTACAATGTATTTAGCTAATTATTATAGATTGTTGATCCAACGATAAATTCCTGTTAGTCACACAATAATGAATTTATATTATAAGTTTAGGACGTTACCTGGTCCTTTTTTGGTACCATTAAAATGATTCAAGCTAATATCCCTGAATGAATTTCTATGTCATTATTAAAAGTAAGATTTTTAAAGAAACTAGATCGATAAATACAACCCAAAACCTTCAGTCAATAGATGTGTCTTAACAGAAAACATATTACAAAAAATAAAGAAATTTTTTTTAAAAGTCAATATCTTGTTGGAACACCATCATTAATTATCTTATATAGAGGCTTTCTTTCTTGATTTTTGCCAAATTCCTCCATGTTCTTCTTTCTGTCCAGTTCAGTTCGTCTGAAAAACCTCTCTCGAGATGTTTCGATATTATCTTTGATACCATTTAAATGACGAATTCGGTAATGTTCGTATTCACTTATTTCTCTGTTTTGCCTCTCCTCAAGTTGATTGGCATGGTGTCTTAAAACTCCCATACGATCCTGATGCCCTTCGACGGTCAAAACATTTTGTCTCTCCCAATGGAAATCCGAAAACCGCTCCATTAGTCGGTCCTGCTCTTTCTTTGACGGGTAATTTTTCGCGTAATCAAGTTCTACAAGTGACTGTTTCAAAGGACTTGGATTTAAGTCTCTTTTAAAGTCTTTTATTTTCACGTTGTGCTCCATTTGATTCATATTGGCAGCGATTTTAATGTAGCCACCTTCCTGATTTTTGATGATATTAGGCCATGTTTAGTTATCCATGGCAACCTAGAAAGCTATTTCAAAACGAGGGGCTTGCTGTTAGGAAAGAGGCTCAAAATTTGTTAACAATACTTGGAAACTTTGTAAACAGTACTTGGAAGTTAGAAAGAGTAAATGTTTATTTGCGAAACGTTTTTTAGGATTTTAGTACCGATACAAGATATATTTAAATATATTTTATTGCTCATCACAGTACCATTTAGCGAATGTCAGTTTTTGTTCATAAAATAATAAGGGGAGAAAATGCCATGACCTAAAATTTAAAAGAAGATAAAATCAACAAGTATTTGTGATGTACAGTAATATGAGACCTTTAATTTTTTTGCATGATCGGCGACGCAAGGAAACGCTTTAAAACTAGACAAAAGAAAATAACCTAATCCAAGCACAAGATTCCTAACTAGCCACAAGTAATAACTTTATCACTTGAGGTAACTCCAAAAGCAATTGCCTGAGGGGTAAAAGCGAATATAAAGAACGGTAGCGGTCATTAATTCAAATAAATCTGTACATTTCCAGTTGCTGGGTGGGTCACGAAAGAAAGACCCCTAACACGTGGCTGCTTAAACTGATCTCAGTGGGCTGCTTAGCATATTCATAAATTTCATTTGAATTGATCCAACATAGAACAAGATGGCATCTGCATCTTTGCGTTATCCTGACTTAATTGGTATCAAAAGAGATGGTGGAAACCTCAGTCCAGACCAAATTGCACATTTCATCCGCGGAATCGTTGAAGGTAATGTTCATGGCTCTCAACTTGGTGCAATGCTCATGGCAATCTATTTGAAAGGAATGAACCACGACGAAACGATCGGCCTAACTCATTCAATGCTAAATTCCGGGGAGATATTTTCATGGCCTGATGAATGGAAGCATTTAGTTGTGGATAAACATTCAACTGGAGGGGTTGGTGATAAAGTTAGTCTTCCACTAGCCCCTGCACTGGCTGCCTGTGGCCTGAAGGTAAGTACTAAAATACATTTTGATCTTTATATGCAATAACCTCCAGCTTGTTGCATTATTTGGTAGACGATCTCGATCACACACCCCTGATCACACCTACTGTTTTCCAGGTGATCACGTCACGTCCGCTGCAGGAAAGCAGTTAATACTCTTAGGTTTTATTCTTGCCAGTCTAATAGAGTTTTATGGTGTGCAAAAGTATTTGGAAATATGCTGAAAGGCACGAGACGTTTGTTTTTATAGGTATAGAAGGTAAAAACTAAGGAACCAATGTGTGAATAAAATCGTAAAATCCAAAATGGAAAAATGAGAAAAAAGGAGATAACGAGTAGTCACTACCACCTGGTTATAGCCTCAAACCCAGATAGGGGGTGGTTCTGTGTGCCCCTTGTGTGTTTAGGCAATTAGCTTGAAAATGGGCAGAAAATGATAAAAAAAGCAACTCATCAGCAAGAAACCCACGGGGGACATTTCGGGGCTTTAATTAGGTATGTCCGTTTCTCGTGGCCGCCCCTCGTAATCCTGCGTCCAGGATCACGGTTGCAAAATGAATATATAAGCAATAAGAGTGAAAATTTAATAATCAGTGGATGCCGTACCTTAGATGTAACTGTGCCTCTAGTGTAATATTTACATATTGTTAAAGTTAAAGGCGCATGATGCTTCGAGAAGCGGCTTTGTGTTAATGGCCTAATTTAGAGTGTACCAATCGATCTTTGAGGTTAGGCCTTCTGGTGAGGGCTAGAACCGGTCTGGTGTCATTCCATATTTGTTTAAGATAAGCATCGGCTGAGATCAAGTGCCAATGTTTAGTAAGGACGGAACCTATATTTATAGTTTTTATGTCGAATGGGACAACGAAAGGTAGGACTTGTGGTTTTGGTGGAGGGGGTTCGAAGTTGAGGTACTGAAGGGTGGTTTCATTGTTGGTGGGGTTTCCTGGGAAGAGGAGCTCGTTTTGGGTGATATATGTCAGTTTACTAAATTCGGTGGTGATATCCTGAGATTCATAACCTCTTATGATTAGATTTTTTCGAAGTGTTTTGAGGTGTTTGTGGAGTTCATTGTTGTTTGTGATCAAACGTCTGAAGCGAAGTGCTTGGCTGTAAATAACACTTTTTTTACACAAAGGTGGGTGGAAAGATTTAGCATGTAAAAGGGTACATATATCAGTGGGTTTCACGAATAGGGTGCTTTCCAGGAGACCACTGTTATTATTAAGGTAAATTGTGGTGTCAAGGAAATTTATTTTTGCTCTAGATTGTTGTGCTTCAAATTTAATTGTGTTGTGCACATTATTGGTATGAGCAAGGAATTCAGTGAGGGAAGCTTCATCATATTGCCATATCATGAATATATCATCGATAAATCGTTTCCAGAGTAGAGGTTTCTCCCCCTCGGGGGCTGTGGAGAGGATATTTTGTTCAATAACAGACATAAAGATGTTTGCAAAGTTTGGGGCAAAAGGGGTACCCATGGCAGTGCCATGTGTCTGTAGATATGGCTAACCATTGAAGGAGAAATAATTTCCTTTTAATATAAGCTCAAACATTTGTTGTAGATGTGTGGCTGGTAGAGGTAGTCCAGTGGCATAAAAATCAATTAACGCCACTATGCAGTGTAGAATACCCTCATCCTGTGGTATATTAGTAAAGAGGGATTTAACATCCAGGGTACACAGGATGATACCTGGTGAAAAATTATGTCTCTCTCTAAATATAATTTGGAGAAAATGATTGGTATCCATGACGTATGAGGGTATAGTTTTAACAATTGGTTTTAAGAAATGGTCCAGAAATTTGGATAGTTTCTCAGTGGGTGGGTCGCACCCTGAGATTATTGGTCTACCTGGTATGAAGTTGTTAATCTTTGCTTTGTGTATTTTTGGTTAAAGGTAGAATTTTGGGATGCGGGGGTGGGGGCTTGGTTCAAGGAAATTATAGCATTGCTGTGTGAGAAGATTCCGACCTAGTAGGTGTGTTAAGAATGTTGTGATCTGGGTGGATAGCAGCTGTGTTCCATCAAATTCTAGTTTACTGTAGTGGAGGGGGTTGGACATCTGATTGTTAGCTTCCTTAAGGTAAGCTTCTATAGACCATAAGACAATGGCTCCTCCTTTGTCTGCAGGTTTGATGGTTATGTCCTTGCGGGGGCATAAGGTTTTAATGCTCTCAGTTTCTATTGGGGTGAGGTTATGGGGTATGGGGTTAGCAGCTGACCTTATGATCTTGTTGATGTCGACAGAGATTTTATCAAAATATTGTTGTAATTAGGGACAGACATCATCAGGGGGGGCCAAAATGATTTCTTTCTAAAGGGTTCAGGTTCCGTCCTGGGGGGATGGGAGTGGAAAAAATATTGCAGTCGCATTCGACATATGAAGTCATTGAGTCCTTGTAAGATGAGATCATTGTCAACCGGACTGGGGGCAGGGACAAACAATAGCCCCCTGTTCAACGAGATATCTCACTTGTTGAAATGTGAGCTGAGGATAGATTGACAATGTTATTGATTGGTTTAGTGGCCAGGATGACCTTTTTGAGCAGCTTTTTATGTGCATTTTTAGTTAGTTTATTGGTATGTTTTCTTTGCTTGATGCCAATGGTTTTCCTGAGTATGGTGCGTTTGGAAGCTGTGCTAGGAATGGCCGGGTACATATTGCAATCTAGATAGCAGAATAATGAGTATGAATAAAGCCCTATACTGGGGGAAACACAACAGTGAGTCTTACGCAAAAATGCAAGTATATTGGGTGTGGTCATGGGTGTGGTCATTGGTGTGGCTTTTAGAAGTAACCCACAGCACAGCACCTCACCTACCTTTTTAGGACAGCACCCCTGATCTCAAAGTATCCTTACCCATTTAGGCAAGCCCATACCCATATTTGGTTCCTACAGGGATTTTTGAAAAATTGACCAAAAACGTTTCAATGTTTTGTTAAAAATTGAGTTTGTTAATTTCAGGCCTTCAGCTGTTCAAAATTGATTTTATTCAATTGATATGTATAGAGTCATTGATAAAATGTATAACTTTGCATGATCTAAATTTCACATTTACCAAAAAGTTGCAGCATCACTTTGGCTCCTGACCCTATAATCCACCTTTAACTTCAAAACCTGACTCCTCAACTATTTTTCTTTAAAATCTGGGTTTTTATTTTTTTGGGGGGGGGGAAAGACTGTATGCAAAACTTTTTAAACTTACAACTTAGTCAGGGCTATTGCTATGGGGGCATGTTGTCAGTGTTACATCCCTTTTGAAAAGTTCACAGGGCCTCTAATCCATTCCCCCACCTTTTTGCAAAACATAAGACCCTTTTTGCAAAATCTTTTGCTATGGGTCTTCAATTTGCCCTTGTGCCCCTGAAGTTCTGTTTCAAGAACAAGGAGTTTTTTCTTCTGGGGGTGCTTCAAAGTTTCAAACTAGTCAACAAGTAAAGGATTGCTCCCTTTCTCTGTCTGAAAATGGTATCTGGACACCTAACTTGAGCATTATTCTTAGCAAATGCCAAACTGTAAACTAACTGCATAATATCTATTTGTGTTGTAATATCTAATACTTGAAAATTGATGTTTGTTGAATGCATCTACTATCTATCTAGCAAAGTAAGAAGATAAAAAGTTTATTAGAAAGCTATTCAGTGCAAACAATTAATGATCCCCTATGGGGCTAAACCTGCCAGAGTCCAAGAAATTGATGCAAAATCCAATGCTAATTTTGCATTACCATCTCAACATGATAACTCACAGAGACCTCTACCAAAACATTTTCTAGCATTATAGCTATGGTCCTTTGATAGATTTCCTGTTGTTTATTGACCTCTACTCCACTTCACTTCTAACCTCAATCAGGGCCTAAAATCAGAGCCACATTTTCTTCTAAAAATTGGGCGTGGTACTTTGCTGGGATTGATATAATAGGCGTGGCAAATATAGAAACTGCCAACATAGTGCAAAAACTATGTCTTACACGCCATGACACGTCCCCCCCCAGTTCTCGGCAGGATCAATTTTGAATTTCGTCCAAATCCGATGAGAAATGTTGGGGGAGGGGTAATATTTTGGCAACGTAATTTTTTGATGTCAACCTTTGATTTTCAAATTGCCTTTAAATAGCTAACAGTTAGTTATGGACATTCCTTTCCGGTAAAATTGGCTTTCCTTGTTTGTAGAAGGACATTTTCTAGTGCTAAAAGGGCGTAGCCTAAATTTTTTTTTCTGTCCCCCCCCCCCCCAGAGCGTAGTGGCTGGCGCCGCCATTAGGTTCATAAGCTCAAACTTTCAAAACCATTCCTAACCTATTATTGCAAAAAGGTTGGGAAGGACTATAGTCCCTGTTATGTAACATTCCCAATTAAATGTTCCTCCCAGAGACCACCGAAAGGGTTATTACTGTTCAGCTATTGTAAACTTGCGAGGAATCTTTCCAACGCTTCTCCCATGTACTGAAGCTTCGAGTTCTTAAGTTTTTTAATGCTTTTTTATTAACCATTGCTCATTTCTCATAGCAATTTTCTCATGAAAAATGATGAGTGCAATATATTAGGCTGGGGCTGGAAATTCACTTCGCATTGAAGAAAAATGTTTCTAATTCTATCTTAGGCGTTACGATTGCTATTTTATGCTGCACTTTTAAGAAAATGGAAATCTACAAATCCACACATTGTACATCTACAGTTCCACAATTTTAATTCACAACTCCACAAACGGAGTCAGATCCACGCTTATTTTAGGACCTGACCTCTATTGACCGGTTCATCAGATTGTGGTCGATATTGAATAAATTGAGGTCATTCTGACGTAAAACGGAAAACCCACTATGGAAAACGATCTGCCGATCTAATCAGATCATGTGAATTCGCAGATCATGTCAGTTCGCAGATAATTTTGGATTGAAATGCTGATTGGCATTTATCTGAATTCCGCTATACTGTCTCAACCAAAACGAACCTAATGGAATCGTGTTCCTGTTTGTTGAGGCTATGCTAAAGATTTTAACTAATTGTGTTCCAGGAAGAAGTTACTAATTGTAAGAAATCTCTGCTAATTAAGAATCTGTTTGTGTCTAATTTCGAAGCATATAATAACAAAACCTACATCCAGTGGTGTAGTGCTATCAAAATAACAAGGGGGGCTCTTGCCCAAAATGTTGCGAAAAACAATAGCAAAAGTAGTGATCTGCCAATTTTCGGCATCAACAAGGGGGGCTTAGCCCCCCTGAGCCCCCCTTGCTCTACACCCCTGCCTACATCCACAGTAAGAGCATACAGTAAGGGGCTTTCTGCTAAAGCAATCAGTTTCATAACAATCTAAATAAATTCAGATGATACTTATGGTGCTGTTTTAGAGTGGGCCATCGCTGACCCTTGCCCAATTCAGAGCTAGGCTCTGTAAAATATTTTTTTGGTCTTCTAGGTTCCAATGATATCTGGTCGATCATTAGGGTTCACTGGAGGCACTCTTGACAAGCTTGAATCCATACCAGGATTTAGGACAAGTTTAACAAAGGATGAGATCATAAATATTGTTAAAGAGGTAGGATGCTGTATAGTTGGACAGACAGAGTCAATTGTTCCTGCAGACAAAATTCTTTACAGCATACGAGACATAACGGGGACAGTTGCCTGCATCCCATTGGTTGCCAGCTCGATTATTTCCAAGAAGGCAGCTGGTGAGTTTCTTGTCACATCTTCTTTATTGGCATTGCCCAAACAAATCTTTTTTAAGCCACTTCTTCTGGTGGGTCAAACTATTGTTATCCCAGTAATAGGAAAAAATATTTTATAGTCTTAAAAAAGCAGGGGCATCAAAACCAGGAGCCTCAGGGGTATATGTCCCAAATTTTGGGTAAATGCCTATTTTATATCCCAATTATAAGTTTTTAGAAAGGTTATCATATGTCATAAATGGGCATATCCACTACACACAGGCGTGGTTGTACAACTCTAAAAAAAAGTAAGATGTTAGTCTATTTTACATTGTTAAGAAAAGTTGCCCCTAAATTTATTTAGATTGTAAAATAATAAGGAAGTCCTTTTTTTAAAGACATAGTGCCCCTACTTACCTGTGCTCCGCAAACCTGAAATTCTTTATGTTAACAAATATATAAACAAAATGAGAAATTTTTTAAGCATAGACAATTCTCAGGGCTTGAATCGCAATTTCTACCGTCCCCAGAATAGTATTTTATAAAAGCCCTTACCACAGTCACATAAATGCCAGGATGTGGGGGTGTCATACACTTCTAATGCTCGAAATTCTTTGAATTAGGCAGAAAATTTAGAGTAACAAACAGAATGTATGGTGTATTGTAAGTAGAAAAATAAACAAAAATCTATACAATATGATAGGTATGGTTAGATTTGGGGGTTCCAAAGGCGAGTTGGGCGTGGAAAAAATGGGGTCCACACACTTTGGAACGCCAGAAAACGCCCTTTTTCAAAGAGGTTATTTGCCATTGGGGGGAGTTAGCCTCCTCTTGCCTCCCCGTTCATTACGCTACTGCTACTCAGTAGGGTTAATTACAATCTTGCACAAGTTCAACATTCTAACAAACGGATTGTCTGTATTGATTTCAACCAGCAACGATGTTGCTTTTAGGGAATGGCCAGCAAAGGTGACTTATTTGTGGGACAATTTTGATTTGTTTTTCGTTTCTCATGGAATCAAGCAGTTAATTTCAGCATAGTAATTTCAGTCAAAAGATGTACAAATTTTAGTATTGAGGTAAACATTGAAAAATGGTCAGATTTGCCCATAAAGGGGTGAACGTATCGAATTCATCCGATCTCCAAATTTAAACAATTTAAAAGCATAATTTTATGAAATAGCTCGTCCTAAATAGGCGCGCAGGTCCATTGAGAGGGTTTTGTAGATGAGGGGCATCTGTCTCTGGGCCCTTTGGTATTAAACTGTCTCTATTCACAGGCACCGCGAAGCGTTGACTAAAGTAGGGGGTCTAAAAAGTGGGGGGTTTAAAAAATTGGGGGTCTAAAAAGGGTAGGGGGATAAAACCGTATAAAAAGAGGCTTCACTGGTAGTTTATTATTGAATATTTGGCATTTTTTTGCAAAAAGCCCCCCGCTCCTGCTCCTGCTCCGCGGTGCCTGATTATTCAAAGTATGGCTAGTGAAAACATTACAACTACAAATCATATTTGTGCTGAGAAAGTTTAACGATATCTTACAAATATAACTTAAAAGTTAATTTAAAGTAAATAAAGGAAATTTATGCGATTTCAATCAAGCATAAGCGCATTTCGAGTTTATTGCTTCGGAAACTGTTAGAACAGAGCCCGAGCATCGGGTCTAACTCTGGGCCCAGCGAGAGGAGATGAGAAAGGCGGGGTCACCTCTCGGCGGCCCTGTAAGCGACAAGTGAACATGCCAATGTATGTTTTTGAAAGGAAAACAGGCTCTAGTTCTGATTCACCTCTTTAAATATGAAAAGCTGTTGAGCTCAAAGACCAACGCTCCCTTTTCTTTAGAATACCAACAAATAGACTTGGTATATTCCGGATCATTTTGTATAAGGTCTTGATGTAGTTGATAGACGGGGAATTTTGTAGAAAAAACTAGCAAACTGCCTAACCTCAAATTTTATTTCACATTCTTACGAAATCGACCATGGAGATTCCAAATCCAAGACAGGGCCAAAAGAAATTATCACCGGAAGTTACTGTTTTGATGACGTCATCAAAAAATGATAAAAAAATCTTTAAAAATCAGCCAAGGACTCGACCTCAACTTTTCTTGCATTTTTGCACTAAATTAACTTAGCAGATTTCAAATCTGAGATGAAATGAAAAATATCTTTAGCGGATGTCATATTTTTTGATGACGCCATCAACTTGGAGAAAGTTCACTTTGAACCTTTTTAATTGTTTTATCGCAACTATCATTGTCAAATATGTTCCATATTCAAATAGCACACATTCAGTGCTTTTTGAAAGATGTATTGAATTACTATTATACTTACTTTTAAACGTTCTTTCACGACGTCATTATCATTTTATGACGTCATCTTTCTTTAAAGGTAATTGAATAACACGTGAAAGAATGCCTAAAAATCTTTAGCTAGTTAAAAAAGTCATTCAAAATTAAAATTTCGTTGTATAAAAATGATATGGAATCCATTCATCCTTCATCACTGTCTCATTTGCTGGAACTCCCAAAGAAATTGTAGTTCCACTCATCATCGTCTGCTTCAAGCTGATCACCGTTATTTCCCACGCCCTGGTCCTCATTGGTTACGAAATTTCTTTCGATTTCATCACTAGAGCGCTGCAGATCATGCAGTTTTTAGGCGGAGGGTGTGCGGGGCCCTGTAAAAGATGAAAATAATTTGTGTGCAAAAGATTTTGGGAAATAGTTGGCTGACTCCAGTATTTTCTGCAGACATTCACAGCTTTTTTAACGTTGACTATCGAATATTTTTCTCATTAAGCCGTTAAGAAACGTTTTTCTCTGTATATTCTCTCAGTGCCATTTTTTTATTTATTCATCAAATGTATGTTCAAAATTAGAATATATAAAGAAATTTTGTTCTTTTGAGCCACACTAATACAACTTGTAGGCCAAATCATTCTTTCGATCTTATGTCTAACCAAAGCTTAAAGGCAATTTCTCTTACTTTTGGTAATGTAACCAATAGTAAATCCTTGTGTCGACCAGTATGGATCTAGTGGTAGAGCTTCTGATTACCTGTTTTTCATTGCCTTGCGAATTCTTACTCTTATCTGCACAAGTGTTTCGTCACATTTCCCTTTGTATGATTATTTTTGCACAAATTTGATCGCTTTTGCCAGAAGGTCTTTGCAGATTTCCTGTCGCATCGTAACTCCCTCGAGCAATTCTTTCTTTCCAGAACACTCCTAAAGCTTTTTAAAATGTTAGCTTTTCTTACAAGAAACATTACTGGTGTTGTTTCGCAGCCAATAACTGCATGATTAGCCGGTAGATTTTTGGAACTATCTAAACCCAGGTAAGATACGACTTTCCAAAATTAACGTACTTCTCGTTGTCAATCTTTAAGGAATATTTCCTTGAAGGTTTTTCACACAATAAGCAGAAAACTACATTAGTGTCCTTTCAACAACTAATAAATTTTTATCGATGAGGCAAGTATGGAATATCAAGTGGATGCCAGCCTCTTCATAGCTGCAATTAAGCAAGTATGTTGTGGAATCTTGAAGGTTTGTTGTAAAGCTGGTAAAGCCTTTGGATTATCTGGATCTTTGTAATCTAGAAGACTGCCAAGCATCACTCACTAACAGCAACAAAAAACCTGAAATGGAAAAGAAGATAGTTTTGGTGCGGGTATAGCTGGTAAAGCCTTTGGATTATCTGGATCTTTGTAATGTAGAAGAATGCCAAGCATCACTCACTAACAGCAACAAAAAACTTGAAATGGAATACAAGATAGGTTTGGTGCGAGTGTAGCTGGTAAAGCCTTTGGATTATCTGGATCTTTGTAATGTAGAAGAATGCCAAGCATCACTAACAGCAATAAAAAACTTGAAATGGAATACAAGATAGGTTTGGTGCGGGTATAGCTGGTAAAGCCTTTGGATTATCTGGATCTTTGTAATGTAGAAGACTGCCAAGCATCACTCACTAACAGCAACAAAAAACTTGAATTGGAATATAAGATAGGTTTGGTGCGGGTATAGCTGGTAAAGCCTTTGGATTATCTGGATCTTTGTAATGTAGAAGACTGCCAAGCATCACTCAAACAGCAACAAAAAACTTGAATTGGAATATAAGATAGGTTTGGTGCGGGTATAGCTGGTAAAGCCTTTGGATTATCTGGATCTTTGTAATGTAGAAGAATGCCAAGCATCACTAACAGCAATAAAAAACTTGAAATGGAATACAAGATAGGTTTGGTGCGGGTATAGCTGGTAAAGCCTTTGGATTATCTGGATCTTTGTAATGTAGAAGAATGCCAAGCATCACTAACAGCAATAAAAAACTTGAAATGGAATACAAGATAGGTTTGGTGCGGGTATAGCTGGTAAAGCCTTTGGATTATCTGGATCTTTGTAATGTAGAAGACTGCCAAGCATCACTCACTAACAGCAACAAAAAACTTGAATTGGAATATAAGATAGGTTTGGTGCGGGTATAGCTGGTAAAGCCTTTGGATTATCTGGATCTTTGTAATGTAGAAGACTGCCAAGCATCACTCACTAACAGCAACAAAAAACTTGAAATGGAATACAAGATAGGTTTGGTGCGGGTATAGCTGGTAAAGCCTTTGGATTATCTGGATCTTTGTAATGTAGAAGACTGCCAAGCATCACTCACTAACAGCAACAAAAAACTTGAAATGGAATACAAGATAGGTTTGGTGCGGGTATAGCTGGTAAAGCCTTTGGATTATCTGGATCTTTGTAATGTAGAAGAATGCCAAGCATCACTAACAGCAACAAGAAACTTGAAATGGAATACAAGATAGGTTTGGTGCGGGTATAGCTTTACAATAAACCTTCAAGATAATCAAAGATTCTACGACATACTTGCTTAATTGCAGCTATGAAGAGGCTGGCATCCACTTGATATTCCATACTTGCCTCATCGATAAAAATTTACTAGTTGTTGAAAGGACACTAATTTAGTTTTCTGCTTATTGTGTGAAAAACCTTCAAGGAAATATTCCTTAAAGATTGACAACGAGAAGTACGTTAATTTTGGAAAGTCGTATCTTACCTGGGTTTAGATAGTTCCAAAAAGCTACCGGCTAATCATGCAGTTATTGGCTGCGAAACAACACCAGTAATGTTTCTTGTAAGGAAAGCTAACATTTTAAAAAGCTTTAGGAGTGTTCTGGAAAGGAAGAATTGCTCGAGGGAGTTACGATGCGACAGGAAATCTGCAAAGACCTTCTCGCGAAAGCCATCAAATTTTTGCAAAAATAATCATACAAAGGGAAATGTGACGAAACACTTGTGCAGATAAGAGTAAGAATTCGCAAGGCAATGAAAAACAGGTAATCAGAAGCTCTACCACTAGATCCATACTGGTCGACACAAGCATCTACTATTGGTTACATTTCCAAAAGTAAGAGAAATTGCCTCTAAGCTTTGTTAGACATACGATCGAAAGAATGATCTGGCCTACAGGTGGTATTAGTGTGGTTTAAAAGAACAAACTTTCTTTATATATTCTAATTTTTAACATACATTTCATAAATAAATAAAAAAGTGACACTGAGAGGATATACAGAGAAAAACGTTTCTTAACGGCTTAATGAGAAAAATATTCGATCGTCAACGTTAAAAAAGCTGTGAATGTCTGCAGAGAATACTGGAGTCAGCCAACTATTTCCCAAAATCTTTTGCACACAAATTATTTTCATCTTTTACAAGGCCCCGCACACCCTCCGCTTAAAAACTGCAAGATCTGCAGCGCTCTAGTGATGAAATCGAAGAAAATTTCGTAACCAATGAGGACCAGGGCGTGAGAAATAACGGTGATCAGCTTGAAGCAGATGATGATGAATGGAACTACAATTTCTTTGGAAGTTCCAGCAAAGGAGACAGTGATGAAGGATGAATAGATTCCATATCATTTTTATACAACGAAATTTTAATTTTGAATGACTTTTTAACTAGCTAAAGATTTTAAGGCATACTTTCACGTGTTATTACTTTCACCTTTAAAGGAAGATGACGTCATAAAATGATAATGACGTCGTGAAAGAACTTTAAAAGTAAGTATAATAGTAATTCAATACATCTTTCAAAAAGCACTGAATGTGTGCTATTCGAATATGGAACATATTTGACAATGATAGTTGTGATAAAACAATTAAAAAGGTTCAAAGTGAATTTTCTCCAAGTTGATGGCGTCATCACAAAATTTGACATCCGCTAAAGATATTGTTCATTTCATCTCAGATTTGAAATCTGCTTAGTTAATTTAGTGCAAAAATGCAAGAAAAGTTGAGGTCGAGTCCATGGCTGATTTTTAATGATTTTTTTTATCATTTTTTGATGACGTCATCAAAACAGTAACTTCCGGTGATAATTTCTTTTGGCCCTTCTTGGATTTGGAATCTCCACGGTCGATTTCGTAAGAATGTGAAATAAAATTCGAGGTTAGGCAGTTTGCTAGTTTTTTCTACAAAAATTTCCTGTCTAATCATCCTACAAGTTTCGTAATCTTGTTTCGTTTTTTGGAACAGAAAAACCAAAAGCGCTGGTTCTTGATGTCAAATGTGGCAACGGTTGTTTCAATAAAACAAAGGAAGTTGCTGACGCTCTTGCTAAAGCGATGGTGTTGGCCAGCAACGGTCTTGGTATACAGACAACAGCCTTTATCACTGAGATGGATAATCCGATAGGCCGTGCAATCGGGAATTCAGTGGAAGTTGCCGAATCATTAGAGTGCCTTCACGGAAAGGGACCCAAGGACCTGAAAGAGCTGATTTGCATGCAAGGTAGGAAAATAAATGCATTCTCACAGATTATCGTGATATTTTCATTGTAACAACTGTAGGAATTAATTTAGGAATGTAGGAACTGGTATCACTTGATGCAAGGTCTAATTTTGGATAATATGTTATAAGAATATACTCTAATTTTTTATAAGAAACTGGCTGTAACAAAAGGAGTACTGGACATTCAGAAAAAACTAACAAACTTAAGTGCTCGAAGCAACAGAATTAAGAAACTATTAAATCGTGATAAAACTGAGAACAACGAAATTTTGTAAAATCCAAGAACATGATTGGCCTAGAATTTAAGATACTCTGTAAATCACTCGTGTTTTTGCAATTTTTTTAGCTTTTGTGTTGCTCACAAAATAGTTTGTAAATACAAAAAACATTTACTCTGTGGTTTACATACTTATCAAAACATCCTGTACTTGTCAAAACATCCCTCGCAAGATGAATTTTACTTTTCAATCTAGATTAGAACAGGTGTACCACAGGGCTCATTCCTTTATCCTATTTTATTCAGAATCGATGTCAATAACTTTCAAAATTGCGAAAACCTAGTGAGACAAATTTCTGATAGACTAAGCTGAAGTTAGGCAAATATGGAAGTTGAAAATTCATCCGGTTTGAAAATGCGGCTAGAAACTAGCAAAAAGACCCTCATTATGTACGAAGAATGAGTACATGAAGGGGGGATTTTGCTCGGCTCGATGGGCATCCATATATATATATATATATATATATATATGTAGAATTGTTGCCAATTGTGTAACAATGCATCGGCATTTTGATGAGTTCAACAATGGACACATAGAAGCCGAATTCAAAGGCGTGAGACAATCGAAACAATGCAGGCATAGAATGCCAGAATCAAAGGATTTTCCCAATTTTCCCAAACGAACAATCGAGAATCGTGAGTTTCCCGATTAAGTGGGCAATTGAGGTTCGCTAATCGACACTTAGGTCGATAATCGTGCTATTAAATTGGGTTCGGCTGCTAGCGTGAGATCCCCTTTGTGGTCATCCTCTTCGATTCGACCAATCGCCTTTAGCTTTGCTCGTGACGTTGTGCAGTTATAATTGGTTCTGCACGTGCATGTTGAGCGGTGGCCAGAATAGATCAGAACCTTCTCGTAATCGAGAATGGTGCTTTCATCTTGTCAAGCGTCAACGTAATTAGACGTATAATTTGCAATTTGCTATGTAGGATACAAGAGAAAATGCGGGAATATGCGATTTCACGAGTTTCTTCAAGAAATAACTTGCATGCATGAGACATGGAAAGGCACATGGGACATTTTTAAAGAGTCTGAGGCAAGGGCGGGAAATTCGAATATATTGCAAGTGTTAGAAATCTGTTGAGTTTTTCGCATGTTTTGCAAAGTTGGTGAAAGTTATTCGAAGGTTTCCAGGCTATGCAAAATTGTCGCAAAATACTTGCAGGGAGTTTTCCTCTTTCTCTGGAGTTGATCCAAAATTCATTCGAAATTCTTCAGACCCCGTTTGATAAGGTTGTTTGGTGTAGGAAAAACATAGAAACAATGGAAATTTGTCAAACGTCTGTCAGACCAACAGTTACGAGAATGATCAATTAATAATATAGGGATCTGTGACTACCTTTCTTAATCAAATAGTTGAATTGCCGAGTTGAAGAAATCTTTGCACTCGCAACTAGGAACTTTACGAAATTTAGACTTTAGCTGCTCACAATTACGTACGAAAGATTCCACTTCGTAATCAAGTAATTGCGCTGCAGTGAGATCATTATGCTGGAACCGTTTTGTCAGCGCGGGTCGTTAGGGATCGTTAGGCACGCATCGATTTCTCCTTCTGCAAAGGTTGACAGTGGAATCCAAAGATCTGGAAACTTGCTGCGTCATAGCCGTCGCCGCCGTTTATAAAGAAACTGTAACGATGCGAAACGCATTTTGAGAAGCAACCGAATAAGAATAATTATTCGTGTTATGTTATCAAGCGAAAAATGTCCTTCGTCATATCAAAAAACAAAATCCCAGTTAGGTTTCACTCACAGAGCCCCAATAAATCAGTTCTGTAATTTTGCTGAGTCATAGCTCGTGCCACCGTTATTTAGGTATTTTAAGTCTGTGAATCGCATTCTTATAAAGCATAAAGGTTCTTAGTTGTCTGGGAAACAGACTGGAAGCGCATCTAGAGATGTTCAGACTTACAATACTTTTGGAATCTTCGTTGTCGTCATCATTGTCATCGTCGTCATCATAATCATCATCAATCATCATCATCATCAATCATCATCATCATCAATCATCATCAATCATCATCATCAGTTTTGTCCACATCGCCAATTCATAATATGGAAGTACCATTCCTCCACATTCTTCGTACATTGCAAAAGCCGTGCTATTTTTTTACCAAACAGTTTGAGTAAATAAGTGTCATTATTTGTTGTAACCGAAATTTGATGAGTTTTGTCTGACAATCATTTTTTAAGCAAAATAGAAATTCAATATCCTATGAATGCAAATATCTGGCCAATTCAGACGTTAATGCTTTCAATGTCAGTCTATTTATAACGAAGTTATTTAGAACTACAGGGCGGAATTTGCAAGGCTTGAAACGATAATCTGGTGCCTGCTTGGTAGGCTGTGAATCTTCGATCGACGAACTTTTCTGCTTGGATTACAACAGGGTACTTCAGGGTACTTCAAGCTCCCTTACAACAGGGTAGGGGGTTAGTGCACTTTGTAACAATGCTTAACTGAGACAGTAAGCATTATATTTGTCTTTAAAGTGTGTATTGGTCTTGAGACTCAAAATTTGAGTATAAAATCTTCATGTTTATATAGTTTCTTACTCACACAATGCACGACAACTTCAAGTTGAACAGTGAAGAGCAAATTTTTTGTACAACCCTACCCACGCAACTCATCTTTTGGCAATTCATTTTCTAATAGCATGTTACCTTTCTTTTTCTTTTCTTCCTGCATCGCTTTTTGACCAAACGACTTTCAATTTCTGCCTTAAAATGATGTCGCTATGGGTCGCAAGAAGGCCATTGTATCTTCTTCTCTACATATTCACAAATATTCATTTTACAAATAACTAGTTTTTGATAATGCTTGAATAAACGTAGACTTTCCCAATGTCTATTTTTGTTTAATTCGTAAGGCGTTCTTACTACTGCGAGGGAGTCAGGGTATGGCCCCAAAGTTTCCCAAATTGTTGAAAAAATACAACAGTCAATGGCCAAACTTGATTTTCGGAAAAAATACTTCAGAACAAAGCAACAAACACCGTTCTGTGTTTTTAAGACAGTTAAGTTGGTACAATCAACCTTTAAGACCCCCTCAAAGTACCCCTAGTTGTTGAATGAATTGAACAGTCATTGGCCAAGCCCCAGTCTTGTTTTAAATTCAAAAGTAATGTTCAAACTCAAGCATTTGTGTTGCTTTAAGACGATTATGTTGGGACAATTGTCCTTTAAGATGTCCCCAAAGTCACCCTGTAAATGTTAAATAGATGCACAGTCATCGGCAAATATCACTTCGTTTCTTTCCAAAATTGAGTTAGTTATGCTGGTCCTACATTTAAACTGATTTTTTAAGACGATTATCATTGAACAATTTCCTATAAGATGCCCCTTAAAGTTACCTTGTTGATTTTCAATAAATTAAAAAATCATGGGACAAACCCAATTTTCATTTTAAACTCAAAGGAATAATCCCATTCAAGCATTATTGCTTATGTTAGACATACATACTGCCAAGATCACACTTTGGACTTGATCCTTCATAAATTTCATCGACATGTTTTCCGGTTTGTTGAAATAGAGACAATTCTTTATTGTAAAATTAGCACATTTTTATAAATGTACAACACAACGCAAAATATTACACGATAAATAGAAAAGGATACCGCATTACAGTGCTCTGGGAGTCTTGGTCAACAAAAACTTAAACAAAACAAACCAAAAAAACCGTAATGCAAGTCAATTATAGTTGTCCTCAAAATCAGAAGTGTCTGAAATGTCAACTTCACAATCACCTAAACAAACCTAATATAACCTAAACAAGAACTAATTGAAATACTACATAGCTAGGTATTTACAAAATAATAGTGATTACAAAAGATACTACTCCCAAGATTAATTAGATAAACTGAATAAAGATATAAAAATCCCAAATGAAATAATTAATGAACCTAAAGGTGCAATTAGATAGCAAAAAAAATTATAAACAATCGAATATCATACAGGATAATCATACCGAATTATCATACCGAATTATCATACCGAATTATCATACCTGATTACCATGCCTAATTAACATACCGGATTATCATACGAAATTATCATACTGGATTATCATACGAAATTAACATACCAAATTATAATACTGGATTATCATACCGGGTCACCATACCAAATTATCATACCGGATTATAATACCGAATTATCATACCGGATTATCATACCAAATTATCATACCGGATTATCATACGAAATTAACATACCAAATTATAATACCGGATTATCATACCGGGTCACCATACCAAATTATCATACCGGATTATAATACCGAATTATCATACCGGATTATCATACCAAATTATCATACCGGACTATCATACGAAATTAACATACCAAATTATAATACCGGATTATCATACCGGGTCACCATACCAAATTATCATACCGGATTATAATAC